TTTTTTTTTTTTTTTATTTAAATATAATTACATGATTTTTGTTTTTTTTTGTTTTGTTTTGTTTTGTTTTGTTTTGTTTTGTTTTGTTTTGTTTTTGTTTTTGTTTTTGTTTTTGTTTTTGTTTTGTTATGTTTTGTTTTTTTTTTTTTATTTTTTTTATTTTATTTTTTTTATTTTATTTTTTTTATTTTATTTTTTTTATTTTATTTTTTTTATTTTATTTTTTTATTTTTTCTTTTGTTTCTGTTTTGTTTTCGTAACTTTATGAAGATTAAAGTTGTATATAATCTTGCCGTGTGGAAGGTGGAGAAGGTTTTTGCTTAGTTATGTTTCATCAAATTGGCGCGAAAGTTAGTAACACTTCCTTATTCTCATTTATAATGTGTTAGATCATTGTATGTGTTTACTCTTTATTTTTATTATTTTTTTTTTTTTTTTTTACAAGTTTATACTGATGAGAAAAAAAAAAAAAAAAAAAAAAAAGGGATGATTTTTTTTTTTTTTTTTTTTTTTTTTGTTTTTTTTTTTTTTTTTTTTTTTTTTTTTTTTTTTTTTTTTTTTTTTTTTTTAAGTTTTTTTTGATGAGAAAAAAAAAAAAAAAAAAAAAAAGGGATGAAAAGGAATACACTAAGAGGGGGGAAATTACATTTGACTGAAGTTGCATAATTGAAAAATAAAATAAAAAAAAAAAATTTTAAATATTACAATTACAAAGTTTTATACTAGTTTGAGCACTTTTTTATGCGTGTCTTCAATTTCCCTGTGCGGTTTTTACTTTTTTTTTTTTTTTTTTTTTTTTTTTAAAATCCAGATTTATCCTAGTGTGATAATTTTTGTAAGGTGGGTGCACATGTCCAAATAAGCTTTTGCACATGCATACACATATATACTTATATACAAATATATGCATATATGAATGTATGAGTGGTTGTAAGTATTCCCACGTGAAGCTTCATCCGTGATGAGAGGCATCTTAACATATTGTCCTCACAGAAACGAAAGTCAGAGTGAAAAACCAAAACAGGGAGTAAGGGAAAATCCATTCCCCCAAATTGTCCATACCGCTAACATTCAGCAGTCTCTCCCTAACAAGTGATGTATTAAAAACGGATACAAAATAAAAAAAAAAATAAAATAAAAAAAAGATAATGAGACAATAAGAAAAGGAAGAGGAAAAGAAAAAGCGAAGCTGCAGAATGGTTCCTCACACAGGTACATATTCTTGACCCATAAGTGAGTGTGAGAGGATGTGATAATTCTTTAAGTAGAGACACGTGAATATACACATATAGAAGCACACACATAGAAGCACACACATAGAAGCACACGCATAGAAGCACACACACACACACACACGGACATTTTCCAAATTGTGAAAGACCATGCTTCTGCGAATGAATCTCAAAAGAAAGGTCATTTTTTGCAATGAAAGAAAACTTTTTCAACGAACTTGCCGATATCTTCTTCTGAACAATAAAGATTTACAAAATAAACTAAAAAATAATAATCATATGATTAAATTAATAAAAAATGTTGTGCAACAGAGAGAAAAAGAAAATGACAAGAATAGCAGTATACCGTTTATCGATTTGGGTTTTTCATACCTGTATAAAAATATAAGTATTAATAAAGTGAGGAAAAAAAAAAATGTGCCATATGAATCATTTGATAGAGATGTAAATGATATAATCTCTAATTTAAACAAGTTCAATACCTTTGATTGGTACTACACAGTTGTTATAAATTCCTATGACGATTCAGATGGAAGAGGGGAAAAAAAAAAAAAAAAAAAAAAAAACATAGAAGATGTATATTTTTATATCATGAATTCATTAAATATTCTTACTACTCATCAAGTGTTACTAATATTGTATAGTTTCACAATTCATCATGTGAATATGGAATATTTGAAAAAAATAAATGAGCATGTAATAAACAATATTTATAATTTCAAAACAAGTGAACTGGTTTTAATTCATTTATTTTATGTCTACTTTGAGGAGTACTGTAGAAATAATCATGTAAACGAATCACACACCTTAGATGCAAACCACAGGGATATTATAAACTTTTCTTATTATCAGTATGGTATTAAGACAAGGAACTCATTCAAAAAAAGTAACAATGTTGATGGCCATGATGATGATGATTATGATTGTTTCCCTTCTTCACCTGTTCATATTTCTGACAACAAAATGTTCGAAATTCGCACGTTAGCAAATGATCTGATTAGGTACACTACCCACGTATTTTATAAAAGAAAGGAAAATTTAAACTTGAATCAGATTAAAGAAATAATATTTATATATTACATATACAATATATACCACAAGGAACTATTCGACTACTTCATTTCATACATTGAAAATGCACTGAAGTTGTTACATATTGATAATATACATTTAATTTTAATGGATAATTCTCAACTACAAGATAAAAACAAAAAAGATGCTATTTATGATGCAAACCAATTTTACCTTCTCATTAAGTGCTTTTACTACCTAACGGGCATAAGAAATATTTCACATATACAAGAAACACGGAAAAAATTTTTTTTCCATTTTGCTAATTTTCTGAGGAAAAATTTATGCTTACTCGACAGATTGGATACCCCTGAGTTGTTCATGCTTTTGGAAGTGGGTAGAAAAACCGATGGAGAAGATGCAGGAATGGGTAGCGAAACGGAAGGAATGGGCGAGGCTGAGAGGAATAGATATAGCTCGAGTGTAAATTCCATTAACGAGAACCAAGAAAAGGACTATTTAAAATGTGCCATTTTAAATATCATCGAGAAAAGACTAAAAAGTGCAAACGAGGAGATGTCCCCAGAAGGAAAAAATAATTTATCTGAAACGTGCAGAAAACTGAACAAATGTGTACATATATTAGACATGGTGTATGAGTATTATGTTGATTTGTGCAATTCTTGTAAAAATAAAAAAGAGGCAAAAGAACCTAGTGAAAAACAGGATTCTGGCATTTCTGACATTTCTAACATTTCTAACATTTCTGACATTTCTGACATTTCTAACATTTCTAACATTTCTGACATTTCTGACATTTCTAACATTTCTGACATTTCTAACATTTCTGACATTTCTGACATTTCCAACATTTCTGAGCATTGCAAAGGGGGGATTTTTCATTCCAGCATAGGTGGAAAATACATCAAAAATTGCAAACCTAGTTACAACATTGATAAGACGAATGGATGTGTAAATGCGGATATATCATTCAACGTAAGAAACAATATAAGTAGCAGGGCCGTTAGGACTAAAAATTGTAATTATTGTGCTGAAGATGATAATACACCAAAAAGAAGACACAACCACGGAAGGGAGAAGAAAGATATCTCCAATTTATTCCCCCAAATAACATTTTTGAGTAGTATTAATAAGTATATTTCAATCAAAAGTGAAAATTACAAGAGATATCTTCCGATGCTTCTTTCAAATTTAAAAAAAGAAAAAAAATTCAAACACATTCTTCTTTACTTTATAAATAATATAGACAAAAGAACGGATGCAAGTATTTTGCTTTTTTACATCAAGTTAATATGTCAGTACACAAATAATATATACGTATTGTTATATGTGGGATATCTTTATAAATGCATTATTATGACTAATAATTTTCGAAAATACACGAATTTTAACTCAGAAAAGGTCACCATATTATTTTCAAGTTTGTACGAACTTATAAGAAGCAGGGAAATTTTAATGCAGACTCAGCAAAATGGCGTAACATTTGGAGAGACACAAAATGGCGTTACATTTGGAGAGACACAAAATGGCGTTACATTTGGAGAGAAACAAAATGGTGAAACATTTAGTCAAAACAACAAACAATTTTTCGCATTGCTACGTGAAAATAATCCCAATATGTATGCACATGTTCAGGAAAATTTATCCAATTTAAACCTGATGGAAATAAAAAACTTGGACGATTTTCTTTTCCATTATGTGTACAAACAATTGATCAGGGATACATTCTCATACTTGGAAAGTGTGTTACTTTATATGAACAATAGGATGCTAGTGAATTACCTTTTGGAATATTTTTTGTATATAAATAATTACTACAGTATGTATTCAAAGGAGAAGACAAGTGTTGAGGGGAAAAGAATTGCTATTTTATTTTTTCAAAAAATTTTTATACTGAATTTTTTAAATATATATAAAGATAAAAAGGATAAATGTCATGAAATAGCGAATAATATTTTAGCTTATATAAGATTAGAAAAAGAAGTAGAAAAGGTTCTTTCAAATTATATATTAAATATATATTTTCAAAATTGTATTGTACCATCCAACGATCAAGACATGTTTATGCAAATTGAGAATATTCTTCAAGAACACTTTAATTGTGGATTTTCATTGACTTACCAAAATAATGGAATAATTTTACCAAGTTCAATTGATACCAATAATTTAAACGTCCCATTATCAAACGAGGAAATTATATGTATAATAAAATCCCTAATTAAAAATAAGAGAAATTCTTACCTTATTAATTTCCTTGTTTTAGTCAATGCTCAGGTTACTTTTAATACTTTATTTTCCGGAATTAAAAATCATCTCTATTCTTATGCATTTTAATTTACCACTCCGTGTACTATAGGCGTGTTCATTTCCCATCAGGGTTGTAAAAAAAAAAAAAAAGTACACTACCATGATATGCGATAGGATTCGCTTGGAGAAGAAATGAGGAGAAATAAGGAGAAATATTTATTTTTTTCATATAATCTGTATCCCCCACCCCTCTGCTTTTTCTTAAAATTCACACAAATGGGTATCCCAAATGCTTGTACCTGGGCAGTACACATTCTTTGCATTTTATGTTGGTCCCTGACTAACATTCCATGGAATCGTTGTTCTATGTGAAAGTATGATGACGTGTAGTTCAGTAGGAGGAGTGGGGGAAATTATTACCTTTCTATTTGTGAATATATACATCATTTATACATTCCGAGTTAAAATTACACAATTCACCATTCTAACAACTGTGTGTCGATTTTTTTTCTAGGATAAAATTCATGGATGAAATTTTTTTTTATTTGTGTGTACATGGTCCATTAGGCAGTTAATTAATTTATCATATTTTATTATATTTTATTTTATTTATTTTTTTTATTTGTGTATAGGGTCAGAGTTTGGGAATCAATTACTTTTTTTTTTTTTTTTTTTTTTTTTTTTTTTTTTTTTTTTTAAAATTTTTTTTTTTTTTTTTTTGGTTTAGTTTTTTGGAATTAATTTTTTTTTTTTTTTTTTTTTTTTTTTTTTTTGTGTTTTTTTTCATAAAATTGTTACTTAGATGATTTGTATAGCATCCAGTGGGAGAAGTGTCGTGGCAACGGGAAAAAAGTGAAATGATGGGTTTATGTTTGTGTCTGTGCCTGTGCCTGTGCCTGCTTCTGTTTGTGTCTTTTATTTTAGTACTTCAACTACACTGCACATGCAAAAAACACGCATTTGTGCTAATTCCAAAAAAAGAAAAAAAAAGAAAAAAAAAGAAAAAAAAAGTGGGGGATTTTTACCTGTAATCCCGCCAACTCCATCCCATCTTTCAATTTTAAAATATAAAGAGAACGAATTTGTGTGATAACTTTGTAGGCCAGTTTGTGTGGCCGATTTGCAAATTTTTGCTATCTTCCCTCAAACATTTTTCCCAAGCTTTTGCAGACATATTGTACTTCCCGTGATGTTCCAAAAATAGAGACAAAAAAAAAAAAAAAAAAAAAAAAAAAACATATATTTTGTGTCACTGGTTTGTTACACATGTGAATATTCACAAAGTATGCGTATCAGAATATTTGCCTCATGTACGTTTTTACATATGCACCTTTAAGTGTACAAATAAAATTTGAGTTGTGAAGACTGTTGAATGCATTTTTCACAACGGGCCAGAATATTTATTTCCCTTCACCTTGGAGGAGGCAAATTTGTCGATTAAAAGGAATTCGTGTATGTGTGAAGTGAACGTCTTTTGTCTGTAAATATGTGCATGTCGCTTAGCATATATATATATATATATATATATATATATATATACACATATTTTTTTTCTTTTTATTCTCCAAAAAAAATAACAATTTTGAGCAAACTTTGTGAACATTGCACATATATGTAGGATATCCCCTCGTCAACCCCCAAACAACTACCCACCTTTGTACACAATCTCGCATACGTGCATTGTGAGTATTTTTATGTTTTTATTTTATTTTATTTTATTTTTTTTTTTGCCATATTTGGCATTTTCACCGTTTTGCAGTTTTTATCATCTTCGTTATTTTCGCCGTTTTGCAATTTTTATCGTCTTCATCATTTTCGCCCTTCTGCCATTTTTACTTTTATTTTCTAGTTAACGATTCAGTTAATTTTTCAACATTTACATAACAGATTTTAAAAAAAGAATATGAAAGGAATCAATAATAGGGGAAAGTGAAAAGGCACTTGAGAAGAGTATATGAAAAAAAAAAAAAAAAAAAAAAAAAAAAAAAAACGCTAATATAGCTTTTTTTTTCTTTTATTTTATTTTTAAGATATAAATGTACAATCCATACGCTTTGTATAAGCACAATACAAATTAGAAAAATTTATTAGATACACATATACAAGCATAAGTATACTAAACATAATTCACACATATAAACAGTAGAAAAAACTTATTGGTTAATGATAATTTAAAAAGGAAGAAACATAGAACTAGAGATTTATCATTTTTTCCCCCTCCCCATTATTTTGCACATATAAAAACATTTTAATGGATTAATTCAGTATACAGTCGTTAACTTAGATAACAGAATTAAAGGAAAAAAAAAAAAAAAAAAAAAAACCATAGCGTGTGTTACAAACTTGGTGAAAGAGAAACATATAAAGGAGGTCAATAATTGAAGGTTGCATGTAGGATGCAAACTGGGAGATTGAGACAAATTCGATTGGAGTAGCAGTAATTCTGACAAGTGATAATTCTGATTAGCTTAGCAACAATTCTGACAAGTGATAATTCTGATTAGCGAAAATTTTGGTGAGCTTCTACCCACCCAAAATCAAATGGAAAAAAAAATAAAATAAAATAAAACAGACATACAGACAGATAGACGAAGTAAATCAGAACCCTAGAAAATTAGAACAATCATGAATTCTTGACAAATCTGAGAACATACACACGTATCAAAAAATATATAAAAAGAGAAGCCAGAGAATAGAGGGGCACAGGGAGACAGAGAAAGGCATCGAAAAGCAATGAGCAGCAAATGACAACGAGGCAAAGATGAATCGGCTCATTTTAAACAAAGCAACTTCATCCAATGATGAACCCACACCGGGATATTTGTACAGTGAAATATCTCAGATGGCCTTCTGTTCTAAAGAATCCATGAATTTAGTGGGAGAATATTTATTAAAGAAATTACAAAGAACAGATGTAAATGTAAAATTAAAAACGTTAAAAATCTTAAAACATTTATGTGATAAAAAACGATCAGATTTTCGAAATTTTTTAAAAAAAAAAATAGACATTATTAAAAATTGTCAAACATGTAATATAGTTCATGATGAATTAAGAGGGGAAACCCCATCTATGTTAGTTCGAAAAGAAGCATCTGATTTAATTAAGTTAATTTACTCGTATGATTCATCAGATAATAATATAAAAACTGTATCTAATAATAGTCAAGACATGATAAAAAATAATCGAATACAAGGCTTTGGTAATTCGAACTTTCAAAAATATAATAGTCCAAACACTGGTATCAGTAACGATTACACTACAAATAGAGATTCTGAAATAACTGACATAAACACAATCAATCACATGAACAGCAATTTTAATGGCACAAATAATTACATCAATAAAATGCCAGGTTTTGGTAATCCCCACTTTAATCAAAATCCTGTTCAAAAAACAAAAGGAGAAATAGCCATTAAATATTTAAACGAAGTCGCAAACAAGTATATGCCTTCCTCCTTTGTAAACAGAATCAATAAAGTTAGTGCATCTATCACAAAGAATTATGCAAATGGTTCTCTCAACATACAGAATATAATGAATGGTAATGCATTTAGCAAGAATTTAGAAAGTAATAATATGATTAGGGCAACATATAATAATACCAACAATATAGGTATTTATAAAGGAACGTATAGTACCCAAAACACTTTTAGAGATGGTTTACGTGGCCAAAGAAATTTTGGTACCATTAATACTGCAGGTGGATTGCAGAATTCAAGAAGAATAGATAATATAAGAAAACCACAAGAGTCTCAAGCCTCTGGAATTTACGAAAAAAAAATAATTGAAGATATTTTAAACACAACAGGAATTAATAAAGTTCCCTCAGAAAGTGTGTTGAATGAATTCGCACAAAAATGTGAAACGTTAGATACAAAAGTTATTATATCGATTCTTACATCGAAGCTAAAAATTAAATACACAAATGAAGAAGATGTTTGTAAAAATAAAATCAAAGTGTTATGTGTTATAAAACACTTATTACTTTATCGAAAAAAAAAAGAAAATGAAAAGGCAATCGAAACCTTAGAAACATTGATACAGAACTTGAAGGATCAAACCATGGGGGAATTATATTTGTGCAAAGAAATTAAGCATTTAAAAAAACATGTCACGGAAATTTTTGTTCTTATGGGATTGCATGTTAAGCACTCAAATGACGAACCACGAAAAAAAGAAGTCATAATGATGCAGCCTATGGAAATTCCAAATTTGCTGGATATCGATGATGATGTTCAGATCACTGCTACTATTAGCAGTACTAGAATGAACACCCTTCAAGGCTATGATTCAAGCAATATGAACTCTATTTATCTACCCACGCAGGTTGCATATGACAATGACAGCTTGCACAACAATAACAAATCGGTGAACAAATCGGTGAACAAATCGGTGAACAAGTTAGAGAACAAGTTAGAGAACAAGTTAGAGAACAGTTCTGTGGATTTTTTCCTGGATAGTCGAAATCACACAACTGAACCGAGAGCCCAAGAGAATAGCAAAAACGGTGATGTCGAAAAGTTAATAAGTAGCTTTGATGAGCTCTCGATAGGAAACAGCAGGACCCAGGATAATGCTAGGAAACAAAGTGACAGTAGAAGTGGAGCCAATGATAACGAATTGTTTAACAGTCTTAATGTGAAATGTCAATACAAAAAAAATGATATAAAAGTTGGCAGAAGTAGTAGTACAGTGCAAACTGCTGAAAAAGGAGGAAAAACTTACCCACAGGATACGTCAAAAAATACACTTATAAATATCCAGAATAATAATCGAATTGTTATAAATGATAACAATACGAGTAACTTAATTTTTTTAGAAAATGAAAATAAAGATGATAATAGAAAAGGAGCTATAAACACAAAAAAAAATTTTACCCATCTTGATGATGCAAATGATTTCTTCATTTTTGAAAACGATAAACAATTATCAACTCGAAATAACAACAAGGGAACGTCAAATTATGGGGGAAATAATAGCGCATATTTGGATGACTTGAAATCTGTTATGGATATGAATAATTTACAAAATAAAAACATAACAAAAGATATTAATAGTGTTAATAAAATGCACCAATTGTGTAGCGACGAAAATGACAAAAAAGAGGACGATCAATGTTCTATGAAACAACTGCTACTTTTGCAACAATTTCATAAAAACAAAAACATAGAATCAAATAGTATGAACAATCAAGACTTAAGTTTGATAGACATTGAAGAACATTTTACTAATGAGACAACTCATGACAAGAATACTCCTTTTATTGACGTCACAGCTTTACCACATAATTATGAAAAAAGACAAGTACATTCACATACTCAGACACAGACACAGACGCAGAGGAGGACAATAATGAATAATAATACCATCAATGATCCTACCTCTGACAGAAATAATGACATAATCCAAATGAATGACTTAAACAAACTTTCCGGCAATTTCCAGAACCACCTAACTAGTACAGCAAATTTTACTACTACAGATGAAGAAATAAATAATTTTTTTAGCAGCTTTTCTATATCATCTAAAAGGAGGAATGAGGAAAATGATAAAAAACCGAATGTTCAGATAGATGCCTTTGAGCTTTTGGCAGACCAACTAAAGTTGTGAATTTCTTAAAATGTGTTTAAAACGGTAAGTGTATGTGAACATATGAAATTGACTATCTGAGGAATGATACTCGCTGTGTAAGGAAAAAAAAAAAAAAAAAAAAAAAAAGACGGGAAAAAATTCGAAAAAAAAACAACTCATCCGTTGCTTGTCACATTCGTACTTTGCTTCACCTTGTACACTATACATATTTACTAATTTTTTTTTACCCTCCTTTTTACGATTCCTTTTTTTATTTCTTTTTCCATTTCTGTTTCCATTTATGTTTCCATTTCTGTTTCAATGTCTGTTTCCATGTCTGTTTCCATGTCTGTTTCCATTTCTGTTTCCTTTTCTGTTTCCTTTTCTGTTTCCTTTTCTGTTTCCTTTTCTGTTTCCATTTCTATTTCCATTTCTATTTCCATTTCTATTTTTTTTTTTGCCCCTTTTGTTTTTTTCCCTCACTCCCGTTATACCATTTGATTTTATATTTTAAAATATATTTACGCAGATATAAAATGGAACAAACACACCAAATTTTTGTTTAAAGTTAAACAAAATAAAAATAAGCAAAAACAAAGCATATCAATAAATAGTGCAAAATTGAGGGGTACATATTTATTTATTAAAATTTGAGGAATTGTGTTGCACACACACATAACATATCACTTGAGTGCAAAAACATCTTTAAAAAAAAAAGCAAAAAACAAAAAAACATTGGCATTGACGTTAAGGCCAAATGAATATATACAAATATACTCATGTTATTTTTTTTCTCTTTTTTTTTTTTTTGCGTCATGAAAATATTGATCCCTGTTTTAATATTTTCCAAAAGAGGAACATTAATATGTTATCTAGTTTTTTTTTTTTTTTTCTTTTTTCTCTTTACATGTTTGGATACCCATTTTGCAACGTATATGTAGAGAGGTTCTCAATATGTTTGTTTTCATCTTTAACTTTGCACATTTAAGATAATGGTGTATACTTCACATATGTAGACAACAGACGAAGTTATACACAGGTGGATGTAAAATTGGGAAATTTTTTTTCAAATCATATGAAGCGAAAGATTTAAAAAAAAATAAAATAAAATAAAAAAGGATAAGACATCACACCAGTGTCATGTAATGTAAATTTCTCCTTCTCCCTAGAGCTTAACGTATGAGCTATCCCCTGAGAATTATCAATTGAGAAAAAAAAGAAAAGAAAAAAAAAAAGGTAAAAAAATATAAGAAATAAATAAATAATAGAAAAGAAGAAAGATAAAAAAATATAAAAAATAAATAAATAATAGAAAAGAAGAAAGATATAAAAAAAATAAAAGAAATAAATAAAAGAAAAGAAAAAAGATAAAAAAAAAAAAAAAAAAATAAATAAATAAATACTTCCATTTTTTTTCATCCTCCTATTTTTACTGCCTTCTTTTGGGAGAACAAATACTGACAAGGCATCAGTAAATAAGCGGAATGTGTATTTAACCTGGGAAAAGTGGAACCTTCAAATTGTACTTCTCTACAATGGAACTGGATTAAAATAAAAAAGAAAAATTAAACTGAATTGCAAGTTCAAATGTGATACAAATTGACCAAAACTGAGTCAAATTTGAGGTGAAAAAAAAAAAAAAAAAAAAAAAAAAAAAAAAATCAAAATTACCTCGGTATGAATCTTCCACCCAAGTAATGCTTTTTCCTGTAATTTCGAACTCCCTCTTTTGGTAGCATTAACGATATATTCATTTCTGAATTAACAGAAAGTCCATTTGTTGTGTTTCCTAATTTGTAAAGAATATAAATACATATATTTTTTTTTACATAGAACCCCTTTGGATAAATTTTACTGTTTCTTTTATTTTTATAATTTTCATTTACCATTGTCTACGTTAGTGCCTGAAGGTACATCAACTGAGACAACGGGTACTTTGCTCTCGTTAATCATCTATAGAAAAAGAACATACATTTTATTTTCTCTTCACATAAATATATAATATATACAGAGGGTTCCGTGTATGGGTACTCTTGGATTGTAAACATATGGCACAAAAAAAGGATGCGAAAAAAAAAAAAAAAAAAAAAAAAAAAAAAAAAAACGAGGGGCAAGTAAAAAAAGAACAAAAAAAAAAAAAAAAAAAAAAAAAAAAAAAGACAGATGGAGCGTACACAAAAGAGATAAAAAAATTACTTTAATTATTTCGTCAAACGGATTTCGCGGTTCTCCTTTGAAGCTAAAACCGAATAAGGCATCGACAACTAAGTCATAGTTCTTTACTTCTACAAATATGAAAGGAAATAGCATGTTTATATTTTTCTTACATTTTCCAATTTTTCCAAAACTGGCAAACGTTGTATATGTGTTTGTTTCTTTGTTTCTTTGTTTCTTTGATTCTTTGATTCTTTATTTCTGTGTTCACAGGTTAGGCTATTTCTTATGTGTGTCTCTTTGTTTGCGTGTGTGTGTGTGTAATTTAAACATGGGGGTTCATCTGCCACCATTCAATGAAGGGAAGCAATGAAGAGGTCCCTGTGGGGTTCCGACGTTGATGTATGCACACATACATATGTGTTTATATAGCTAAGTGCTTATAGATATACATTCACACATGTGTGTATATTTACTTAATCACGTGTTTACACACTTATTTTATACATTTCAACGCTCACCCTCTATTTTTGTGGACTTCATGACGTCTACATGGTAATGTTCCAGCAATTTTAGAAGCTTCTGTTTGGGAAGGGAAAAATAATGCCATAGTGGAAACCCCGTAAAAATTGCAATAAAAACGTATATGCTTAGAATATAAAGATACATAAAATTTAGAGTGATAGAAAGATGTTCACCTTAAATAATATTTTGTTATTTTCCTTTGGATAAACAACTCTAACTTCATAACCAAAATGCTTCAAATGACGTGCTGTGACTAAACCATCCCCTCCATTATTTCCTGGTCCACAAATTATAAGAACTTTTTTAAATTGATTGAAATTATATTCTTTATAAATTATTTGTGCTATAGAAAGCCCTGCTAATTCTATTAATTGTTCTGTTGTATATCCAACATTTTCGCTCATCAATTCGTTATCGATTTTTTGTGCTAGCGATTGGGATAAGTACTATCCAAAACGGAATTGTCCAAAAAAGGGAAAAAAAAAAAAAAAAAAAAAAATGTACTGTACTGTAGTCAAATAAAGGACATGTGAAAAAAAAAAAATATATAAAAAACTATGTCATGTATGCAAAGAAAAAAAAAAAAAAAATATATGTTGGTCTGTTTCAACGTCAAATCTTTTTTTGGATTAAGTGGGACTAACAGATACTTCCATTTTATTTGAATTCAAATCACATGTGTTAGAATGGTTATTTTTCCTTTCAAAGATTTTTGTCGTATTAATGCTAATTCTATTGGTTAGTTGAAATTTTATAATGTTAAGGAAACCTAAGAAATATATACTATTTCGAGACATAAATTGATTGGCAGCTCTTAAGGAAAGATCCTTCTTCATTTTCCTTTCTTGTCAATCTTGCAAAGGTGTTATAAACATATTGTATTCATCTAAGTTTCGACAACTTTTTGCACATATTTACACATGTTTGTAATGTTCAACAGCATGAGCGTGTACATAACACCATTATAAATTGCTAAACATTCTTAGTCCTTCAACAGGTGCACTCCATAAAAAAAAAAGGAAAAAGAAATATGACTTCCAGTTTAGTGTATGGATTATAAGTTAATTTCAACAATAAAATATTCCCTTCCATAAGTGTGTATAAGCGTGCAATAAAAAACATATTTATATTTTTATTCAACCATTCTATATAACTAACATTTTTCGAAAAACTACCATCACATAATTTAAATGTGAATTTATTATATGTATATATATATATTTTTTATATCCTTTATTTAAATAAAATGTTGAGAAAGAGGAGACAACTTTTTGTTGGAATTATTTCATGAATATGAATGCAGGAACTCATAAAAATACATCATGTGTTAACAGAAAAGAAACATTCTTTTTTTTTTTCTTTTTTTTTTTTTATCTACCTTTTTTCCTTTTCTTATTCTTTAATTTGGCTTGTATATACAAATATACATGTTTTTAATTAAACAACTTGTTTGGAGCAGTTATATGATATATCCGTATACACAACAATGCAAAATTAAAAAAAAAAAATTCCAAATTATCAGACAAATATAACGTTAAAAAAAAAAAAAAATAAATAAATAAAATAATTACATCCTTTATTTTATTTTTTTATTTTTATTTTATTTTTTTTTTTTATCTCATAAAAAAAAACTGTTTTATATATATAAATATGTATCAGGTTTCATAGATATATACAAAAGAATGTAAAAATGTATCCCTTCGTGGAATCATTCACTTATTCCAACTTGATGGAAAAAAAAAAAAAAAAAGTTTCATTAGAAATAGGGATCCAATAACTGTGGGATAAGAAAATTATTTCTTCTTTTTTTCTTCTTTCTGACCTAATATTCTCAGTAAATGTGTAAATAATCCTACTAGATCTAGGTACAAACAAATGGAATGCATCTATAAAGGTTCGGGAGAAAAAAAAAAAAAAAAAAAAAATGAACAACAGTTAGAATCATATAATAATATATCCCTAATAATGTGTAATAATTTATACACAATAATGACTATTCCCACATGTACAGCAGTAGTATTGTCACACATGATGTGCAAGACTGTAAACATAAATTTGCTAATCCAGTGGGAATTGTCACGTAAATGAATATACATTTATATATATATAAACCATATTAGTATATTGCGATTATATACATTAAGAATTTTTTTTTTTTTTTTTTTTTTAATTTCTTTTTTTTAAATTATTACTATGTAATCCTTGTTTCCTCTTCGAAAATCAAACAAGGTTATTTGGGTATCAAATAATACAAATCTGAAAGGGGGTGGGTGGGAATAAATAAAATAAAAAATAATATACATTTGCTTACACACGTTCTTGAAAAATTTGGAAAAATACTTATAATTTTTCATGTTATCTCCTAAACTTTTTATGAATATGTAAAACATCATATACTTGCATTTATATATTTTTCAAAATCTTACCCCATGTACATAAAAAATCCAACATACAACAGAGTAGTATCAATATATCTTGATCTTATAAAAAAGTTCATAAATGAAAGTAGGGCTACATATGAACATACGGCGCATAATATCGTTCCAAGAAATAGTGAAATCCTGAAATGGACAAAAAAAAAAAAAAAAAAAAATGAACAATGAGTAGGGGGGGTATTGTGGATATGGACAAATAAAAATGATTCAATGAAAACGTTGTCAACTGTATGTGAAAAACTCATTCATTCAACAGTTTATATTAGCATAGCACATACACATGAAACTGACATATGCTATATATATATATATATATATATATATATAACTACGCATGCATAGGGAGAATTCATCCCTTTCAAAAGGTATGTATATATATATATATATATATGTGGAAATGTACATAAAACATTTATTTGCTGATACAACAACCGTGCGTTCCTGTGTATTTACCTATTTTTTGAAAATATGGCCGACAAGGAGAAGCAAGAAAATATGGACAAACTTCCAAAAAATGCGAGGGGAAGAATAGAAGGGTTCAAGTAATTAACATATGCGATATAGTCACTCATTAAAATTCCAATAGATGATGATATACCAGCAAAATAAAGTAGCCTCTTTTTTGATGCCGCTGGTAAGCTGTTGCCATAATGAGAATAACTACATGATCCAGCTAGGGCAAAGGAACAAAATAAGCTAATCATAGATGCTATAAATCTCGGAATTTTCAAAAAATAAATATCAACATAGCAACTTAGGGCAGTGATCATTGTTCCTACAGCCAAAAGACCGTATATTTTAATTAAGTGATTCTTCTCTTCATTTGTTAAAGGTGAGAAATTCAAAATATTTGATAACTTCAATTCCTTTTGTCGTTTTCTTATTTGGTTCAGAAAATCCATTTTTATATATAGGAGGCGGTATGTTTTAAATGGATGAAAAAATATATTTATTAGTTCCAAAAAAAAAAAAAAACGCTTGGGTTTTGCGATGAGGTATTGTATGTTTCTAATTGGATAAGTAATACTTTTTGATATCTGTTAAAAGAAATAAACACTTCAGTCTAGTTCGTAAAATATCTGAAATTTGTTCAAATAAGAAAAACTCAATTTTGTTTTTTTCCCCCTTTTGCTGTTTTTATAAATACTTATTTTTTTGCTTTTTAAATGAAATATTTTTTTGAAAAAATATTCTCTATGCAGTTTTAAAATAAAAATTTCAAAAAAATTTGTGCACGCAAGGGAAAAAAAAAAAAAAAAAAAAAAAAAAAAAGGAAAGAAATGAAAAGAAAAGAAAAACAATTTCATAGGCAAATAAATGTGACACAAAAAAAAATTTCCTCAAAACATATTTGCATACAATTCAACATTTATACAAAAATATGCCCAACGAAATTATGTAATAATGCTATTATACCACTTACCATTGATACTTAAATGGAGGGTAGGGGGGGGATTATAATAAAAATATGCTTAATATAAATAAAATACGTAAGGACATTTTTCTTCCTTTTTTTTGATATTATTTTTACACTTCATGGAAAAAAAATAACACATTTGCTTGATAATCCCAAAAAAACAGTTGCAAAAAATGGGTTATATGATTATCACAAAAAAAAAAAAAAAAAAAAAAAAAAAAAGCCTAGCTTTTTACATGTGCATGTGGGATATTTTATTATCATTTTTTTTTTTTTTTTAAATTTTCTTCAAATTTACCTGAACATGTCAGAGCATTTTTTATGTATATATTGGTCCCATAATCTATTTGTAAATAAAATGAATAACTACATAACTTTTCCGCTTTCTGTTTTTTTTTTTTTTTTTTCACATTAAGTGAATATATAATATATAGCGCATTTACAAAATTTAAAAGATTTTGTTATTTAAATCGGTCAAAAAAGTGGAAAAAGGGGGGAAGATGTACGACTTTTAAATAAATTTTACTTATCATTTTATTATCTTTTTTTCCGTCTATTAAAAGGAGTAAAATAGACACATGTTAAGAAAAAAAAAAAAATAAATATAATTTTTTTTTTTTTTTTTATAAATTAATTAAATCGCACAACGATCATTCTTATTAGGGACACACACACCCAGTGTTTCTTACCAGTAAAGAAAACATTTTGAAAAAGCTGAATTGTTAAAGTGCTACTTATTTACAGTTTTAGATTCATGTAAAAGTAAATTCATAGAGAAATTACTACCACATATTTAGCAGCATATAAAATGTTTGTATTTGTGTGCCTACGCGCAGGTGAATAGAACGGATTGTATATATATATATATATATATATATATAAGGAGAGGTGTTGAATAGGCGTCTCTATTTTTTCTTTCTTTTTTTGTTTTATTTTGCTGTATTTTCTTTATTTCCGGTGTGTCCATTTCAAAGGGTTCTTATTATTGGCTGAATTCGTCATAAATCCTTCGATTTCATTTTGCGTTTCCATCCTTTTCCCCATTGAGCATCCTTTTAAACGTTTTGCAAATCAGTGCTGTTGAAATAGTAATCTTTTCTCATAACATGGTATCCATGAAATTATCTTAACATATCATTTATTTTATTTTATTTTTTTATTTTTTTTTTTTGCCTTACGTAAGTGAGGTCATAACAATGCTTAAATTTCTGTTACACTCTCTTTTAGTTCATTGTAGCTAAATGTTACAACATATTAAACGTAATTTAATAAACTATACCTTAAAACTAGTATGTTTTTTACGTGTTGGTACATGTGTGTGTTTTTACGTATAAAAATACACATAAGCGAATTCCCATATGGGTCCCTACAAATATGAATATTTTACTTTCATGGTTGCAAAAGGGATGTGTAGAAAAATGAAAAAATTGTGACATTAATTTCGTTGTATTAATTAAGAAAGAAATGATAACAACCAAAAAAAAGTTAAATATACGTATATGTACACATATGATTATCTAGTATAAACGAAGAAATAACCACATAGACAGATATAAACATGAAATAAATTAAGCAGGTTAAAAAATGTATTAATTAGACTTAAAATGATTTAAAAAAAAAAAAAAAAAAAATGCATGTAGTTAATCAGGTTGGTGTACACAACGGAAAGTATATCTAAGTTACAAATTTGGATAACTCAAAATGTGAGGGGGAAGAATCGGAATTATTTATAAGACGATTGTAGTAAAAGGGGATATATTAAATCTTAGCGTATATTGAATACACAGATAATATGTTCTTATATCAATTCGTGCTTTTTTGATTCTTCAGTATGGTTGCATATGGGCCATGGTTCCATAAGAGTAGTAATGTGTTCCATGTAAGCTTTTCTCAATATCTTCGGCCCGTTGAAAGGAAAAAATATTTCCACCAACTTGCAAAATTCTGTAAAAACTCCATACCAATTGTATAATGAAAAAAGCCACAGTAAACATAAATATATGAACAATCATTTCTAGTATCCCATAATATATAAGATAATTAAACATTATTTTTCTATGCCAATTAAAATTATCATAATACCACTGGACACTGTGAGAAGTACAAGTATTATATAGGCATACTAAACATTCAATTGCTTCCACTAAATAATTTATTATAACTATATTATATGCTATATAAGCTGTAAAGGCATTTTTGTGTATTACTGATATATATATAAGTATAGAACAAATACAATTAAAAATTGACATCACTATGAATAATGTTTCGTTGTAGTGTGACATATGTGTTAACATAAGAATAGACATCAATATCAAAAGTGTCGCGTAAATAATACTTGCTGTCCCTATGGAAAGACATAAAAACCTCTTCATAGTCCATCTTTTCATTCCTTGTGATCTAAACATTTTATCATCATGTTTCATGTATTATGCGCACGCTTCTGTGGTGGTGTGTACAAATATACACAAATGATTAAATATACACATGTATATATATATATATATGTATAAAAGACCCAAGAGGAATGACAAAATTTGCGTGTATCATTAGTACTCCTGAAGAAAAAAATAAATAAATAAAATAATAAAAAGTATAAAGTGAGCAGAGCGTCATATATGGGAGAAGTTGGCTGCAAGTAATCTAATGCAAGGCGTACAATAGATGCAGAAATGGAAAAAACAAACAAACATATATATATATATATATATACACGCATGTGTGTGTGAAAACGGTGTACATAGAACTGCGAAAAATGAATAGGCACTAAGCACATTTCACGACAGCTTGGTACGCCCACAACAGGGTTGTGCATGTATTTTGTTCATAATTGCTATACCATTTTTCTTTTTTCTTTTTTTTTTCTGAAAAGGAATATTATTTTCATGTTACTTCGTCTTGTCTTCACCCACTTCACCAATTTCGTGTCGTAGCCACAGCATTCATTATTTTATTTTTTTTTTCTTTTCTTTTTGTTTCGTTTTTGCCGTGGAATAATTATCTTCTATTTTTTTTTTTTTTTTTTTTTTTTTTTTTTTACCAAAGAATAATTCTGTAATAAGTACCTGAACAGTTCATACTAAAGAAATCTTTCACGTGTTAACACTTTCCATTTGTCTTCATTTTTGTTTCTTAATTTAGCGTAGCAAAGATTCAAATTTATTTTTTATTATATCGATAAAAGGATAAAAAAAAAAAAAAAAAAAAAATGTCCAACAGACGAAAGAATCGAATAAAGTCCTAAGTATTTCTATTATTTCAATTTGTTACAAATGTTTCCACGTATCCATAATATATATATGTGTACATATATATACATATCTGCTTTAAAGTGCAATACTGTCCATTTGTACGCACGCAGCTATTTTTCATGCGGGGAGGAAGGGTAAGCAGAAGAAGTGAACTTTTTCTACATGCATATGTATACATACACATGCACTTAAATAAGAGTGTTTTGGACATACAACTTTTAACAGTTCTCTTTGAGGGGGGGAAAGGAAAAAAAATAAATAAAATAAAATAAAGAATGATAAATGAAGAAATTTTTAACATAACTACAACTTGACGTGTTACATTTAAAAATGTATTTAAAAATCAGTTGCACAATTTTTAATTACTATTTTGCGGATTGTAGAGGGGGTAACTTTTAATACAACACAGTGATGCGTGGAATTATGGAAAATAAAGCAAAAAAAAAAAAAAAAAAAAAAAAAAAAAAAATATTATATGATAATAGGACTTGTAGCAGTAATTTTTATATGTCATAGTGATAATGACTTATTTTTTTGGCAAATTTTACCTCAAAATGGATACATGTGACACATAGCCACCTTGCACATATTTCTCTTGCAGGAAGTCATTTTTAAGTGAGAAATTTTTTTTTTTATTGTGAGTCATATGAATAAGACATTTTATTATTTTATGCAGTAGAAGAGAGCACTAAGAGCAAATTACATTCTTTACGTCAATAATTAGACTCATTTTGGTTTTATTTTACCACCCCTTCAAACTAACCGTGCAACAAAAATTCGTTAAACACACTAAAAACAACAAAATTTACACTTACAGTTAGCTAAGGCACATTCCTATAATATTACATTCCTAGTTTTTTTTTGTAAAAAAATTGGACATCAATTATGTATTCTTGCAATTTCATCCCTTAGACTCAGTTGAAGAAGACATGTTAAAAAAAGAGCCGCAATTTTCAAAATGGAAAAGGAAAAATTGCTATATGAAAAATTTTATCCTGCATATAATGCTTACAGATTTCATTTCAGTCGATTGTGTGACAAAAAAAAAAACATTGAATCAATTATAGGAGACAAAAAAGTGAAAAATTGTCACCATATGATTGTAGTTAGTAGTTATTTCTCAATGAAAAAAATGAGTGCAAAAGATACTACTCAAAAAATGAGAGGAGGAGACAGCCCTCAAAAAACGAATAGTTTGTGCTTATCAGGAAGAGAAAAAAGGTTATTTGTTTCTTTTATTTTTTTATGGAACCAAAAGGAGCCAAATGAAAAAACAAACTTCTTATCTCAACTTTTCACAACTGCAATTATTCAAACTTTCGAATTTTACCATATTAAATTCAACATAGAAGGAACAAACAATATGTCAAATGGGGATACAAAAATTGTTGGCTGTCTTGTTGATGTTCATTTTGTAAAAATGAATAGTCTAGTCACCCCTAGAATTTGCATATCATCATTTGGCCATAATCATTCTGTCTTCATGGTGACGAACATAAGTATTGATTCTGAATTGCTACGTGCAAAAAATGATATGATAAATGGAATACACTCGAAAGAGAGCAATCCTGAATCTTATAAGAAAAATCTAGTACACGATATTAACTATCAAGATACAGAAGAAACGATGGTAGAAAACGTTATTGACAAATTAATAGAAAAATTTTACTCAGTTATGAACACATTGGTCACTAATGAGTCCTCGTCATTGCTGGGCATAGGCAAAATTAAGCCCTGCACAAGGATATAGAAAAAAAAAAAAGGAGAACACAAATGATAATAATACTGACAATAATAATAGTAAGATAATAATACTGACAATAATAATAGTAAGATAATAATACTGACAATAATAATAGTAAGATAATAATACTGACAATAATAATAGTAAGATAATAATAGTAATAATAATAATAGTAAGATAATAATAGTAATAATAATAATAGTAATAATAATAATAACCTTAGCCGTACCCTTAACGTTAGCAGCAATATCAACAGTAACATTAACACAAACATTAGTGTGCCATATAAAAAGCTGGGTGGGTAATAAACGGGTGTTTAAAATGATTACCATATACTACTTCGTTGAAATGAATCTAATAATAGCGCCTAAGTGTGAGGACACGTCGTGCTTGTTTTCTTGTGAATAATAATGGATTTACAATTTAGAACGGAATCAGGATTCATCTTAGTATGAACAGAGAATATGAATATATGATGTCCCCTCACACCCAATTAGTCAATTGGGAAAATATCTCATTTTAATTTCCTCCTCAAGGGAAGATTTATCAGATAATCTGTGCATTATTATACGTATTCCTCGTTTGCACGAATATGTGAAAATTTGCACCTTAATTAAATATTTTCAAAAACATGAATTTATTCCTTTTATCCGTTTTAGTTCGATTATCAGTGTGTCTCCTTTCCAAAAAAAAAAAATCTAAACCACAGCTGTCATACAATTTTTAGGAATAAGAAAAACCGTAAAGTGGATCGACATCATGTAACTATATTTACCCTAATCAGAATATTAATCACTTTTCAAAACAAATACTACAAGTACATATGCATTACTCTCCTTTTATCCTTCCTTATGCACCATATGTTAATTCTTTTTTAACACGGATTAAATGAAATTTATCATTTTGGTTTGTGTAAACAAGTGGGAGAACAACAGAACTAGAAATGTTAGGAAAAAATATCAAAAAGTGAATGTGTACACATATAAGTTGAACAATTTTTTTTTTTTTTTTTTTTTCTTAATTTACCCTTTTCCCAAAATAACATTCTTTTCCTTACCATCCTTCTAATATCTACTGCTAGAATGGAAGGTTTCATATGCGTGACGCACAATTTTTAAATGAGATATAACATTCTGAGACATTTTTTCACTTGTCTTCTCATTTTTCTCATTGCTCTGAACACAAGCGCCCATTCGCACAGTGTGTAAAAGAAAAAAACAAAATTGCCATGATGTCATAAAATAGAGAAGAACCTACATTGTTTTAAATATACACATTATTTTTCTGCATATGCATATAGATTTTAAGCCAGCTTTGTAATAATACTACTAGAAAATTAGGAAGTGTTACTAAGGTGGTGTTTACATGCTGCTAACCAGGGTTAAGCATTTATTTCATTTATTGTTTCATTTATTACTTCATTTATTACTTCATTTATTACTTCATTTATTACTTCATTTATTGTTTCATTTATTACTTCATTTATTGTTTCATTTATTACTTTATTTATTACTTCATTTATTACTGCATTTATTTATTTTTACTTATCTATTTCGTTTATCCATTTCATTCGCCTATTTCTTTATTCATTTTGTTTTTCCCACTTGGCCCCAAACATCTATGCATCATGCAAATAAGCAAAACAAAGCTGAAGTTGCAAAAAAGAAATGTTATTTTATGCTTCTTTTTCATCTTGCAATAATTTTAACGAAAAAGAAAAATGGGCAATTTAAAAAAAAAAATCATAATAATCGTAATGTAACAAAAAAAAAAAAAAAAAAAAAAAAAAAAAAACATTTTGGGCATTTTCTCTCCTTGCCAAAAAGGCTGAAAAAGCGTGCCAAACTTTTGATTCATAAGCCTCATTGAAGAGGTGCATAACATTGCCACATACACATAAATATGTACATAGGTATATATATATATATATATATTAATGTAAGGCTATCTTTAATATTTATTAAACAACTGATGTGCAGCAAAGCAAAAGTATAAAAAAAAAAAAATTGCTTTTTGCGTTTAGCATATCTGTTTCTTCACCCAAGTGTAAATAATGACATCATTCTCAAATAATTTGTCAGCATCCTATAACTGCAAACAAAATTTACATATCACGTTATTTTGTACGTGCCACACTTGTATACAAGAGCATGTTTATATATGCTAATTATAATAAATAAAAAAAAAAAAAAGAAAAAAATTGAAAAACTCATAAAATTTGAAATTATTTATATAATCTTCGCGAATAAATAGAACGAAAAAGCAACATGTCATTTTTACGAAAAATTTAATGAATTTTAATTCTAAACTATATTTAAAATTTAAGTTTTAAAATTTAGCAATTAATATTTAGCGTGTCGCAAGCATGATATAACACCATAGCATATTGCACATGTATATATATGTATATATACACGCATATATGTAACGTGCATATATGTAACGTGCATATATGTAACAAGCATATATGTAACAAGCATATATATAACATGAATATATGTGACATATATATGTACAGCTCTGCTGTTAGAGTGTGACAAACACCTTACTATGGCATAGTAACACAACATTACAGAGTATAACTTCCCCTTATTTCAGTTTTAGATAATTAAAATATGCCTATATTATATATTTATTATATATACTTATAGTAAATTTCTCTGGCAATAAATATTTTTGCAACCTCTAGGGTGTCCCTGTAGATATATTTTTGTTAAAATTCCATGACCCATCCTGTCGCTAAAAAAAAAAAAAAAAAAGAATAACGAAAAATAACCGAAATAATATATGGGCCATTATACAGAAAACGATTTTTACCTTAGCAAGTCAGCAACTCCCAATGGGATTGCAGAAAATAATGAAAATGAGAAGAAATGCTTATGGGTTCCGGATGAGGAGGTGACGAATTGCTACAGCTGTAATGTTTTTTTTAATGTAAGGGTGAGAAAACACCATTGTAGAGCTTGTGGAAATGTGTTTTGTTCTAATTGTTCAGACAATAAAATAAAAATTAGCGAATATAGTTATGCAGAAAAGGTTCGAGTCTGCGATAGGTGTTTTATGGAAAGATCTTCTCCTCAAACTTTTCTGTTACAAGAAGATTTAGGAGCAAGGAAACAAATAAATCAAGATTTGAAGAAAGCATTAAGTGAAAAAATGGCTATAGTAGAAAGATTCAAAACATTTTTAATAGAATTTGACAGTGAAATATTAAATAATAGTGGCAGTGCAGAGAATACAAATGATGTCATGTCTTTATTAAAGAGAGGAGAAAAAGGATTGAAAGATCTAAATGATAAAATAAAAAATTATGATTGTATTATTGAAAATCAAAAAAAAGAACTAGAACTATTAAAAAGGGAAAAGGAACAAAAAACAGAACTTAACAAAATATTACATTTAAGAAATTATGAAATCCAACAAAAAAACATGAACATTAAAAATCTTGTCAAAGAAAAAAATGAATTGACATTAGTAAAAGAAGAATCCGAAGGTATTATCCATTCGTATAAAAAACAAGTTCAAAAACTAATCATAAGATGTAACCAATTGGAATTAGAGAAGAAAAGAAATAATTTGGCAGATCAAACTAGCAATTATTCTTTTACAAACACCAGTTCACAGTCATATATGATGAATTCATATAGATTTCCCTCAAACGAGATGAGCGTCTCATATACAGTTGCTCAGGGCCCTTCGGATGACCTTGAGGACGAAACTTGTTGTAGATACTGCCAAAGGAGGATGTGTTCCATTATGTGAGGTCTCCAAATTAAGGGAAGCAGTAGGGAACTGTAGATAATTCGATGCTTCCCCGAGCTTATTCATTTTCTCCCCTATTTGCTAACCATGTGTATATACATACATGCGGTGTTGTAAACATGAAACGGTTGTACTAGTGTATACACTTTTTTTTTGGTTTTTATTCCTCCATGCCCTGTCACGCATGCACAGGTGTAATTCTAATATAATAGATTTTATGATTATTTTTTTTTTTTTTTTTTCCATCCATATCCTATTCTGTACTTAGCTGTATTTACCTGAACACTTTATTTTTTAACAGTTCATTTGGTTTTACAAGCTGATAGCAGCTTTTTCATGACCACAGAATACACTTATTGGTCACAATCTTTTGCATCATTTGATTACTGTGCAATGTGTTTAAATTTTCTTAATTAAATATGTTGCATATTTGTTTGTGTTTTGATATTTACACCCATAAATAACTATATATAGTCTCCTTTAATTTGTATTATACGTTGTTTCATTTATTTATTATTTTTTTTTTTTTTTTCTAAATTATGTATATTTGTATGAAACATTATGTTTTTTTTTTTTTTTTTTCCTAGCCATTTGAAGCTTTTTTCCGGTGTACGATTTCTACAACGATTTTTTTTATTTTTAAACATTATTAGATCCGTTTTATTTATCGCATAGTAATGATGTAGTATAATTTTTCTTTTTCTTTTTTTCTCCCCTGTCTCCTCTTTCTTCATCTTGTGTATTTTTTCCTATTTTTAATAAATTCGCATATTTGTTTTTATTATTATCCCATTGTTGAATGCACAACTTTTTAATTTTCACAACCGTGAAGACAACAAGCCATTTTTTTTTTTTTTTTTTTTTTTTTTTTTCTTGTTTGATATAACTCCATATAGCAGTGAGAATAAAAACGAATCATATGCAAATGTATGTGTTCTAACTTGATATCAGCATTTGTAAAATTTTTATACATTTTATAGAATTATTTGTCGATAGGAAAATTGGGAAATCTTTGCTGGCAATTGGGGACGCTGCAAGGTTCTCTAAAGTATGTAAAATATGCAAATGCTGCAAAATCTGCAACGGCTGCAAAATCTGCACTGCTTCAAAATCTGCAACGGATGCAAAATTCCACTGTGGAACAGTTGAAATTAAGAAAAAAGCAATTCCTGCACGCGGGGTCCCATGATCCGGCCGTAATCATTACTCGTTCTAATATGAATACCCTTTTTAATATTACTCCTTTTCTTCCTTTTATTTTTATAATCTACAAATTTTGAATGACCAAACAGTGTTGTCATCAGTTGGTGTAACTTTCATTAAAAAGTAGTGAAAAATAAAAAAAAAAAAAAAAAATTACAACGCCAAAAGAGAAGAAGTAGAAGAGCAAATATGAGTTATGCCTCGAACCAAAGCAACCTTAAGGACCAAGATGCATTTCACAGCGCATACTCAAAGGAGAGTAAAGAATGCACAAACATTTACTTCAGAAAAAATGAAAGCAGAAAAATATTAACATGGAATAAATTGAATGGATCACCAAATTGTGCCAAGACAAATTATAAAAAGATGAACGAAAACGATTCGGATCATGTGAATGGTTCAGTTCATAGAACAGGTTATTGGAATGATGAAAAAGTTGTGTGTTTTCCTAGACGCACCGGAGCTGCATCTGTGTTATATAAAAACCATATATACATATTTGGAGGATATAGATCAGAAAAAAGACTTAACGATTTTTACAAATATAACATTACAGAAAATCAGTGGACTCAATTAGATAATAAGAATTGTCCATCGAAAAGAGAAAATAACCCTGCCTTTTTATTTAAAGATAAAATGTATATATTAGGTGGTTATCAAGGAAATGAAATATGGTTAAATGATTTTTATTCCTTCGATTTTAATACAGAAAAATGGGAATTAGTTCATGTTAAGAAGGAAAGTATTATATATTCACCCCCATCATTATTTGGATTTGCTATATCTGTTGATCAATTCAAAGGTGTCGTCTACCTTTTTGGTGGGTATGATGGAAAAACTGTACATAATAAAATGTATGCGTTTGATTTAGATGCAGAAAAATGGATTCATATACAACAAAGTGGTGATGTACCAAGCCCAAGATCATGCGCCATTGGACACATATCTGATGGATACTTTTACCTTTTTGGAGGATATAATGGAGAGTATGGATTAAATATTTTTTACCAATATCATTTAGATACAGGTATTTGGACAAGAATGAAATATAATATGAATGATAATATAAAACATTTTAGAAATACTAAAGAAAAGGAAAAAAGGGATAATGATCAACTGAAGGAGAAATCATGTGATGATGAAATTTCAAAGGATGAAAAAAAATTAACAGAATCATTTTATCATCATAAAGCTATACCTATGGCTAGATATTTTATGGGATCTTTTCTACATAATAAATCTATATACATATTAGGAGGATATAATGGCCTAAAATCAGAAAGATTAAATGATTTGTACAAATTTGACATACATAAAAGAATATGGTTTAACATCTCAACATGTAATAATTTCACAAAAAGAAGTAGTATGAACACACATTTTTATAAAAATGCTATTTACTGTATTGCTGGATTTGACGGAAAAAACTCCCTCAATGATGTATACGCTTTAAAACTAGATGAAGTCTACATCGAACCACCTTCCCTCATACAATACTACAAAATCATGGTTAATAATTATAGATATGCTGATGTCATTTTTGTCTTACAAAATAAGTATATCTATGGATGTTCCTGTATTTTGCTGGCTAGGTGCCCCAGCTTTAAGTCTCTATTCGATTTGTGGGTTCCCGGTTCCGGACCGATTGGTGAGAAAGGGGAGACCAGAAAAACTGCTAGGGAATGTGCTCTGAGGGAATCATTCACAGAAGAGCTTTTCCAAAATGGGAATTCGCAAAATGGGCTTACACAAAACGGGTTAACACAAAACGGGCTTACACAAAACGGGCTTACACAAATTGAGTTCCCACCAAGTGACGAAGTAACAAACGAATTTTCAAATTTTATGGTAATCCCAATTTACGACACACATTACGATATATTTTTAATAGTAATAAATTACCTGTACACAGATGAGCTATCTATGAATTATTCACTTGACACCTACATGCATATTGTGTTGTACGCCTATAAATATGGTATTTTCAGACTAATGCAGTTATGCGAACGTTCCATTGGTTATTATGTAAATGAAACAAATGTAATGGACATTCTCATATTGAGCTACAGAATCAGTTGTAAACAATTATGTATATCTTGTATCGATTTTATAATTAATAATAAATTACTTGACGAGGCAAAAATTAATAGACTCACTTTGGAGCCTTATTTATTGGGTGAAATTTACAAAAAGTGGATTTTCAACTGATTTTGCATCCAATATTTTCATTCATTCTATTTACAAACAACATGAACCTCTCCAATTTACATTATTAAATAAATACAAAATAATTACATGCGGTCATTATTTCAGTTACATATCCTCTATCGGATGTTAGAACAAGTGCTGTCAGCTCTCATACTGGTTGTGGTGTATATATCAAAAAAAAAAAAAAAAAAATGTATTTCTGTTCTATGAGAAGTATAACACCTATTTCAGTGGATGAAAATGAGAACGAAGTGGGTCAAATATATGAACATCAAGTGTACCATATATGTATATACATTATATTCACATGAACAGCCTTGGACAGATCAATTTTGGGGGAAAAGAAAAGACTTTAAAAAAAAAAAAAAAAAAAAAAATGATATAATGTTACTACGGAAAGGGTTTTTTAAAAAACTATTTACACAAAAAAAAAAAAAAAAAAAAAAAATTCCAATGCACATGTATACCTTTACGATCCGTTAAAACATTTAGGAAGAGGGGGCCTGTAGGTGTACTTATCTGCTATAACTAAATCATTTTGTGCATTAGTCCCTAACTGTTCATCCACTATGGTATCATCTAATGTGATATCCGCAATTTTATGACTTATTTTAACATGCGGAAAGGAATATTTCCATTCTCCATTTACTACACCCTTTGTTGATATGTTACTTCTTATTTTCTTTTCATTTATATAAAGATCACCAATTATTTTTCCTCTAAAGGGTCTCATACTATACTTGATATATTTCAAGTAAAAATAAATATTATTTTTTGATTGTCTATCTACAATATAGTGGAAGTTATTTATTATTATAACTTTTTGTTTTTTTTGTTCGTTGTTTGTACCTTCTTCATGGAATATCACTTTCTCTTCTGCTGAATCCACCTCATCGTTTTTCTCCGTATGGTTACTTTTCATAATAAATTTATGACTGTTCAGGTAAATCGGATTCCAAAAAAGGCAATTAACCCCATTAAATGGTAACGTATGACAAGTCTCAAACAAGTTTTTCTTGTCTGGGGGTTTAAGAACAAATTCAGAAAAGAATTTTATATTTAACTCTTCAGATTTAATCCATCTTTTTTGATGAGTATGCCACGGGTACTTATCAACGCATGGCCAAAAAGCTTGTCGAGTTCTCGAATCACGCGCTCTATATGGAGATTTGTACATGCGAAAATATGGGTACATGATGTTTTTATGTTTATATTGCCTCCTATTGGGTGTGCCAATGGCACTCTTTATCCACACATGTACTCTCTTACTTTCATCTTTGTTTATTTTGATTGACATGTTGCATTTATAAGTTTTTAATGATGGGGTTGAATTCCTTATTCTAAAGTGATGTCTCCTCTCTGTACAGTCATACGTACCTACATGTCATTTTTTTATGAAAACCTTCAAAAAAATATCTTTGTTAATACTTCACCTAGTTTATTAGCACACACAATAAATAGGTTAGTTCGCATCCCTTCAATAATGATTGCAAAAATGGGATGTAAGAAAAAAAAAAAAAAAAATAGCCACTTTTCTTTATGAACAACAAAAAAAAAAAAAAAAATAAAATAAAAATAAAACAACAACGTAACACAAACAATATGTCTCTAATTGAAAAAAAAATTTGAATCTAAAAAAAAAGATAAAAGCATTTAAGAGTTCACTGGGTGTAGAAAATTCTGTAACAATTTTAACATCTTTTGGCGTACTATTTTCTTCCTATTCGTAAATATCCACTTTGCTGACAATACATTTGTGAATATGTTGTATTCAAGGCTGTATGTGTAAATAATCACCTGAACTTTCACGATAAAAATAGAATTTTTTTTTTTTTTTTTTTTTTTGGTAGCTAACTATGTTCATAACTAGGCCTTTCTAATAACATACCGCTCATTTGTAGTATAAAAATAAAAGGGAACCCCCTCAAACATTTCGGTGTACTCTTAGAAATGCACAAAAAATGTTAAGCACAGTGTATGATGTAAGGAAAGAACATTCTTCTAAAAAGTAAACACATAATAATTGAAATAGTCATAGCAGCTATTTAAGAAATAATGAACTTACAAAAATATTTTTCGATTCATAATAAAACAAAATAGCATTTTATTTGGAATTCTTATATGAACATCTTCCATTTTGTTACTTTTTTTTTTTTTTTTTTTTTTCATTTTTGGTACACAGTAGAATATACACAACAACGCTCTATATATATCCCCCAACGGACGAAGGTAAAAAGTAAAGTCTGATTTGTCTACATAATGAAAAATACGAATTTTTTTTATAGCACCCTCGAAATTTTTTAACTACCACTTTGGTATTTTAAAGGATCGAACAATATGTAGCCTTATGGGGACATAGTAAAAAAAAAAATGAAAAAATATATATACAAGAATATTTAGTAGAGTCTGTTATGAGACGAAAGCGTGTTAGGCAAAAATGTATACCATTTAAGAAGGTTGTGCAAAATGTATTTTTTTTTTTTTTCTTAATATTGGAACAATATGATGTAATCAAGGAAGAATGCAGATGAATTTTTTATAATTATTCTTTGCCATATAAAACAGAAGCAGAGGGGAGAAAATTATCGAACTAAATGATAATTTTTTTTTTTATTCTATTGAATGTTGTACAAGTATAAAGTGACGGGGAATGCTTTTTTTTTTTTTTTTTTTTTTTGTTACATTTAACGAGCACATTAAACGTTTTTACATATATGTAATGTAAAAGTAGGAGGTACTATAAATAGAGTATGTGTTGGTAGGGGGGGGGGGGGGAGTTAGAAATTACTGCTAATGTTTTTGGACTCCTATATAAATATTAGTATAGGAGCGTAAATTCAATGTAAATTTTTGCAAGAGATGAATTTCCGTACTTTTTGCATCATAGGTGGATAGTAAAATTTCCATATGTTTGTATATATTTGTTTTCATATGGTCGATTATCATTCCATTGTTCCCTTAGATCTATTAGTGTTTCGTCATTTATGAAAACGGATTTAACACACAGTTATGCAATAGGCATACATAATGGGCATATATACATACGCATATAGCACACGTAATACATATATCCATACACATGTAACTTTGCTCATATAAACCATTTCATAGCTGTTCGAATATAAGGATAAAATGGGAGAAAAAAAAAAAAAAAAAATGTACATAAATGTACATAATTTTGAAATAGTAAAAAATTTAAAAGGGTAACAATTTCACGGACAAGAATGAAATTATATTATATCCATGGATATTTTTCTCTTAGTTCTTCTTTTCTTGTTTCTGTTTCATTTTTAATTCCTTCTTTTTTTTCAAAATTCCCTTTAAGCAGTATCTTTGGTTTTTGAAAAATTTGGGGTCCAACTGGGAATGGTGCGAAGAGGGGGGCAGATGAAATGTATATAAAATGTATGTCACTTGTTGGCAATAAATGTATATAACATAAAACAGGGCATTTTCAAGTGCTAGTATCGGAACCTTGAAATGCCAAGCAAATTCTTACAACGCAGAATGACATAAAATACACATTGGCAAATGCAACTGTGGTTTAAAATCGACATACACATATATATATATGTAACACTCCACTTGAAGCTTTCTTAACGTGACAAAATTTACACTTCCTCAAAAAGGATACATAATGTATGTTATATACGTAAGAGAATATAATAAAATGTGTATATTGCTGCGTACCCCTTTACGAGACATAAACTTGTGCTTCTTAGGTTTCTTAATTCCATTTTTATGAGCCTTCCTATTCTGTAAGTTAAAAATAAAGTACATATAAAGTAAAATATATTAAAAGTTACAAAAAGGTTAAATTAAAAAAAAAAGAAGTAGATACACAGAAGAAAAAAAAAAAAAAAAAAACATCGTATGGTGTTTTCCATCACCCATACTAGATTTGTATATATCAAAACTTGTAAAACATTTTGTCGAAATAAAGTAATAAAACATGGTATGTAACTTATATGTAACTACTTAATTGTGAAAACGTGACATTATATGGGGGTTGGGACACGTAACAAATACACTGAATAATTGTAAAACAAGTACAAAATGAAGCATAATGAAAATAATTTAAAAGGAGCAACAGGTACATTCAAACTTACTTGATTATGATTCGTGTGGTTCTTTGACTTTGCCATGTTAGTATTTTTTTTTTTTTTTTTCTATCTTTATACTTCACAAATGGTATGTATATATATACATAAATAATGTATATAGGAATATGTACAAAAAATGAATACACTTGTTTTATTTGCAGGATTTCTTGTAAAAAAAAAATTCTTTGGTTTTTTGAAAAGCTTAAAAGTATATTTCAAAGAAATATTTTCCCAAAAAATATTTTATATTCCCCTTTAAAACTTTTCTCAAATGTAAAATCTGTTGAGTGGTTGGGTGATAAGCTAGATGAATGCACGAACAAAAAAAAAAAAAAAAAAAAAAAAAAAAAAAATTTTTAAAATGAGTTATTCCCCTTCTAAACATATTCTTTTTTTTGAAAGATTGAAATGGAGGCGCATACTTCCTATACTCATGCGTGTATATAATGCAACATGAATCAAAAATAAGAAGGCGAAAGTGTTATATGAATTATACAGATATGTCGATTACATTATCTGGAAAAAATATGTGATAAAAATGCATACATACATGAATATGATGGAATATTATTATACACGATATAGGAGATCGGGCACAAAATATTGCAGAGCAAAAAAAAAAAAAAAAATATAACTGGAAAAACGATCCGCAAAATAAAAAATATAAGTTCACCTTTTCTCCTCCGTTTTGCACTTTAATCCCTTGTCCCAATAAGATCATGCCAGTATAGTCAATTTTATGGAAATTTATAAAAATACGGAAAAAAAAAAAAAAAAAAAAAAAATGTTTGTTTAACTCACTTAAACCACATACTCTTTACAATTTAATTAAAAATGTTGATACACATTTTTTTTATGTTCTTACCAGTTTTTTGTTCTGCACCATTTATTATGTGATTTTTTGCTGGCACATGTTTACCATATAATTATGATATAAATTTTGTGTTGATATGATTAAGAAAACAAGTTTTATAAATTGAAAAATTGTAGAAAATAGAAAAAAAAAAAAAAAAAAAAAAGTGTCATATGTAAAGGTGTAAAAATTAATGTAAATGTGAGCTCCATTTTTTTTTTTTTTTTTCTTTTTCCATGTCCAGATATTTCTGACGTCCCTAGTGGGAAAGAAAATAAATTCATTTTCTTGAATAAACGTGGAAAACCTGTTATTTATAAAAGAGTTAATATATATATTTGCAAAATATATGAACATCAATAGAGTGTGAAGAGTGAAAATATATAAATGTCAGTTACATCCCCTAAGTGAGAGAAAAACACCTCACTACAAAAATCGTTAGATACGAGAAAATACTTGATCTTCGCAAAAAAATGTTGAGTAAAAATATATGGGTTCCTATCGAATCCAACCCGGAGTCATTGTACCTATACTCATGTAAACTTGGACAGTCGAAGTTAACATTTCAGGACATTTATGGATTTAATAAGGACCTATTAGATATGGTTAGCTCCCCATCTTTAGATTCATATCAGAATGTCAATAAAACTCTGATAAAGGGTTATTCAAATATAGTAGACGGAAAATAAGGAAAAAAAAAAAAAAAAAAAAAAAAGTTCTGTCCATAATTAAGTGTACTTATGGTGCGTATCTACATATGTATTTACATCATTGTGTGTGTATATCCAAGAGGTTGATAAAGCTGAATTGGGAATGGGTATAATTTTCGAACCCTCACCTATGTCATCATAATACTTGACAACATTGTAATATTACTCCTTACGTTAATGTTTCACATATTCCTAATTCTTGGCAGATTCCGCAACCTATTCACGCAATAATGCTTTTGTACCCTCTTAAAGAAAGTGAAGTAGGTATTGATTTGCACATATATCTATATACTACTATGCATGTATAGATATGTGTATCCCAATATGGAATTATTTTATTTTATTTATTTATATATTTTATTTTATTTATTTATTTTATTCTATTAATTTTATTTTTTTTTTTTGTCGTGCACTGGATTTCTAAGACTACTGAAAACAGGTCAACCGATGAAAATGTAGAACAAAATTTTGAAAACATATGGTTCATAAAACAGGTAAACATTGGCTACTATCCTGTAAAGATCTAAAAACTCCTTACATCTGTACGTATATATGTATGCTTGTGAAAGCATGTCTATGTAAACACGTACGTTCATTTGACCTTCCAACTATATGTGAATTCGCATTTTTTTTTTTTTTTTTCTCCTTTTTTATTATCACTTTAAATAATAAGATCGTTCCTAATTCCTGCGGAACGATTGCTCTTCTCCACGTGTACGGAAATTTAAAAAACAAATTTCAGTTAGGTAAATATGAGTAATTGTGAAAGATGTATTTTGTATATATATGATATTTCTTTTCCTCACCAGATAAAATTTTTTTGCAGAAAATGAATATTCATTTATATATATTTTTATCCTATCTTTTAAGACAAGGATTCAATCTTAGACAACTTTTTCGACAAAGTGAAGGACTTGTCACCTGAAAAACGAGCACAGGTAATGCTTCTCCTTTTTTTTTTTTTTTCCCTCTTTTCTTAGCACCTTTACGTTTAGCACCTGTTGCATTATGTTGTTCTCATTTCTTAGCGCATAATCTGTAGCACAAAAAATGTAGCACTCAATTTGTAGCGCATAATTTGCACAACCGCCCCCACACCTTACCATCTACTTTTTGCCAGGAATTCGAAATGAACAAGAGCATCGAACTACTTCACCACGAATTTTCAGGAAGTTTTTCTGGCTCAAGGGATGATATAGATGTAAGGAAAAACGTTTTTTTTTTTTTTTTTTTTTATTATAGAGAACACACACGATAGAAATAATATCACACATATCAACATTAACATAAATGTTTGCATGATGGAACAAAAAAAAGAAGAAAAAAAAAAAAAAAAAAAAAAACATCATTGCTGTTCCTTTCTTGATTTAGATTGACACCCATTTCATTGTTTTTCTGGAAATTAACGGAAAACTAGTTGAATTGGTAACCTCCTAAATTTAGTTTTCTTTTACTTTAGACACAGTCAACATGTCATAATACAATGAAACGAACGTTTGTAAATTCTCCTATTTTATTTTTTTTTTGTATGAAGGATGGACGAAAAGATCAACCCGTAATTCATGGCTTGACAACAGCAGCCACTTTTAAATACGTAATAAATTGCCTGTCTCGTGCATACAAAATATGCATATATATATATATTTATATATAAACATACGCAAGCGTACACACGTGTATGCAATTACGCTAATTTATTTCATAAGATACGCACACCACACCATTTTCAATTTATATTTCCATTTCAGGACACGGGAAATGTAATACAAAAAAAGTTCATAGAGAAATGTAAAGACGACAACAGATTTTCAGCCTTAGCAATAGTATCAAGTGATAGTGTATAAAAAATTTTTATCATATGATATGACATTATATTTGGAGTCTACACATACATATCCCCACCCTCCATATACAATTCTCTGTGTATATTAAATCTTTGCACCGTAGCCAATTGATGTGCATGTATATATATATACATACGTGTTAATGTAGGGCGAATTTCCTGCACATTTTGTGCATATTTGTGTAGTCTCTCTTTGCAAAATTTTTAGATCCTTATTTTTGCACTTTTGTATGTATCCCCAAACCCTAATTTTTTTTTTTTTTTTCCTTTTTTTAGCTGTCGTATTAAATGTAGGTGCTTTATTAGCTTTCTTTTTTTTTTTTATACATGAATGCATATTTATTGATAATTTTACACCTTTGAATTTTTACTCCTTTTGCATTTTTACAATATGTCAGAAGAAATGTTTGTTAAGGAAGGAACTTCTTAACAACAATGCATGCCATATAACGGGTTATTATATTAAGAATAAAATGAAAAGTTTAAATGAATAAAATGTAAAACGATTATGTCAACACAGTTTAGTTGTTTTTTGTGAAATGTCTGTAATTACCTTCCTGCAAGGGAAAAAAATTAGTATATACTTGTCCATGAGAACAGTAGGTTTATTTTGCTCTGCATTTCAACATGCGTTATGTTGCTTAATTTTTTCCATGTGGCTTATTTTCTCATGCATATATACATATATATAGGACCTATGAATATACCTTTTTAAGGATGTCTCACTTTTGCATGATTTTTTTTGGGGGAATGAAAAAATGAAAACATGAAAACATAGTTGGACTTATGAAGAAAATGTGTAACACGCATTTTTTTTTTTTTACTGAAAAAAAAAAAGCGAAAAAATATGGTGAAAAAATAAAAACGAGCATGAAATGAAGCTAAATAAATTGTGGTAGGCTTTTTGCATTTTACTATTTACACGTGTGCTGCAAATGAAGAACAAAGTGATGTGTGAAAATATTATTCATGACAATATCATTAATAAGGGTTATGTAATTCTTTTCAGGTTTTATATTTCCAAAAAGAATACGACAATTCCTTTTTTTTTCAAGCCTTTATTTTGCACGACCTTTTTTTTTTTTTTTTAATCTTCTTGATAGTGGAACTATTGAAATACGTGATGCAATCATGATGAGGGGCTGGGAGCACAAAGATATTTTTGCATGCAGAATTATGCGAATGAAAAGGGAAAAGAAATGTTGAACAAGGAAATGAAAAAACGTTTTATTCCTTCATGTGAGGAGAAACACAAGAAAAAAAGAAAAAAAAAAAAAAAAAAAATACTATTATCCAAAACGTGAATGTCCATTTAGGTAAAAAAAAAAAAAAAATGTTCCTATTCAAGAACAAAAAAATGAAAACAATCCATTTTGCTTGTTTAAAAATTTTCATTTTTTTTTTTTTTTTTTTTTTTTTTTTTTCGCATTATAGATCCGTGAATTTTTTTTTCTATTCTATGTTTGTTACAACTAATCCTTTTTAAAAAAAAAAAAAAAAAAAAAAGTGCCCTGTGTATACATTCAATTTTACGTAACATCTTTTTCTCTCTTTTTACCTCATTTTTGGCTTTACATTTTGGGTATATATATATATTTTTTTTTTTTTCCGTACCCTTGTCCCCAATTCCCCATTTTTTTTTTATTTTGATTTATTAAAAAATTGCAGTAAAGGATACGAATTGGGACTCATTTATGTGCATCATCGCAAAACAATTTTTACAGAAAATTTTCTGTACACCGAAGAGAATAGAACTACAGATTTGATCAATTAAACACACACACATACTCATATACATACAGACACACACATACACACACAAACAGACGAAAAATGAATGTTCGGTGGAGATACATGAATACGCAAAATATGTAGGCATTGTGCAACACCCTCTGTTAAAGAGACATGTGCTCAATTTTCAACATTCTCATTTCTGATTTGTTGCTACTTAGAAAAAAAAAAAAAAAAAAATTATGGAAAAAAAATCAGGTGATGAATTTTGTGATCTACTTAAAAATGATAAACTTGAAGATTACGCATGTAAAGAAAAGAAAATAATAAGGAATATCAAAGATATGTCTCGTACTAAATCTATTAATTATGAAAACCTGAAAGGAGAGTTAAAAAATAATATTAACAGTAAGGTAAAATCGATTCAGTGTTATACAGAAAAGGAAAAAAAAAATTCAAATAAAAGTCCTTCTTCGGAAAATTACATGTTATGTATGGAAGAGAAAAATATAGACTTTGAAGAAAAGAAAAATGAACAAACGAGAAATAACAAAAATGAGGATGGAAAATTCAAAACGTGTAAAATCAGAGGAATAAAACAAATGATCAATTCCAACGAAAAGCAGATTTATGAAATGAACCATATTCTTTTCTCAGATACACAGACAAAAAACTTATGTGTAAAAGGAACTGATGTAAATTATGGGACATGTAAGAACATGAAGCAAATGCATCTTGACCTTCAGCTATTCTTAAGAAATGCAACATACCTAAAGAAATACATTGACATCAGAGACAAGTTAAATGAAAAACAAATAAAAAAAAAAGAAACAAATTCAAATGAAAATAACATGAGCAAAATAAATAAGGAATTACCTAACTGTACAAATAAATCGATGCAACAGTGCATAAAAAATCGGAATGCTGTACCCAGAGGTAATATCTACGTGGAAACAAAAAATGAAACACCCATCAAATATAAAAATAGCTTTGTGCATACCAAAAATAACTCATTCGAAATAAGCACTAAAGAAATCAAAAATACACACTCCTCTTGTCTATATATACATGAACATAAACATGTCGATGTGAATGGGCTACATAATTTCCCTATGCGTAAAGAAAACTCAGAGGGACCTCGTGGTCACAAAAGAAACGAAAGGAATTACATGCAAACGGATAGAAATTCAAATGGGAGAAGTGCTAGCAGAGGATGTTTTAACACCATCGGTGGAGATACTTCTCATATAAGAAAAAGAATGAAACGAGATAATTATTCTGAAAGAGAATTCCAAAGAAATGGCATCCCGACGTGCAATGAGCACAAAGGAAGTGTGGAGTTCGAAAGTGGTGGTGGCAGTAGTGGCAGTAGTGGCAATAGTGACAATAGTGACAATAGTGACAATAGTAGCAGTAGTAGCAGTAGTAGCAGTAGTGGCATAAGTGGTAGTAATGGCAGTATTAAGGGCAAGAGAGGGGGTGGGAAGAGGCGCAAGAATATGCACGTAAATAACCCATATGATAATGTTGAAGATATCATTGACCGGGTTAACCTAAATGACATAGAAATCCGAAGAGATGAAAAAAGAACCCATAAATGTGGCTATAAGAGAAGGAAAAAATGCAGCAAGATTGATAAGCGTACTCATAATATAAAAGATATAATCGACAGAAATGTCCTTACAAATTTTATCCAATGTATTAATAAGCAGTTTATGAACAGTCAGCAAAATTCATACAATAAAATGTGGAAAGAAGGGAAAGATGTGAGTTACAGCGATGAAACCGTAACTCCTATGCGTAATTTCACGTGTTCAAAGGGCAACGTCAAATGTGAAAGTGAAAACAAAAAAAATGAGAAGAATGATAAGGAAGGTGGTAAAGATGGCAATAAAGATATGGAAAAATGTGGAGATAAAAATATGGAAAAATTTCGAAGTAAAAATATGGAAAAATGTGGAGGTAAAAATATGGATAAATTTCAAAGTAAAAATATGGAAAATTTTCGAAGTAAAAATATGGACAAATGTGGCAGTAAAAATATGTACAAATGTGAAAGTAAAGATAATGATGTCTACAAAGATAATTATGGCGTTATAGATGACGCATTGCACGTTAGAGACAGTGAACAGTCCAAAGAGGAAAAACGAAATAACACAATGGTGCATCCTAATCAGAATAAGAAAAAAGGAATTTCAGAAAAAAATTCAATCAAGAAGGATATGACATGCTATGATGAAAATTGCTTTTCAAACTATAGTTCAACATCTGCTAACAATGAAGTAAAATTAAGCAATATCATGAATAAAAATACATCGAAAGAGAATAACTTATTAACTGAATCAAACAATTTTAAGGAAGTGTCACCTACATTTTCTAGCTGTAGTGGTAATTATGATAAAGTCAGTTATGAAAAAATGAATTCTTGCAAAACGGAATATATTGAATCCAGTGAAGATAATAAAAAAGTATATAATGGAACTGAAAAATTAAATAAAAATTTATCTTCTAAGAAAAAATATGACATTCATCATTTTTCTTCACAAATGAGAAAACTTCAAGAATTACTTTTGAAAAATATTACCACATTTACTCATATAGACAACGCCAAATTTGAAAAGTGTAAATATTGTGTTTTGCATAATCTTAATCAGAAAAGAGAGAAAAAAGAGAATTCTGATGATAGGTGGTACGTGAATAAGAATGACATGTTAGTTGATGATGAGTCCAACCTAATAACACATGATTCCTCTGGTAAGATTGTCAGAAGAGTGGCTCTTGCAGGATCAATATCAACGTCGGATTCAAAGATTGAATTCGTAAGGGATGCTAAAAATTCCACTAACATATTAGAAAGTGGAACAGGAGAAAAAGAAATAAATAGAATAAAGAATGAGCTACAGTATGGGGAAGTAAATATGGTTACACACAAGAATAGTCACTATGGTGTGGATTACGATTCACACGACAATACTCACAATCGAATAAAGAATTATACCAAAGAGAAGGAGGAGAACGAGGAGAACGGCGAGGACGACATGTGCCAAGAAATTGCACACATAGGTGACCTTAAGAGAATTCTCATAGGGAATCACGAATCTTTGAAAAATTATTTAAAAAGCTTAAACAAGAAAAAAGAGAATGTGTATGATTATCTACTTAATCTATACTGCTATGCATATATAAGAAGACACACCTTGAATAATGATAAGTTGACAAATGCCAATAATCATACTATTAATGAACTCGAACAATATAACAGAATGATTCATGGTGGGAATTCTTATAATTATATACACAGACATAATAGTAAACTTAAAAAGGATTGCAAAAATAGCCATCCTGTAAAAGTCGCAAAGGAGGACGAAATATTAAACGAAAAGGAAAAGAAAAGTATTTTTAATTTCACAAATAAGCAAATACAAAATTGTTCTAAATATAAGAATGAGCAAGTCGCACCATCGAATTGCAATCCAAGTAGCGATAGAACTACTACTACTGCTGCTACTGCTGCTACTGCTGCTACTACTGCTACTACTGCTACTACTGCTGCTACTGCTGCTACTGCTGCTAGTTATAGGAACAGCTTTTCTGCAAGTTGCAATAAAATACAAATGTGTAATAACTCTACAAACTCGCAAAATGGGAATTATAAGCAGGTATACAAAAATATAAATGAAAATAACATACACAATAATAATCAAATTGATGTAGACTTAGAAAAAAATGAAAATAGAAAAATTCTGTACAAGTATTATAACTACTTGAAACTGAAAGATTACATAATCCCATATGATATTTACAACAATTCGAGGGGAGGAGTAACAAAAAAGGATTTTTCTGTGGGTGATAGCAACTGTATCGCTCACAACAAAGACAATGTCAATTGTGGTGGCGATTGTGGAAATGGTCGTAGAGCACCAGAGAAGGACAACGTGGATAGAGACCTTATTAATATATCCTACAATTTTATTACAGAACATAGAGACCCAAGTAAAAACTTAATATATGACAATTTTTGCAATTTCCATAAAAGAGAATTATTAAAAAAAATGACAAGCACATGTACGAATAGAACTCATGAAAATTTAGGCATAAAGGTAAATGCACAAAAACTGCCAGGAGGTGACAATCTGAACTTTTTAAAGCTTAATAACATTTTTGAGGGCCATAATTTGCCTTATTATAGCAAGAAAAACAGTAGTAAGAATTTTTATTTTTTTAAACATTTAATCGAAAGTCTAAACAGAGATGAGCTTCAAAAGTTGATGTTGTGTCAATGTTGTTATGTATTAAAAATGATCGAAAATAAAATGACCCCTCTTGATGTAATCTTAGACACGCAAATTTTGTTTCATGATTGTAACAATTATTTTAAAAATCAGGGATGGATAGACAATAATACTATTATTTCTCAGTACAGTAGAAATATCCATATGCATAATTTTCAAAAGGGAGATCATATTATGCATGATTGTAGTAAACATGAAAACATATCAGATTTATTCCATAATGAACATATCAACAGTTTTCATAAGAAAGAAAATAGACAATGTAACAAGAACCAAAACAATAAAATGGTTAAATCGCATGTGAGTATTTCTCATTCTGGTGTGAACCTTACTAGCAACATCCAGAATAACGATAGTACCAGTGCAATCTGTGGTGATCACTGGAGTTTTACCAACACTAACAACAGTAACATACATTTTTACAATTTCGAAAATCATGAAATATCCATGACTTCAACAACGGCATCTATTAGCTGTAAAATCAATGAATTTTCAAATGACGAGAGTATAAAAAACAACAGAAATGCATTGAAAAGTGTAAACAAAAAAAATGATAAAATACGAAATAATCATATATTTGGAAAAGGGGCAGAGAGACACACACAATAAAGAAAAAGTTAAAAAAGCGCTTGAACATTCCATGAGTCATAGATCGCAAGAAGTTCGAAAAAGCTTTACATAAAATAGCTAACCTCAAATTGAGGGACTTTGAAGGGAGGGGGAAAAACTATCTACCAGGGTAAAATACTAGCGGTTACACCTTATAAATCTATAATAAATTGAAATAAGCATAGGTTGCATCGCATCCTGTTGTGGTGTAGTAGTGTTGCGGTGGTCATTTGGAATATAATTCTACGAAAAAAAGTTTTAGAGAAAAAAATTTGCTCGTAATGTGCAAACGCTATGTGTATCATATATTGCACGAAGTTTTGAAAATTAGTGAGAAGTTGCCAACAGTGCGTGAACGGATTTGTAACCTTGGGAATGGTTCATAGCATTTGTATTACGTTTTGTCACGATTGCACAGAGAAACAAACAAGGAAAATACATAAGCCTCGTGACGCAAGAGGAAAAAATAAAAAAAGAAAATGACCAATGCTAATTTAAAGAACGATGCAAATTTTACTCTCAAAAGGATTTGGCGATTAGACTGGGGAAGAGGAAAATGAATAAACAATTTCTTATATTACGAAAAATGCACATGCTTGTATGTACGTTCGGTGTTGTCATTTCCTTCCTTCTTTTCAGCAATAACGAATTTGTTATACACTCATATACGTTTTCAGTGGTCATATGCAAGAATATGAAGTGAATTTTTATAAAAAATTGCTTGATGCAGGGGAATACATACACTTTTAATTTTTAAGACAAAAAAAAAATAAAATAAAATAATAAATAAAGCAATAGCCGTGCTAATTACAACGTGAATTACAGTAATAATAGTAGTGTAGAAATAAACGAATAAACACACGTGTGCTATTTTTCATTCGATTTCTTTGCGCAGTTTTTTTAATTTTTTTTTTTTTAAATTATTAAAACGAAAAAAGTGTTTTATATTTTTTCAGAATATAAAAACAAGCTGGCCTTGTTTTTTTTTCGACCCACTTGTCTACATTTTGGCAAACCTGTGTGTTTTCTCTTTTATTTTTATGTTTATATGCTAATTGCTTCATTTTCGAATGTGCTAATTGCTTCATTTTCGAATGTGCTAATTGCTTCATTTTCGAATGTGCTAATTGTTTCATTTTCGAATGTCTTAATTGTTTCATTTTCGAATATTTTAATTATAGAATTTACTCATGCGTACGTATTCGTATATATACTTACACAGCCGTGCTTACGTTCGAGTAGCACTATGTGTAAATTTTAATGTTACGCGAAAAATCAAACAATTTTACGTTTTCTTTTTCCCTTATTAATCTCCCACAACTTTTCGCTCAAAAAAGATTAAACAAGAAACCATACTATATTTTTAAGTGCAATAAATTTATAACTATTTTAAATGAAACTTGATTTTTAATTAATTATGACCTTTGTTATAAGAAAAATGTGTCAAGTTTTTTTTTTTTTTTTTTCTAAGTTTTACAGCATGGACTGTTCAGAAAAAAGAACAAGAAAAAAAAACAAAAAAAAGTGTAGTTAAAAAGAGGAAAAAGCTTAAGAATTTTCAGTGTAATGAAAATTCCAGTTAACGAAACATACATCCTAACCTTTTTGTGTCACATTTTCTTTCATTGTGATGGTATGTGTATGGCCATGAAATCATGTGTACAATCGCAATAAATACAAGTGTGTTTATACATTTGTGGGCATAGTGGTGTAAATTTATATACACATGAAAGCATGTGTATGTGTGCACATACATATATTTATGTATTTGTGTATGTATATAATAAGTACATGTACGTGTATATATATTTATATGTATATTTATATGTATATCTATATTTATATGTATATTTTTTTTTTTTTTTTTTTTGTCACTACGGCTGTTCTGTTGTAACTGTAAATTCTGAACAGTTCATTTTTTTTTTTTATAGTTGTTTGTTTTAGCCTTTCGTTTTTTTCTTTTTTTAATCTATGTAACATTCAGAAAAATTCGTGCAAAAACTAAGCACATATGTAACATTAAATGGAATTTTTTCGTTTTAGAAAAAGGAGTTTTCATTTTTTCTATTTTATCTATTTTAACTATTTTTTTTTTTTTTTTCTACATCTTCCCCACGCCTTCTGCGAGCATAAATGCAAAATTTTTTTAACGCTCTAAGGCATTCGTCACTTTAATTTCTTATGGGTAAGGTGGAATGAAAAAAAAAAATTGCTGGTGAAGATGTGGTGGTAAAAAAGTGGTGATGAAAAAGTGGTGATGAAAAAGTGGCGATGAAAAAGTGGCGATGAAAAAGTGGTGGTAAAAAAGTGGTGGTAAAAAAGTGGTGATGAAAAAGTGGTGGTAAAAAAGTGGTGATGAAAAAGGAAAAAACTTGTTAAATCTTTTTTTTTTTTTTTTTTTTTTTTTGTTGTTGTTGTTGGGCAATTTTATAGTTGCTTCCTTTTAATTTAATCTATTTCTTTTTTTTTTGAACCAATTTTTTTTTTTTTTTTTTTTTTTCCCCTTTGATCTATGTTAATGTATAATTTGTTTTTTCAAAATTTATGTGAACGTGTGTATATATATATATATATTTTTATGTACATGTATATATACACTCGCGTGAACCGAAAGTGCGTTTAGTCGTATCTCAAAAATTCCATAGAACATTTCGATTCGTTTTTTTGGACGGTTGTAGGATGATTGAATTTCAACACCTTTCTATGTCACGTTTTTTCCTTTTGGTTTGATGTTTCTTATCACTTCATTTCCCTGATCTCTTTATTCTTATCACGCACGTCATTTTTCTGACCATTTCATTGTTCTTATCACGTTTTTTTATAACCCGAATTTACTCCTCAATCATTTCACGCCTGCACAACTCAACATGGGAAACACCCTTTGTTGCATGAACAGCGACTTGAAAAACAGTAAATCAAACATACATATATACAAATATGACCCGCAAGAGATATATGGAGATTATGATGACTGGACACTGGAAAGCTGGGTAGATAAATACAAGAATGGAAATTCAATTAAGGTTGCATTTCCTGATGGTAATGAAATTCAGTGCCATTTTAAAATTTTTCTAAAGGAAAGATATTTTGAGTTATCCCTAGATAATAAAGTTCGAGTTATCAAATTTAATGACATTAATTGTGTACTTCACAGAAATAGTTGCGAATCATTACTAGAATCTGAACAAAATTTACTAAAGTCCCCTAAGATCATTGGAATCCGTTTAATAAGTACACTTAAGGCAATTGCATTCGCGATGGATAGTCCAGGAGAAGCACGAATGTTTTACGAGTTTATAGAAAAGTACTGCTTAAATGATTAGGAAAAATGAGAAAAATATTACAGATTAAAAAACAGACCGACAAACAGAATGGCTACTGAAAAATAAAATAAGCAACGTGCATATGGCCTGTGAAATTTAAAACAGGAGAATGCAGAAACTAATTAAATTATGTAAAGAAGGCATTCTCTCAAATGAATCGTGTGGAAAAGGGGAAATGCGTCGCACCTTTAGATTTTTATCCTCATGCTTCTATTATGTGTAATATGTGTATGCGATGCATACATACGTGTCTGTGTGTGTGTGTGCGTGTATATTCATACCCTCAGGAATCCCGTGCGCACGCTCACATATATATATAAATGCATTTTCCATATAATTCAAAACCCTTTTTATAATTTACACACTTTAAACTGTTTATTCGTTTGTTCCCACTTCAAGAAGTGCTTACACACTCTCTACATCCCTAACCTCATGTGAAGCGAGTAATTTGTTTTCTACATTTCCATACAATGAAACCTTTTCTTCATTATATATATATATATATATATATATAGATATATGTACGTTTTATTAATTATCGAACATTATTCATCTCTACAAAAAGGTGTACGCATTCTGTTTTTTTTAATTCTTTCCTGATTCCCATATTAAAAACCAATGTATATATAATCATATATTAACCATTTTAATTATCTCTTTTAATATTAAATCAAAATAGAAAAAAAAAAGGAAAAAAAAAAAGTAGCAATATATACCCAAAGCACAAAACTCATACTTCCATGAAGAACAAGAGCATATGAAAACTCGTTGCTAAGCAAAAATTTTCTAAAAAAGTAAGCTCTTTTTTTCCATTTAAATTTTAAACAATAGGACCCCTCCCCCTCCTCCCTTGCCTTGTTTTTTTTTATTTTTTTCACTTATTAAATATGTATATATATATTTTTTCTATGTTGTCTATAATTTTCTGTTTTATTAGTTATTTCACATGTCCATGTATCTTAAAAATTTTAATTATATATGTAACACCTCTTTTGTTATTTTCTTAAACGCATGAAATAAAAATGAAAGACATGAAACAAGAAAAAAAAAAAAAAAAAAAAAAAAAAATTATTACGTAATTTATGCACATTTAAACTCAAAAGTATAATTTTTTGTGTAAAAATGAAATGTCCTTGGAAACTTCTCCTGTTTTTTTGTTAATTGGATCTAAAAATCTAAACGGGGTAAAGAAAAAAAAAAAAAAAAAAAAAAAATTAAACATTCAGGTATCATTCCCTAGGATTATGTGTGTGTATATTATAAGTAATAAGATACAAGAGAAAAGGCGCGCGTAAGGACACGTACAAGCACAAGGCACGATTAAAAAAAAAATATTCCGAAACATTTTTAATAAAAAGTTATCACTGATAGGAGCAAAAAAAAAAAAATAGAAACTTACTTGTCTCTGAAAATTTTTCCTAATTTTTTAACTTCCTTCTTTTTGTTCTTGGATCTTAAAATATCTTCTGATGCTAAACTTTTAACATCGAAGTCACTCGATACTTGATATCTGCAAGGAGAAAATTTGGTGTTAAATGAAAATGAGTTTTTTATTGGGAAATGCGTGTTTCTGCACTATAAACATATTTAAATGTAACAGTATATGGGAACTGTTCCAATGCACAGTTGTATATGTTCAGTTATATGAACTTGGAGTATATTTAGTTCGTCACTCGTAGGGGGAAAGTAGGTAAGAGTTCCTTCCACACGAGCTTGTCATTTCTCATTTCTCCCTAGCTTATTTCTATACCTGGTGGGAAGAATGTGATTAACGTTAATGTACTTTACAAATGCTTTCACCTTGGATCTTTTCATAATCTTCCTCTTGGACATTTTTTTGGTAACTTTTAGTGGGTGTTTTTCTATTCCAGCAACTAAGCAGTAGCTGTAAGGTCTCTCTCTTGTTTGACTTTCATAAGTGTTTATAATTATTGCCTTTTTTCCAGCTCTACGACCATTCAACATTATAACAACTTTTCCTGGCTTCAGTCTGAAAAGAAAGTACAGCGGTAAGATGAAAGAAAGGTGCAAATCGAGTGAAATGAAAAAGAGTTTGTTAAACATATGTACACATATCTCCATAAAGTATTACATGCTTCGAAACAATTAACGGGAAATAAGTACATGCTGACGCATATCCTTTTTCCCAGCAGTATGTATGTGTATATGTATGAGCATATGTATGAGCATATGTGTGTATATGCTCCGCCCTCGACAGGCAACTTCATGTACAGGTTAAGGAAAGCAAAGCATATTCGGCGACATGTGGAAAAAAAAAAAATACAAATAGTAAACTACATATTTTCACACGAAAAGGTAGTGGAAATGAGTTGTAAAAAAAAAAAAAAAAAAAAAATCAAATCAAATAAATAAAATAAAATTCAAATGAAATTGAAAAGGTGTGAACTCTTTGCTATCTTTACAAGTTCTCCCCATGAACACCTCTACCCACTTTGCTTTATTTCACATGCAAAAGGGAGTTTAAACATATAATATATTTTTTTTTATCCATTTGTCACTTTTAAAATAAAAAAAAAAAACTTACAATTTTCCCATTTTGAAAGGTTAAATATTAAAGAATATTTTTGGGGGTAATAATTTAGTGCGATTCGACGGGTGTTTATGGGAAAGAAAAAATTGAACAAAACTTTGCAAAAGAAAGTGAAAAAAAAAAATAAAATTAAAATTAAATAAAATAAAGAAGGGTCTCCCTCTTTCTTTTCTTCCTAATTTTTGTTATTTTTTTATATTTTTAAAAATCTTAAATAATATCAAAAGAACATTTAAACCATACTAGGTTTCCAAAACTTAGCATACTTTCGAATTTTTTTTTTTTTTTTTGAATTTTCTTTTATTATGGGAGAAAAAAATTAAAAAAAAAACTACAACGAAATAAGCGAGTAAGGCAAAATTTAGTAGCTTTAAAAAAATCCTCATGGGGTGGAGGAGCAGCTTGAAATTGCAAAAGAAAAGCGGCAACTCAGGTTGGAGAAAGCTGAGGGGAAAAAACCATAGCGTCTAATGAATCATATATATATATATATATGCATATGTGGAATACATAAAATAAAGTCCGTTATCATGTGCAGAGAAAAACCAATTCGAACATTTACAGGGGAAAAAATTAATATTGGAATTTTCTTCTTTACCCCTGTTTTCCTCATATTGTCAATGGGACACAGTAGCAGCTGGCAGACGTTCCTCTTTAATATCGGGGCAGAGTCGAGGGGATAAAGAAATTTCCAAATGGTTCTTAGTGAAAGAAAAAATTAGAGGAGGTAAAAAGGTTGGGGTGGGAACAATGCGAAAACAATATGTTTTTTTTTTTTTTTTTTTTTTTTTTTTTTTTTTTTTTTTTTTAAAAAAATTTAAAATTACTAAAAAAATATTTTTTTAAAAAAAAAAAAAAAAAAAAAAAAAAAAAAAGGAGCCTTTAAAATTTTTAACGAAAAATAAAAGAAAAAATTTTAAATTCCTTCTTGAGTAAAATAACAAAGAAATAATTCCTTAAATAATCCCTTTCAGCAAGAAATTAATTTTATAAAAATTTTGGAGTTGTAACAATGGCTTACTTAAACGTTTTGTTTATGTACATTCCTTCTTAACAGTTTTAAAAATGACTAAACTATGAGTCACACCTCAACAGGTATATATCTCTCAACTGTATATACACCATCCAATGCTATTTATTTTAAAAAAATAAAGGTAACATCAAAAAAAAAAAAAAATATATATATATGTCCCTGCCGTTTAGGGAGAAAAAACCTTATATAAAAAATATACATTTATCCAAACGAGCTGAAAACGGATGAAGAAACATGAATCACATTTAAGTTAAGATATTTTTTATAAGTTGTAAAAAAAAAAAAAAAAAAAATAAAAATAAAACAAGTAAACAACAAAAGTTTCCATAAGCTTCGGCTTTATTTCTAATTACACGTGTCGCTGCACGTATCAACGTTTCCCTCCTTCTTTTTCACAAAATTTTTTTCCACCGTGGGGGATAAAACTTCTGTTATATAGTATAGAACGTTTCTGTATTAGAGTGTCATTATTTGGGCATTTTCTTCCTCATTTCATCCCCACATTTTAAGTCCAAAATTTTGGAACAACAAAAAAAAAAATATATATAAAACAGTTCCTTTTTTGTAATCAAAATGGATATACTCTTTTGAGAATCGTATCATACACATATAATATTTTGAAAACTAGTAAAAAGATAGGATTTAAAAGTTTTTTTTTTTTTTTTTTTTCCTTTTTCATTAATCTCGAATGACACACACACACACAAAGATTCATTACGCAAGTGCGCACTTTTTACTTTGTACTATGATTTGGGGTATGCATATTCATATGGATACACAGAGAAAGACATATATATAGATGTACACAAGTGTAAACATCACTACAGCAATGACAAGGCCTGATTAGGTATTCTCATTGTTCAGACTTCATCAATATAGTCGAAATGTTTCATAAAGGCATCGACAGTGTTTCCTTTCCCATCCACTAAGAACAATTCAAAGCAACTATTACAAATGTAGGAAGGGTTTTCTTTGAACAAATAACAATCGAGTACAATTTTATTAGCTACATTTTTATGACAACAGAAACAGAACTTTTTTGCAATGTTCGGTTTAAAGGTCCTGAGGGGATATTTTGAAAAATCCTTATCTCGGAACCTGTTGTATTGACGAATATTGTTAAAAATTACTCTATGTTCACAATTTCCCTGGTGTAAGAAACAGCATTTTTGATATAATGGAATTTCAATTTGGTTAATAATAGCTTTGTCCTGATGTATTTTATATGGTGGTCTAACAAAATTCGTTTGTTTTTTTTTTAAATAAAAATCTAATATACAGGTTGAATAATCTAATGCGTTGGGGGATCTCAAATCTGGATAAAGAATCCCATCAATATAGTACACAGATCCATCAAATTGGGGTAGACCATAATTTGATGAATCGAAACAAAAAAAAGCATCTGTTAAATCAGCCAATGTTTGATAAGATAATATATCATATTCAGCTATTTTTATTCCTCTAATTGGGTGATAAAATGAGACTGAAATTATAAAAATTTCATTTGTAGTCAAATTTTGCAATGAATTTGCATAAAATATATTCTTTGTTTTTTCTGTGTAAAATGTGTTAATTAAATTTTGATTTATATATAATCCTTTTAAAAGAGAATTGTTAAAATCACACACAAGCTTAAACGTTTTTGATACTGTTTTTTTTTTTAATTTGGACATTATTTCATACTTACTAAAAGAATTATTTTCGGTTTTTGGTAACCAATCCACAAAACATTTAGTCCTATTTAATACTTTTTCCTTTTTTGAATTATCTGCTACTTTTTTCAAAACTTGAAAATCAATTTTTTGTTCCCAATTTTTGCAGTTGTAATATACAATGTGGTCAATTATTTCTCCTACATTTGGGCTTCGAATACCGGATTGTAGTACTCTTATTAGATAATTATAAAATTTCTGCCTTATTTTACTATTCCCCATGATTTCTTTCTGCGTTTTCTCTTGTTCCTCCGTTTCCTCCATTTTTCCTTGTGATTCTTCAAGGTGGTGTGGCGCACTAATCTCCATTGAGGTGAGATTTATCTCTTTTTGTGTGTCGTGTTCTAATTCTGCTGACTGATCCATTTTTGCATCTACTATCCTTAGTCTCCTCCTTATCTTTTCACATTCCTCCTGGAAATCTTTTAAGCAAACTTTTTTGTGAACAAAAGCTGGTGCAGGTATGTGGTAAACCCATTCTCTTTTCAATTCTTTACGTATGGGAATATCTGGATATTTTTCAAAAAGGTGGTATGTCTTTTTTGTTACGATTTCATTTTCATCCTGTCCCCTTTTCTTCATCGAATCATCTACAGGAGAAGACGATTCTTTCCTTCGCTCATTCATAGAGAATGAATTCATATCTTGGACTCCTATTTTCCTAGCAGTGTTATTACAATTATTACTATATCCATTGTTGCTACATTTGCTAACATTCTGTGTGCGAATTTTGTCCTTTTTCGCAATATTTTTAAGGTACTTCATAAATACCCTCTCATTTTCACTTTCGATTTCACTTCCATTGTCGCTTCCCACAGAACTTTTTTCACTTTCATTCAACGTATTTTCTACCCCTTTGTTTTTCGAACACGTTTCTACCTTCTCCTTTTGTTTATTTTTATAAAAGTCATATTCATCTGCCTCAAACAAAAGTTTAATGGGAAAATGAGGAATGGGTAAACTGAATGAATGGTAGTTTTTTTCATCCATAAAAAAGTGTGAGTGTGAATTGTGGACACAGGAAAAAAAAAATTGTGCTGTTGACGCGAAGTTATTTCGGAAAGTGGTCAGAAGGGTGATAACATAGGAATTTGGTGTGGAACAAAAAAAAAAAAAAAAAAAAAAAAAAAGTTAACAATTCAGGGGAAGACTGATTGCTCAATCTTCAATGTTAAATTTACAAACACTGGACCCCCTCCTCCCCCAAAAAAAAAAAAAACTATTTTATTTTGATGTTCCTTCTTAAAAGCTTCATTTTTCTGAATCCCACATTGCACGAATCAACGTATGTGTGAGAGAGAGTTCGTTTCTGAAGGAAATCAAGAAAGTATGGCAAAAGTGTTGCGAAAGTGTGGTGACAAAATAGAAAAAATATGCTAGCACAAAGTTGCCAAAAGGGTAAACATATATATGGCATAAAATATGCCAAAAAAATTCATCCATATTACATATTATATACCCCACCCACATTTTTTTTTTTTTTTTTTTTTTACGAATGGGGAATCCACCATGGATATATCACCCTATTCTCCCTATTGTGCATAAAGTCACAGATACCTCCATGAGTTCCTGTGATTATATGTTCCCTTGCACAACACTATGAAAAAAGTCTTAAAGATTGTGACTTTGAAAACAATCTACGGGGGTATCGAGAAATCACTTTAATGCTTGTGCTTATTCGATAATACGTTTTTTTTTTTTTTTTTTTTTTTTTTTTTTTTTTTTTTAAATCGTGTACTCGTTTAATTCACCTTTATAGTAATTGAGGAAAAAGCAAAATGGGAGAAGAATGATCAATTGTCAGGCAATTCTGTTGCATGACTTAGTACAAGTCCTTGATTATTTTAGAGGCAAAACATTTATTAAATAAAATCAAGGCTAATCACATTTCAGAAGAAGTAACTTTCATCACGTATAGAGGATGAAACAAGAAAAGAGAAAGAAACAATGAAATTAGAAAAATGAACTTACACATTTCAAGACTTTTTTTAATAATACATTATGCCTATAAGATAAGTTCCGCATTCAAGATAACACATAAAACAAACATATCTTTTTTTAAAAGGTCCCAGAAGGAAAACGCCTTAACAAGAAGCATTAGAGTTTACAATAACGTAATGTATTTAAAAAAATCATCAACATAGCCTATTTTAAAAAGTTGACTCAGTGCACACCACTTGATTAGGCTTCCGTTTCAGTGTTTTAATTATTTTCCCATCTATTTGTGATTCAATTTGTTATACCTGTTTTTATTACCCCCCTCCTTTTTTTAAGTTAGAGAAAGTCAACACGGATATAAAAAATTTGGACATAATAAAAAAGTGGAAAGACAATTACCATTTACGTATAATTTTAAATTCCTACTTTTCTGATCATTTGCAAAAGGCTGTTTTAAATGTCAAGGAGAAAATTAGCCAGTACCCACAATTTATTATTGCTGGTCCAATTCCTCAAAAAACGATTAAAAAGAGGTAACGCATAGATAGCCACAATTTTTCATTTTTTTTTTTTTTTTTTTTTTTTTTACAACATTTTGGCTAGCTCGTTTGCATATGAAATTATGTTCACACGAATGTGTAAATACGCATGTATAACTGAACAGTAAGGTAATTTTTTTTTTTTTTTTTTTTTAATGCAGATTTACATTTTTGAGATCTCCTCACGTTGACAAAGACAGCAGGGAACAATTTGAAATAAAACAGTATGGCTGTAAATTGGACATTTTCTTAAACTCCACCATTAGCTTGAAGAACAATGAGTGTATGTAACATAAACGAATACAGCACAATGAAAAAAAATATTCAATTCGCGTGCTATCCTGTAAAATAATTCAAGCACCCACAATTCAATCATTCATATTTCTATTGTTTATATACATTCATACTCATTCGCATACTCGTGTACCTATATCTGTGCGAAAACATACTCTTTGTGAATACACCACCTTCCTCCTTTCCCCACCTCCCAATGCACAGTCACCAATTTCCTATCAGTTAAATTGCCGCGATTTGTTGGCTTTGAATACTACTTTGAGGAGAATTATAAGGGCTTGAAAAAGGAGGAAATTAAAAATTTAAAGAAAAGAAAATACGTTAGCAAGTACTATACAAATTTGCTTAACGCCAATGAGAAGAAAAAGTATGTAGATTTGTTGCTTGAAAATTCGAAATATATGAATGTAAGGTTGCCACGAAACTTTTACGATTTGTATAAATTGCCTTTACATATAATACAACATTACTACAAAAAGTAAGAACATCATTTTTTACCACTTTAATGGGTCAATTTTTAAAATAATAATGATCAAATGTAATATACTGTTAAAGATACACATGCTCTTTGTTTTTCTTGCAAGAAAAGACCGATCATTATTTCACATACACAAATTTAATTTGTTCCTTTTTTTTTTTTTTTTTTATTATTTTTTTTTTCTTTTTTTCGCTTTGTAGAACAATGGAAAAGAAGAAATGGTATCACGAGAATGAAGAATTAATGAAAAAAATCGAATCCCTTTCCTTCGACTAGCTTAGTGTTAGCATACAAATTGGAGCGTTCAAATGGGGGATGTAGAATACACAGTTGTATAATTTTTAGACATTGTGAGAACGTGATATATTTAATTTTTTGTAGTTCTTCCATTAACATGAATTACAGAGGAATTAATTTTTAATTTTTTCATGTGTGACCCTTCTATGTCAACTTGCTGTGTTCCACATGTAACTGCAATTAGAACTGCACACATTCGCGTACTTTGTCATCACGTCTCCTTGCCTAATTTTATAAGGATATGTTTGTTAAACACAGATAAGCAAAACAGGGAAAAAAAAAAAAATAACAACGAATAGTGAACGAATAGAGAAGAACGAACAAGGTATAATAAGTATCATGTGCACAATTTTTTTTTTTTTTTTTTTTTTTTTTTTTTTTTTTTTTTTGCCATCCTTTTTAAGGCACACTCTGTGTAACAGTTTTTGCACGTACTCGCTTTCTAACATCTGTAGCTCTTTCTTTTTATTTCACCCAATTTCACAGCTGCACATGCTGTTTTCCATTTTTGTGAAAAAAAAATTCTTTCCTTTTTTTTTTTTTTTTATGTGTAATGCATGTTACATTTATTCTGACAATGATAATTGAGGTTCTTTTTTTTGAATGTCAAAAAAAATGTGATAAAGAATTTTTCTTTTTCATACCTCCTCCAAACGTAATGTTCTGCTTTTGGTAATTTCTCAATTTTTTAACATATTGACATCATAACATATTCCAAGTTCTCCTTTTTCAAATTGCACAATATGAAAGGGGATACGAAAAAAAAATACTACAACTTCTCCGTGAAAAACGTGAACTTTTTCAAAAATGCATTGGCTCTTCTAAGTGTAGATGACAACAAATGCAATAAGAATGTGAAAAAAAGTGCAAATAACACGGTAGAAGGGGAAAGTTGTATATTATTCAATATTTATTGTGACGGTTTAATGCTTAGAAGTTTGTCCAAATGCAAACAAATATACTGCTTTCTATATTTAGACTCTAACTGCTTTACTAACTATAACATATTCGAGAAGGAGAATACACATGGAGAGAAGAAACGTCGCAGAACTGGATGTGATAACTGCAAAGTAGATATTGAACCAGACGTATGTCAATTCAAAAATGATTCATATATAAATAGAGCCGATATATGTGGATTTCCCATGATGAAACGCTTCAAACAAGACCCTGAATATTCTCAGAGTGAAGATACTAGCCATGGGGAAGAAGCAAATAGTATAAATTCTGACAATTTGTATACCACTCATGCTATTGATGAAGAGTCCGAAAATGTAATTAAATTAAAAGCAGTGTCACCATTAAAATTGAAATCTATGCAATATGATGATAACGAAAGTGAATATAATATTAGAAAAAAAATTTATGAAGAAATAGACGATAAGAAGAAGAATTGTGTTGAATTTCTTGTATCCCCATATGAATTATTAAGAGCATTGGAATTTTTAGACCCGATTCTATTAAACATAAAATTTGACTATGTGAACCGAAAATTAATTTTACATTTAACTGATGAAGATGGTGATACATCTGAAACCTTCGTCAGGATAATCGTAAACTATTATTATGAAATATATAAATTAGAAAAATATAGTTTTTTAAATAATGATCATAATTACTTTTCCCTGCAGTCCACTATTTTTTCTTTTTACTTGGAGTATTTAATTAAAAACTGCGATCACTGCATTACCTTTTACATATCCGAGTACACCGATGATAGTACAACTGTGCTCAAAATGGTAATCTGTGGCAATTTCCCCACATGCCAATGTGTGTATATGTGTCAATGTGTGTATATGTGTACCTGTGTGTATATGTGTACCTGTGTGTTTATGTGTACCTGTGTGTTTATGTGTACCTGTGTGTATGCGTATACATACGTATGTACGTACGCGTGTGTACTTGATGGAGGTCCGTAATTACATGCATGTAACTGTTTATAATCCCATGCGGAAACTTGTAAACGCTCGAATATACCCGTTTGAGATTCGTCTTATCAAGTTAGTGATGACTTTGCACTTTTTCACATTTCTCTCATCCCGAGAAAAACGCTTCTTTTCGTTGGTGCCATATGAACAAGCGTGGGGGGAGAGTTTCTCACCATTATTTCCTGTAAGCATAAAGCGAACAGCAGTCCCTTGTGTACACATCTCTTGTATGTATTACCCATTTATTGCATAATTAGGAAACGAAAAATAAAAATTATAAAAGATCCGTTCAGTTGATGCCAAAGGAAAATTTCGAGGAATTTAAAACTTCAAAAAATCAAATGTACGACGATGAATATTTGCAGGCTAAGAGTGTAACTTGACGTGCGTTCTGTATATTATTTTATTACCCTGTGCATATACATTTGCTTACATACCTAGGAAGCTAATTTTGTGTTACCCAATTTCTCGTCGTCTCATATTTCACTAATTCTCGCAGATTCAAGTACAGGATAAAGGATTTATCAAAAATTAATCAAGCTTTGAGTAATGTGCAACAAAATCATACTATGAAAAGAAAAAAAAAAAAAAAAAATTATGTTGCAATTTTAAGTTTTAATAAATGAAACATATAAGCATTCGACACCGTGTATGCTGCTTTCATTTCAACAGAAATTAGTTCTCACCTCAGAATGGATTTCCAGGAAAATGGCTTGCTAAGATTTCAGTTTACCCTCAGGTGAATGAATATATAAAAGCATGTGTAAAAGTTCGGTATAGTGCATATAATAAAATGCGTACCTAATATGTATAAATGGATGAACATTCATTTGGCTATCTTAGTGTCTCAGAGTCTCTTATAAGTTCTTGTGTTTTTTTTTTTTTTTTTTTTCTCACTTTTGAATACCCCTAGAGGACATCTTGGGAATTGTCTTTTTTTTTTTTTTTTTTCCAAGAGCGTGCGATGTGTTATTTGTTTGCAATTCATTTAGTAGTTAGTAACATTTTGTCAATTTATTTAGTAATTCATTTAACACCTTATTCAGAACCTATTTAGTAACCTAAACAGTACCCTATTTATTTTATTATTTCATTTTGCTTGTTTCATTTTGCTTGTTTCATTTTGCTTTTCTTTTTCTCAAGGGAGTACAACATGAACGGAACACATTTATGCTACTTCATACAACCAATGGAAGATATGTCCATTCTTAATTTTTCTTAATGCGTGAAGTGTTACAAAATGGAGGGTAAAAATAATAAGAAGAAAATATATTTACTTACATATGATGCAACTTTGTATGTATTTCACTTTTTCCCGAGTATGCACAATAATATACAAGTGAGAGTTATTTTCCTATCCCCCCCTTGACTCCCCCTGGGCGTTGTGTTTTTCACAAAAATTTTAAATACAGAACGGAAAAACAATAAAATGAAAAATTCTCAATTTTCTAAAATATAAAATATGCAAACAAAGATTTATTATGTAATGTGTCAAAAGAAAAAAAAAAAAAAAAAAAAAAAAAAAAAAAAAAAGTTTTTTTTAAAAATTTTTAATTTTTATTTTTTTTTTTTTTTTTTTTTTTTTTTTTTTTTTTTTTTTTTTTTTTTTTTTTTTTTTTTTTTTTTTTTTTTTTTTAAAAATTTAATATATTTTATTTTTTTTTTTAAAAAATAAAAATTAAAAATTTTTAATAAAAAAAAAAATTAAAAAAAAAAAAAAAAAAAAAAAAAGTGTGAAAAATGTAAACCAAACAACTGGCGTGTAATATAAAAAAGTAATGCTAATTTTGTTCTACATGTTTTAAAATATTTTTTTTTTAAAGGTTGTAGTTGATATTGCTTCAATTTTTTTTTTTATTTTTTTTTATTTTTCGTTTTTCTTCTTCCCCCCTGCTGGACCCCCCCGGGGGGTTGTGTTTTTCACAAAAATTTTAAATACAGAACGGAAAAACAATAAAATGAAAAATTCTCAATTTTCTAAAATATAAAATATGCAAACAAAGATTTATTATGTAATGTGTCAAAAGAAAAAAAAAAAAAAAAAAAAAAAAAAAAAAAAAAAGGTATTTATGAAAAATCTCAAATGGACAATTTCGTCAGCTGAGTTCCTTTTTTTTTTTTTTTTTTTTTTTATGCAAGTAGCATTATATGCACATTTGACGTGTCCATAAGTAACGTTATTTCCTCTTTTCCAATTTTTTTTCTTTTTTTTTGTGAACATTTAAGATATTACATCTTTCTTTACATAATCTCAAATTTAATCATTTTTAGTAAAAGAGAAGATTAAAAAAAAAAAAAAAAAAAAAAAAAAGTGTGAAAAATGTAAACCAAACAACTGGCGTGTAATATAAAAAAGTAATGCTAATTTTGTTCTACATGTTTTAAAATATTTTTTTTTTAAAGGTTGTAGTTGATATTGCTTCAATTTTTTTTTTTATTTTTTTTTATTTTTCGTTCGTCTAGAGCATGTTATATTTAATTTTTCCTATTTATCCTTCAATTTCACATATGTCCCTTTATTTAAATATGATTAAATAAAATAAAACAATGAATGAAAATTTAGAAAATACATCCGAAAGGTATCAGAAGTTGCTTTTATCTGGTAGGATAGACAGCATTTTATTTATGTTTCTGAAGGAATACATATATATCTATTTTTTAAGATACACATATAATTTTGAATACATTCATTTTCACATTCATTTTCACTTTTTTTTTTTTTTTTTTTTTTTTTCCATGCACACGAAGCTTCCTTAAAGAGAGAAGCAAAAGAAAATGAAGAAATTAATAATGTTAAAAAACAGACCCCTGGAAACAATGAAAATAATGATTTTATTATATATATTGAATTCAAATTTGAGAATTTAATTCTTTCGAGATATTTGTTTGATATAAGGTAAGTGGGAGATCTATGAATAAAATAGCTGTATAGGTGGAAAAAAAAAAAAAAAACACAAGCTCATGTAGACATGCTGACATGAGTATATATGCACGAATTTATTCAGTCTTTACCCAATATTAATTGTCATTTTTGAATATATATATATATATATATATATATATATATATATAAGTATATCATGAAATTACATCTTTACTATAAGCACTTGGATTTTACCATATTTTGAAGTATGGAATATACCGTTCTGCATATGTTTAATGGAAGCTGCTCAACTGCACCCTTATACGCCCTCTACATCGACTTCATATCGATGCCATATTTATACAACATCTATGTCATATTGATGCCATGTCACTGCCTTACCAATAGTACTTCACTTCCAAAAGCCATACCATTGTCCTTATCCTATACTCTCTCAGGGACGAGCTGGGTACACCCATAAGGAACAGTGTACAGATAACAAGGTTCATCATTATGAGAAGTGAAAACCATATTATGGGAACGTGTGTGTCAAACAGAATCATCCTTTGTTATAGGAACGACAAGGAAAGCAATGGCATTTTAGAAAAGTTAAAAGAAGAATTAAAGAGGAGCTATTCTATATGTTTAACATTAGAGAATAATATAGAGGATAACAAAAAAGAAATAGAAAAATATTTATTATCATATATTATTCAATTTACCTTAGTATGTAAGTATGTGGAATGTGGTAAATGGGTTCATATCTGGGATAATATGGACACAATAATTGAATCTAAATTTTGTGGAAATAATACAAGTAAATATTTTAATTGTATAGGTTTTAAATTTCATATATTAAATATGGAACACAGCATAATCAATCAAAAAAAGAACTATGAACACATTGTTAAGGTGCATTTAAAGGTCATTATAAATATATATAAAGTACTACCTGTAGGGGAAAATAATATGTGTGAAAATATGTACGTGTATTGCTTACCACGGTGCTCTATGAGAGCAACGATTTTAGATGTTTTTGATTCAAGAAAAGATGAGAAAAAATTTAATTATAAAAATTATTGGCTTAATGTACATGGATATGTATTAAACGAGAATTCTGTAAAAAAAATAATTAAAGTGAAACTGTACAAAGGTGTATTTAATTACCCACAGGGAGTGTTACTGAGAGATAATATATACAAATTAAATATGAGAATAAAGAAGGAACATTTTTTTTATATTTGTAATTTTGTAAATTCTTTTGAATTATTAAAAAAGTCACAATTACAGCTATTGAAATATTCTGATTTTTTCCAAGTTGAAAATATATATGACGATTTGTTATTGTCCAAAAATAAGAAAAAATTAAAAAATGAACAAGATGAAGAAGAAGAAAAAGAAAAAGAAGAAGATTCCGACTTTTACAAAAAACTAAATCTAATTTGTAACAATGAATATGAAGGAAATAAAATTGCTCAAGAAATTTCCCATTCCAATAAACAACAAAATGTGTATGAAAATTCATACAATTTATATGGAAATACATTAACAAATTTGGGAGGAATGTCTATAAATTTGAATTTTTCAAAAAATATAAAAATTAATAAAAATGATCAAAAATCCTCTGGTAGCACTACACAGTCGTATCATTATACAAAAAATGATTTAGTAGATGCCTTTCTAAATGAATCAGCTTTGGCTTATCAGAGCCGTGGTTCCTATATGAATAAGGAACAAGAAAAGGAGAACCCGCATCAATATGATTATAACGACATACAACAAGAACCGTGTCACTTATCCAATCCCGAACTAAATGAATGTGCACCAAATGAATCACCATTTGAAAGAAGCAAACCCATTACTAGAATTGATATTGCCAAAAAAAAGAGTAATACACTACAAATACATGAAAATGTTAGTAAAACAAAACAAACTGGAACAACAGTAGTACACACGCGTGATAACAACCTTAACATTCCATTCGAGAAGCATAGTAGACGACATGATGAAATTTATAAGGAGAATCAAAATAAAAACAAAGAATTAGACAACCACTTACATAGCATTGCAAAGAATTATAATTCAATACCAGGAAATAATTCAGAACATATGACAAATGTTAACATGTTCGAAAATGTAAATGCACAAATAATATTTTCAAAAGAATTTCAAAATTTTCTGGACAATCTAGACGAGGTTGCACTATACCAACAAGAACCATTAGAAAGGCTAAATTTTGACCAAAGAGAAAAGAAACGGCCCAATTTCCTTATGAACAATCCACAAACCAGTGAAACTTCTGAACACATACATTCAAAAACGAAACACACTTGAATTGTAATAGTGGAAAAACCTATGCCAGTATGGTACGGATAGCTGCTCATCTGTAGTATAACTTCAATTAAACTAAATCGTTGAAACATATTAAATCCAACTTAACAAAAGAAAAAGTAGCCCCAATTTTTTGCAATTGACAGAATAATAACAGCAAAAGGGGCCCAGCGGGTGTGTGAATAAAAAAGAATTTTTTTTTTTCATTCCGTATAGATACGACGTGCAAGTATGTTTTCTAAACATGTAAAATTAGTCAAATGTTAATTTTTGTGTGTTTTCGTCTACCATTGACGATTTGAATTTTTTTTTTTTTTTTTTTTTTGTTTTCCCCGCTTTACCAATTGGAACTGTTCTTTTTTTTTTTTTTTTTTTTTTTTCATAACTATTTTTAATTAACAGTGTACCATATAATTAGTTTTAACAAAATAAACCATTTTTATGTCAAGCCATTTTTGATATTAAGCCGAAAATGGTGCAACATTTCGCTACGTGAATGTATATATATGTATATAATCTATACAATATTCTTTCTGGATAATTTATGCTATCAGGGGAAAATTTTGAAAAGCTTCATTATGTCAGGCGTTTAACTGAACAAGCTTGGAGGACAGTTATCTAACTAATTCGTTCTTTTTTAAATAATTTGGATATGAACAAAGTTACAGTAAAAAATATATAAAATTTAGTATTCCAGCACATATGTGCTAACTAAATTTCGCCATTCAGGGAAAATATAAAAAATTTGTAAAACATTTCTTCTTCAAGGAGAATTTACATGACAATTTAAGCGGCACCGTCACGATCTTTTTTTTTAACCTACATACCATGTTATATACATATGTATATATATATATATACATATATAATAATAAAGTTGGAAGGTATGTATACTATATCTATATGATCTCATATCTGGAATAAATATCAAAGTTGGTCCGAATTGGCGAAAATTTCGAAATGTTTTACAAAAGTCATAGATTTTACAATATTCTTTTGGATAAAAACATTTCGTCATTATCTTAAAAAGGGGAAAATACATTTTTATGCTAATTTTATTCATATCATCCATTCCCAAAGTTAAAAAAAAAAAAAAAAAAAAAAAAAAAAAAAAAAAAAAAAAAAAAAAAAAAAAAAAAAAATATTAAAAAAAAAAAAAAAAAAAAAAAAAAAAAAAAAAAAAAAAAAAAAAAAAAAAAAAAAAAAAAAAAAAAAAAAAAAAAAAAAAAAAAAAAAAAAAAAAAAAAAAAAAAAAATATTGAGAAAAAATATAATTACCAAAATAAAAAAAAAAAAAAAAAAAAAAAAAAAAAAAAAAAAGCAGTAAACAAAAGGATAACCCATTTTTTAGCTGCAAGCAAAATCCTTGAACAAAATGAGAAAACTGAAATATCATGAGCAAAAATTACTAAAGAAAGTAAATTTATATGACTGGAAAAGAACAAGGAATGTAAGAGAAGTGAAAGTTTTGAGAAAATATGTAGTCCAAAATAGAGAAGATTACATTAAATATAATAAAATATGTGGATATATAACAAAATTAGTTTCAAAATTAAGATTATTACCAGAAAATGATGAATTTAGAATAAAAATGACAAATGAATTGTTAAATAAGTTATATGAAATGGGCATAATAAATTGTAAATCGAGCTTAGCTGAATGTGAAAAAATTTCAGTTTCTTCTTTTTGTAGAAGGAGATTAGCTGTAATTATGTTTCGATTAAAATTTGTTCAAACTATACAAATGGCCATTACTTATATTCAGCATGGAAATATAAGAGTAGGAAATAATGTAATTATCAACCCAGCTTTCCATATTAATAGAAATTTGGAGGATTATATAAAATGGTCGGACGGATCGAAAATTGTCAAGCACATAAAAAAACATCAGAATAACAGAGACGACTATGAACTTTTAGGAAATTGACCAAACGACGAGACAAAATATTTCATATGTACATGTTTGTGGAGGGGGACAGTGCAGGGAAAAACAATATTGTGGATAATACTGGGTAAACAATAGAGTAAAAAGTAAAGTGGAATAAAAAATAGAGCAAAAAAATAACTAAGAAAAGAAGTTTGTGCGGAAGTTTATACCGAAGTTTATACCGAAGTTTATACCGAAGTTTATACCGAAGTTTATACCGAAGTTTATACCGAAGTTTATACCGAAGTTTATACCGAAGTTTATACCGAAGTTTATACCGAAGTTTATACCGAAGTTTATACCGAAGTTTATACCGAAGTTTATACCGAAGTTTATACCGAAGTTTATACTGAAGTTTCCCCTTTATTTATTCACTTATTTTTTTATTAAATTTTATTATTTTATTTTATTTTTTTTTTTGTGACACTTTAATGACGCGCTACAAACGATTATAAGCATCTGTGAATGCTTATGATTTTAAAAATAAACCTACCCTTTGCTTTTTTTCTACCACGTTTCTTTTACTTTTTTCCTATTTACACGTCAAGTTCAGTATTTGAATTTAATATCTCCATTTGTTTGTATAACTAATTTACATTTTTTTGTCCAATATTTTTAATTAAGACCTTTTAATAAAAAATCAGGACACATCATGATGTGGGCTATGTTATCCGTCTTGTTCGAGTGAAAGTTTTAGAAAAAAGTATACCTACACACTGTACTATTTGTAAGAGAGGGGAAAAAATAAAATAAAATAGTTCATTTATTTTTTTTTTTTTTTTTTTAAAAAGCATATGGAGGATTTAACAATTTTATTGTAATGTCATCATATTTTACTTCACTATGAACATACCTGATGACTATTTCTCCCCCCTTGTGTTCAGGAAAGCAACATAACAAAATGCACAAATCTATGAATATGGACTCTTAAAAAACTTAAGCATTGTTGAAAAATAATAAAATAAGGCGATATGATCCTATGGCGTAGAAATATAAATAACTTGCGAATAACACCAAGTACTTTTCATTTTTCTCTTTTTTTTTTTTTTTTTTGTTTATGTATATGCATATCTTTTACACATCGAGCTCGTTCAGATTGCTGAAAGAGATATCTTAAAATAAATAAATATTATGCCACAATGTGGGAATTGAGTTCACTTAAAACGTTGGATCGTCTGCTAAGAGAATAAAGCTTTACTTATGATTTGAAACGAGACCTACAGAAATGTGTTTTGCGTGTATACTTTTGTCTATGCATATATGATGTATCATAATTCACGTCATTTTTAGTTCCCCCCAAAAGTAATATGCTCAATTTGAACGCACATATATATATATATATATATATATATATATATATATATATATTATTAAACCGCAAAAGGTACTTTTTCAGAAATGCCCCTTGCAGTAAAAAACCTTCTTTCTTTTTTTTCATTCCGATCTATACGCACACATAAGTACATAAATACGAATTTACCCTTTTCTAAAATTTTTGTTATATAATCTTTTTATATATCATAACAAAAGAGATGAAAATTTTAAATTCTACCCATTTTTTTGCACGGAAACTCTTATGTGGGTTGGTATGATGTGTCGGTGTACAAGCAACATGCATGTATTTTTCTTTACAATGATTAAATAACATTATTTTCATCTCTTATGAGAACCATTTTTTTTCTTAGCAGCATAAATTCAACAAGTACTTGAGAATGTGTTTGTGCTACATGTACAAAATTATCTTCCCATCACGAGGTATAGAGGGGGGGGAAAAAAAAAAAAAATATCTCTCTATGTTCCTAAAAGGAGTCATAAAGGCCACCAAAAAAAAAAAGAAAAAAATTAAAAATGAGGGGTTCGCGCAGAGATTATGTATATATACATATATACCTACACACATGCCTACATACATATACCCCATACATATGCAAAGTTCCCGTTCGGGGCTTCTTTCCCTTTTTTTTTTCATTTTGCTTTGATACGTCACAGGACGAGAAAAAAACAAAAAAAATATAATACAATTATGATGTAATAAAACACAAAAAAAAAAGGGCAAAAATGTTGAAAAAACAAAGTACAGTTGTAAGCAAATTTAACAGGCATAAACTTTATATATAACAGAAAAAGTTACAATTATTATTTTTCTCACTTTTTTTTTGAATTTTTATTTTAAAAGATTTGACAAAAAATAAAATTTTACACACCAATCCCTTAAATTCAGAAAACAATGTCACTCAAGTCAGGTTCTACTCCCCTACGTAAAACTATAGTGGATTATTTTCACTCTTTGCACACATTAATCAGTGCATAAAGAAGAAAAAAAAAAAAAAAAAAAAAAGGAACTTCTTAAAAGCTGAAAAAAATGTAATGTTAAAAAAAAAATCGAAAAAAAGCTGTTTCAAATTGGTTCATATTCTGTTTCAGCAGATTTAAACAAGTTTTTAAACTTTTGTTGGAATTTGCTCCTTGCCGCGGTATTCTATTGCGAAAAATACAATATTCTTACTCTAAAAAAAAAAAAAAAAAAAAGAAAATATTTTCAGTTCACAAACGGAACTAGGTAAATCAAAAATTCTTAGTTTGACAAAATTCTTATATAAAAATACAATGCATATATATCCATATTTTATATACATACCATAAAATATAATCATACACGGAGCATTTGTGCAATCAAATTACAAGAAAAAATAAAAAAAAAAAGTTGATCACACCATACATACAATATATTAAAGATAAGAAGAAACAAAACAAAAGAAAAACATTTTTTCAAAAAAAAAAAAAAAAAAAGAGGAATTTTTCAAATATTATATTTAAAAAAATGAAAAAATAGTCTAAAACATAAAGGAATTTTTACATATTAAAAAAATAAAATATAAATATAATTTATAAACATATAATTCTAAACCGCCTTAAAGATTACATAGTTTTTTGAAGAATTTTTTTTTTTTTTTTTTTTAAACTGATTAATTCCAGAAAATTTGTTTCTTTTTTATTCTGAACATTTTTACAAAAATGGAAAAATCAAAATTAGCGAAAGTTGAAAAGGTATTAGGAAGAACTGGAAGTAGAGGAGGTGTCATACAAGTCAGAGCCCAATTTATGGGAGATACTGAACTTTCAGGAAGATTTTTAATTAGAAATGTTAAGGGACCAGTTAGAGAAGGAGACATTTTAGCCTTATTAGAAACTGAAAGAGAAGCAAGAAGATTACGATAAAATTGGCACATGGGATAGGGGCAAGAGATACAATTACATTTCTCTCTCTGTTCCCAATTGTTTCCTTGAGGCTCCCAATACCTGTACCATGCTGCATACGTGAACGGAACATATATACGCAAATATGTGTGTAACCTTTGGGATGAACTCAAGATGTGTTGTAAGTAGAAGAAGAAGAAAAATCTATAAATGGACGCACGTAACAACCATTGGTGGGGGGAGGAATATATAATTATAGAAATGTAAAAAAAATAAACCATCTCACGTGAATATGTGTATATTCAACTTGAACTTACAATCAAAAACCCTCAAATATATATTGTTTAGAACATATTCGTCAATCAGTATATCCCACCAGGGCCTCTCCTTCTCATTTAATGGACTGTGTACGTAAATATATATTTAACCTCTTTTTCTTCATTTCCTGTATTTTAAATGGATGTATGATATGTAGACCTCTATGAGTATAAGTTGTGCATATGCATGTGTTACATATATAAATATGTAGATATGAGCATTTACATCGTATGAGAACATTTTTTTTTATTTAAAAAACACACCTAAAAAAGGAACTTTATGAAATAACATATTTTTTTTATCAATTGAAAGAGATTTAAAAAAAAAAAAATCTTATCAAATTTATGCCATTAATTTACTACCATTTTATATTTCGGTAAAGGATAAAGCTTTTTATTTTTATCGACTGACGTAAGGCAGAAATCAATGACAAGTGTAGTTTATATGGGTTGAAAAATAGGGACAAACGTGGAAATAAAATTAGAAAATCTTATATTTTGCTTAAAAAGGGGAAAAAAAAAAAAAAAAAAAAAAAAAAAAACGAAAAAAGTTGGAAGTCGCGTTAGGGCAAAAACAAAACTGAAAATGATCGAAAAGACGTATAAATTATTTGTACAAAAACAAAACTGAAAATGATCGAAAAGACGTATAAATTATTTGTACAAAAACAAAACTGAAAAGGGTTGAAAAAACGTAAAAATCATTGAAGCAGCAAAAACGAGGCTGAAAAGGACCAAAAAAGAAAAAGGGAGAATTTTGTTTATTCTCTTACTTTGCTATGCTTACAATTCCATCTTAACAACTTAACTCGTTAAGTGTCACTTTTTCAGGTTAAGGCGAAATTGAGGTCTCTCTTTTTTCTTGATCTGAAAAAACGAAAAAGGGAAGAGGGAAAATGTTCGAAAATTTTGCGAAAAATTAGTGCACAAGTGTTATAACAGTATTCCCATGTGGGAGATATGAGCACTGTGCTGTGTCTTTATGTATTTGCATATATATGTATGTATGTGTGCATAATTGCAACTGTGAAAAGGGACAATTTTACGCAGATCAAAGTGACATTATATACAACTGTTCGAAGTAGCTTCTTCCCCCTCACACACGAGGGCCACATACCTCATACAATTTCTTGTACATATGGGGATCAGAGAAAATGGTTGTATGAATGACAGTTTCCTTGATGAATTCTTCTACATCTATTTTTTCTTCAATAACGTCAAGGATCTTGATAAAATATCCATGGTCGTACAGAACTGTAGAAGGTGGGGAGATGGTGGTAAATATGATCATAAAATGGGGTTGAATTAAAAGGAAAAGGAAATTAATGAGAGAAGGGGAAGTAAAGCGAAAATGAAGAACAAAATGAAGAACAAAATGAAGAACAAAATGAAGAACAAAATGAAGAACAAAATGAAGAACAAAATGAAAACAAAATGAAGAATAAAATGAAGAACAAAACCAAAACGAAAAGGCGTTACAACTGTTATGAAAAGGAGCACAATGGTAATACTAAAAACCCCATGTTTGGCATTCACGCTTCCAAGTGTTCGAAGAGTCGCATATTCTATACCTTTCGTTTGGTTTCCTTGAGGACTAATTTCTAAGAACTCTCCATTCATATTATTATTTTTGAATTCGCCACACAATATACGCCCATCTCGATTAATGAGCCGACCGTTTCCATGTTTTTTTCCCTCAAAATAATTTCCTTCATAAGCTGCATAAGAAGTATGGTTGTTCCATTTATAGTAACCTTCACCATGAAATAATCCTTTTTCAAAACTCCCGACATAAATATCGCCATTTTTAAATTCATATCTTCCATTTTCACTTAAAGAACCATCTTTAATATGTCCAATGGCATGATCACCATTTGCGAAAAAAAATTCAGCCTCTCCTACTTCAACATCATCTTGAAATGTACATGTATATTTTGTATTTACTGGAGTTATAATCGTTCCTTTTCCTTCTCTTTTATTATTATTAAAATCTCCTTCAAAAGTAAAACCATCTGCTGTTTTGTAAATTCCATGTCCATGCCTTCTATCATTCTCCCAATATCCTTCATATGAATTATTTTCTTTGTCACTCCATTTCCCTTTCCCTTGCCTTTTTCCATCAACAAATTCCCCATCATATTCTTCTCCAGTTGCATACTTTAAAATGCCCCTTCCGTGTACGCGTTTGTCCTATGAATGTTTCAGTGGTGATCATGGAAGAGGGGTGTGCGAGGAAAGTGAGAAAATCATGAGAACAAAATAAACAAAAGCAAATGCAAAATATACAAGCAAATGGATAAGAAATGAAAGCGACACATACACGAGAACTCATATATACACAAATTCCACTCGAAATGAAAAACCCAAGTCGTGTGTATAAGAAGGAACAATTGTGGAGTGTCACGCAATTTCGTGTGTGTGTGTTTGTGTGTGTTTGTGTGTGTTTGTGTGTGTTTGTGTGTGTTTGTGTGTGTTTGTGTGTGTTTGTGTGTGTTTGTGTGTGTTTGTGTGCGTGTGTATACAATATTCTTTATTCTTGAAAATTCGTGTGATCATACAAGGAATGTTGGACTCTCAAATACCTTTACGGTTCCTGTGTAAACAGAGCCATCGCTCAGGGTAATAGAAACTGTTGGAAGATCAGAATTAGGTTTTACTTCTTCTTTTGTGCAATCCTCTGTTTCTTCAACTACTATTTTTTTAGGATTTTCTACATTTACTTCTTCATTTGTGCCATCCTCTGTTTCTTCAACTACTATTTTTTTAGGATTTTCTACATTTACTTCTTCATTTGTGCAATCCTCTGTTTCTTCAATTACTACTTTTTTAGGATTTTCTACATTTACTTCTTCATTTGTGCAATCCTCTGTTTCTTCAATTACTATTTTTTTAGGACTTTCTACATTTACTGCGTTCTTAGTGCAACACCTCATTTTTTTAAAGGGAACAAAAAAAAGAAAAAGTTACATAAATTTGTGTGTGGAAATGGAAACAAATTTAATCAAAAATTTAAAAAAAAAAAAATTATTCGTATGTACAGACGTCCTAGAAGGGCATGTGTACATCCACATACTGCAGCTTATGTTTAGCTGTATATATATATGTATAAAGGGTGTGCACAACTTAGTTAACAAAATAAACAAAAAGAAGGGAAGAATCCCTATGTTTCAATATTGCATCCATATAGGTACATATATGCATATTCCCTTATTACACACAATATATTTTTAATTTTTTTGGCAAGGGAAAATGTTGAAAAGGAGTACAAATGTTGTTCTATTTTGCGTTAGAAAAATGCGGCCCTTGACGCATCAAAATTGGTATCAAAAGAGGGAAAAAAAAAAAAAAAAAAAAAGATATACATATGCATATATATACACATATATACAAATGTAAAGATGTAAACCCTATGTAACACGCGTATGAGATTCGTGCGTAATTGCGTACGTTCCTCTCTTTATATTACAACATCATGAGGGAACAAATTGTGGAATTAGAGGATTGTAAATTACGAAATAAAAGTTTGCAAGTATGAACATTGGGGTACATGAGCGTGCAAAGTTTTTACACGACTTTTAGCAACACTTCAAAACCCTTTTTTTTTTTTTTTTTTTTTTTTTTTTTTTTATCTCCTGCTCACACCTTTCCTATACCAAGTGAACCTGCAAAAGTTTTAAACAAAAAAAAAAAAAATAAAAAAGTAAAAATAAAAAAAAACATAAAAAAAAAAAAAAAAAAAAAAAAAAAAAAAAAAAAAAAAAAAAAAACAAAAATGTATGATTTTTGTTTTTTTTTTTTTTTTTTTTTTTTTTTTTTTTTTTTTTTATTTTTTTTTTTTTTTTTTTTTTTTTTTTTTTTTTTATCTCCTGCTCACACCTTTCCTATACCAAGTGAACCTGCAAAAGTTTTAAACAAAAAAAAAAAAAATTAAAAAGTTAACATGAAAACAAGCATGAACAAAACAAACATAAACAAAACATACATGAACAAAACAAATATAAACAAAACATACATGGACAAAACAAATATAAACAAAACATACATGGACAAAACAAATATAAACAAAACATACATGGACAAAACAAACTTAAACAAAACAAACATAAACAAAACAGGCATGAACAAAACAAACATGAACAAAACGAACATGAGCCAAACAAACATGAACAAAACGAACATGAGCCAAACAAGCATAAAACATTTCTGTTGTTGTAAAATTCATTGAAAAGACAAAAAAAATTATATATATGCGCGAAAAATAGCGCACATATGGGAATTGTTCCTTTTTTTTTTTTTTTTTTTCATTTTATGGATAGCTTGTTGCAATTTAATCAATCTCTTTGGATTTTACACAGGGAAATAAAGGCAACCATTTTTCTATTTCACTTTTTTTTGTACTAGCGCCTGCTAATGCGGAATGAAGCATATACATACGATTGTTACGTGTGCACATGTGTGTATAAACACAAATGAGCCAAAGCTTCATGTGGGGATATGGTCTGGGTGTTTGTTGCCATTGGAGTATGTTCAAAAGTACAAAAATTTACACACACGTAAACAGAAGTAATAATGCGTAACTACTACCAAACATACATAAATAAACGTACACATATATATATATACACGCATAGGAATCCAACTTAAAATTTGAAATTGCTTGTGTACGCATATCGCATTTTTATACACATCAGTTCTATAAAAAAAAAAAAAACAGCATCAAAATTTTACACCTGTCAAAATGATCAATTAAAACCTTAGGAATATCGTCATCATGAATGCTAGTAATTGCTCAAAGAAAACATGCTTAATTTTAAATGTTTCATAAAATTAATTTTATTGCATTTACTTACATGTAATAGTAAATTTTTTTTGGTACATATTTAAGCATCCATTCAGATACGTATAACTCTTCTCTCGCACTCAAGATGTTAACTTGCGGAACGTAGAGAGACAGGTTGTGTGTTACATTATTTCAGTTCCATTTGTGAAATATATCTTTGCTAAAAATAAAATTAAATGAAATAACCCATGTGGATATGTATACACAGGTATACGTAACAAATTTGCAGTTAAATCTGCTTGTTTTTTTTTTTTTTTTTTTTTTGTTCTATAAATTGAAATTACATTCCCAATAATCTATCAACTGTGTCTGAAGGTTTATCTGTTCTATCTTGAATCCACTGTTTTACCAAAAATATATTGTTGTTCCATCTTTTAAGTTCGAAATTAAAAAAAAAAAAAAAAAAAAATTGTTTCTCCATGGTAATGGGTAGAATAATATCCAAGCGCTGATATATATATATATATATATATACATATACACCTTCACATACATGACTCCGCGAGCATAGGCACACGTAGGACATCATAGCAACGTGACAGGAATTTCGAACCTTTCTATAGACTCAACAGCACATTCATTTTGCATTTTCATCTTTTCTATTTGTTTTATATCCATCTTTTTTATATTTCCCAATTCATTTTTTTTTTTTCCCAACTCATTTATTAACGTTTTTACTTCTTCTAGTTTACTTCGCAAGTCATCCTATTTGTAAAGTTATATATATGTGTGTATGTGTGTAAAGAACTATGAATAAAAAAAGAAAGAAGAAGAATCACAGTTATTATTACCTGTGAAATGTTTAATGAGTTAGTCAATTCTTCATATCCTTCCTTTTCCCTTTTTACATTATCCTCGTATTCCCCCTTTTCTTCTCTTACAAAGAAAGAAATGTAACATGTTTTATATACATCCATGTGCAGGTTGTGCATGAGGTGTAAGTTATGAACGCTGTATATTAAGATATGTCATCTTTCTTATTATAGAATTGGTTAGGGGTACTTTATCTCTTGGAACGAATTCTGTAAGATTGATGACTCTTCCGTTTTCAGCACCCTTAAAAAGGAGCAGTAGAAATGGGGAGGGGGAAATAATTAAGAAACAGTGTTAGACATGGGTTTAGACACGTATGGTGAAGTACTTGATGTGGGCTTAGACAAGGATGACGATGCAGGAGAAGAAAATACAGTAGGGATAAATCGTGTGTATGGGAAAAATTGGGGAGATAATGAAAAGTGGTATCGTCACAGTAAGCTGCTAGGCACAGTAACATGCACACGTGCACATACCAGTAAATATTCTGTGAACCGACTTTCTCTGACCTCACTTTATTATCATCCACTAACTGTTGCAGCAAGTCTAATTTGGTTAACAATAGTTCCAGTGGACATGTATGTACATAGAAATGTTTTTAAAATGGACGATATGATGATTTAAGAAAAGCTGATATATATATATATATATATATATATTTTTTTTTTTTTTTTTTTTTCCACTTCATTTGGTTAAGTATATGTAAAAAAAAAAAAATAATAATAATAATAGTAATACTAATAGTAATAACAGTAGTAATAGCAGTAGTAATAATAAAATATTCACATGAATGTTAACCCTTTACGAACATAGAGCGGATTCCTTTCTTTTGACCCAGAGTCTCCAACTCCCTTAAAATAAAAAAGGATTCACTCTCCAACAGGATGTCATACAGGATTAATTTTTTTTCGTCGTTACTTTTTCCTTTTTTTTTCATTATCTCTAAAGTGTGCTTAGCAAATGGGTTGTTTTTGAAATGTAGGATACTTAATTGGGACACTATTTTAAAGTGAACTTTTTTTTTTTTTTTTCTCCTACTTTTTTTAATTTAGATCTGTAAGTTTATTCTGAATTTGTCCGTACACATGCATAGGTCAAGCTAATAAAGTAAATCCTTTGTCATCGCTTGGTTCATTTCTGCGTGTGTGTGTGTGTGTTTGTTTGTATGTATGTACACACATAGGTAACCATATGCACCTCATAAACCTTCAGTACCCCTGCTTAAGTGTCACCACCTATTTCTCACTATCTATCCCCCTAACTGAATACAATTTCTTACTTATTTATGTACCCAACCCCATAATATGAGTACATAAAAAATGATGTTGCCAATTTGCGGGTGCGAATTCAATTAAAAGCTTTGCAATTTTTTTTTTTTTTTTTTTTTTTTTGTCTATGTATAATAATCGTGGTGAAGTCAAAGTCACGTGGAAAAAAATCAAGAATTTTATTTTCCTTCTACAAAGTTACATGCACGCTAAAACGATGCTTGAAAAAAAAAAAGAAGAAAAAAAAAGAGCGATACAAGCACAAAACAGATTTAAATGTAAATACATATATATATATACATATGTAGCGATTTAAAAATGTGCACTACTAGTGTGGTAAATGCTGCAGCGGCTTATTCAACACGTTTTAAAAAAGTAAAAAAAAATAAATTCATATTTGTGAACAACATTTACACACGCTGAAATTTGAAATTGCTTATATCTATGCAACAGCAATAGCAACAACAACAAAAAAAAAAAAAAAAAAAAAAAAAAAAAAAAAAAAAATATATATAAATGTGAATGTGCACTTGCATGTGGGTCCAACTTTGGACTGCCTGGTTGTACGCATGTGCAGGGAACACACATACAAATGAATAATTCGAAATACGTCTCAATGTACATTCTTGGATGAGGAGATTCAATGCACATGTGATTAAAACTTGAAATATTTTTTTTTTTTCTTTTTCTTCTTTATCTCCTCATTTTTCACTTTTTTAGGTGGATCCACCTGTGCTGACACAAGTTTTGCCTTGTTGGATATTTCTTCATATTTGCTTAACTCTTTTTTGATATCTTCAATATTCGTAGATGGAGGATTGATTTGGAGTTTCTTCCCAGTTTCACTCTGTACATATGGAGTTGATATTCCGATATTACTGAATGGTGTAATGCCTCCTCCTCCAGCTTCTGAAACGTTAGATGCCTTACTCATCATAGAAATGGATGAATTTATTTTGTATTTGACATTTGAAGAAAATAAATTATTTTGTGAAATGGGTACTTGTTCTTTTTGTAATACTGTGTATGGCTTAATGTTTGATGGATTCATATAATTATTATTATAAACATATTTGGGGGTTTCATATCCTGATATAAAGGAAGTTAAATCTACAGATGTTGCACCACTTTCCATAAAAGGTGTGTAGGACCCATTTATTTTAGTATTCGTTGCAACACTGTATATACCACTATTAAAATTATTTTTTAACATATCTTCATTGATATTTTCATTTAAGTGTATATTTACATTTTCTGAATATATAGCATCACTTTTCTCTTTCTGTTCTTTTGATTGACTTTTCTTTTTCTCCTCTTTGTTACCATCGTCTATGTATTCATTTCCTTCTTCTACTTCCTCTTCTCCCTCTTCTGAATTTTCATAATTTTCATCAATTTCTCCCCATAAAAAATCATCCGGAAACTTACTGCTATTTTCGCTAGTATGTTGCGATACAAAATTTCCATAAACAATATTTCCTGACTCGTCAACATTATCGTATCGTGGTTTTGCTCCTCCTTCTTGATCTTTATTTATACTACTTTGAATGTTTGCTGCACCTTGACAGATAGAATTACTCTGGGTATTTGTATCCCCCTGAGTGTTGGCACCCATGTGTGCACTTCCTACTCCAGTGGTGTTTTCATTAGCACTCATGCCAATGGTTTTACCTGATCCAGATTTATCCTGTGTAAGTTCATTCAAACCTGGGATATTCAAATAAGGAAAGGAAGGAGGTAATCCATATTTCTGCATATTAAACAACCAAGGGAGTGGTTCATTGGGATCGATATTTAAGGCTTTTCTTAATTTTTCTGAAATAACACCTGGACGAAACTTTTTTGTTTTTAACTCAAATTCTTTTCCTTCATAATAAAGATCTGCAAATTTTACTAATTTTGGTTTTGTTGCATATTTAAAGAATGCATCATGAAGTGTTTGATAGTCTATATCCATGGTATGTAATTTTGGCCTTACTCTATCTCGCATTTTTTGTTTTAGCGACTTTTGTTCTTCTTTTTCTTTTATAGCTTGTCTTATTTCACTAATTTTCGTATCTTCAATATATGGTGGCAATTTATATGGAATTTTTTCAGTTCCTCTTTTTCCATGCATATATTTTCTTTTCTGGCACCATTGCTGTGGTACTGGTACTGAATCTTTTAAACATTTTAACCATACAAAAAAAAAGGGATCGCTAGCTGTTGTGTCCCATATTTCTACAAGTTCTGGTTTTTTAGCAAATTCTTTTAACTTCATAACTGAAGGTCTATTTAACAATTTCAATGCTTTTTTTGAAATGGGTTCTTTATTTTTCATTGTTCCTGCCTCCTCTTCTGCATCTTCATCATCTTCCTCTTTCTCATCATCTTCTGATGAGATATCATCTAAATTCTTTTTCTTTTTTTCATAATCAGTGTGATCTTCAGGGTCTACATACCCATCCTTATTCCCTTTGAATTTTATGTATACATCTTGAAAATTTTTGAAAATTTCTTCCTCGATGTCTAAGGTGTGGGTGAAAGATGAAGAAAAATCCACGTAACTACATGAACACACTAATAATGTTGTATGTTTGTGTAACAACACATCCCTTCTCCCATGTAATTACACAGAGTACTAATACATTTATACACGGGGGACATGCTCCAATGCACATACGCAACGGGCATATAGACATGTAGTTGTTCTACATGGAGAATATCGACACGTAGATTGACAAGCAGAATATCCACATGTACATCTACATGGGATATATCCTTATGAATACAAAAAATTATTTTCTGAACACTCCATGTTTTCTCGCATCCCCACCTTCTTCTACGTACTCCACGTATGGTTCATATTGATAATTCCTCAATATGTCTTTATTCACACCATTCGACGTATCGTTTTTCTTCTCCTTCTTCTCCTTCTTGGCATTTCTCTTTTTCTACATGGAGGAAAAAATGCGAAACATATGTAGAATCACCCATGGGTTATATGCACATATATATATGTGTGTGTGCATAAATGCAGATATACATCATGTAAGCAGAAGCGATTCTATATTTGTTCATAACACGTGATGCCAAAAATGGTTTTACATATTATGTGTGTACTTAATTTTTCTCTTTTTATACATACTATTTTTTTTATAAGGTTTTTTGCCTTGGTTGGGTTACTCCTCCGTAGCTCTTTTAATTTTTTAATGTCAATTAGATCTGCCACAGCCATGATTTTTCAAGTTATGCGACTTTTGTTTAGCTAAATTTTCCCTTCCCACTTTTCGCTCCTTCGCTTTGATTTTATGACTTTCCTAAAATTGCATTTTTTACCCTTTCGCCCCCTTATATGCTCACGAGAAAAAAACGCAATTGTTGAATAAAATCAATTTAGGTATCAATTAACCACGTTTCCAGCGCGATCTCATAAAATCATTAAAATATAAAAAAACGGACTTTATTTTGAACAAAAAAAAAAAAAAAAAAAAAAAAAAAAAAAAAAAATAATATATATTTTGCACGTTATTCACTAAACATAATTGCACTTTAAAAAAAAAAAAAAAAAGAACCACTTTTTATTAAACTCATTACTTTGTACATTTCTCATTAGCTAAAAAATATAAAATAAATGTTAGAAGGAAAAAGAGAGAGGTATATGTATGTACAGATATAGGTATATATCGCATATGTATTTTCGTGGTCTCCATCAGCGCACGTTGTGCGTACAATTTTTTTCCTTATATGTTTTTTATGGCTATAACGCATCATCATGTATATTTCCTTGTGGCCTTGCTTTTTTGCATTTTTGACTTTTAGATTTTTTACATTTTTGCCGATTTTATTTTATTTTTTTTTCTCATTCTTAATATGTTTCCCCTGCTTCAATACTCAGCACCCTGGTAAGAGGTTTTGTATTGTGAACAAATCGGGGAATAAGAACTACTAAATCATGTTTATTTTCCCTTTTTTTACATTTATTTTGTTTATTTTGTTATTTTTTCTCCGTTAGTGGAGCAAGCATACACTTCCATGCGACGATAACTTTAAAATCTCGCAAATTTAAAAAAAAAAAAAAAAAAATGTTGACTTTTTCCCAAGTTGTAATGCTCTGCATTCGACACGTCCTCCAAACTGTGACAGCAGAATAAAAACAACTAAATAATTTTATATATATCCCTCGTCTATTTGATCATAATAAACACTTAAAGAAAAAGCATGAAAAGGGATGAACTTTGGGAAAATATACACATATATATATATATATATATATATATATGTGTATATTCCTACAAATATGTGCTTATAACATAACATTCCAATGTGTAATGCTTTTGCTTTAAAAGGCAATTTTATTTTACTATCCCCAAAAATATATACATATAAAGTTAAACTTAGCTATTTGCTTAATAACAAATAAGAAAAAAATATCATTAAAAGAGCTCATAACTTAAAGGGTGAACAACTAGAAGAAAGCATTTATAAAAAGAAAAAAAAGAAATGCACAAATAGCTAGTTGACATTTATATGATGACAACTATTTTTTTATTTTTTCCAATTCTTTAAATTCCCTCAAAGGATAACAAGACATTTTTGATTACATTTATTTGTTCATTTTGTATCACCATTAATTCGTGAAACCGTGAAATGTCATTCTGTCTTAGTTCTAGAAAGTCAGCAAAGCGTCTTCTCATGTTTCTCTTCACTGAAAATGTAAATGAGCATGTAGTACATATAACCACATTCTTGTAACACATATATATATGAAAGTTTTTTTATGCATGCACTTGCAATCGCATGGAGGGGTGAATTATCTCCTCACTCTAAATCATTTCAACATTTTTTAGCCTTCATTTTAAGGATTTTCAAAGGTGTTATCTATTTATCATACTTTCATTATTCTTTGTTCGATGCATCCATAACTGAAATATAGAAAATTATAAAAAAAAAAAAAAGATGTTAATAGAATAGCAGTTAAAGAAAAATAAACCCAAAATAACGACAAATTTTTTATTTACACACATGGAAAAATACTGTATAGCAATTTTTTTCCCTTTAAACATTGTTAATAAAAATATAGTCAAAGTATCAGACAAAATGTGTACAAAACTCTTACAGAATAATAACTCAAATGTGCAATCATGGTAGTTCTTTTTATTATTGTTTTAATTTTTTTTTTTTTTTTTTTTTTTTGGTTAACGTTTCTATTTTCTTCTAAAAAAAAGTTAAACATTGGTTGTGCCGATTTCTCCTTTGTGGAAAATAAACTGAACAAATCAGGCATATTTTTTTCCTTATTTTGGGCCTAATGTAGAAAAAAGCAATTGCAAAAATAAAAATTTGCTTATAAATTCAAATGCGATATTTATAATTTTTTCTATGTTATTCAAAAATAAAGAGTATTTTTTTTTTTTTTTCTGCTTGTGTCCCCTAAATTATAAGTAAAAGGGTGCATAATAAGAGAAGATAAAAGTGCCCCTGTTCGAAAAAAATACACAAAAAATATGCATTTCCAAGTGCAAGCATCATACAGTTCTAACATCAAAAGTGAAAACTTCAAAAAATGTAACAACCTAGTCGGGTATATAAAAAAAATATATTTTGTACTTTGGTTTGGGCAAAACTTGATCTTTCAGAAAAAGGCCTATTAGGGTCTATGCATTTTATGTCTGCAAATTTCCAGATTAATGTAACTAGCGAAAGCAGAAAAAGGAATTTTTGCTTGTTCATTTTTTTTTTTTTTTTTTTTTTTTATAAAACCTAATACGCAAGTACACAAATGAGGGAAAAGTCAGACAAATTACTAAGAAGAAAATGTTTAAAATTAAAATTAATAAAATAAGGCAAAACGAAGATAAATAAAATAATGATTATGTGTTAATTACATCAATAAAAAAGTTACACATTGAAAACATTGAAAAAAATACTTTATTAACTAAAAGAGGAAAACCCCTCAAAAAAAAAAAAAAAAAAAAAGCTCAATTTAGGAACACACAGTATGCAGAAAAAATTGTTGTTTCATATTGGAAGCACCCTAATATAACCTATGTACATAAATAAGCATGAGCATATGTTTACATTTTCACAGGTGTGTAATATTCGAAAAGAAATGATGAGATGCACATTCACCTAGGAACAGCGCTGTTCATCCTGTAAACATGTTTCATTATGCTTTTTTATTTTTAGCTTTTCCTATCTATTCGTTTGTGTATGTACACTAAAATGTAATTATGTGTGAATATGTTGGTATTGTTTACCTAATCATATTGGAAAAGAAAAAACGTCACGTTTAACTGTAGACATGTTTTCTATGTTAAAGGTAATTTCCAAATTTTATAAATTTATTCACATTTCGTAATTTTTTAAAAATAACTTCTTTAGAATGCGATTTAAGGAAAAATATTACAAATTGTGTTATTTACATTTACTTGTTTTTTTTTTTTTTTTTTTTTTTTTTTTTTCCATTAACTCAAGAGAAAATATTCTATATAATTCCCAACTTTTAGAAATAATATACATATATATATATATATATATATTCATACCTACTTAAGTCACATCGCTTCGTTTATTGATTGTGAAATTTACGTACATTTTAGAATTACAACATTTGCACCTAATTTAACAGCTACTTTCAACTTTTTATCTTTCTTGAGAAAGATAATTAAAAATGGTTAAGAGCAGCATGCTCGCAAACTGACCGTATGAATGTTCATGCGAAATTTTTTTCGACCCCTTTATGGTCTTAAACCAAAAGCTAAAAAAGAAAAAAAAATTAAATGCAAACATCGTTCTATGCAATAATATCTTCCTTCCTAAATGAGACTCTCTCAACGGATACATATTACTCAGAATGTTATGATAAAAAAGAACAAAATTATATGAAATCAGTAAAACCGCACTACTTCGATTTTAAAAAATGTCATAAAATACAAATAGAAAATAAATTAAATGAAAAAAGCTTAAGTATGCAAAAGACATGTCAGAATTATCGTGATATTGAATGTACAAACAAGATATATAATGGGGATATTAAAAAAGAAATGGAACATTTTCATAAATTTGTTTATTATGATAATAAAAATTCTTTTTTTTGTAGTGAATATTATGATCATATGAACGATTTTTCAAATGTGTCTAATGAATGTTTTGATGCAAAACACTACTTTGGTGCATTTCTAAATTTTCCAAATTTGTCTGCATTTAGCCATATTTCCAAATTACCAAATTTTAAAAAAATTAAAAGAAAACATTTTTCGAAAAGAGAAAAAAGTGACAAAAGCCAAAACGAACTTTTTAAAAGAATAATAAAAAAACATTTAGACTCAGTTGACCAATACACACATAATCTTAGTACTCGTAGAAAAGTTGAGTTTACTAATTTGCACAAAAATGGTGATATAGGCAAGAAATATAAAAGAGGTGAAAATTTCCTACCTGTAAAATCTAAAAATGTCTTGTGTAAATATTTTAATATATTAGATATAAATCCGAGGGAGGGGAAAAATAATATAACGACACGAAAATTCAAGGAACATAACTCCACTGATGTTATGAATCATCAGAATAAAAAGAAGAAAAATCAAATGATATTTCTACAAAGATGTGATAAAATATCAAGTGATGAAAAAAGGAAATTTCTAAAAAAAATAAACTTGCATTTTAGTAATTGTAAAAGCATTGGAAGAGACATTTTTATATCCTTAAATGAGCCGAAAAGGTTTAACAGGCTTTCCATTTTTCGAAAAAAACAAAATGAATATGAAGAAAAGGAGGGTGACGATAAATCAACAAAATCGGAAGATATTCAATCGTACACAAATTTAACTCAATATAAAAAAAGGATTCAAATAGTGTCTTGTGACGATATAGAATTTTACAAAATAATGCGAAAAAAGATGAAAGAGAAATACAAAAATAAAATAAACTGCTTAAATACAATCCGATCAAATAACAAAACTTGTTCAGATTTTAAGATGAAAAAATTACAGCGTCGAAATGCTAGACCTAATGAATACTTTGCTAAAAAGTTGGAAAACGGGAGAAACTATCAAAGTGAAACAATATGTGATTGTAATGACAGTGACGCTCAAGCGATAAATGAAAAGTGTAAATGTGAAATGATAGGCAGGCTCCCTTTATCCCAGGGTACCACCAACGTAACCAATCTTACAAACGAAAAAAATGACAAAATTGAAAAAAATATTTTCAAACGGTTTTCTCCTAAATGTGCACAATCAGGAGGAACAGGAAATAATGGTACTCAAAATAAAAACCATCAACCCGTTGCTAATTTAAGTAAGGTCAAATATAATATCCCCTACAAAGGATACACACTTTTGAATTACCAAAATGGACATGTACACGATTGCTGTATGAATAAGAAAGAGGGAACAATAAAACCACAGCATATTATTACTATTAGAAAAGGAGGATATACTAAATGGAATTTTTCTAGTGATGGAGAAGCAAATAATCCAGAGTGCAATATAAATTTGGAACCCCTTCGATTTATTACTTCTGATGATTTTGGTAAATTTTTTAAAAACGAAGAGAAACATATCACCGCTTGCAAAAGGGATAACCAAGCAGATGATATATCTGAGAAAAAAGAAAAGAGCAGTACTAGCACTCATAGAAATAGTATCAGTACATGTAATACAAATCCAGAAGGAATGAAAAGATTACAAAAAATTCATAATAATGTGAAGGGAGAGAAACCTGAGATGTGGCATAGAAGAACCCAAATTTGCAACAATAAAAGTGACGATTTGAACAAGGTAAAACGGATGGAAAATGAGAATATAGGAAAAAACATCTCTCATGAAATGGACAATTGGAAGAATACATTTTTCTCTTCTATAGAGATAGAGAAGACATTCTTCAGTGACAATGATGTAACGTCTGATATAGTGGTAAAACATAATGAAAGAAACTATGGAGAAAGGAATAGGAAAAACGATATGTTCATCTCAAAATTAAAAAAGTGCAATTCAGAATATTCTGATTATGCGAAAAAAAAGAATTCGAATGATAATACATTTTATACTACAAGTAGTACTACGTGCACAAGCACATCTAAATCTGAAATTAGCCCTACTGATGATATTTATAACGATAATCATAAGTACGGTTCGATTTCATCAGAAGAATTCAAAAAAATATACGATGAGTCAAATGTAGAGAAATTAAATAAATGTCATATGAATGATAACACAGATGAATGGTTCCATTTCGATATGATGAATGTGGTACAGTCTGAGAAGATTCAGGAATATGGAGAAATGGGAATAGTCTACCAATCACAGTGTTGTAAAAAAAATGAAAATAGTCATTCTAAGAGTTTAAATGCAGAAACTGATAAAGAAAATATATATAACGAAGATATGTCATGTTGTGATAACTCAGATTGTGAAAAGGAGAGTAGAGCCAAACTAGGTGGTAATCACAACAACAATATGTACAATTTCACTAGTGGCATAACCATGAGAACTTCAGGTGATAATGATAAGGTGGAGAGCTGCAAATATAACGCTCTAATATCACCTCATAAGGGATGTGCACAATATCCAAAACAAATCCGTATGACCAAAACACATTTTCCACGCAACTGTAATGAGTTTTTTTCTCTCGTACATAGATCATTCAGTGATGATATCAACAAAATGAGGAATTACAGATACGAGAGAAATTACCCCATGGAAAAAAAAAAAACAACTAATTATTCTGACAAGATAAAATATTCATACAAAATCCAAAAAAAAAGAAAAGAAAAAAATAGAAAAGAAATAAATAGAAAAGAAGTAGATCCCATGGTTTTAGAAACTATGCAATGCAACAATAAAAAATTAGCACGAAAACCGAAAATTTATTGGTGCAAAAGAAGGCCATTTTGGGAAAACAAATATGTTAAAGAGAAAATGGAAAAGAATAAGCAACATGAAATATATATCTTAACAGATAAAAAGTATAAAGAATATGAAAACAATTTATGCAAAAATTGGAAAGACAACTATGAAAATTCCCCAAAAGAATTTTCAATGATGGACCAAAGAAATCACAACTGTGTGAAATATAAAGATGGTAAAAAAAAAGAACTAAATAGATTTTCTTCAAATAATGACAGCATGTGTACATCAGTAAGTATACCTTTTCACAAACTGATATTCACAAATGAATCTCACAGAAAACGTGAAGATCGAATAATACCCCTTAGTGGAAATATGCCAAAGAGGAGTTACACAACTTCCTTTCTACATAAAAAATTCAATTTAAGCAGTAGGAAATATTCACCTATTAATACTGCCTCATTAGTTGATACAAATAAATACGACAACATGAAGATCAGAAGCTTTCCCTCCTTTATGCAATCGCATGGGGAATCTACCACCACGTTACTGTTTTCTACTGATGATAATGTTAAAGGTTCAAAATGTGTGAGTAAATATGGAAAAAAGCTCACAGTGAGCTGTTCATCTGATGATCACTCGAGTCGGAACTATATAAATGTTGATTGTCATTTGAAGGAAGATTTTCCACACCCATTTCTTGTGGAAAGGACTCCCCCGATGGAGAATGGGAACAGCAGAACTTGTAATAGCAAAAATGAAATCAATTGGAGCAGCAAAAATGAAAGAAAGACAAACCTGAATAGTATTTATACCGAAGGGTTGGTCGACAAAAATGAGGTGACAATTACGAACAGTGCAGAAACAACCATTTGGAAAAAACAAAGTCAAGCATATCCTACACCGGATGGTAGCACATTACCAGATGGAAACAAAATAATTAGATGTGTAGTATCACCTTATCCTTTGTCTTCTCCTTTTCCTCCAACCACTAATAAGTTCGTTTTAAGTGACAACAACCCAAAGAACACGGAACTTTTCATGTTTTATAAAAGTGATACAATAGAAAATGATAATAACTGCGAAAATAATAGCACATTATTCACTTGTATACATAGAATAAATAAAAATGAACAAAAAAATACACAAAGAAGGGAAAATTATCTAAAAAGGGATTGTATTTATAAGAATAGTCCGCTTGTCAAGGAAGAAAAAATAAAGTTTCCCAACTATATGAATGGAAAAGAGAAGATAAATTACAAATTTTCCATTCAGAACAACTTGATACAGGATGAGGGGACTAAAAATGTTTGCTACAAAATATATATAAATAATAACAATCATAATGGTAGCAATTGTGGCAATAATAATAGTAGCAATAGTGACAATAATAATAGTAGCAATAGTGACAATAATAATAGTAGCAATAGTGGCAATAATAACAATAGCAATAATAATAGAAAAAACAATCGTTTCATTAATGTAGAAAAGATTAACATAAAATATGAACATATTTCAGAAAATAATTTAACGTGGAATTGTTTTAACCAGGAATTGTGTCATGATGACGGTACCTCTAAATGGGCAGAAAAAAAATCTACCATATCTGAACACACAAATTTAAAATCTTCAACTGAAAATAATAATTGTGATCACAATGTGAATTATGAAATAAGACACTTAGCAATCACCGAACTGGGGTATTACAGAAACCAAGTTATTAATTCTGTTGTCCCTCTAAGTTGTAAAACCAATTTAAAAAAAAACCGAAATAAAATACACTCAATTGATCATAAAGAACTTTGCATTAATGGAAACGGAATTTTAAGTAATTCCTATAACATTGTGAGAGAATACTGCTCCTCAAGAAAGAGATGTATTTATTTTCCATATCTCGACAAGAATAATAAGAGGAGGACACACTGGGAGGATGAAAGAATTGTAAACAGCCAAAATGAAAAGTTAAAAAATGGGATCAATGAAAATAGAGGTAATAATGACTGTGGAAAAAACAGATACAAGGAATCCATTTTTGAGAATTACATAAAACAGAAAAAGCTCAATTTATGTAACGATTCTTCCAATGATATCCGATATATGGAAGAAAAAGAAGTTTTAAAAGATCAGAATAATAGGATTGACAACACTGGGGATCACTTCAATGCGGACGCTAATTTGATTACCTTGGAGAAGACAATCAATTTTGAAATGGAAAAAAGATCATCTGGGAAAATTAAAATATGTAGAACTCCCACTGTTAATGATTATGTACAGATTGAACAAATGCCAACTAGCGAATTTGATGAAGGTAACAAAATGAAAAAACTACCCTCAACATGGGATCATATAAAAAATGAAAAAAAAAATCAGATAATGAGGGAGAGCAATGAAATGGGTAGTACGACACAAGCAGAACAAATCCAAGATGATGGTGCTACCATTTATAGGGATAATTTATTAGTCAATAAAAATTCTGCACAAGTTATAAAAAAATGCAGTTCCATTCCAGATGGAATAACTCATGAGAAATACTGGGATACGAATTTTTCAAAAAATGTTGAAATAAAAAATACAACTTTTAGTGGAAATTACAACATAGAAGAGAAGCTAAAATTAGAAGAGAATAGGGATAATATTACTATAGACAAAGAAATGCAGGTAAATAACGAAAATAACAATTTTTTAAAAAGAAACATGCAAAAGGGTAATTTAACGAACATGCTATCTTTTACAAAGGATTTTTTTAACGTAAATTCGAAATATGATAAGAATAATTTGGTTCCTACAAGCAGAGGAAAGAAGCTAGAAATTTCCAATCCTGCAGAAAAAACTGAAGATTCTTGGAAATTTTTGTACAATTGTAAATCGACAAAAAATGTTGATGATAGACCTTCTTCTTCTAGTGTCGAATTGCCTAACATTTCTAGTAGAACATCACCTACTAATAAAATAACAAAGAACGCGACAAATGAACCCATTACAAAAGAATCGCAAACCAACTATTTGATAGAGTGGTATCCAGGTTTTGATATTCCAATAGGGACACATGGAAGGTCAATATTACGAAAAGCGCTACATCAAAAAAGGATGACAAATGTTAAAATGTGTGATGAGCTTTTATCATCAAATAATTTATTTCCAACATCTAGATCAACTTTTGGTGATATGAAAATAAAAGATTTATATAGAGCTGCACATATTTTAGGTGTATGGAATGTTGCTGAAAAACATTGTCTATTGGCTTGTGAACGAAATGGATATAAAAAAGAATGGATTTCCATGTTGAAAAAAAGTGGCATAAAAGTAACCATCAAAGCTCTCAAGGAAATGAGAAGTAGGTATTTAATGAATACTAAAAAAATTAAAAATTCAAATAAAAAGAAAAAATTCCAAAAGGGTGATAATTTGGAGAAAAAGAACCATTCTTGTGTTACCCTTTTAGACGAACCTAGCGTTAGTTGCAATTTTCCAACTGATCAAAATGGTAATCAAATGTGCACTATTTCTATGAGTCCTGTATCAAGTCCAAATTGTAAAAGTGTAAATCGTGCATGTAATAGTATAGATGAAGAATACAGCTATCACTGTAATGTACTCCCTGAAAAGGTACATAATAATAGAACCCGTTATAAGACAATTTCCATGATTCCACAGAACAATGAAAACCAGAAACAACCTTTTAATAAAACAAATGAATCTTTCCTGCAAATGTATACAAAAAAAGAACAATGTGAAATGATCAGTAATGTAAATTATCAAAATGGTAGGACAGTAAAACCACAATTTCTAAAAACTCATAATATCTTATCTATTTCAGAAGTGAATAATGAGAATGTTATAAATCCTATAGGTATATCCAATAATTTAAACATGCTAAATATAAATAATTCAGTAAATAAAATGCCCCTCTGTCATCCCGTAAGGGATATTTTTTCTAACTCGATTGATCTATCTTTAAACAATGCAATAACTAATGAAATAGACATAAAAAATGGCATTAATGTTAAAAATGGCATTAATGCTAAAAATGGCATTAATGTTAAAAATGGAATTAATGCTAAAAATGACATTAATGTTAAAAATGGCATTAATGCTAAAAATGATATTAATATTAAAAATGACATTAATGCTAAAAATGACAGTTGGGAGAAAAAAAATTACCAGATTTTTAATAAAAATTTGTTGAATGGAACGGAAAAACTTATTTTTCAAAATCCTAACCAGCATAGTAATATATCATTCACTGATAAAGAACTCACCACCAGTAGAATAATTCACATGGAAACTAAAAGGCTATGCTAGTGGCCTTCGATTGGTGAGAAATCTCTCTATAATACATGAAAACATTAGAAACAACAAATAATTTCAAAATTGAAATGTCCAATAGTCTGTTCGACAAAAAGGGTACTTCTTACTGCACGAAAAAAAAAAAAAAAAAAATAGATGAAATGGGGATAGAAAGAATAGCTATGATGACAAGGTCTCATGTTTAATGGGCATACCTCCCCACACACACTAACATGCATACACGTTGTACTCACAAAAAAAAAATTGTGTAAAACATAGTTAGAGGACAAATTTAAACATGCACCAAAACAGAGGTATCTGTTATATGTAAAGAAAAGTAGTTTCACTTCTCCTGCAAATGGCTGTGAGGGAAAGGAGAATGCTCACTGGAAGAAAAAATAAAAATTATGCTATGAAAACTGCACCTAGCAAATAAGAGAACTTTTCCCACGGACGCAGCAAGCATTTTGAGAAAAATAGATTATCTATGAAATGTAAATTCAGATATTACTACGACTTTTGATAGAGGTACAGATATGTGAGCCTTTTCAAAATTAATATGTGTAAAAAATAAGTGTTGAAAAATAACACGTTCAGGGGGAATGGGGCTAGGTAGCAAATACTCATGAGTAGCTATAGTGAATTCACACTTTTTTTCGTTTTTTCGTTTTATTGCTTTTTCGTTTTTTTGCTTTTTCGTTTTTTTGCTTTTTCGTTTTTTTGCTTTTTCATTTTTTCGTCTATTCATTTTTTCATTCTTCTATAAAGCCGACAAAATAAAAACAACTCTGCGTGCAGCGGCAAGAAGTATGTTCAAAAAAAGGAAAAAAAAAAAAAAAAAAAAGTTTTACAATCTCAAAAAATGTAGGTCCCTTTGGGTATACAAATAACTTACGTTTTATTGTCACTGCTGTATATATGTTGCCACTATATTCTGTTATATGTTATATGTTATATGTCATATGTTATATGTTACATGTTACATGTTATATGTTTTTTTTTTTTTTTTTTTTTTTTTTTTTTTTTTTTTTTTTAAACAGACTTCTTGTCGAATTCATTTTTAACGCATGGTTTGTGCCCATCTGAAAAAATCTTCTTATATTTTGCGACAAAAAAGCTAGTAAATAATTTTTTGAATTTTTCAGCTGACGCGGAAAAACATTTGGGAGTTAAGTCTCTTTGAGGCAAAAACTTTTCAAAACAGTGCATGCAACAAACATTTTAGGTTTTCTCCCATAAGGGGAAGAAATATACAGCATGTATAAAACATACATAAATATGCTCAACCCACACTTGGGTGAGAGATTCCCCACAAAATTGATCACATGTTGTGTGGTATAAGCAGAAGGCACCCCTTCTAATGCAAGCACGTATATGCTTGTGTATAAAATGAGAAATAATGTATATTAAATAAGGCCATCTTTTTTGTTAAATTAAAGCTGCCTTTTTTTTCTCTCTTCCCCATTGCTCTCTCACCGCTTTCCCCCATTGAATAAAAGTTCATTTCACCTGAGCCTAGCATCCTTTTTACTTGGATGAACAAAATAGTTCCAACACAAATTGGTCATTATTGTCAAAATAAAGGACGCATATATAGAAAGATAAACATAATGGAAATTAAAAATATTAAGGAAAATTTGAAAAGTATGAAGGATGCATACGATCCTAAAGAAGTAGAGTCCAAATGGTACACCTTTTGGGAAAAGAATGATTATTTTAAACCAAAAAAAGAATTATTGAGCTGTAAAGAAAATAGCAAAAAATTTGTTATTGTATTACCACCACCGAATGTTACTGGAACGTTGCATATTGGTCACACACTAACAATAGCAATTCAAGATTCTCTAGTTCGATATAAAAGAATGAAAAATTATTTAACTTTATACATACCGGGAACAGACCATGCAGGTATAGCAACTCAAACTGTTGTTGAGAAAATGTTATTTAAAAAAGAACAAAAAATAAGACAAGATTATGAAAGAGAGGAATTCGTAAAGAAAATATATGAATGGAAAGATCTACATGGAAATAAAATTAATAATCAAATTAGAAGAATTGGTGCATCTGTTGATTGGTCACGAGAATATTTTACTATGAATGAAAAATTGTCAATTGCAGTTAAAGAAGCTTTTATTAAATTTTATGAAAGTGGATTAATTTATAGAGATAATAGATTAGTTGCATGGTGCCCTCATTTAAAAACAGCATTATCAGATATTGAGGTAAATGTTGAAGAAATAAAAAAACCTACCAAAATTAAAATTCCTTCTTTTAATCATTTAGTAGAAGTTGGCGTACTATATAAATTTTTTTACCAAATAAAAGATAATGAAGAAAAAATAGAAATTGCAACAACACGTATTGAAACGATGCTGGGAGATGTTGCTGTGGCCGTTCATCCAGATGATAAAAGATACAAACACTTAGTAGGGAAAGAAATAATTCATCCTTTCATTCCTGAGAGAAAATTAATTATCATTGCGGATAATTTTGTGGATATGGATTACGGTACTGGTGCTGTGAAAATAACTCCAGCACATGATAAAAATGATTATGAAATGATGAAAAGACACAATTTAAATTATATTAATATATTTACATTAGATGGACATATTAATAAAAATGGGGGGAAATTATTTGAAGGTTTACATAGATTTGAATGTAGATTTAAAATTCAAGAAGAATTAAAAAAATTAAATTTATTATCAGATAAAATACCAAATTCTATGTCTCTTCCATTATGTTCAAGAACCAATGATATTATTGAGTATATGCTTATACCACAATGGTATTTAAACTGTAGTGAATTGGCTGAACAAGCCATTCATTATGTAAACAGTAAGGAACTTTTAATCATCCCTTCCCAACATGTTAATACCTGGTTTTATTGGTTACAAAATGTACGTGATTGGTGCATATCAAGGCAGCTATGGTGGGGTCATAGAATCCCTGCTTATAAAATTATCAGAAAGAAAGAAACAGGAGTTGGAGGAACAACCAGTGAAAAATCTAAAGATAGAGAAGAGGACAAGATAGATACTATTTTCGAGGAAAACCAAGAAGAGTGGGTTGTTGGAAGATCCTACGATGAGTGCATGGAAAAGGCCAAGAAGTTAATTGGAGAAAATATTGAATTTAATTTAGTACAAGATGAGGATGTACTAGATACATGGTTTTCTTCTTCTTTAGTTCCATTTAGTTCTTTAGGATGGCCAGAAAAAACACAAGATTTGGAACATTTTTTTCCAAATACTGTCCTAGAAACAGGTCAAGATATTTTATTTTTTTGGGTCGCTAGAATGGTAATGGTTTCAATACATTTAATGAAGAAGCTTCCATTTAACACTATCTATTTGCATTCTATGATTAGAGATTCGAAGGGAGAAAAAATGAGTAAAAGTAAAGGTAATGTAGTTGATCCGTTAGACATCATTGATGGAATTAGCTTAGAAGGATTACATCAGAAATTATATGAAGGAAATTTACCAGAAAAAGAAATCAAACGGGCATTAGAATTACAGAAAAAAGAATTCCCTAAGGGAATACCAGAATGTGGCACAGATGCCTTAAGATTTGGTCTCTTAACATATCTAAAACAAGGAAGAAATGTAAACTTAGATATTAATAGAATTATTGGATATAGACACTTTTGTAATAAATTATGGAATGCTGTAAAATTCTTTTTAAAAACTTTGCCTGATAATTATGATAATTATAATATCTTACTTTACCAACCGGAACATGTTAAGTCACTTGAGTGGGAAGACAAATGGATATTGCATCGATTAAATATTTATATAACACTTGCAAATGAAAGTTTTGATACTTATAATTTTTCAGAGGTAGCATTTGCTTCTTACAACTTTTGGCTTTATGATTTGTGTGATGTTTATCTTGAACTTATCAAGGCTCGTCTGCATACAGAAGAATCCGCTGAATCGGCAAAAAAAGAATTTCCAAATAATCAAGAAAAAAGGGAAGATATGTTAGAATCTGAGAATGATAGCCATTATAGGAATACCAACAATGATTCAAATCATAAGATAAATGAAATTGAATGTGCTCCAAATAAAACATTACACGCATGTTTAGATTATGGTCTAAGACTTTTACATCCAATTTCTCCCTTCATAACGGAAGAGCTGTATACTAAAATTACATCTGAAAAATATAAATATGACTCCATATCCATAGCCCCATACCCAGAATATGTAGAATCGTGGAATAATGAAGAAATAAATTCAGAAATGAACAAATTTATGAGCATTGTTAAACATTTTAGATCTTTTATTTCAAACCTTGAAATTCCTCCGAAAATAAAACTCAATTGTTATATTGCTGCAAAAAATAAGGAAGATGAAAATTTTATCATAAAAGTAAAAAGTAAAATCCAAACGTTAGCAAAATTATCCGCATTAAACATTACCAAGTACAATGTGGAGGAACTACAAGATGAAGAGAAAATGCAAATAAAAAAATGTCTAAAAGACATTATTTCCAACCAGTTTATTATCTATGTTCAGTCGACTGAAGAATATCTGAAACCGTTACTAAATAATATGTTAAATAAAAATAAAAAGCTCCAAGGTTCCTTAGATTCATATTTAAAAAAAATCAATGATCCAAATTATGAACAAAAAGTACCAGAACAGGTGAGAAGTTTGTACTCGGAAAAAATTGAGCAGTTAAACGCACAAATATTGGCCGTATCAAACATTATTGCCGAAATAAATGAATGCTTACAAAATTCATGAGTGCAAACAGTAAAGAGGGGAAGAGAAGTGGAGAAATTTCACAATTAAAAAAAAAAAAAAAAAAAAATTGATGAAAATTAATAAAGTTTAATAAAGCTTAATAAAGTTTAATAAAGTTTAATAAAGTTTAATGCAATTTATTGAAGTTTATTTTATAAGTTAACTATGTATATATATCCCCGTATATCACACAAAAGGGATGTTCTTGGTGGATACACGAAAAAGAAATAATTTGCTTTCGATACCTGAACATGCGTATATGCATAGGACATGTATATCATGTTCTCTATATATAAACCATGCCTGTTCTTAGACATGGAGAAATATGTACCTTATAACAAATCCAAATGTAAAAGATGTAAATTTTCATGGTGTATGGAAAAAAAAAAAAAAAAAATAAACGTACTAATCATACAATGGATAGTTTTATAAAAATTTCAACCTTTGAAATATTTTCAAAATATATGATAATTTCTTATCTTTGTTTATAGTGTTACAATATTGCTGAAATGTTTGATATTTTTGTGTGATGCTCTTGTTTCATTTCTGTCTTATACTCCCATTAGAGTTTTTTTTTTTTTTTTTGAACATACGGTAATTCATCCCAAAGGTTTCTTTGCTTTTACATAACTTCTCCCCTAATATATTTTCCACCAAAAAAAATAAAATAATAAATCCTCAATTCATTTTGACATTTGTCAAATGTTCATCAATCAATGAGAAAATATGGGGCGTGTTACATCCCTGAATTTGTCGAATAATTTCCCCATTTTTTAGTATTATGTAAAAAGGCTTCGAATTATTGTCATAATTTTTTAATGATGAAATGGTTTGTGCACACACAGCTAATATTTTTACACCTTCTGAAAAAGCAAAATTGGTTTTGTAAATTTTGTTTATTATTTCAAAAGTGAAAACACATGGCCCGCACCATTGTGTATAAACATCTATGATATACAGAATGTCATTTTTTTTTTCAAATAACTTTTTATACTCCTCTTCGTTACATATTTCCTGGTATACTTTCTCTTCAGCCCTTTTCATTTTGCACACACATACACAATAAACAAATGAGTGAATTCAGAGATGGAAAAAGGAGTTTCTCCTCTCTGTCAGTCTTTTTTTGCCTGGAGGCATAAATAAATGCGTATTAATTTAAAATGGGTTAGTGATGTTGGAAAGGTTTCTGCCACGACACAGTGTTGTATATGGATAATTAATATGCAGCACGAGAAGGGGAAAAAAAAAAAAAAAAAAAAAAAAAAAATCAGGTGTACCTATGTTGATGTAGTAACAAAATGGTACAGTGTAATCAAATATGATAAAACTAAGAGAGGTATAATAAAACTAAGATAGGTATAATAAAACTAAGATAGGTATAATAAAACTAAGAGAGGTATAATAAAGCTAAGGGAGGTATAATAAAGCTAAGGGAGGTACGATAAAACTACTCGCAGCATGAAAAAAGCTAAGCAAGGTAGAGAAAAATGTAATGCGATAAATTAAATTAATGACTGGGTCATAGAAAAGCACGCAGAGAATTGTGAGGATTCACACGCATTTTTTTTTTCAGACCTTTAAAAAAAAAAACTTAAACAGTTTATCTTCAATAAAATCATCATGAATGGAATGAACTTGATTAAAATTGAAAATTTTGAGAGAACTTTGTTTTTCTTCCTGCTGCTGATTAACTAAAACTTTATTAATTATGGGACCCTGGACGAATAAGTAATATAATAAGTACGATTCCCGTATCATATTTTCAGCTAAGTGGCGTATATGTTTTTGAAAGATGATGCCATTAAGATTATCTAACTTATTTAGCTCGGTCAATATATTATCAATTAAATTTCTAAAAAGGTAGCTTGATGGATTTTTTTTTTTTTTTTTTTCCTTGTCTTCTTCATATAACTTTTTAAAGAATGAATGTTTTTTTGTATTCCTTTCATTCAAATTTTTATCACTGTATACGTTATATTTCTCTTTATATATGTTAATAAAATATAGACAAGACTCGATATAGTAATTTTCATTATTCCTATAACGTAGGATCAAATTTTCATATATAGATTTATGTATAACATTATTATTATCTAATACATATTCACAAAATAATAAATCTAGTAACATGATATTGTACATTTCTGTTATTTTTTTATTTAACAAAGTTCTATTTTTATCATTCTTCTGTTCATATTGAATCAAATAAATTTCTCTCAATTTGCTGATAAATTGAGAATAAATTTTGTATATCTTCTTTTGCAATACAATTTTTACAAGAAATATTATTATGCTTCTGTACAGTTCAGTACTCATTAACTTTTCAATATATAATATAAATATGTTAGAAAAGGTGAAAATGTTCACTAAATGGCAATTCATTCTTTCACATAATATATTTTTTACATCAGTATTTATTAACATGTTCAAAAAATAATGCAAGTACTTTTCCAAACTGTCTAAGTATTCCAAACAGAAACATTTCAGAGAAGTATTCACTATTTTATATACAATGTTCAGAAAAATGCTTTTTATGTCATTCAGGGAAAACATAGGTTCGACATTGGTATCATTCTTCGGTACCCATTCGCTTACGATTTTACCCACCCCCCTTTGACTTTTAAGGAAACGAATCCAAGAACATTTATCATAATGACTAAAAATGTTTAAGTAAAAAAAGAGCTCCTTATAGTCCTCCCTTACGTTTTCTTTCGTATGAATTTTTTCAATGCAATTTAATAAATTCATAGAACTGTTTGATTTTTCATTTTCCTTAAAATATATATCCTTTTCTTTATCGTGCCCATTGTTAACCTTTTCACAATCTTCATTGTTGTTGCATTCGGTTGTGCCATTACTACATTTGTCGTTTGTGATGTGTCCCATGTGTGCTGCATCATCCTGAACAGTATTTTTTAAAAATTTTAAAAGATTTGTAAACTTTTTTAAATTGCAATTGTTTTTATCCTTTTTGGAAGCACTCCTGTTGGTATTCTCAAACTGTTCGCAATTGTTCGCTTCCCCATGCGTATTCACATTTTCCTCATTTTGTCTTTTCAAAATGTTCATAAAAGAATGGAACATTTTAGAAAAATTTGAAATTTCATCAGTACTTTGTCCTGCAAGTAGAAAATCAGGATCTGCAGTGTTTTTAATTTCTTTGTTTTCTATGAACATAATGAGCTTGTATGCACTAAATATAAGGGGGTGAATTTTTTCTTTCAAAATGATTTTAAAGTCTCTGTGAAAATACATTTCCTTGGATGCGTTGTTATTTTTTTGAAAATGTTCTGATATATGCTTTTGAATTTTTTTTTTTCCTTTTGTATCTTTACTGTAGTAACATTCCACATTACTAAATTCGGTATATATAGAATTCAAATCGATAGTAAAAAATTCGTAGTAGTAATAAAATGAATTTAAAAGAAAAGAATAAAACACATAATTTTGAATTTCGTATGTTCTCTCGTATGATAAGGATATATTGCGAAAAAAAACCTGAAAAAATCTCATCATCATAAGCTTCCACTTATCAATTGAGTTGTTGTCAAAAAATGGAATTGCACACACAAATTTGTTAAAATAAAGGAAAAAAAAAATTTCGAAAAATTCGTCATGGATAGCTTGTAGATAATGATTGTTCAGGTAAAAATCGATATCTTTAATAAATTTATGGAAATACTTTTCTTTTATTAAAATTTTGTTTTTTATTTTGTTGTATAGTTTATTGATACTTACATATTCTGTGAACAAATCGTTACAAGTTGTGTTATAACCATTTTTGCAATAATAGACATGTAACAGGTATATCATATACTCATAAATATAATGTACACATTCGAGGTATGTTTTGTGTAATAAGCTGAAATTCTCGATGATCCTTTCGTTCATAATTTTTTCTATCACATCCATGCTATTTATAGCATAGTTGAAATACTGCTTATTTTTTTTTAACTTTTCGTAAAATGTATTCTGTAAAATAAATACTTCTTCCTGCATTATTTCCAGGAAGAAATTCTTTTCAGTATCTTCTGCACGGTTTGCATAATGACCTTCATTCATATCATTAATACAATTTTGAGAAATTTTATCATCTCCCAGAAAATTATATGTCTCTGCGAAATTGTCATATTTGCCTTCTATCACCTTTTGTCGTAATTCTTTATTGCTTAAATCAATTAGTAGAAGAAATATATACTTGGTATGTAAAACCAGATATGTAACTTTTTGGAATAATGTTTTCAGCTTGTTAAAATCGAGAAAATTTTCAATGTTTTTTTTTTTTTCAATAATATTGTGTAATAAATTTATTCTAGTGTTCAGAATTTCTTTGAACAAATCGTTCTTTATAATTTCGACGACTTCACAATTCTGTTTGTTGTGAAAAAGTAAGAGAACAATTACTGATTTGGGTATAGTTTTAATTTTACAAGAACTGTTATAAGTTAAGTTGTAGTAGGATGAATATATCAACTTCAACAAAATATCACAAAAATTTTCCTTATGTTTGTTTACATATGAATTTAAAGAGTAAATAGATTTCTTGCTATTAAATATTTTCAGGTAAATATTTTTAATTTCCTCATTTTTAAGTACAGAACTGAGCACTTTCAAGCATATAAATATGTCTGTGTAAATTTTATTTAAGACATATATGTAATTTTCCTCACTTATCTTTTTATTGATATCAAAATATATGTGGTTAATGTAGTTGTTTAAGCAAAAGCAATCATAATTAATTAACTCTTCTTTTTCTTTTTTCACCAAATCACACGCATCATCGTGTGTATCATACAACACAACATCACAGGAATCTTCTCCTTCCCTGGCATTTTTTTGAATACACAAATTTTGAAATATAAAATTGTATCGATCATATTTCTTTTCCCATACCTTTTTTATGATATTTTTCTCAGATTCATTTAACTCTTGTGTGTGTGCAAAAGAATCTTTAAAATTAACCAACGTAGTGTTCTTAACACTATCTATTAAATAGTTATAATTGTAAATTATGTCTTCTAAGTGACCTTTTATTTTTTCTACACTACCATACACATTTTTAATTTTTATTGTATTATCTATCACATTGTTGCTTTTTTCTTTTAAAAAATTTTTAATAGATTCTTCTCTGCTGCTGATGTCATTTCTAAGCTTCTCAATGTGTTGTATGGTTTTCCTATGATCATAATTTTTAAATATTTCGTTTGTATCTACTTTCATTGTATGTACGTAACCACAATATAGTTTTGTTTTATATATATTTCACGTTTCCTGAAGGAGCATCTCAAAATATATCGTATGGGTTAAATGATCTGTATACCTTTTTTTTCCCATGTAATATCACACATATGCATATTCATAATCATATGTACACCGGATTGTCAATATGCATTACACATTCATTTATGCCTCTTGCCAAGAATTGTATTCATATTTATTTGCACATGTTTACACCCATATGTAGCAAATGCCTACCAAACCCTCCATACAGACTATTCCAAATTAGCATTTAAAAATAATAAAAAAATAAAAGTTTAAATTCTTCTACTTGGAACCACACGATGAAGAGAGGGAAAACTTTTCAAGATGAAGATAGTTTAAGCATTTATAATAAAAAAAAAAAAAAAAACATGAACATAATTTGTGTTAATTTAAAGAAAGCAAAATAAATGCACAACTTAGATAAGTAATGGAACAAAACGTGGTGGGGGTACAGAAGAATTAATGTTGTAATTCAACATTCTTCTTTGCTGTTACTTTATTATTTTCTTAACCCTCTTATGTGACTAGCCCTCCTACATATAACAAATTAGTGCAACATTTTTTTTCTTCACTTCTTCCCATTTCCTATGATAAACACGAAATGAGACTTCTAAATATTTTTGCAAGAATAAAATGCACCTATATTATACATAGCAAATGCCAAGAGAGAAAAAAAAAAAAAAAAAAAAAAAAAAAAAAAAACATTCAAAATAACAAAGTAACAAAATTTTTCTTATCCCTTTTTAAAAAAAATAAAATAAAAAGTTTGGTCTCAACAAACAGAATATAATGCATACACAAAATGTGTAGATATATTACATAAGCAATCCCATATGATTTTATGTAACTCTTAGCAGATCTTCTTGTAGTATGCTTTAAGTTCCCCAGAGAGGAATAAACAAAAGAGTGTCCTTTTGCAATTACTGAGCTTTTCTAATTTGTGATTATATACATATAATACATTTTTACGTACATGAATACAGATGGGGGAATTTAAGGTCGGATCAAAACTGAAGGAACAAATAGTATGTAACATGCAACCCTTAATTTTGTGCTTACATAAATATGACGACGATATAAGAAAATGTGTCCCAGAAGTCCACATTTTCGAAAGAACCTGTAGCAAAAATGTAAATTATGTACATGACAGAATTGGTTTAGATGACACAAGGAACACATTGTACACGGGAAAAAGGGCTATCTAATGGGAAACACACATATACATACATATGTACAAATATCTACCTTGCTTTTTTATGACATCCCTGATCGAGGAAACCTTTTCCCTTCATGTTTTTTGCAAATTTAAAGCAAAAGCGAAGATTAAGTCATGGGACCCTATGTAGGGTAGAAGTTTTTGTATTTTTGTATTGCACATTATGCATGACTGATCATAAGAAATACAGCATAAGAGAAGAGAACTTACAATGGACACCAAAAAAAAAAAAAAATTTGAATTAATTGAACGCTTTCCTATTACCCTTATGATGTCTTTAATTTGCCAATAAGTTTTTATAGAGCCCAGTTTTTTCCTCCAATTTTTCTTCGTTATGGGAGTTCATTTTCTATTTCTTTTTTTTTTTTTTTTTTTGCGCTGTTTTTCATACACCTTTTTTTTTCCGTTGTGCTTTTCTCATTTTTAAAATTTGGAAAAACAGAATCGTTAACAATAAAAAAGAAAAGAGAAAGAAAAAAATAGTATGGAAAAATCCACAGATTGAGAAGGGGGAAGTTAATGAAAAAATTAATACATTCTCTTTCTATGTAAAAATTATTAAGTTTTTTTTTTTTTTTTTTTTTTTTTTTTTTTTGGGTAGTTGAGTGGGGAATTAGGGAAAATATTGAAACAAAAAATTTGTATTTATGCAAAAACGTGAATACATTTATAAAAAAATAAAATGTAAAAAAACCTTGCGCTCGCTCATTAATAAACATTTTTTCTGTTTCAATAGAGATAAACGAAATGAGAGTGTTGTTTTTCTTTTTTTTTTAATTTAATTTTTTTATATGCAAGTTTGCAAATATACAGCACATTGATATAAAAACATTATGGTTCTTATACTCCAGTGCAGTTGCATTAGTCACAACACACAAGTGCTGCTTGTGCACAATTTGAGACAAAATAAGTAGATTCATTTTGGTCATAAACCAAATGATATGTATAAATATGGGATTCCGGTTAGGGGAGTGTGCATAGAAATACTCAACAATAATTAAAAAATAATTGAAAATTATATGCTTCAAATTTAAAATATAGAATACAAAATTATAAATTAAAAATTTGAAATTAAAAATGTGCAATTCCAAATATATGGGGATACAACATAAAAAATATGTTATAATAAATGAAAAGATATGCAAAAGGCATGCAAATTCTTCCACGACCCCTCTACCCACTAGAGGGCGCATTTTGTAAAATAAAGAACAAAGGGATGATAAAAAAAAAAAAAAAAAAAAAAAAAGGAAATTCATATTTAAACAAATTGCGACATATGGTCAATGCAAATCCCTAATATAGGGATCCGAATTAACAGATGCGAATATTGTATAGAAACAAAATTTTCAATATCTTTCATACACATTTTATTTTTATTAAAAATTGGTATGGAAGATAGATAATGTAATAAAAGGTTTCACGCAAAAAAAGAAAAGATGAGCAAAAAAATGAACATACATGCATATGCATACAAAAATTGTCTATGACGAGACACAGGGCGAGTTTCCATTCGGTCTCAAATGTCCATTTTGGCACCCTACGGACAAACATAAAAACTTTTGGATATTCCACTTCTGTACACTAATCCAAGTAAGATCTCCTCTGAAACTTACTTGGGTTATTGTATGACGTGTAGTCGTCCATCTTGTTTACTCGATTTCCCCTACTTTTGAGGTCCATAAACTGAGATCCATCATTATGCAATTTGTAATCTTGGGGGATGCTGGAGGTAATATATTTCCCATCCTTGTCATAATCTGGATATTTCATTATGTTTGGTTTGAATATTCTCATCTTTGGGTTTGAATTCATATCTTTAAACCCATTCATGCCTGACAAGTTCATAATGTTTTGCGATTGGAATATTTTTTTGGTATTTTTTGCAACCTTATTTTTAATTCTCACAATGTGATAGTTGTATAAATAGATTGCAGTAACACTTATGAATAAAATGGAGAAAATAATAGCCCCTTCAGTTCCGAAAACATTAGCTACTCCTTCATAAAAGTAAAATACAACATGTCTGAAGAATTTTTTTAAGTATAGAGAGATTTGTGCATATCCAAAAATCATAAACAAGGAAATAATTATCAGGAAGAGAAAACTTATGTGAAATTTTTTAAAATATAAAACTAGGGATGTGATAAATAACAAAATTAGCATTCCCAAATAGCAAATAATTTTATGTATTAATTGTTTCCTTATAACTGGATAGTATATATCATATATGTCATTATTCAACCATCTATTTATAACTTTACTCATTAATTCTTTTGAAATTTTTCGATAATGTGTATTCTTTGTGCTTAATTTTTCTTCTATAGAGGCTTGTATTTTATTTTCTCGTTGATTTTTTAAGTATATATTTTCAATATTATTTGAAAGTACAACAAGTGCTCTATTGTATAATTCGTTCTTTAATGATCTCCAAAGGTAGTAATTATGTATTTCATTTTTTATTCCATTTTTTAAATCATCCAGTGGCTGTTGGCATGTTATCTGAATTGCTTTTAAGTTTTCATCTTTTATAAATTTATATACTTCATCTGTTAATTCTAAAAACTTTTTATATTCTCCATTCCAGGATTCTTCATTGGAGCAATATATATCCATGTACTTTAATTCTTCTTGTCCTTTCAGACTAAGAAAAATATCTTGCAACACTAATTCATCCAAAGGGAAATTAAAATTTTCAAGGAAATTTTTTTTTAAATTACCTTTATGCATGTTAAACAAAGCACTAGTTTTATCCTTACAATGGCTGTGCCATTTTTCCATGGCATTTTGTTTTAGAACTTTTATATCGTTGTCTAATATAACTAAAAATTCTTCATTAATTTCTTTTTCTTCTTTTGCAAAATCGCTCAATGTAGTCATATACACATTCACAGCTTCTGCATTCCATTTATCCAAAATAGCGTAAAATAAATTTTTGCTTTTAAAATATTCAGTTATATTATCAGTACTTTCTGCAGATATTTCAAAAACTTCCTTCCCCTTCGATACTGCATTGGCAAAATGAGATTTTAATCGATTTTCATTTAACGTAATATTTTTTTTCTTTAAATAGTAGAATTCTTGAAAAGTACTATTAATTAAAGGGCTACAAATTTCATCCTTATAATATATCAAATCTAATTTTTCTGAATTTTTGGATAATTTTTTTTCTAAATATTTCAACAAGTTATAACTAACAGATTCGAAAAAGTTCATCAAATCTTTCTGTTTAATAGGATATTGATCGCTTTTCATTTTTATGTCTTCCACAACAATTTGTAAAGCATCTTCACATGCAATTTTACAAAATTTTCGAATATTCGTTTCTCCTAATTCGATCATTTCATTCTTTATTTGATCTAGTCTTTCATACAAATTCGTTTCAATATCTTTAATTAGTTCTTTTTCTTCATCATCATGAAAATCACTTTCTGTGTATTTATACCAAATGTTTAATATTTGTTCTCGAATTAGTTCTTCATATTTTCCAATTTCATTGAGTAGAGGTGGAAGCTTATAAATTTCAGTTCTCTCTTCAGTTGTTTTTTCTTCTTCCATAAAATCCTCACTAAATAATTCTTCTTCTTCAAAAGTGCTTTTCCTCTCATGTGTATTTAATTTATTTCCAAAACTGTTTGACATATCATCATGTTCATCATTTAAATAGCTAATGAATTCGACATCTTCATTCTCCATAAATTGTAGTAAATATTTTTTGTATAAAAATATTAAATCGTTTCTACTTATTTCTGCTCTATTAATTTTGAATTGTTTAAAAAACTGATTTACATTTGTGAATAAATTTTGGTTAGCTGATCTAACTAAAAAGGTGATAAAGTCATATACATCATGTCCTGACATGTATCTGTTACTTATTTCAGAAACATAATTATTATTATTATTGTTGTTATTGTTGCTATGTCCATCAACATTAGTTGATGACTTTTTTGTTTCTCCACCCTTTTCTTCCTTCTGATTACGCATTTGCTGTTCTTTCTTTATTTTACTCATTATGTAATTCATCTGAACATTTGAATACATTTTTTTGGGGTATAATAAAGCTCTTAGGTAAATTTTATACCTTAGTAATATTACATCGTTTTTATACTCATCATTTAGGTCTCTCATATTTGCATTTGTAAAATCGAGTTCTTTGTTATTGTACATATTTCTTAACAAAACACAATCGATATTTTTATAAAGCACGTTCAATTTGTAGTTTGTGGACGTTTCATTTTGACCATTTGCATCTTTTCCTTCAGCATTGTTACTACGACCATTATCTGTATATGTCAGGTATGCGATTTTTTTTTGCTTAGTTGTGTAAGCATCATATTTTTCTTTACTCTTATTAGATATTATTTTTTTCCAATACTTAATATCCAAGTCTCTTCTATCAGAGTTTAACAAAATATCCAGCCATAACTTTCCTTTTCTTACATCTAAACGTTGACTAAAATCATGAACAACCCACATTAAATTTTTCGAAGCAATGCTTTCTAAAATTAGTGAATTATTTTCTATATTATCCATATGATCTAATATTTTATCAAAATTGTTTTTTTTAATTGAAAACGTAGAACCGTTGGAACGTGTATAAGCTCTTAGCATAAATAAATTTGCATCTTTTGTTATGCTTTCAATAAATTCCAAATCTTTATTATTTATCATTTTCATTGTAAGGAATATAATATCGGTGGATATTAAATTGGTTAAAGCGTATAATATTTCATCATATCGTTTATTCACATTGGGACTATTTAAACCTTGTGTATCCATCAAGATAAGATTAACTTCTTCTGATTCTGATAAATTTAATTCATCTATTTTGGATATCCAATCATCTGTCTTGTACAAATTTAGTAAATCTATAATTTCTTCATTATATTCATCCTTTTCATATTCATAACTTTTTACAAAATTTGTAAAATTCTTATCAATATATTCATACATTTTTCTTAATTTTCCAACAGTTATTTTAATTGGTTCTGACCATATCCATATTCCATAAGTACTAGCAGTTATGTCATTACCTACCTTGAAACCATTTTCAATATTTTTTTCGCTCTTACTAATGTCACTGATTACATGTTCGTTCAATAAATTCAATAAAAAAGATTTTCCTGTGTGCATGTCTCCCAAAACTGACACAATAGCTATTGGTTTCTCTATACTTTTTAAAATTTCTAAATTTTCTTCAATAATTATTAATTCTGTATGATTTACATTTGGTTTTATAATCTGTATAGCTTTTCCTCTTTTCTTTCGATTTTTTATTTTATTTTTTTTATTATCAATTATTTTATTAATATCATCCATGGAATTCAGACATTCGCCATCCTTGCAATTAATAGGTACTTCAAAATTATTTTCGTCATTCTCTTCGTCACTGTCTTCGTCTTCATCTGAGTCATCACTATCAGATGAATTATTGTCCTCTCCACCATTATCGTCATTATAATTGCTATCATCCTGTTTTAATATTCTTGATAAACAATTATTTCCATACTGGTTTATAGTGTAATCATAAAAACAAATTTTCATAAATCCATTTTCCCATATGCATTCATTAGGCAAATTTTTCACATTAAAAGTTACATTGTGTTGTTCATTATAACTATCTTTACAATAAAGCGTTACTGATTTTGTAATTAGCAGTACAAGACAAAAAAATATTTTTTTCATTTTTTTTTTTTTTTGCTTACATTTATTACCAACTCTCTTTTCCTTTCTTGCATTTGAAAAAAAAAATGTACCCTTTTTCCTTGCAAATTTGTTTCTCTCCTTATTTTGCTTCACAAATTAATTTCCTTTTTCGGGCTCACGGTTTTGGGTACCCCTTTTGATTCACCAATTCTCAATTATGCATTTATTTGTACGTACGTATTGTATTATTGTATGTGCATATAAATATATGTATATATTTGTAAATGTAAATGCACATATGTGAATACGTGATATACATATATATGTACATGTACGCTTATACATATCTATGTACGTATATATATGCCCTTTGTGAAAAAGGGGATTTCTTTGTTATGTTAAATCTAAAAAGAAAAGTAGCTTTGCGTGTACTTCACATTTTAACAGTTATTTATATCAGAAAAAAAAAAAATTCTTAAAAAATGAAAAAACGCAGTTTGAGCATTTATTTAAAAAAAGAAAAAAAAAAAAAATGGAATGGCTCAGTGGAAGTGAAAATAGCAAAAAGTCAATGAAAAAATGAGGCAAATATTGCTAACAAAAAAAATGTGGCGCAAATTAATGGCAAATTTCAGACTGAATTTTTTAATGGAAAGTTCCCATCACTTTTCATTTTTGCTCATTTTGAAAATTGTCACTTTGTGGGTATTAGCAAGCCTATAAAGGGAAAAAAAAAAAAAAAAAAAAAAAAAAAAAAAAAAAAACTTTGCCCATATACATCGACACATAAATATATACGTATGCGTATCCTTGTATATATATGTATATGTATACATATATATGCACATATATACATGTATATATTGTATTATTATGTACATATATATTCGGGCTTTATTTAAGCAGCTCTCCTAGATCTTAGGATACTACTTTGTTTACTTTGGAAGTAATTTCCTCCTTGTTCGTTGTTTTTACATGTGGGCATCAGTTTGAAAAAAGCAGTTGTGCCATAATTGTATTTGAAAGGAAGGCCACTAAATTACATGAAGAAAAATACCAAAAAATGCTTTTCAATACTGCATGAAAAATATTATCCTTTTTTTCTTTTTAAGTCTCGTACCAATGTGTAAAGTTAAATGTAAATTTTTATAAGGAGGTGGTGGGGGGGATATATATATGAAAAAAAAAAAAAAAAAAAAAAAAGGAAATATATACATATATTGGAATGTGTTTTTTGATTTTTCTCGTCGTATTTTATTGTGTAAATTGACAACATTTGGCCATAAAAGGAAGAGAAAAGTGTTTTTTTTTTTTTTTTTTTCCTCACTTCATGTGTATATTTTACCTTTCATTATAAAAAGGCAAGTACTTTTCCATTTTTATCCAACCCGTTCCTCTGAGAAAAATGGAAGACACAGGCACTATTGCATCATATTTCTAAATAAGCACGTAAAAACAGCTATATATATATATATATAAATAAGCTGAAGTGCAAATAATTTTTCACCCCCTCCTGCGCATACTTTGCGTACTTGGTTATGTGATATTTCACAAGTGTTTTCCCTTTTTTTTTATTTTAACAAGCATATACCAATGTAGGGTTAAAAAACAAGAAAAAAAACAACAAAAGCAATAAAAACAAGTTTCATGCGAGCAGTGGAAACACCTAATTATCTCCACACACTTAAAGGAAGAATAATTCTGCCATTTTTCATTTCAACTTATTTAATGCAATGCTTCTTCTGTTTCTTCTGTTTTTTTTTTTTTTTTTTTTTTCTCGTTAAATAAGCCTAATCTGTGTTATTATTTCGACAAATGACAAAAACAGATAAATGAGTTTTTCAAATATATTATCAACAATTGTATATTTAAAGTGGGATAAAGAAAAGCACATTAATAATTAAGTGCTCACATGCAAAGTCTTCCTATTAAAAATACTACAGAATGGATGTATAGAAAACAAGTTCATTTGCTGCAATAAGGATAGGAACGCTTTTTCTTAATTTTAAAAAAAGTGGCACAAAGGATCTTCCATACAATTATATATACCCCTTCACGATATTAGTCAAATGTTTTATTTAAAAAAAGAAAATATTTTAGCGCTCCTGATAAAAATCTTGTAATGTATTACAAAATTTTATGATTATAAGTGAAAAATGTATGATGGAATGGGGTTAACTCTGTTAACCGACATATATATACTTAGATACACACAAGTACTGATACACACATACTTGTACGTTTCCTCTATTTATCATAACAAACGAGCATTAAATTAATACCTAACAAAACAAATAAACACTCTTAAAAAATATCAAAACATACAAATGTGTGTGTTACAGTTGTTAGACTTTAAATCAGAATAAATCCAATTTCGTTAAAAAAATATTCAATTTATTTAAAGCAATGGCACCTACATATTATCCATATATATATATGCAATGATTGTATATGTGCCTTATTCTTTATACGGACTCTTAAACATCCACGTATTTCCATCTATGTCTAACCTCATACCCAAAAAATTGGTAGAAAAATGCATTTATTTATAAATAAATAAATGAGTTTTTTTTAAAAAAAAAAAAATTCATATTGTATATGAAAAAAAAAAAATAGTACCATTAAATAAACACGCACATGATTAATGTATAATACATATGCGCATAAAATGAATTGTAATTTTTTCTATGATTAATAATTAAATGTGCTACTATATCAATCAAATATCTATATCCCTGGATATAAGATATAATATAACTAAATATGATAAAATGCAATTGTGGAAGTATGATATATTTTCTGTGCACATAACAAAAAAAAAAAAAAAAAAAAAAAAATTGCAAGTGATGTGGGTGTATCAAAAGAAACAAACGATAAAAATGATAATTATAATAATTATAATAATTAAATGATTTAAAACATATACAATATTTATAATAAAAATATTGATAATTATAAATAAGGATATTAAAAAAATGACATAAAAAAAAAAAAAAAAAAAAAAAAAAAAATAGTTTATACACATACAACAAATATACATATCCAAACCACGGATAATTATCTCTACTGTATATCAATATACTGTATTATATCATCGTGGTTTATGTTGCCATTAAAATAAAACTCTTTGTTTTTATTGTTATAATTTTTACTTTTTCCATTATCTGATTCCTGAAAAAAAGTTCTATTATTACTTTGGTTATGATAATTGAAAAAAGTTTCATTGGTTTTATTAAAATGGCTTTTATCATTTCCATCATCGAAATGATTCGTGTATGTGCTTAATATGTCAGGTGCAATCGACCCGTTTTGTTTCACTTTAAACATGTTTTTTTCCTCCAAATGATCTTGTTCCATATCTCCTAACTCTTCTTCGATGGTTCTGTCACTAAAGGACATAACATTTTTGCAAGTACCACCATTGCATTCATAATCGTCTTCTACATTATCAACAAAATAGTTTAAGCAGTCCAATTGGTTGCATAATTCATGATCTTTCTGAATCAGGTTATCCTCACCGTAAGCGTTTCTTCTCCTGTTGTCGTTCTTGTTCACCCCATGATCAACATGATCGCGACCTCCATTCCCCGTATCACCATTTTTGTTATTCTCATTATTTTCTTGGATGTACTGAATATTAAATGTGCTATGTGTACAGTGCACACTATCTGTGTTATTATTTCTTCCAATGTCCATGTCTTGGTTCCCTACAACTTCGTTCTGATGCTGTATTTCTCTCACATTGTCATGTGAATTCGCGTAATTATTGACCATTTCGAATGCGTTGTCTTGCTCACAAGATGTTGCGTCTTCATAAACATTTTTCTGTTCATACGTATTTTCTATCTCATGCATATTGGTTAATTGCTTCAGCATGGGATCGTTTCCATCGGCATTTGCCAGCTTGTTGCTATCATCCTTACATAGCAAATTGGACGTGTAATTTTTTTTCCCCCTTTTACGTTTGTTCAATAACTCGCTTTCTATATAGTCATTTACATACATACTGTAATAATCCTGATTGTTTATGGTTTTTTCCAATTTATTCATTCTCAATTTCTTAGTTTTATAAATAACATATGTATTACTGAGTGTATCGTAAGTATATAAATCGTTAAAATAAGTGTTACACACATCAAATATATTATCCTTTAGCGTCACGTTTTTTTTAAGGTATAATCTTTTAATATATAATCTTGCCTTTACGTTATTTAGAGTATTGTTCAAATATTCATTATGTTTTAATGACTGTTCATAACTAATAGCAAAATGATATACATTGTTAATAAAATTATTGTAATGATTCTGAATATTAAAATAAATACATTCATTCTTTTTTAATTGTTCATATTGCAATATATACGTGGGGAGACAATCGTTTTTGCTTTTTATTAGCTCCTTATGACTTACATAATCTGGTAATTGTATTAAATGGTATACGTTTTGTTTTTTATCCATAAATGGGTTTAAATTTCTTTTTTGACTCAATCTTTTTTTAAAAATTTGCACTCTCTTTAATTTGCTATAACCAGTGTTACTTCCTTTGTTTCCCGAAGAATTTCTATGAATGTAAATACTGTTCATGTTATTAATACCATCAGTATCTCCTCCTCCATCACTGCAAATGTTCATATGCCTCGAATTGGGCTCAGTTATTTTTTTTTCATTATACCTATCTACCTTTGCACTTACTTTTAATTTCTTGATTTTCCTTTTATTCGTTGTAATTATACCATTTTCCGTAGAATTTCCGCTTAATGTGCTATTTCTCTTTTTCCTTCTCAGGGACATACCTGTGCTCATTCTATTGTCATTTACTTTATCAGCAACGTGTTGCTTTACCTCACTAGAATTGAATGCATTCTTTATTCTCTTGTTCCATGGATCTTCTTCACAGGGATCAATAGTAATGTTGTCTTCCCTCGCTTCTTTTATACCTTTCTGATCTGCACAATTATTATACATTTGATAATCTTTGTCACTAACACATAGTCTATTTACATTCTTATTTTTACTTTTACAAAATGTCCTACTACCACTGCTATAATTCTTGGTAATATTGCTTCTCAGATTTTTTGTTGTACTAGCTGTATTATTTTCAGTATCCTCATGGTTTAAATTGTTTGTATCTTTTATAATCATTGTGTCCTTTCCACTACTCCTTGATCCCTTTTCTCGTCTTATTTCTCGTGAACTTCCTATACCTCCACCTCCCCTCTCACTGATAAGCAGAAAGTCTTTCGAATCGTTTCCTTGTTCCTCTAATTCAGTGCAATCGTTCTGTTCTTCTACCTCATCTTCGTCATGTGGTAGAATTTCCTCATCAACTTCTTCTTTCACATCATCTTCTAAGCCATGGAGTTCATATTCACCATCACCTTCTTCTTCTTCTTCTTCTTCTTCTTCCATATAATAATCATCATCATTGTTAAAATCAGAATATTCTTCTGACTTTTTGGATGCTCTTCTACTTTTAGTATTATTTTGCTTATTTTTTACTTTAGATCCATTCTCTTTTCCATTATTATTATGTGAGACCGTTCTTCTTGTGCCATTCGAATCTCCAATAATTTTAATTCCAAAATTATAGGTACTTCTTTTTTTCAATTCATATTGGAATTTGTCCATATTATAAATCTTCAATTGGTAGTCTTCATATTTTTTTAAATCGAAACTTTTATATATTTTCGATATGATTAAATTGTACAAATTCCATTCAGTAAATGTTATAAAATTCATATTTTTATAGTAATTATTCTTATAATATCTATTTATTCTTTTCTTTTTTAACTTTAAAGTTTCCAGTAATTTATGACTAACATTTAGGTCTACATTTTCCCACAAATTGGTGTATATATTAAAATAATATATATCATTTGGGATATTATTATCGTTTTCTATTTGTTCCATTTCCTCTTGTGTGCGTAAGTGTAACATTCCCCTTCCTTCTACTCCTCCTTCTTGCTCAATTTCATTTTTACTTAATTCCTTATCATTATAAATATCACTTCCTTTTCGGCTACAATTTTTTTCACGAACTTTTAGAAGTGTTTCTTTAATTTCCTTATTCTGCAGTTCATCAATACTTTGCATCCACATGTTATTTCTTATACAGTTAATTTTGTGATAGATGAATTTAAACATTGCATCATTCTCCTCCTCTGAACAATCAATGTTTATTTCGAATTCCATAAATGCATTACTACTGGGGGATGTCTCATCCTGACTCTTATGAGAACTTCCTACACATTGGTCACCACCGTCGTTATTGTCGTTGCTACCGTTACTATCTCTCCTACCATTACCACTGTTGTCATCACAATTATAGCTTGTCCTTAGTACAGGTTCAAGGACTGATTCCACCTGCTCATGTGCAAAGTCGCTATCAAACGAATTGTCACTCACATACCCAGCATATGTGTCCGAACTCTTTTTAGTTTCAGTTATTTCTTCCTTTGTTTCAGTTTTCATTTTCTCCTCTTTTGGCTTAATTACTTTATTTATGGAAGTAACTTTGTTTACTTTATCAAATTCAATATCAAGTTCATTTTTACTGATTTGTTCTCCACTTGGGGCATTTATTTCAGCTTGAAACAATCGTTGCTTATTCATCATCATTGTATCAGTGGAAAATTCTTCATTTCTAATACTTGTATTCAAATTTTTCTGTTCTTTTTGTAACATATCTCTGTAATCACCTTCCGTAGTATTTGCAATATCCAAAGATACACTATTTCTTCCTTTTTTTTCATCTGTATCAATTTCCTCATTATTTGGGATGTCAGTCATGTCATCAGTTTCATTAATACTTTCATCCTTTATACAGTCCATGCAATTGTTACTCTTCAATTGGGATTTGTTATTTATAATATTCTGAAAATCTTTTAGCTCATTTATAACCTTTTTAAAGCATGACATTTCTTCTTTAATTTGAAGAGGAAAATCTACACAAGTTTTTTTCTCGTTCACACTGTGCTCCTCAATACTATTATATATCACATCACTTTGATCTCTGCTATTATTATTACTACTATTATTGCTACTATTATTGCTACTATTATTGCTACTATTATTGCTACTATTATTGCTATTATTATTGTTACTACTATTGCTACTATTATTGCTACTATTATTGCTACTATTATTGGTACTATTAATGTTATTGTCTCTTTCTCCTTCACAAATGCCCCCACTTCCAACTTCAGTACTAATGCATCTGTACATGGAAGTTGTGTAATCGAGCTGTTTACTCTCGTGGGAATAGTGTCTCTCCTTGTTTATTAACACGTTATTCATAAAATCACTTGGATAGTGTATCATAGCATTGTTTTCATAATGATTATTACTGTCGCTGTTGTTACTCCTATTGCTACCTTTTGTGTTTACTATTGTTGGAAGATGATTGAAAAAAGGGTACGGACACACGGGTAGGTTAGAATTATTTTCATTTTTACACTTGAAAAAAATTTTTTTTTTATAAAACATTAACAATTGGTTGTAGCAAAGATCTTTATTAAGATTTAAAATTTTTAGCATTTTTTCCCTATCCTCAAAATTTTCTCTAAAAAAATTGTCGTACATATCATCAAATAAGCAGAAAAAATTGATGTTCAGAGAACTATATGAAGAAAAATGGTTATATATATTATTTTTTATATTCACTTCGAGATTTGTATTTAAATTCATGCTATCATAATGCAAATCATGATCTATATATTCTTTAAGTTTTCGTTTCGTTGAGTGCATGTTACTACTTTCGATTTTGCTTTTGTCATGTTGCTGTAATTGATGGGGCTGATGTGATTGCTCTTCTTCTTCTTCCTCTTCTTCTTCTTCTTCTTCTTCTTCTTCTTCCTCTTCTTCCTCTTCTTCTTCTTCTTCTTCCTCTTCTTCTTCTTCCTCTTCCTCTTCTTCTTCCTCTTCTTCTTCCTGTTTTTCTCTCCCTTCTTCCTCTTCATCGCTTTTCATTGCAGTCCTATACCACATCTTTTGGTGTAGTAGGTCCTTAAGATAGCTCTCATTTAAATTTTTTAGATCAACGAGAAATTTGCAATTTTTCTCATCCTCTCGGAAAAAACTATTTTCCGCGGAGTTGTTAAAACAGCTGTATTTAATTTCCCCTAAACGTGTCTCCCTTAATTTTGTAGCTTCTTCATCTTTCAATCCTGAACATAATTTATCTAATATGCAATTCTTATTCCTATACTTGTCGTTCAAAATGGATGAGCTAAATGCATAATTTGATACGTCTGAAATGGGTGAATAATCTTCGATGCATGAATTAAAAATGAAGGAATATTTTTTTTTATTTTTCATTTGAAACTCATCAAAAATTTCTTTCTTCTTCATTTCTATGTGTGAGCTCTTATTGGGGTCAAGATCATCTTCAACCAATACAGCCGTGTTATTGTTTTCACGCTGATTGTCAAATTTGTTGCCGCTCATGTTGCTGCACATACTGATGTCCCCATAATAAAAACTGCTCAGCATCGAATCTGCAATTTTGTTGTTCTCCTCATCTCTGATATTTTCATTTTTCCAATTGTCGTTTCCTATACCTTTTGTTTTATGAAATTCTTGCTTCTCTGTATTCATATTCGAGATTATTTCGTTTTTACCCATTTCAATTTCTTTGACATTCTGCAATAGCATATTTTCTCCTTGTACAAGTAATGTTTCTTCTTCTTCTTCTTCTTCCTCCTCAAGAATATCGTTCGTAGTAATGTTATTATTCTCATCATACTTCGTGTCATCATTATTGGCTTCATAGTTATTTGTATCTTCATTATTGTTATCAACGAGGTATAAATTTTCATTAGAATAAGTATTACCAGTATATGAGTTATCACCGTAGATATCTCTGTCATACAATTTGGCACTGCATTCATTTCCATTAAATGTATTGACTATATCAATGTTGATATCACTAATATTTGATGAAACAATATTAGTTTCAAATATATTTTCTTCATAACTATTAGCATCGTCAATATTTGGATCGTCAATATTTGGATCGTCAATATTTGGATCGTCAATATTTGGATCGTCAATATTTGGATCGTCAATATTTGGATCGTAAATATTTGACTCGTCAATATTTGGATCGTAAATATTTGGCTCGTAAATATTTGGTTCGTCAATATTCGTTTCATCTATATTGGTATCATCATCATTATCTTCATTAATATTTATTTTGCTATCATTTGACATGTCTACACTTGGATGTTCAGCACTGAAGCGATCGTCGCTAATAATGTTATCATTATTTTGCTTTTCGACATTTGTCTCATCCGTGCTGGCATTGCTGAAAATGACATCTTTTTCATCATTACCATTAGACTTATCAGAATCATAGCTTTTATTTTGATAAAGCAATGAGGGATCGTCTGATAAAGAATCCTTATACTCAGACATGTGGAACGCACTAACATTCTTCTTCTGTATTCTTCTGATTATGTTACTAGGTGCAGTGAAGTCCATATTATTGTTCGAATTACACATCATTCCTTCTTGTATATTTATTGCATCTAACATTTCATTACCTTCTTTCAGCATGTTATTATCGCTTTTATTATCCCTTGAATTATTATAAAAATAGTTATTCCCCCCGCAATTATTTATGTTAATAATATTATTTTGGCAATAATTACTATAATAATTGTTTGAGTTATTTATGTTATTTCTGATAACTAGATTATTATATATATTATTAAATGCATCTACACTTGTTTGAAAATTAATATTGCTGCTCATGTTGTTTTGAAAATTGTTATATGCAGTATTAGCACTGCTATTATTTTGGCTTGCACTTCTGTTATTTTGGCTTGCACTTCTGTTATTTTGGCTTGCACTTCTGTTATTTTGGCTTGCACTTCTGTTATTTTGGCTTGCTCTTCTGTTATTTTGGCTTGCACTTCTATTATTTTTGCTTGCACTTCTATTATTTTTGCTTGCATTTCTATTATTTTTGCTTGCATTTCTATTATTTTTGCTTGCACTTTTTTTTGGGGGGAGACTAGATTCATTTCGTTTTCTGCTTTCACAACTGGACAAAAATAAATTACTGCACTCGTTACCGCAAATGTTGCTACAATCGTTACTGCAAATGTTACTACAACGGTTACTACTTTCATTGTTTTCATTGCTAAGATGGCTGCTGCAGCTGCTATGCATGTTATGTCCATTATGTATGTTGTATCCGTTATTATCGATATAATCCATATGGTCAATATAACCCTCATGATTGTTATGATCCATATCTCCTTTATGTTCGTTGTGACAATGGTGTCTGTCACAATCATCATGACTCTTGTGCTGGTTATTATATCCCTTATGTTGGGCATTCGTATTATTCCTGTTGCTTCCTTTCTCCCCTTTGCTATTTTTCGATGTGAATGTATTCCTAGTCAAGCAGTTTTCATTTTTCGAATTTGAAAAATCTTTTATCATATTTATCAAAATAGTCTTCAAAATATGTTCATCCGAGTGTTTATCAGCGGTATTACAACCACTACCAGCACCCATGGATGTTTGAAAGGAATGAATATTGGATTTTTTTTGTGTGCTAAAGTGTTCCACAATTTTCATAATACTTTTCTGGTAATGGAGGGGGTTTTCATTATTTTCATAATTGTTCATAAGTGCACTAAAATCACTATCAAAGTTATGATATATGTCCATTTTTTCTGTATCCATCGTATAGTCCAAACTGTTTAAATCGTTAAAATGGTCTACATCGTTAACCTCGTTCAAAATGATTTTTCCATTGCCCGTGTGCATGAGGCCACTTGACTCATCAGTTCTAACTACTTTTTTCGTGTTATCAAACGTTTCTTTCATTCTTATATCCTTTAGGAAATTGCTAGACTGAATATTTTGTAAATCTCCAGGTCTAATTAAATTGTTCTCTTCACCCTTGTAATTATTTTGATTCAGATAGTGTTTATCATTTATATTGGAAATTTCGTTCAAATTTTCATTACTCTTTTTCAAGTTGTTATTAATCTTCGGGTTACTTTTTATACGTCCATCAATTTCACCATGTGTTTTATTGTTGCTGCTACTGTTGCTGTAGTTGCTACTATGATGGCTACCATTATTGCTACTACTGTTATCAATGATGTTTTCATCGTTTTCTGGATTCGTTGAACTGTCGCATACAGCTATATCGTTCATATTTTTTAAATTAAAGAGACAATTGTGAAAAAAACTGTTCACTTGATCTGTTACATTTTTCTGGTTTTTATAATTATCACTAAGGTTCATATCAAAATTGTTATTATCACAGACACTATTATTTGCATTAACATTGTTACACACATTTTGGACGCTGTAATTCATATTTTCTTTTGTATTATCGATTGTATTTTTTATTCCTTTCTTATTGTGATTGTTGTTATCACAATGAATGCTATTACTACACCTACTACTTAACACTTTTTTACTTTCCCTATATATAAAACCTTTGTTGTTACAGCTTGTGATATTCATGTGCTTCTCACGATTTCTGTGTTCTCCATTTTCAGTATCTACTCTCGCGATTCCATCATTTTTATCATTATGAGTGTTCTTTTTTGTGTTTTCCATGCAACTTTTACAAGCTTGTAAATAATAATTATACAGTAAATCCATATTTTCGTCGGATATATTAAAAGTTTGTTTTGTGTTATTATGTGCTTCGCAACTATTACTAACATTGTATTCCTGGGGAATATTACAACTATCCTTGCTGTCAATGCTGTTACAGCATAAGTTGTTACAATTTTTGCTGCACAATTCTTCGCACACATTGGGATATCTCCCACAAGTGATGTAATTATTACTATTATTATTACTACTATTATTTCTGTTTCTGCTGCTATCATTGATCGTACTGTCAACTATATTACTGTGTGCGTTATTTTCATTAACGTCACTATTGCTGTTCTTTTCAAAATCACTACTGCTGTTATTTTTAACATCACTGACACTTACGATATCGTCAATCCTTTTTATTTCAACAGAATTGCTCTGAGTTTTGCCCTTCAACAATACTTCTTTCATCTCACTGCCATCATAACCATGTAAAGGGTTAAAGGATTCAGCGATGCAAGCTGACCCTGATGGTGGTACATATCTTTTTGAGTTATCTTCTTCTACCTTTGCTTTGTTACTAATATTACTACTACTGCTATTACTGCTACTACTGCTTTGTTGTAAAAAATCGTTAACACATTCTATGTCACCAAAATTATTTTTCATCGTGTCTCTTATGAAATTCATTATATTTACAATGCCACTGCAATGTTCATTCTCAAGTTCTATTTCATTTCTGACAGAATTGTTTAAAAATTTATGATCAATCTCCTGTTTACATATATTGTTTAAACTTGCATTTTCCATATTGATATTATTGCAGAAATCTGACTCGTAATCATTATTTATTATATTGCTTTTGTTGAGTGTGTTTAGCATGCTGCTATTATTGCTGCTATTATTGCTGCTATTATTGCTACCATTATTGTTACTATTATTGTTACCATTATTGTTACTATTGTTGTTACTATTATTGCTACCATTATTGTTACTATTATTGTTACCATTATTGTTACTATTGTTGTTACTATTATTGTTACCATTATTGTTACCATTATTGTTACCATTATTGTTACCATTATTGTTACCATTATTGTTACCATTATTGTTACCATTATCAGTGGTATCAGTGTTATTGCAGAGAGGGCTAAAACTCCAAGGAATTTCCTTTTTATTAACATTTATGTAGGACTGTTCATTATCACATTTGACGTTTGTTTTTCTATCTTTTGCAATTTTCGATGAATTTGATATTTTTGAAAAAGCATCCTCCTTATTTATTACTAAATTATTCATTTCCATGGGGGATATATTTTTAATAAGGGTTGTTAAAAGATTATTTAGAGTATCATTATAATCGTTATTCACGTAACAATCATTCCTGTCATTGTTGTCATTGCTCACACTGCTACTATTCGTGAACTCGTTCATATCTGCCTTTGTGGACCTGCAATTTTCGATAAGTTGTAACATAAATTTCAAAATTTCGGTTGTGGAATTTTCATACGGAAAATCCTTAGATCTTTTTTCATCCTTATTTTCAGTGAATTCTTTTTTTTGTTTTATTATGTTATAATGGATAAAATCATTTTGCTCACTATTATAGTAGTCTCTCCTTTTCCTTATTCGGAAATCATCCTTTGACTTATTAAAATTTCCATCGCCATTATGGCTGACAAGGGCGTTAATATCATTGCTCATTTTGCTGTTAATAATTGTGCTACTCATGCCTTTACTACTATTATTATTTATATAATCCTTTACATTGAAGAAACTATCTTTTATTTTATCATTTGTGCTGACTGTTGTGTTTGCGAATCCCTTTTTTTTCATTTCCACAATTTCGCCAAATTGATGGTGAGGATAGTGAAGATGTTGCGGATGGTGATCGTGATTATAGCATTTGTCATCACTTCTTGTTGTATCTTTCACAAGTTCATCATTCATATATAAATTGTCCTTTTCCTCTTCTTCCTTATATCCTTTTTCGAAAAAAACTTTCCTTTTATTTCCATTTCCTGATATATGTTCACTTAACATATTTTTACAGTGCTTTATGGTATCTTCACCCTCTCCTCTCGTGCATTTATTTTTCATCTGTTTCTGCATAATTAATTTAATTAACTTTACATCTGCATCATCCTCACTATTCACTATTGGATCGGTTCCATCCTGTGTTCGACAAATTTCACGATGCATAATATCGTTGTTATTGTTGATACTTCCTCCTATGCCCTTGTCGTTCCTACTTCTTCTCCTATCGAGGGTCCTTCCATTGCTGTTTCCACTATTGCTTCCCTTGTTCCATTTTTTGTTCGTACCTACGGATCCATCTGAAAATTTTTGAAAATTAACCAATGATGGGATGCTTGAATGCATATTTTCCTGATGAAAAAAATCGTACTTCACAGAACTACAATTTTTTTTATTAAGAATATTTAACAATTTATCGGATGAAATTTTATCCAACATATTAATATTTTCATTATGAACACAATTTTCATTGCTAGATCTTTGTAGATAATACCTTTCTCTTAAGTTATCATTTTTATTTGTTTTCCCTCCATTCGTTTTTTCGTTTATCTCATTTTCTTTTAGGAAATTTACTAATTCTGTCCTTATATCTTCCACGTTAGTAAATGTATTATTATTTGTTTTCTTTTTTTTTTCTTTTAATACGTAAAAATTTCCTTCTGCACCATTTTGTACATTTATGGCAGTAGTTTCATCATCTCTTTTCCCTTTGTTAAAAATGGCACCCTTTTCTTTATTGTTATCCCTGTTATTGCTATGGCTTTTGTTGTCACTACTGATATTGCTGTTATTTATTCTATTATTATTATTATTATTATTATCATCATCATTATTACTGTTACATTGGCTATTTCTGTTCTTAATGCTATTACTGCTATGGCTTCTACTGCTGCTACTACTGCTGCTACTACTGCTGCTACTACTGCTATTATTGTTCTGATCTCTATTAATAATAATATTATTATTTTCATCTTCGTCATCTCCTTCATCTTCCAACCTTTGGGATGTTTTATCTCCTTTGTAATTTCTATCCTTCTCATGGGGATTCATATTTATGGTTTCTTTTTTTTCACCATGTACAAAAGAATTGGCCCCTGCATAGTCTCTAATTTCATCTTCTACTTTTTTCAAAGAATAATTATTATTTTCATTCTTCACTGATAAATTACGTGAATTTACATTTTTATTTTTATCCTTTTGCTTATTACTTTTTTCAAAACCAAATTTACTGTAAAAGAATTTTTTTAAAAAACACAAGTGCTTCTCTTTTTCCCCTTCCTCCTCTAACTCCTCCTTATTATCATTTTTTAAAGTCTTTTCATGGTCTTGTGCTCTGTGATCATTATCTTTTTTGAACGGTTCGGGTGTCGCAAGATAATTCTCATAGTCGTAATTCGTATTTATATCTGCATTTATATCTGCATTTATATCTGCATTTATATCTGCATTCATATCTGCATTAATATCTGCATTAATATCTGCATTAATATCTGCATTCATATCTGCATTTATATCTGCATTCATATCTGCATTCATATCTGCATTCATATCTGCATTTATATCTGCATTTATATCTGCATTTATATCTAAATTTATATCTGCATTTATATCTGTATTTATATCTGTATTTATATCTGCATTCATGTCAGTTCTTGCGCTTGAATTCAAGCTAGAATTTGCAATAGAGGGTACGCTCTCCTCTGTATATGTGCTCACATTCCAGTTTTCGTTGGAATGCTCACTTGCTGATTTGATTAAACTACATTTTTCTGTGTTGCTTTTACTACACAATTTTTCATTTAATTCATTATCTGAGTTGTCGCAGTTGGCTCTTGCCATATCTACAACGGATGTGTCATTAGAGCGATTATGGATTGTGAGGTTGCTCAAGCCATCACAAATATTACTTTTTACATTTGTGTTAATTAGATTATTACAGCTATTAACACTATCGAAATTGTCAAAATTGTCATAATTTTCGTAATTATTATAATTTTCATAATTATCATAATTTTCGTAATTATCATAATTTTCGTAATTTTCGTAACTTTCGTAATTTTCGCAACTTTCATAATTTTCATAACTTTCGTAATTTTCATAACTTTCGTAATTTTCATAATTGTCCCTGCTGCAATTGTTTATTTTATTGCAGCCATTTCCACCACTTGGGCCACTTCCACTCGTGCTCCTTGCATGATTGGAAGTTTGCGTTGAATGAGCCAATTCCATATGTTTGTTTTGACTAGATTTAAATGTATAGTTGTAGAGGTTTAATTTATTCCCATTTTCGTTTACATCATGATGATTTATAAATTTTTTATCATGATGTATATTAACATTCGTATGTAAGGAATCATCTTTTCTTTTGTTATTCTTTTTTGTAAAATCGTTATTTATTTTTATCAATTGATTTAAAAAATTATCATTATCAGAATTATATATGATTCCTATTTCATTTCTTAAATTAATAATGTAATTATCGAAATATGTAATACAGTAAACATATTTCAACACAATGTCTTTTATATCACAACAATCGAAAGTTTTTTCTTCTACTTCCTCTTTATCGCTAATAGGTTCAGGATCACGTACATAGACTTGATCCAGTACCTGTTTTTCATAGTTATTTTTACGATCTATGTCAATGAATGTATCGATTTTTTGTTTTATTAAATCTTCTTTAAGGGTTTTAAGTAATAAAACCCACTCGCATCTATATTTATCTTCTTTTTTTTTTATTCGAAAAAGTATGTTACTTTCATATTCTTTATGAAATGGTTTTAATGTAAGAACAACATTTTTAATGTGATCTATATCTTTTTCACAAAAAACATAATTACCTTCATTGTCATTAATGAAATTTCCTTGTATCCTTTTGTTCGCCTTTTTGATTTCAGTAGTGATTATCACACCATTGCTATTAATAAACGTAATGCTTGACACATATGGAGGATTTAGTTCATTCATTATTTTAAAAGTTGGACATTGACGAGTAAGTTACATGTATATGTGCTATATGTATATATATCCATATATGCCTTCGTATTTTTTATTTTATTTTATTTTTTTTTTTGAGTTTCCTTGTGTTCGTTCACACATGCATATGTTCCAACGTTTATTCATTCGTCCGTTCATACAATTGTACATTTATGCCTTTGTACATTAGCACCTTTATGTATTTGTATTATTATTCCTTGGTTGATTTATACATATGCATATATATGCACTAATGTGTACATATATACACGCATATGTATGCAACATATGTATTGTAATATAGGTGAAAGAAGGCAACGAAAAAAAAGAAAAAATATATATGTATCTTAATAGGTAAAAAAAAAAAAAATAAAATAAAATAATAAGTTAACAAGGAGCACAAATATTTGTTGACAATATACTGCAGCAGAACCTTATTTTCACAGTGCTTTTTTTTTTTTTTTTTTTTTCCTCTATGTCAAAAAATATAAATTGAATTCATATTTTTTATAGCCATTATTTTTTAAATTATTGCATTATATGTATGGAATTGTTTTGTGTATCTGTGGCACGTGCATGTTTTATGTAAGCATAAATATACATATAATGTGCATACATTTATATATATATATATATGCTTGCATATGTTCAGAGTTAAATATTCACATTACAATACATATATATACAAGAACATGTACACTGTTGATTGGACGTCAAAAAGTAAGGAATAAAATGCTTTATAACCCTACATTTACATAATAACATACATTATGATAAAGGAAAAATAAAAAAAAAAAAAAAAAAAAAAAAAAAAAAAAAAAAAAAAAAAAAAAAAAAAAAAAAAAAAAAAAAAGTTTTAAAAACAAAAAATAAAAAAAAAAAAAAAATAAAAAAAAAGAAAAAAAAAAAAAAAAAAAAAAAAAAAAAAAAAACGTAATAATGAAAAGGAAGCTGTATGATAAGTAATCTTTTCTGATTCGTCAAATAAAATATTTTTGCAATATTGTATATGTAAATGTGTATATCAAATCAAGTTATGTTTTTAGGGCTCATTTTTTTTTTTTATTTAGTTGAGAGGGGTTATAATGTAATAATAATTGTAGTAATGATAATAACAGTGGCCAAAGCAATGGTAATGATAATAACAACGATAGTAATAACATTAATAATAGTAATGGTGATAATATAATGTGCAATTAATCGTTTACGTGAATAGGTATTGCATAAATGTACGGTTATATCGAATCACCAAATTTAACACTTCAATAACATTTTAGTTGTGAAACGATTTCTACTCAATTATTAAGCTTTACATCATTGTCATATGTTTCACATATTTAAGCAAGTGGTTTAAATGTGCAAAACTGAAGACGCATATATTACGCATACACACGAATAATTCATACTATGATATGTACACATTATGTGTAAAATACAAAAAAAAAAAAAAAAATTTAAAGATCAAAGTATTAATATGTATTCATTTTTATCTGTGGACGTGTATATAGTGTATTATATTATTTCATCTCCTTTCACATTGCTTTTCTATTATTTCGTATCATTTTATGTAGCATCATATCAATTTGTGGTATTTCGTAGATTTTAATATATGTTCTTTTTTTCTTTTTCTTTTTTTTTATACAGGTAATATTATTAATATTGTCATTTATTAATTTAATCATGTTACATTTATATATGCAAATAAGTGTTACAATAGCATTTCAACGTATAATTAACAATAGCAGAGTGTATATAGCATACTTTTCTTTTCTTTTTTTTTTTTAGTTTGTATTTTGTGACATAAATATTTTATAAGCAATGAGGACATACATTTTTAAAATAAAAATTAAAAAGTATATTCTTTATTTTAGCAGGAGCATTTGTATGTAGCATGTAAATAATACGTGTGATCTTACACGATCTGTACATCATATGCGTATATAATTCGTGTATTATATATGTACACAGGTTTTTACAAGGTGTTTTATGTGCACTAAAAGATCATATATTTTCATGTCAATAGTCAACAAATGTTAATGTATATATATTGTTATCTAATTGCTTATTGTGGTATATATAAAAAGTTATACAATAACGTAAATACAATGAATCACGTAAATTCACAAATTTCGAACAATCTATATACATGAAAAAACACAAGCATTTTTATGCATATAATTATTTATACATGTATAATACATGAAGTAAATATATAAATACAAATTAAAAAATAAATATATATAATAATATTCTATGGAAAAAAATATATATGTAAAAAAATGCACGAAGCATGAAGGCTCATCTCCTAAATGATAATTTTTTTTTTTTTTTTTTTTTATACTATTTTACAAAAAATTCGAAACCGTAAATAAATGAATATGATGAATATGTATAATATATATATATATATATACGTGTTGTACATATAGAAATTATCAGCTATGTATATAATTTTATTTTTTTTATTTCATGGTAGCAAATATTTCAATATTTCTTTAAATGCTTATATTTAAAAGCGGGTATTTTTCAATATGCTATAGAAAATTTCGTATAAATACAATAATATAATATACCTTTGCCGACCATTTGGCAATTTTGTGGATAAATTATTATATATATATTATTATATATCGTTGCTTAAGCACATATTTTATTAACATGTATATACCACATTTTTGCTGTTTTATTTTTATTTCAGAGTGCACTTAAGCGTAAAAAAATTTATGTCGCTTCTAAAGGGAAAAAAAAAAAAAAAAAAAAAATCGCAACCAATGACAAACTCAAACTTTGGTTTTTTAAAGCTACAAATTTGTTGAGTTCATAAAAAATAAAAATAAAATAATTATAATAAAAGCCGCTTTTTTTTTTTTTTTTTTATAGCTACAACATATTATAAGTGGGGGCAAGAATTTTTTTTGTTTTTCAACTATTGCTTTATATACAAGCATATATTGTGCCAAAAAAAAATTAAAATATTTTACCTTAATTCATAAAACCCAAAGGAGTTATAAACATACTTTTAACTTTACCAAAATAGACTCATGAAAAAATCTGATTTATTAATAGAATTTAAAAAAAAAAAATGTTAAATTTCAATTATTTTGAGCTTATTTTTTTCTATTATAAAGCATAACAAGAATATAATTACCTATAGAAATCATTGTATCCCTTAAAAATACAGGTCTTTTCATATAAAATTTCGGAAAATAAAATTATATATGAGCTATGGAACAAACCATGTAACAACATAACACCCCTATATATATAAATGTATATGTTAGTAGCATTTGTAAATGTTGCTTCACATTCCCCACATTACAATATATAAAAGTAACATTTTCAAAAATGTCTAATGATTATCCTTTCTTTTTTTTTTTTTTTTTTTTTTTATTTTGGTGAAATGGAGAATAACTATAATTTTTTAAAAATAGCTTTTTTTGGTTTCATATCTATGAGCACTTACATTTATTCAAATTTCATGTCAAATGTTGAAATTTTTTATGTGAAGCAAAAAATCAGAGTTGCAATAAGGTGCTACAATACTTTTCTCCATAACAATAACATAATACTTTTCATGGGAAATGCACACAATATATAAGGATAATTGGAGTATAAGTTGGAACTGTCATTTTGAGAAAAAAGAAAAAAAGAGTAATGTATTTTGAAATGTAACGATTTATAGTCCTTTTTACTCAAAAGTTATTTCTTAATTTTTTTATATCCATTTTGAAAAAAAAAAATAAAATAAAAAAAAAGTTTGACCTGTTTTATGAACAATGCACTTGTCAAAATTTTTTGTGTTTATTTATTTCGGGGACCGAATGCAGTGATGAATATTTCAAGGCCCTCATTACATATGTGTAAGTATATATTTACATGTTGCATATTTATATGTATATAATAAAAATATCCAATGAGAGCTTATGTTTCCTTTTATTTTGATACATTGCGTGAGCATGTCGGATTCGCAAAGCACACAAGATCTTAAAGAATGTTAAAAAAAAAATAAAACAAAACAATGAAATTAAGATCCTTTGTTTCTCATTTTTTTTTTTGACTTTTTTTTTTTTTCTGTTATAAGTGCAACAAATGAGACGAATTTTACTAATTTTCCTAATGGATGCATTAACACACTTCACAAGCAATGTTTATAATCGCTCTTATAAAAAAATAAAATTCTTTTGTTCATTATGTTCCTATCTTTTTGTTATCTTCAGTCATTTTATAAAAAAAAAAAAAAAGAAAAACAAAAGTCCTCTTTCAATGTACAAATCTTTTTAAATAATCATCTGCGTGGATTGAAAATTAACATAATAATATCGTTACACATTATTTACTCATGAATTTATTTTATTACAATTTTACATTGAAATTAGTGTCATATAATTTGAAAACTTTTATATATATATATATATATATATATTTTTGTTGTATACCTCACCTTTTTCTAATTTTTCAAGATATTCTTTTGTGTGAAGACCTAAGTTATGCTTATTCAATGAGAGTAAATTTTCAAAGTGACTCAAGGAAATCTACATATAAAAAAAATATAAAAAAATAAAATAAACGAATATGCCTTTTTATTTATTTATTTTTTTTCTTTTTTTGGAAAACTAATTGCATAATTGTGTATAAGCACTTTCTTTCCTTTAAACTTTTTTCCCCCATTTTTTTCTTCGTTTACCTTGAAAGATTGAACCTTTAATTCATCATCTGATGAAAGCCAAAAAAAACTTAACTACGTGAAAAATAAGTGAAGGGATATGTAGCAAGAAGATAATGCTACTAATTTCATATGCACTCCGTTTCAGCGATAGGCGTGGAGAATATATGTACATATACGCACATATGTAAGCATATAAAATAGGTACTTCACAAATGTGCATATTTCAAAAAGAACAATATTCATTCATAAATGAACAAGTCTCATAAAGGAAAATGATAAAGTGGGAAAAAACAAAAATGATGGGGGGGAGGGATGTATTATTATATTACTATTTCCTTGGATAACTCAAAATCAGGAGAACTTTCCAAAAACACAGTTTCTATGACATATTCATAAATCTTTTCATATATTTCCAAATATCCAAAAAATTCCATATTCTCTGGAAAATTGGGGTTTTAGGGTACAGCATGCCATAAGTACATAATGTAATACATAAAGAATGACAACTTTGGAAAAAACGAAATGGAATACGAATTGTATCTTTGTTCCTTTTTATTAATACTATATATATATATATTTTTTTATTTACTTGTATATATTATGTGATTTTTTATTATTCTCAAAAGTAGCCCAGTTTTCCATTTTTCCTAAAATACCAAAAAAATTGCAAAAAATATATAAAAAAAAAATTTTCTTTTGAAAAAAGAAAAAAAAAGGATATATTAAAAGAACTTTTAATTATCTTACTTTTATTAAGAATAAATGAAGAAAAGAAACGTTGCTTTTTTCATTTAAGAAATTTAAATTTTTGCTAAAGATGTTCGAGAAATACTTGTTTATCATTTTATAATTGAACATTTTTTTAAGTGACCCATCAAAAACTTCGTTCCTAATGATCATTTTTTGTTCTTCGTCGCTTAATTCATTGTATCGCTGATCAGTGTCGTTTTATTTTTTAATGGAATTTGTGAATTTAAGATTGTGCACATGTACGTTATTTTGCTTATAAAATTATTGTATTACTAATAATATATGTATGATCGCGCAGGAATAATGAATGATATGGACATATACATATGTTACATCTTTTTATATCTGCATCCATACTATGCAAAATCACCTTCAAATAAAGATCAAAAAATTCATCATCCATGCTTAGTATCTTGTGAGAACACAGAAAAAAAAAATATAATAATTTCCTGTAAAAAACAAAAGATGAATAAATATATAAGTTCATTTTTTTTTCTGTTTTTTATATTCATCTTGTTCTTAATTTTTCCCCTCTTTCACGAAATGCTTTTATACTTCGTTTTGGTGTGTGTTAAGACCCTTGAACAAATTGTTATGAATTGTTTTATTTCTGTGTTGTATGATCCTTCCATCTATAAACACGTAAAGCACAAATGGAACATTATTGTTTTTATGTATTTGTGTACTTTCACATAAATGTTGAATGTGTAATTTAGGGCCCTTGTTCATGTATGTCTACACACACGTGAGTAACAATAGGATAATTATGCTCTACCTGATTCTCTTTCATTTTGAATAAGATATTACAACTAATGACAAACAAAAAGGTGTTGTAATTTATGTTATTTATTTCTAGAATGTTTTCCAGTAGACCTATGAGGAATGTATAACGTGACATACAGTTGGGAATTTGCTTCGCATATATTTAATTACACACGGATGCACTTGGGGATACATACATATTTCTTCTCTCTGTCATGTTCTTGACACATTTGCATATCGACACAAACACCGATAGATACAGTTTAATTCGCATACCAGATAGATGAATTATCTCTTCATAGCCCTCTAACAGGCTTAGTGTATTCAACATGTCAAGGCTCTTCAACCTGCACAAAATATGATAAAAAAATAGAATAAAAATAAAAAGTAAAATAAAAACAAAAAAAACAAAATAATAATAAACTTTGTCACGAAGTTTCTACGAATATATAACATGAATCATGTATCTAAACTGTTAAATAAAATAATTTTATACATAATGTTCTCTTTATTTGTATGTAATCCAGTGAATAAGTAGTAAAGATAAATGTCTTTAACGCCTTTTTGCTGTATAAATTTAAGTGGGAAAGAAAAACGGTGCCGCGTGCAAAGCGGTACCATATAAAAATAAGTAAAACAAAATTATGTAAAATTATATGTAATTATATAAAATTATGCAAAATAAAAAATCGTCCATAGCATATTACATTAGTTACATTTTTATTACATATATAAACGAATTCGTCGAACTGTTTAACAGGGTTAACAAAAAATGATAAAAAAAGTTGGATGACATGGTGTTCTTAATCATTCTCAAAATATTCATTAAGGTATGTCCATCGTTATTTATTAACAAAACAATTAATTCGCAAAAACATCTGATATCCTTATTTTCGTCATTGTCTAATGAGAAAAGACCTTTTAATATTGTGTTGCAAATCACCTATAAACAAAAAATTATCATTAAGAGGAAAAGTTACTTTTTTTTTATTATATTATTTTATTTTTTTTTATTTTATTTATTTTTTTTTTTTTTTTTTTAGCAATGATAATTTACTGAATTGTTTAAAAAAAAAAAAAAATAATAATAAATGATAATCAAACATGAGGAAGAATAAACAGCTTTCTAGCATGTTCTTCCATGTATCTAGGATCAGTGATTAATAATGAAAACGTCGTTAACGAGGTATACAAAAAAATAAGTGAAAAAGTAAGTTTCATATATGTACACATATGCACACATAAATAAGCCTTATATACACGGCAAACTAATTGTTTGCTTACTTCACTTGTTGTGCTTTTTATTCTCAAATAAGTTAGGAGCTGCTTCAAATAATTCATAATTGAGGTAAAGACTTGAGAGTCGCATTTTGTGTTAGACAATACTTGAAAAAAATGTAGTTATTTATGAAATGGATGATGGATGGAGATGGGACAACAAATGTCATGTGTGGGAATACATGCATAAAAAAGTTAGTACATATATATATATATATATATATATATATATACGTATGCGTGTCAAAATTGGGAAGAGTCAAGTATTAACGCATGATAAAGAGTGAACTGCAATATAGATATATATATTCACTCATATGTTTTTATCTGCTTCCTTTAGATACCAGGATAAAACAATTTCCATAGGTGCGAAAACTGATACCCTCTCAAGGACAAGATTAAGTAGAAGTTTTCATTAAAAAGTTTCAGTCTATTCAGTATTTTGTCTATTAATTCTGAGGAAAAGAAAATATATAACAATTCAGTATTTTTGATTTGGATGCATCTTTACCTCTATTTTTTTTGATGATTTTTTGCTTTCTCGCTTTATCCAGAGAAATAAATAGAATTAGTACCATGTCTTTTTAAGGAACACACGACGAAAAATTTTTCATACAGATTATTTACATTATTCTCATCACATAGTTCAAATTTTGGAAATTTATAAAATTCCTTCACCATATTAGCCGAGCATGCAATTAAGCTTTTATTTTCTTTTTCAACCACATAATGAGATATATTTTCTTTTAATACATTGGCTATGATATCTTCCATGTTTTCATCTAAAAAAGGTGGACACATGTACGTACATGTATATATATTATACATATGTATACATACATATATACATACACGCTTTTGTATATATATGGGTGTAATATTATATAAAGCATGTTTCCTATTATACATTGTCCATATGTGTTATATTCCTTTTCGAGAATGTTTAAATTAGCTCTACCTGTATAACCTGTATTGTGAATTTTATGGCATTCACTTTCGTTATCCACATTTGTGTTTCTGAATAAGTGTAATGATGACAAATCCAACACCCGAATATGAGTAAATAGATTTTGCAACTTTCTCATTAAATGATTAAACGTGTGTATGTGCAAAATGCATGGAAAATTTAAACTTCGCATCTTTGTATTTTCTGTATTACTTCATAAACTCTACCGATGTTAAATTATTTTTGTCTTTGATGAATGAATCTAGCTAAAATAGGCATGTGTTAATTAAGAGAATTATTTTTTTTTTTTTCCTTTTTTGTCTGTTATTTTTTTAGGCTTATTTTTATAAATGTTTACGCCGTCATTTCGTTGAACCAGGAGCGTGTTTTATGTATTTAGAATGTATGTATATACATGTGTAAATGGGTATGTTCACAAGTGACGATGAACTCACCGTTTTGATATCTGTATAATCCATGTAGCTGCTTGTGTCATTTATGGTTATGATACTACTGCTTTTTTCTAACCCATCAAAAAGGGACGTCTTATTTAATCCCGTTTTTTTGCTCATGTGTTTAATTTTGTCCTTGTTTTCCTCTTCTTCCTTTTTTCTCGTTCTCATCATTGTATGTTTCTGGAAAATGTGAATTAAATATATAATGTGGTAGATGCCACATGCTTATTTATATATAAATACAACTGTGTGTGGAAGGAAAGCTTAACCCCCCCCTTATACTTATTCTCTTGCATACATATGTATATTTCCAAATGTTGGCAAATACAAATGGGTGTAATAAACACACATATATATATGTGTACATATGTAAAAAAAAAAAAAAAAAAAAAAAAAAAAAAAAAAGACAATAAACAATATACAATATACAATATACAATATACAATAAACATTAAACATTAAACAGTAAACAGTAAACAAAATTCGTTCATTCATTACATATTCTTCTCCTTTTATTATTTCGTAGGTGCTTAACATTTTTTTCTCTTCGTCGATTATGTCGTGAACATTGCTTTCTCTAAGAAGTGCAAATGCGCATGTTTTTACTGTTAAGGGGTATAGTACATAAGTGTGCATATGTACCATATCATATGTGTGTTCTAATACACATATTTATATACATTAGACGTACATTGAGAAAAAAAAAAAAAAAACTAGCGCAAACGCTTAGGATCGCTTACCGGATTTTCTGAGTTATTGTAGATCTGGCAAATGATGGAACAGTCAGTTCATTATTTTCTCCTTTAGCACTGTAGAGATCATTTTTTATTTTTTTTTCGTTGAAATATTCATACAAGTTGACAAATAAATTTGTTATGGCATCTGTATATGGAAATAGGTGCAAGAATGTCTGCAGGTGTTAAATGCAACTGTTAATATAAGTTATTTTGCACGAACGATGTGTGCAGGCGGTTGTTTTTTTTCAACATTCGCTTTCCTCTTTCTTTCCCTTCCACATTTTGTTTTATTTTTTTTTTTTTTTTTTTTTTTTTTTTTTTCTCCCCTCATATATATGGGGAGCTACAACTAAATAACTTTCATTTTTACTTTTGTCAGAATTAATTATAGATATTTCGTCGAAAGAAATACTTAAACTTGTTAACACTTTTTTTATGATTTGCCAATTTTTTCTTTTTATATCTTTTCCAAAGCCATTTTCCAAACTATTCATATTGATGGTCTTTCAGGAAGAAAAGAAAGAAGGGGATAAAAAAAAAAAAAAAAGAAGAAATAAAAGAGGAAATCGTTTGGATCTATTTTCTGAAAAATTATTAAAGAAGACAAAATTGTATAAAAAAAGAAACATGAAAAAAATATAATTCAAATGAAAAGAATAAAAAGTCTTGTAAAATAAAGGTGAATGAAAAATACTTGTGGAATATATGTGTTTATAATTTCTGAGACTATTATTCCATTGCTTGCATTTTTAATGCTTTTAAAAGAATACGACAGATTTAAGTATTGCAACCATTTTATAACTTCTCGTGGCACTGAAAAAAGGACACACAAAAAAAAGAATAAGAAAGAGAAAAAAAAAGAAAATAATAAAGGAATGAAAAAAAAAAAAAAAAAATCGTGTGCACATTCATGTAGATTTAGAATAAGCGTGTGCATCGAGGAGAGGTGGGGAACAACTACGGTGGCATATTATAAGGGTATGGGAAATGATACACAAAAATAAGGTGGTTAATTTTACATTCCATTTTTTTGTTCTCCAAGATTTTTTATGAACGTAATTAAACATTCTATAAAATTTTTTAAGTCAATCTGAAGAAAGCAGTTTAAAAAGTAGAAATGTGAAGCTTATATGCTTATTTTATTTATTTATTATTTTTTTTTCTTTATATATATGTAATTCTTTATTAAAAGTGTATGACAGAAATGAATTGAACTTTCGACTGGGAGAGGGGATATATATAAGCTATTCGTCAACATATCTCCCTGCATATTTTCTCATACGAAGTTGTGAGATAACTCGAATTCACAATTCATGCTGTATTTGTGAGATAGTGTCATACATTGGAGTGAAAGTAAATATAGAGATATCCAGATTTATAGACAAAAATATGTACATATACAGGGTCTGATACTTGATCATATAAGTAAAGCAAAAACATCTGTCTACCTATCTCCACTTTGCTAACTAAAACATGTGCATATTTATTACCTCTATAACAATAATTGCACATGTCACTACTTGCTATTTCGCTTTAGTGCTAGCTTTTCTCATGCGCGTTTCTTTTTAATAAAAAAAAAAAAAAAAAAAAAAGAGGGAATAATTGTGGTAATAATATTAATACTGCTAATAGTAATAATAAATACTTTCCATATTTTATCTCTTTTTTTTTTTTTATTTCCCTCCCCATACACAAGTCTATTTTCATTCATATTTTCTTTGAGATGCCCTTTCTATAATGACACAGTTTCATAAAGGTAGGAAAAAAAAAAAAAAAAAAAAAAACACCTTTTTTTTTTTTTTTTTTTCTCCATTTTGTCTTATATAACTATACTCCATAAACAAGAAAAAAATAAATATTAAAAAAAAAAAAAAAAAAAAAAGGAAGATTTCAACAAAAGGGCTGGCTAAATAAATATGAAAAACATACATAATCGTGTACACACACAAATGTATATGCAAGGCTTAAAGAACTCTATACATTTTTTCCATAAACCACTAAAATACACAATAATAATAATAATAATAAGGGAAAAAAAAAGTACAACGGTATTATGAATTAAAAAACCTATAGGCTGAATGTAAAAAGGGAAATTTCGACAAGAAGTAGAATAAATCCGACAATATTCAAGTAAGACATTAAAAGGTATATAATTGCAGAAATGTGTGTATCCATTTTTTTTATTGAATTATGATATGTGATAAAAGGGAAAATTATATACATTCTATGAAACGAATATAGTGTAGATCTACAGATAGACATATCAATGTATACTAGTGTATACATGCAGAAGAAAGCATATATACCATTCCACATGTGCATGCAAGCATATAGAGTTATACATTTTTATATGCATAAAATGGATTCTGAGAGAAAATACATAACCCAATAAATGCTTCCGAAAAGTGCGACGAGTTATACTTTCTCTATCTACATCCGCTACTGTCCATGTACTACTCACCCCTCCTACTACGTGGGAATTTTTTTTTTTTTTTTCTTTTTTTTTTGTGAAGAATGTGTATTTTATGCAGTCATAGAAAGAAAGGGGGATTCGAAAACACAGCCATAGGAACATGGTCCAAAGGAGTCAGCTTAATTTTTTGTTCGTCTATATTTTTATTACATTTCGTGAATGAAGATGAACTGAGCATATTAAACAAAATAGAAGTAGATGGAGAGAATAAAATGGTTTATTACTTAAGTATATACAATTTAATAGGTGCAGGAACGTTGTTATTGTTTTCTTTATTGGGACATTTTATTTATAAGCCTCTTTTACGCCCAATTTATTTATGCTCTTTTATCGTTTCTCTATTTTTAATTGCATCTGGAGTTTACACTACTTCGATAAGTAAGAATACATCTTTGAAAATTATTGGAATAATGGATGCATTAAAATTTCATCCCGATTATATGCTTTTAAGTAAAATAAATAATTTAGATGAAGTTGGAGGTCCTAAGGTTATTCAATCAGAAGATGGTATAGGTCTAAGAGAGGTAGCCAAAGGGGTGAGTGGTCTTCCAGATATATCTACATTTGATGCAACAAAGGTTTTAGAAATAATAAAAGATCGTGAATCTTTTTTGGGTACTAAAAAAGATCTATTATTAAAGAGCTTAACTAAAGAAGATTTATTGAAAATGTTTAATAATATAAGAGAGTCGGATCCTAGTGTACATAAAGATTTAGTGGAAAATACGTTATTAGAATTATATGAAAAAATAAAAAATATTCGTATGAATTTTGATATATATGATAAGTTTTATAAATTTATGGAAAACAATCCTGTTCCTTTTATAACTAGTTCAGAAAAATTAAAAAAATTTACAGAAAAATTTCAGCATGTTTTTGATCGTTATAATAAATCCCTTTTTAATAATTTAAAATATGATTTAGTAAAACATGATAATGAAATTATTAAAATATATTTAGATTCAACTGAAAAAATTAAAAAAGTAAGAGCTAAAAATAATAATGCTAAATTAGATGAATATATAGACGACTTGAAGAAAAGAAACATCCTCATCTTGGCATCTTCACTTTTAATGATGTCTTTCATTTATATTCACAAAGGAGCAACGCTAACCTCCAAAAGTTCTATGGCGATTACTTCAATGTAACTACTTCTCATAATACACATCTGTGCTGTCTTTTCATGTGATATGTATCATTCCGGTTACATATTTATACAAACACACACATGTTCCTTTATCGTGAATCCAGATTGTTTTCTTTCATTGAGTGTATTTTTGACTATTCCTGATTAATCAATGTTAATTCGATACAGCGTTATTTGTACATATGCAAAAGGAACATTTTTTTTTTTTTTTTTTTTTTTTTTGCATAATTCGTCTTTTCTTACCTATCATTTTCCATTCCATTATCCTTTTCATTTTCTCTATTTAGGTACGTACCCTGCATGTCTTATCTGATTACTCTGGCATGCATTTTCGTTTGCAGCGGGATTTTTTTCTTCTCCATAATTGGATTAGTTCTCTACGTATTCAGCCTGATATTAATCTTTTTTTTAATATTTTCCCAATGTCTATGCGAACGATTATTTAAGCTTTTTATGGGATTTATTTTTTTATGTTTACTTTTTTTTTGTTTTTTAATCGGATATATCTTAATTGAAGATTTTAATGAAGGATCAAAAGTTTATAACGAGTATAAGAAAAATGACTACAACGATTTTTACTGGGTACTACTAAACAAAAGAACGTATGAGCATTTTAAAAGTTTTGTTTTGTTTTCAAATGGACAAATGTTTTTAGTATGTATAGCTTTGTGTGGCTTTTTGACAACATATTCTCTTTATTGTGTTTTCTACACCTTTCGATCTATTTGTGCTCCAAAGGAGCAGCTTCCCACTCATGTGTAATGGTAGCAAAAGTATATGTGATACTGCTCACATTAAAATGTGCTAATATACAAATGCATATTTTACTAACAATTTGTATATTCACAACTACACACATATAGCCAATTCATTTTTAGCGCTCATCTGACTCATTTAAGAAAATGCTTTGGTGTATGTTGTGCATTTTCAACACCCTAATCCTCTTCGTCTTATTACGATTTCTACGTCTATGTCTATGTCTATTCCTATTCCTATTATTATTACTTTTTCTTTTTTTTTCTATTTTTTCACGTGTTTTTAACTTTTTATGCTCCCCAATATGGTCGATGTATCAACACAGCCATTTTATCCTCCGTCTACTTTATACACGTTCATTTCTTTTAGAGATTATTTTTTTATTTTTTTAATTATTCCATGTTTTAAGTTATTAATATTATGCATTTGTTTATAACCACTTCGTCAATTCTTATAATGGACTTTTTTTTTGGCATTCCACAATTAGCTTTTATTACCCTTTAGTTGTCCTATGATAAACATACATGTTCTATTTATTTCGCGATACATGTAAAAAAAAAAAAAAAAATTGATTCACTAAAATTGTGCAGGAAAATTATGTGAAACATTCTGTTCACTTTTATTTGAACGAGTAAATTAACAAAATTGGATAATTAAAATGGACGATTACAAATTTCTTGAACGCACTGTTACATGAAGATTGAAGAAAAATTAAAGGGTGGTTTTTTTATTCCAAAATCACATGAACACTCCTCTTTACATGCATTTATGTGTGACAATCCCACGGAACCTACATGCTATGGGACACGAGAAAAAAAAAAGCTTGTGGACGGCTAATTTGTTTAATTTTCCTTTCCTCTTTTTATTTTTATTTATTTTCGTTATTTCTTGCTTTATTTTATAATGAACACACATACTACGACAAAATTGTGCGCAATGTAGTTTTAAGGTTTCTACCTTGTTACCCTTATCAAATGGTCTTAAAAAATAACATGGATATACCCCTTTATGCCTTTACACATTGCATCCCTTTTTACAGAAATTGTTAACAATTATTACATGAGGGGGCTGATCTAATTGGATTGTAAAAAAGAAAATTTGCATAATTACTTGCAGCATAAAAAAAAAAAAAAAAAAAAAAAAGGATTAATGGAAATATTACAACATCCGCAAAAATAAGCACGTTTTCCCAATGTGTTACATATAGACTACTTAAATAAATGGAAAACCTTGTAGCTGCTTAATGTAACTATGTTCTGATATGTTGTTCCTAACTTCATGAAAAAGAATAAATCGATTTCTCTTGCTATAAGTGTATATATATTTTTTCTTTTCATATATATATTTTTTGGTTCGTTCTTATAGAATAAAAGAAAAAACGTGGAAAAATATGAAACTTAAAAAAAAAAGGAAGAAAATGTACATACCAATGTACAACATATTATGTATGTAGTAAAGGAAAAGAAAAAAAAAAAAAAAAAACATACCAAATGGGATTGTTAACATTTATGAACAAGTGTTTTTCTCATAGCACGTTTATCAAAAATTCTTTAATAAACAATTATATATATGGTATAATATAAAAAATAAAATAAACCTACATTTTAAAATGCAAAAAAGGAAAATAAAAAAAAAACCTTTGGAAATACACATTTGAAACGTATTGAAATATTAAATTGGCACAATTGTATATCAAAAAAAAAAAAAAAAAAAAAAAAAAAAATTTATTTTATTTTATTTTTTTGTGGTATTTTAATTTTACTAAATAAATGGATTTTAAACTTATTTAATAGAAAATATACTGCACGATTAGATGTTAGAATGCGTTCCACGTCAGCATGTCAAAATTATATAGTATGTTATGAAGTTTTTTTATGAATGGTTAGAGATACCCTTTATTTTGTATAATTGGCGGAAAATAATATACCACATGAAAATTCCATTCTATCATATCCCTATGTTCTCAAATGATCATGTATGCATGCACAATATCCCGTATTGTAGCATGTAAGGAAAAGCATACTTTCTATATTCCTAAACAGTGCATATACACAAGTGTGGTAACACAAGGGAAGGGATCCATTGAAGTGGCTGCGACCGTAGGGGAATGAACCTCATCCGTCCACCTACACACACACACACATACATACTTACATACCTTTGCTCATTTTCCTGTAATTTCCAAAAGAACAATTTTCATAAGTACTTAATTTTTCCAAAATCAATTCTTCTAGTAGCATAGATGGTCCAAAAAAATCTCTGCCAAACAGTCATTAAGACCATTGCAACAAAAGCACCGCTTACTAATTTAAGACCAGTTAATTTTCTTTCATCATGTGTTGGCTCAGCTGCCCAAGTTAAAAAATTTACAACATCTTTTGCCATTTGAGAAACGTTGCAAGGGGTACCATCTTCATATTCAATCATATCATCTTGAAGAGGTGGTGGCATAGATATAGACCCTCCTGCAAAATACGTATTATAATATAACCCTTGTCTTAAATGTATTCCTTCAGGTGGATCTCGATAACAAGTGAGTAAGGAAAATATATAATCTGGCCCATTATGTCTTGCTGTTGTTATGACTGATAAGTCTGGTGGAGATGCACCATTATTTGCATATCTTGCTGCTTCTTCATTTGGATATGGCTTGGGAAAAGAATCAGTTAAAATTCCTGGTCTCGTAAACATCTCTCCTTTATCATCTGGTCCATCTTCTATATCGTAAGATGCAGCAATTTGTTTTACTCTATTTTCTGGATATACTTCATTAACTAAACTTCGAAATTGCAATTGTTCCATCGAATGACAAGTTGCACATATTTGTCTGTATACTTCAAAACCTCTTCTTACACTTGGTATGTCATGTGAATGAAACATGGATTTAAACCAAAATGGATAATGTGGAGTGTGAGGAGGTTCATAATCCATACACCATGCTACTGGTCTTGATTGCATGCTATTATGCAAAACTGAAAAACCTAAACAAAACAATATATAATATTTTAAATTTAAATATTTATGTTTCTTTCTTTCTTCATTTTCTTCTTCTGTATATGGTTCTATATGATTTTTTAATCTATCTTGACTTCTTTTATTAGGTAAAAAAAAATCACATCCTTCAACTAATGTTCCTCTACATATTTGTCTTTTGTAATCTGTATGTCTATTTTTGTAATTATCATTTGGTTTAAATCGATCCAATATGTAATAATTCAAATTCTTTATTTTGTTATTTTTTGTTTTTGCTTTCAACATGTTCTTCTCGAACTCATTATTCCACGATTTAATTAAATATAATCGAAGCTAAGAAAGGGAACAAGTACATGAGGTGGGGTAAATATGTATTTTTAAGTTCTATTGAATGAGGGCATATATCACAAAACACTATGCCCCAATGCTTTTGGTGAACCTTTGCACAAAAGTAATAACAGCCTGTGTCATTTCTCTCCAAAAAAGTGTGAAATCATTATGATTTGGATTTTAACAAGTTTCTTTTGCAAAAATAGAAAAGTTTAAAAAAATATACTTTCCTGCTCCCTTCAGAAAATTCCCTTATGATGCCGATGGAAATTTATATATTTTGACAATACACACTTGTGCACTTGAACGGTGCAACATTATGTCTTTATGTTTGTGCATCAATTTTTCATGGAACAACTGATAAGTGCAGATGTTCTATCTCTCTCTTTCTGTCACTTTTTTTTTTTTTTTTTTTTTTTTTCTTACATTGTACGGAAGTTTGAGCCATATTTTATCCTTGTATCCTGGAAATAAATTGTTTAATGCTCCACCACCTGCCATATTTTTATCTCAGAATCCTTAACTTTATTTTGAAGTTTTTCTTTTGTATTATATGGATTTTCACCCTTTGGTCAACTTTAAGAATAATTAAAGCTCTCATTTAAAGTCTTCGTTGGTGGTGAAAAGATTGTATGATTTATAGCGGTGCGAAACGGTACTACATATTATGTTTGTACGTGTTTATGCGAATGCTTATGAATGTGTGTTTGTGTGTACGTGCCTATGGATGTGTGCTTATGTGTATGGGTTTGTGTATGTATGTACGAGCTCGTGAATGTTCTTATGTATGTTCTTATGCACGTTCTTATGCACGTTCTTGCGTATGAGCTTATGTATCCATTTATGTACAGGCATGAGCGCACACTCTCGTTATACCCTTCCGAGGAGGAACATTCACGAAAAGAAAACTTCCCCCTTTATCAGGTAATGAGCTATATTTATATATCTTAAAACCAAGCACTAAGATTGTGAACTTTGGCTTGCAAACTTCAAATCATTTCAATTAGGAATATACGAACTTATAATATATAATTATAGCAATTAACATAATTAAATGCACGTTTTAATGTGTGAAGGAAAATATGGTAACAATAATTTCAACTTAATATAAAGTTGAGAGCACACCCCATTTTGTTCTTTCCATAAATTCATTATTATTTGTGAGGAATTCACATTCGTAAAAAATAAAAAAAAGGTGAAAAAAATTGAAATAAAAAAATGATAAAAAAAAAAAAAAAATGGAAAAAAAGAGATAATATAAAAGTGAAAACAGAGGTTAAAATAAATGGAAGGTAAAAAATAGCAAAAAACGGCAAATAAAATGGAAAAATTTTGACAAAAATTAGAAAAAAAGTTAACAAGAAAGAGAAAAAAAATTTGAACTCAAAGTGTGAATGTATATATGCCACGCAAAATTTCAACACCAGCTAAAATAAAATGCTCACATTTGCGTGTAATTATTTAAAGAAAAATGCAAAAAAAGTGAAAAACCAGCATCATTATATAATACAATGTGACATTTGCATATTTTACCTACACACAATTATATTATTATTACTTTTTTTTTAAAATTATCCCTCATCCTTTATTTACATTTTTGTCCCTATTGTGTTCATGCTTTCTTAAAGTTTCCTTTACGCTATGTCATTACACTGTATGTAAATACTCGAAGAAAAAGCCTTTACGATTATAAAATTGAAGAATGCTTTTTAAATGAAGTAAAATAACATGCTTGAGCTTATGATTTTATCCATTATTTATTTTCCATGTTTTCCATTTTTTTTTTTTTTTTTTTTAAGTTTAATTAAAAAATGTCTTTATTACACAGAATGTATAGTTTCCCATCCATATCTGTTACTAAATTTGTGTACATAACAAAATTCACGTACAAACAGATAATGTGAATAATTGTTTATCTTTTTAAAAGAGGTGAAACGCTGAAAAGCTGAAATGACAGTATCTCCGAATTTTATATTATATGCAGGAAGGGAGGGGGAAGAAGGGGAAAAACACAGAAAACCAAAAGAAAAATCCCCCCAAACAAAAAAGGTGCTAATGGTTTTAAATCTCTTATCAATTATAACACAAAATAATCACGTATGTATATATATTTTTTCCCCTGTTCTGTGGCATACGTGTTGTGTACAAAATTAATGAAGAAGAAAAAAGGGTATAATAGTAAAACATATGGCTCCAACAGCGATTTTTTTTTCCACACATGGTTTAACTTTTCCAAATGTTTAAAGATAAATATGAACACATATTCAACTTCGCTTGGAGTGATCACATGTATGCTTATGTAAGCAGTGTATAAGTTGCAACTAACAAAAAAAAAAAGAATACTTGATCATTTAGAACTCTTTTTAATTACTTCAAATGAAGAGCTGTAATGGGTTACTATGTAAATAGGAACTCTTTGAGCACACCAAAACTGTTTCTACACTCGTTTTAGTTTACTATTTCAGACTATATAAACAACGCCTGAGAAGGAAATTTTCGTTTCCTTTCTATATACGCATTTTGGTATGGGTACCCTACACTCCTCCCCCTTCTTATTATATTAGTTTAGCTTAGAAAACGAGACTAAAATAAAAAATAAAAATGAAAAAAAAAAAAAAAAAAAAAAAAAGGATTACAATCAACTTGTATTAGATGATGTATCTCCCAAGTTACTTTTTTGTCTTATCATAAAATAAGGGTAAATATTCAAATGACTCTTTATCTTAAAAATATTCGTCTCGCATGCAGTGAGAAGGATATCCTAGGGAAAGGAGTTTTTTATCTTGTAAACACTTTCTTTCTGACAGAAACCACTTTTTTATATCCTCATAGTACGTAGATATACATGTATAAGAAAAATTCTTCACTAAAGTAGTGCTAACCTTTTCAGAATTTTTTTTTTTATTATCATTTGTATACCCATACGAAATTGCTCGAACACAAGTGAAAATGTTATGTTTAACAATTTTAATTTCGTGGGGAATACATTTTTGTACACATGAATTGGATAAGTAATTTTCTTAATAACCTTGATGATGCTGAAATGTTTACGTTACTAGTTCTTTGAAAATATAAAAAAAAAAAAAAAAAAAAAAAACTCTATTTTTGAAAATTAGGAGAGGTGTTTTTAAAGAAGTTTATGCATGATACAACACATTTTCATGATTTGTCCTTATACATAAAAAACTTTTTAGATTTAATTATCGCAAGGTTCAAATTTTAAGGAAAGGGGAAAAAAGAGAAAAAATAATAACATTCTAAAACTATATACTTTGATATATTTTTATTCATTTTATACCTCATATATTCCAACAAACAATATTGTAATAATCCTCGCCCAAAACAAAATAAAAAAAAAAAAATACAATAACAAAATCATTTCATGAAAATAGAGTGGCATGATATGGAATCATGATGTTATACACATATACGTGTACGTGTATTTGCAAGTATTATCAGGAACATTCAAAAAAAATTTTACATGCTTCACCTTAAAAGCTTCACTCTTCTTAAAAATAATAATGTGAAGAGGAGTACGTACACTGCTACTAATTTACGTGAAAAAAATACCCTTGTTTTCTCTCTTCTCATTTAAAATTTTTTCAGGTCTTACATTTACTTCTCCCTGAAAGCGATAAATAATGTAGCATCCATATGTTGTGATAAACACTATGTTTATTTAATTTTGTTTTATTTTATTTCATTTTATTTTTCCCTTATTAGTTTCGTTCACTTTTTTTTCTTTTGGCCGAGTATAAACTTTTTTAAAAAATATGTGTACATAAATTCTTTTGTGTCATTCCTCCACTTGCCGAATTGGTCAAGCCCAAACGAGAATGTTATGCCGCGAAATATGCACTAAGGTATAAATTTTTTATCCTATCAAAATAAATTAAATAGAGGAAGTGGTTTGGTAGGTAGGCTTAATAGTCACAAGGAAATAAAAATAAAATAATAAAATATGGGGAAAGAATAAAATACCAAGAGAAAGTGCACGTGAAAAAAGAATAAAAAAAAAAAAAAAAAAACGTACAAAAAGAATTAAGCTCAAAGAAGAATACACATATATGGAAAGCACAAATGAAGAAAGTGCAAACATAGAAACTTGCAAAAGTACAACATGCTAATTTTTTTGTATAGAAAAATATCTGATCAAGGGATAACCACCTAAGTCCTAACAATTTGTCTCCATACAGGTGTATAAAAAAACATTATTTTATTTTATTTTATCTTTTTTTTTTTTTTTTTTTTTTTTTTTTTTGCGGTGGTGGTGGTTATATTTTAGAGTTCCTTCTACGTTTTACATAACGTGAATAGCAATTGTAGTTATGTAGTTCATATCTTAAACCTTGGTTTAAGCTTGTCTTTGAGAGAGAAAAAAAAAATTGTTTAATTGAAATAGTAATTCCCACAAGAAAAGAGGTATGGTTTTATAAAACGATACTTGCGTGGAATGGTAAGTAATTCACTACTGATGTAATGGGGTTCAATGTGTGCACAAATCACCCCCAATGCTGCCTACTCATGCAAATTTTGTACTCCTTATTACGTGAAACACCAGGTGCACGGAAAAAAGTGAGAGAACGTTATTCAATTTCGGTATTCGGTAGTTGGAGTGTAGGAATTAAAAACAATTTTTTACATACATGAAAGCAGAAACACTTTTTTTCACGCATGCGGCAAGTAGAATTATATGCGACAATTAAAAAACATACGCGTGCATGTAGCAATTTATATATAATCCAGCGCATCTATATATGTAGGAAAACAAGCTAACGTGTACAAAATTATTGTATACACTATGCATTTATATATTATTAGGGCTACAAGGGCCCCTTGGAAGGATTGCACATAAGATAAGTGTACACTTGGAATAGTTTGGAAAGTGCATATTACAGGTATATTTGTACATTTAAAAAATGTGTATATATTTTGCCCACAATCGCTCGATTGAAATGATAAGTTTGAATGCTTGCAGCTATGTAATTAAATTCCATAAACTTTTATGTATCTTCCATGTTACATTGTACACATAAAAACGACTGGCTCATTGCTGTACTTTAATCGTGTTAGTAGGACCATGGGGGGTTAATTTTATATTCTTTTTTCTCATTTTATCGTTTTTTTTTTTATTTTTTTCAGAAACATGTATGAAATGGCCCCATGAAAAAGCAAATTTAAAAAAAAAATATTTACATCACGATATATTATTTAACTCTTAAAGAGTGTTATTTTAAGCAAAAAAAAAAAAAAAAAAAATTACAATAAAACAAAAATGTTATATAAAACTTAACACAAAAATAAAAAAAAATATATATATATATATTTTTTTGAAATTAAAAGTTTATAACAAACAGAAAGTAATAGCAGCAAAAGAAAAAATAAAAATATGCATTTTTTTTCTTAAAACACACTTTTCTACATAAAACTTTTTATATGAAATATTTTTATGCATTTTTCTCTTAAAACGGATTTTTTATGAATACGTCGAATTTCCCTTTAACATACTATTAAAAAACATACTTTTTAAAAAAGAATCTTTTCCCCCCCCCCCCCCCCCCCCTAAACTTCTTTATATTTAATTAATACGTATACTAAAAACAAAATGGCTGTAACAAAACTTGGAATTAATGGATTCGGACGTATCGGACGTTTAGTGTTTAGAGCTGCTTACGATAGGAATGACATTGTAAGTTTTGTTTAATTCCACAAAAAAGAGAAAAAAATGAAAAAATATAACCGATTCTTATATCATTATTTTGCTGTCATATATATATTTTATTATGTGTGTAAACTTTTAAGCTCAGCATTTTTTGAAAAAAAAAAAAAAAAAAAAAAAAACTGACTTTATGTGTATGTACAGGAGTTTGAAATGTATTTTTTTTTTTTTTTTTTTCCAACTCCTCTCCACCGCATTATTTTTCATTTTTTTTTTTTTTGTTCTTTGGGAGAAATCAGGGCCGATTTGCTTGTAATTGTGCGCCCAACGGAAAATACTTCCCAATGCTGTTTGTATAAGTTCCAGTTTTCATTACCATTTATTTTTCCATTTTTCCTTTTTTTTTTTTTTTTTTTTTTTTTTTTATAATGTTATATAGGAGGTAGTAGCTATTAATGACCCATTTATGGACATTAAGCACTTATGTTATCTTCTGAAGTATGATTCGATTCACGGTGTATTTCCAGGAGAAGTTACACCAGGAGAAGGTATGATCACAGTTGGAAACAAGAAAATTAATGTACATAGCGAAAAAGATCCATCACAAATACCATGGGGAAAGTATGATATTGATGTAGTATGTGAATCAACTGGTGTATTTTTAACAAAGGAATTGTCCAATGGACATATTAAGGGAGGTGCAAAGAAAGTTATCATGTCCGCACCACCAAAGGATGACACTCCAATTTATGTTATGGGTATTAACCATGAGAAGTATAACCCAAAAGAACTCATCGTTTCGAATGCATCATGTACTACCAATTGCTTATCCCCAATTGCTAAGGTACTTAATGATAATTTCGGTATTGTTGAAGGTTTAATGACAACTGTTCATGCATCTACCGCAAACCAATTAGTAGTTGATGGACCATCCAAAGGTGGTAAGGACTGGAGAGCAGGAAGATGTGCATTATCAAACATTATTCCAGCTTCCACTGGTGCAGCTAAAGCAGTAGGTAAAGTCTTACCAGAATTGAATGGAAAACTAACAGGTGTTGCCTTCAGAGTTCCTATTGGCACCGTTTCCGTTGTTGACCTAGTATGTAGATTAGAAAAGCCAGCCAAATATGAAGAAATTGCAGCTCAAATGAAAAAAGCAGCAGAGGGTCCACTCAAGGGAATATTGGGATACACCGAAGATGAAGTTGTATCTCAAGATTTCGTCCATGACAAGAGGTCATCTATTTTTGACATGAAAGCTGGTTTAGCATTAAATGACAACTTTTTCAAAATTGTTTCATGGTATGATAATGAATGGGGATACTCAAATCGTGTTTTAGATTTGGCTGTTCACATAACAAAGCATTAAGTTGTTTTTTTTGCTACCACGACCAATTGCTGAATTTTTAGTATCATGAAAATATATACATTTTACCAAAATTAGTTATAAAATGTAAAGTAATGGGGCTAATTTAATTTTTCCAGCATAATAATTGAGATATAAAAATATACACACACATTTATATATATATATATATAATTAATAAAATGTCTTATATATTACTGTAGCATTTATGCTATGATTGACGTCATAATTCACGCCATAATTTACGTCATAATTTACGCCATAATTTACGCCATGATTTACGCCATGATTTACGCCATGATTGACTGAAACAGTTAAAGTTAGAATGCGCGCTACTATCATTTTTGCAATAATTAATGCAAAAATGAAGGCGTACTTTTAGCTACTGATTTCATGCATATTTACACGCAAACACATGTATATTATTTCTGAACCCGTATTATACGAAAAATGAGTTATATTATTAATAAAACACGCATTTTATTTTATGGAGAATTAAGAACGATCTAATAGTAATTAAAGTAAATCCTTGTATATAATATCAAATTGTTTAACACTTTGTTTGCCACAGTGTTAAAGGCTTTTTTTCTTTTTTTAAACCACAATCGAAAAATAGCCCTCGTGTGGTCCAGTAAGACACAAGCGTTATTTCAAAGAATATTTAAACAGTGGTTTAAAAAAAAAAAAAAAAAAAAGTAAAGGAAATGAAATGAAAGGAAATATTCTTTCGCGATGTGCAACACATGCTGTGTTCTTATGTGTACGCGATAAACACAATATGAAATGTGTAAAGAGGAAAAAATCATTTTTTATCCAATTTGTCACGAAATGAATAACATCCGTTGCATCAAATTAAGGAAGGAGAATTTGAAAAATTGTGGATGCACACTACATGTTGCAAAAAACTTTATTTTGTTAGACGTATTTACGTATATGCGTAAATAATGTATTAACAGAATGTAAATGTTTTTATACACATCTTCATTTTGATCATCTGCAGGATATTTGTAGTTATTATTTTTTTCAAGGAATAGATCTATGTTATCAAAAATTATTACTGCTGGTTGATTCTTTAAAGCCATAGTGAAAATTTTCTTTATGTATCGGCTATTTTCACCGATTGTTTTGTTTACTAAAAGATGATTTTCAAATGCAATTATGCACACATTTTGAAATTGAAAAAATAATTTTTTTTTTTCTCTATAATTCATCTTTTTCATTAGAAAGGACATATATGACACATGTTTGTACCTTCTTCGCCCCCAAACTGGATTATTACTTGTATGCTTGTTTTCCTTACTCATGTTAGTGCCTCCTCGATCGTGTATATTGTTTATGTTCATTTCAGTTTTATTATCAAGAGTACAGTTCAAAATTTTTTCATCAAAAAAAATATCTTTATAATTTGAGGAAATAATGTGAACTAAAAACTGCAATAACGTGGTTTTTCCGGCTCCACTACTACCATATATCAAACAAGTGTTAGGCAGTTTTATTTTACTAAAATAGAATCTTAATAATGTTCTTGACTGTGAATTACAGATATTGTAATTATCATCACACTGATATATGTTTTTCAGTATGAACTGCTTTCTAATGGGCGCCAAAAGGTCCTCCTCCTTAGCGCGCTTTCGAACATGTTTCTGACATAATAACTGTGGGTGTCTCCCCAACTGTTTCGTGTAAACACGTTTATTTGGTTCCATGTTAAAGCATTTTACTCTACCACAGCAATTGTTTTTGTTATCATTGAAATCATTACAATTTTCAGCATTGCTTATAATGGAAAAGTGCTGAACTTGAGTATCCTCTTTGGAGCACATGGGGAAAGCGCTGTCTCCTTCGACACGAGCATTTGCACTTTTAAAAGTGTCACGCAATTTTGTATGCCTTTTGAGAAGCGTATAAACATATTCTTTTATAAAAAATGGCGTGTACAGACGCTTACATATACGTTTCAAAACATGTTTATCATTTTGTGTGAAGAGAAAAATCGCGAATGTCTTTTTTTTTTTATTTATCAGAAAATATTTATACTTTCGAAGATACTTAAAATAATTCAAATTTATCAAACAATTTATCAATTTAAAATTATTGCTTAGAAATTCATAATTTGTATGTTCATATGGGTTACTTATATTTGGAATTTCTAATTTTTTCTTGTGTCCATTTTTTCTGGATTTTCTGATAATGCCCTTTTGAAAATTATAATAATATGTGAAAAAACATTTAAATAAATTCACATTATTTCCATTCATACTATCTAGATAATCTACCTTGTTGGATAAATAGGTATATATTTTATCTATAGACAAATTCTTCTTTTTTAAGAGTCTTTTATTAATATCTTTGTTTAGGTGAATATAATACGGGACTCGTGTGTTAACAAAATAGGAGATATTTATTTTACAATCAAATAAGTTCTTATATAGGTCAAATATTCCTCTCGTTTTGTGGAAACCTATTAATTTAACGCAGAACTTTTTTTTGTTCAATTTTTTCAGCAGCTTATTTTTTAAGTAGTAAATGGAATTATAGATATGCATATTAACATCTCGTGTGTGTTTTTTTTTTTTTTTTTCTCTTTCATACTTTTTGTAAGAATCTGATAACTCGTTTTGTTCATAGTTTTTGCCATCACTGAATTTATCACTTTCTTCATTACTTCCTTCAAAGCCGTTTAAATTTCTGCTTTCTTTTATGGACACTACCCAATCATCAAAATAGGGTAGAAATAGGACTGATTTAAAGGCCTTCTTTCTTTTAATGTATTTAATAAAGTTTATAAATACATCTTTAACAAACTTTGCTATATTATCATGATTATATATACTTAGAATGTCAATAACGTATAAAGGAATCTTCAAATATTTTTTAACAAATACCAAAATGTTGTTATATGTCTCGTACGAATTTCTTTCAAAACACGAAACACATGCGAAGGTACTCTCATCGTTGCTGAGTACTTCTACCAACTTGCAAGCATTAATCGAGTTACCATCCTTTTGTTCTTTTTTTTTTTTTCCTTCCATTATTTTGCTTTATTTTTCTTTCAATAAATGCATAATATAGGAATCACATTCATTTATAAGAATGCTCAAAATGAAGAATTTCGTTCTTTTCTTCTCCTACTAGACGAATAATAGCACGGATTGTGTTCTATTTACACAATGAGTAGTCCATTCTGTTTTTAGATAATTTTTTTTCGAGGTCATGTTGGTAGTAAGATTAATGGAAATATAAAAATGTTGCAGTTACACCCACTCTGAAACATCCACTTTGCACTATTACTCAGTTTTCGCACGTTCGAAAAATTAAAGAAACCCTTTCAAAAGGGATAAAAGGTATCTAGTTATTATTTTTATACATCTACACTTGTAACATAAAAATCAAATGAGTATCGATTATGTATGACTAGCCGATTGAAAACCCATGACAATGAAAAAAAAAAAAAAAAACATGTCAACTGTAAATAACACTAAAGAGAAGAACGTATAAAATGATATTTTATTTATCCCCCATTGCTACTCTAAATGTTCTCACACTTTTGTGGATTCATTAAAAGCTTATACTGTAACAGTGTTCTTTCTACCTAGCTTCTTAATTTCCATTACCTTTTACACAAAATATGGAAAGTGTTTTGCGTGTTACACAGGTATGGCTGACAGTGTTCTTTTTTTCTTTTTCTTTTCACTGCAGCATTTTTCATCTTTAGTTTTATAAATTATTTACTAAAATTATATGCTAATTTTTTTTTTTTTTTTTTTTTTTTTTTTCTCTTTTTACATTTTAACAAAATGTTATTTAAATTATAAAAACAAAGATCTTAATAAAAAAAAAAAAAAAAAAAATTAAAAAATTAATAAGCGTTAAACTAAGATAACTTTAACAACGAAGGGAAATAATTAATAAACAATGTAAAAACTATGCATAGTTTAAATAGCTTTGGTGTGTATAAAATGTATACATAAATGTGTATATAATTTATATATCATTTTAACATATGAACATTTGGTATTTATAATACTAGTGTAATAACTATATAAAAAAAAATTCATCATAAATAATTTATCATTTATAATGATATTTAAAAAAAAAAAAAAATAGTAATAAATGTAAATGTAGAACTAAAAGTAGAAGTGAAAGGATGTTATACGTACACATAACAAAACACAAACAATACACTAGTGAAACTTATAAGAAACAAAAGAAATGAAACAATTTATTTTTTATTACATTCGGGAAAAATAAATTATCCAAATGGAGGGTATATAAATTAGGTACTAATTTATGAACAAACAAAACATTAATTATGTTACTGTGAATGAATTTATATGTTTTTTTACTCCCCTTTAAAAGGGCATCCCATTCTTGCCTTATTCTATACCACGTTTATGTGTTGTTACATAATTGGTATATACTTCTGAGGGGAGATTTTCCTAAAATATAATTATTGTATTTTCTTTTTTTTCTGAGAAATTTTAATTATAATATCATATTTTTAACTTTAATATATACATTTAAAAAATAAAACAATATGATAATGTAATGATATAATAACGTTTCAACCAGGTGAAATGTACCGAGGGGTTTCCACGTAGCGAATGGTAAAAAAAAAAAAAAAAAAAAAAAAAAAAAAAACCATATCATTAAGTTTTTTCTCCATCTCTATAATGATTCCACTGATTTTCTATTTTCCTATTTATGTTTTCGAACAGCTCAATATCATTCTGTTTTCTCAGTATAGAATCCTTGGCTGAAAAAATGGAGGTATTCTTAAAGGCGTTAATAATATTGATCATGTGATTTTGAAAATTGGATATATCAATAATTTCCTTATCGTTATAATTTTCCTTTAGTTTTTCAAATATATATTTATATTTTTCATTATCATTTATAAATAATCGTAAGATATAATTAACAATTGAGTAGTTATAAATATTCATATTAAATACTGGAACCATACAGTAAATAATTCGTAGCATTAAATTACTTGAACATCTGAATAAATGAAAGTCATCGTTTTTAAAAAAATGTTGGTAACTCTTTAGGAAATTCATAATTTGGTAAAGTTCATTAACTGGTGTAACTATTTTTTCAAAACAAAATCCAGAATGAGCTAGGGAAACGAAAACATCTATTTCTATCTGTCTTATATTAAATTCATTTATTTTATCTTTTAGATCTGACATTTCTAATATTTCTTTAAAACAAGTTGTTTCATTTATCTGTTGCATTCTGGAGGCAACTGTTAAACAACATATACCCATTATTTTTAGTATATCTTTTTCTAGATTCTTTTTTAACAATTTAAATATAATTACATTTAAAAATCTGTTATTGCATAATAATACTTTTAACGCATCACATGCCACATAGGCTAATTCTTCATAATCATCTGAAAATAATTTTTCAGATATGACAAAAAGCCATGTTTTGATATCAACATAATCATTATATCCACAATTGACAGTTTCTAGTCCGTTGTAAAATATGTCTTTCAAATTACAATCTTCTAAAAAATTTTCATGTAATTTTATCTTGCGCGTGTTTGTTATTATTTCTCTCATACTAATTACTTTTTCCATTTTTTTTTTTTTTTTTTTTTTTCTTCTGTTGTGCACGTGTTAATACACTACACGTTTATGCTCCACTCCTCTTATGTAACAAATAAAACAAATGAATTCATATGCAGCAATTCAAATAAACTGCGTTTATTTTGCAATACTTGATGTAAAGTAGAATGGGCAATTCGTGCTGTATATATATATTCACAAATAACTCAGGTTATTTCTATATTGGTGTATACATTTATGTATGCTCCTATGTGTATACATTCACAAGAAGGTATAATGTAATATATACATAATACAACTTTTGTTTACGTATATAATTACATACGTTTCCTTTCATATGTAACAGCAAAAAAAATATTAATTCTTATAATACTCTTTTTAGCTGCAATACATAAGGATTCACAAAAGTGAAAGTATTAAATGGGAGCAAAAAATATAAAATAAAATAGTGTTACGCAGCGAGCGGCACAGCAAAATAGGTGTTAATTATATTTAAAAATAAAATGACATTTTAATCTTTGCATGGCCCTTTCATTTTTGTTTGCTTCGTTTCGTTTGACTGCATCAATTCGGGGTACTTATCTCACAGAACAATAATTTGAATATAAAAAAACAAGTTATATTTCCTAATAACAATATAATTATTAAAAATGAAAAAAAAAAAAAGGAAAAATCTTGCTATAGATATACTTGTAAAAAAATATATATATTTAAGCAAAAATATGTATTTTTGTCACATATATAATACATACATGTATTATTATATAACTTATATATATTTATTTTCATAACTGTTCAGTGATACATAAAAATATGCAATTATGGGTGAGTATATATATACATACACAGTTTACTTTATAAATATACATATATATAATATATGTCATGAGTATGTACAAGTGTATATTGATCTATCATTCATGTATACAACATAACATAACCCTCATACAAGTACTTATTATGCCTTGCTTATTATTACATGATGCTTTGGTATGTCCACGTATAAACAAATGGGTTGGTAGGTAATATAAATCTCTTTCAATGGAAAGGAACCATTTGTTCTTTTTATATTTTTTTTTTAAAAAAACAAATCGGACATATCATAAGGACCAAACAATTTTTTTATATATTGTTGTGGGATGGAAATTTACATATAAAAGCAAAATACATATATATACATAACCCCTGCAAAATACTACAAAAAACTTTATAATTCTTGTTACAAGTATATATCTTTACAAAATAATAACGTAAAAAAAAAAAAAAAAAAAAGAAAAAAAAAAAAATATATCTCTTTTAAAATTTAGGTAAAGGTAAACATTCAATAAAATTTACAAAAATTCTTAAAAAAAATTCCTAAATATATTGCTTTATTAATTTAATAAATATATTCCCCAATTTTTTCACTTATTTATGCATTTTTAAGGGGCAAATAAAGCGGTGATTTTAATATATTATATATATGTATACCATACATATTGGTAGAAAACATTAGGAAAAAAAGCGTGGGAAAATTATGAACTCTTTAAAGTTACGTTTATATTTGGTAAGATATTATTATATATAATCCAAAATATGCACAATATTCACGATGGGAAAAAAATTTTTTTTTTTATGTTTGTCTTTGGATAAGCACAGAAATGTTCTTTTTTTTTTTTTTTTTTTTTCCTTTTATTTGCTTCATATATGTATATTTTCCCCCTTTTATTTGCTTCATATATATATATATATATATATATTTTTTTTACTAATTCATGGTTAAATTTAAAATGTTCTTGCATTCAAAAAATAAGTCATCAAAATCAGTCCCTAGTTTTTTACAAACCTAAACAAAGAAAAAAGGTTCGAGCGTGTTGGAATTTGATTAGATAAGTTCTTGTTAACTGTATGGATGGATGCCTGAAAAGTGTACATATATATATATACATGTATATATGTATATGCATGCCCGTGGAAGCTCGCCTTGTTTGCTTAGTAAACCTTCACGCTTAGGCATATCAGGATTGTCTCACCTTCATTTTAAAATCGATGTTGCTTGTGTGGCTCAGTACATACTTCAGTGAATGAACATGTTGACCATAATCCAAAACTATTTTTTTTTCATGAACACATGGGTACTGTATATTTATAGCGGATAAAAGGTAATGGGAAAAATCAAAAGTTAGCATATCCTTCTTTATAGTTAAATATTTATATTTATTTGTTGGGAATTTTTTCTGAAATTTTAAATGGACACTGTTCAACTGAAATAACTTAACTATATATTTTATGGTATTTTTATCAACACAACTGTAAGAACAATAATCCCTTAAATATTTTTTATTATCATAAAGAATAACTTGAATATATAAAACTTTCGGTATAAAAGCATACACAATATCGTCGTAATTTTTTTCGTATGCCTAAGAAAAAAAAAAAAAAAAGATGGACTCAGGGGGGAATGGAAAAAAAATTTATGTTAAAGTGAGTTTGCCTTCGTGGCACAATACCTGTAAAACATTTTTGCAATTTTGTGATAGTTTCCCGTTCGTGGGATTGACTATTTGTGCATGCTGAAAGTAACACTACTTATATGTTATGCTCCATTTATATTTGTACAATTTATATATTTCTAACAAGTGTAACTGATTCTGTGGGAAGCATACATCTTTGTGATCCCATTTGTTTTTCCCTTTTTTTTTTTTTTTTTTTTTAATTAGCAATCTATACCTTTAATAAAATCAGTGTTTCATAAAACACAGGATGCTGTTCCACAAGCGAAATAAAATTTTCAAGAGATAAATTTAGAAAGTTTATTTTATAGTCTTGAATAGGAATATTGTCATATAGTACATGATCAAATATTTTTTCAAAATCACTTTCGTATATTTTTTTATTTCCCAATTTATTTAACATAATACATTTATTGAAATAAGATGAAAAGTTGTTCCTTTTCTGCATTTGTAAATTTTGCTTATTATGCAAATAGACATATTTTAATTGTAAAATTAGGAGGTAAATATAATTCAAGTTGCAATGATATTCGAACAGGTTTCCCATTTCTAATAATATCAATGCGCACTGATGTAGCAAATTTATGCAAACAATTATTGTATTTAAATTTGTTCTATCAAACACATCTTTATCTCCTTTTAAGTTTTGTATACAACTTTTAGCTGTCTTGCTTAACATTTCATATAGCTCATATTTTAGACCTACTTCTTTATAAATACGTGTCAACATTTCTATGTTGCTTTTAGTAAACTGTTTACAGTACTGGGCTATATAAAAAGATAATATATAGACAAAGAAGTGATCATCATAAAATATAAAATTAGAAGCAGAAGATATACTTCTTGTTTCAAATTTATTGACATAACTTTCTTCATAAAATTTTAACAAATCTGAAAATTTTAATCCTTTAAAATTGTAAGAAATATTTACTTTACTTTTATCTGCTCGTTTTCTCTCTTTTTCGTCTTTTCTGTATAAGTCCTGAACAATATATAATAGATGGTTAAATTTACGATTTTCCTTTTTTCCATTATTACATGTTAAAAAAAGATTATTCCTGATATTATGGTAATTATTCATTTTCGTTTGAAAAATATTGGACACCCGAAAGTTGTTGGAATTTTCAGTTACATCAACCAATTGATTATGCAAACTTTGATTATTGCATCCTGATGAATTTAATTCTAAGTTCTGCTTGTCATGGAAATGCTCATTTATATCGTTAAACATATTCTTAAATTTGTAAATATTTTTGTTGTACAATAAACAGCTACTATTCAAGGAAACGCTTAAGTCACAATTGAAGTCATAAACATTTAGGGATAAAAACATATTATTGTTATATTTTAAAAAATAGAAAATGGACTTATTCATAAAAAGATATTTAAAAAGAAAATCCAATTTGTCATACTCATTTATGTTTACTAACAATCTGAAAAGGAGATATAATTTATTTCTTCTTATATACATATGCATTCTCATTTTAAGAAAATTCCTAATTTGTATAATATGCCTCTCAGATGTGAATTTACAAGCTAGTTTATATAAAAATATAACAACTTCTACTTCTACTTCTGGTGGTAATGATATGTTAAACTTTTTGTAGAAGTCAATCAAATTGGTGCAATATATGTTAATGAAATTGGGTTCTCCTTTTTTAATTCTCCAAAACATTTTGTGAATATCCCCCGCACGGTAGTATAATTCACATTTTTTATATCTCCTTTGTCTTTTCTTTTTTGTCATTTCGTATTTTTCATCCATTCCACACTGTTCATCAGTCTCGCAATTTGTACGTTTTTGTCGTGCATTCCTTACCATCACTCGCAAGACATAGAAGTAGACATCTAGCAGATTTCGAAAAAAGCAATTTCTGTATATCCAATTACATGAATTAGTAAATATCATATTCGTGTAGTTATTTAAAAACTCATGTGAGGATTCGTAATATATAAAAATTCTATCAACGCATGGTTTCAAGTTGTCATATTTCAAGGTGTCATTTTTCAAGGTGTCATTTTTCAAGGTGTCATTTTTCAAGGCGCTATTTTTCGAATTTCCTTTTGAGTAAATGATAGGTGTACATTTACCTCTCTGTGTGAAATTTTGAAAGGAGCTAGCTAAATCGTTATTTTCATTAGCGCTTTTTTCAGTCCAGCAGTCACTTAAACTATATTTATGAAAGTTGGTTAATAGGATCAAAATAAAATTATGGAAAATCAATAAATTCGTAGCAAGAATATTCATTTTGCTTTTAAACAGGTACATAAATTTCAAACCCATAGATATATCACACGTTTTCCTTCCATTTAGGTTATTAAAATTCTTTAAAACGTAGGAGAATAGTATTAACAAAGTTATATCATTATTTCTTTGATACGATATTGGTCTCTCTATAACAACGCACATTTTTCTTTTAATTGCACATAATAATTCTGCTCTAAGTATAAATGCATAAATATCACAACTACAATATTTTTTAGCTTTTTCAAACAAGTTCTCAAAATTATTGGTTATGTTTTTTACCCCTTTTTTTATTTCTACCTTTTTGGAACATAATAATTTCATTAAATCTAGCCCTGATTTAGAATCAATATATAAATAATAATATATAATTAGGGCATAAATCGAATTATAGTAAATATATTTATATATATCATCAATTTGCATATGGGACTTATCATATTTCATATTTAATTTTATTTCTATATTCTTTTTAGAATCAATATCCTTTCTATTAAAGACAGAATAATTTTTTATTTTCCTAAAAGTGTTATAATAAGAATAGTTTTTCATTTTGTTATCACTTAGACATGTTTCAAAAATGGAGCGAGATTCCATCCACTTAGATTTATCTTTGTTTTCTGAATTTTTATATATCTTCTCTCTTTTGACACCACACCTTTTGCTATTTCTTCTAGGTTTATTATGCTTCTTTGAGTTCTGATTGGAGGGTGGTTCTTTCCAATATGCCTCCTTTTTTAGCATTTCATTTTGGCCCTTTTTTATTTGATTGTATATGTTAAAAATGTCAAATGCATCTACTACATGTTGAGACTTGATAATATCAAAATTGTTTATTAAATTATTTATACATATAAATATGCTTAGAAGAAGTTTTATGTGATCCATATGATCTACACTCATATTACAGTTCTTTACACTGAAAATGAAATTTTCTTCAATTGCATAATTTTGTTTTTTTCCTATTTTTCCCGTGATCTTTTTTTCATTTAGATTAATATTAGCATGTTCTCTGTACATAACTTCGTTTTTTTCGAGACCCGAAAATTGATTCGATACGTTCGCAACAATATCATTACGGCTTTTCTCACTCCTAGCAGTACTCCAAATTTTTTTTCTTATATATCTAAAATGTGGTGGAACATCCATTTTTTTTCTCGTTGCAGAATTCATATTTATGTAAATTCTTGCTTCCTCCTTTTTACAAAATTCCCTTATTCGTTTTAACTCTTTGTCTATTTTCACTTCATTTGGACGTAGATTTTTTTTGGTCACGCTGTGGACATGGATCACTGTGTTCATATTATTACACGATCGAACTTTTTTTAAAATGTTTTTTATGTATGACACATTCAATTCATCAAATTGTATGAATATTTTATTCTTCGTTGCTAAACTTAACAAGTATATTATCTTCAATTTTAGACTACTTATAGTATTTTTATGCACACATAAATACTTAAAAATTTGCACATTTTTGTCAAAATTATGGAAAAATGTATCTGCATTATCATAAAATTGATTACGCAATTTTATATTCTCACTGTCAATTTCAAAATTCGGGAAGGAGCCTCTATAGCATTTTATATATTTTTTTCTATTTTCATTATAATCTTTAAATAAAAATAAAACTTCACATTCTTCCTTCTTAAGGGGTAAAAAGTTTAGTATGCACAATTTAGAGCAATTTCGTTTTTTCTTTTTCTTTATAATTGTATCTTTACATTTTTTATTAAGTAAATTCTCAACTAGTAAAATTTTATCCTTGACATAATGAAACATGTTTGTTTTTTTCTTTTTAATATTTTCACGCCTTTGATTGGTTTCCTTTTTAAGAATATTTATTAACATTATGCAGAGAAGCAAAATGGATATCTGTTCATACACACTTAATCTGGATTGCAACGTGTACGAGTAGTTCAAAAGAAAAATTATGAAAATTACATTAGAATAACCAAATAATTGGGAAATGTTATAAAGCGAAATAATATAATCGTCTATATATTTTTTCTCTCTTATAATATATAAAAAATTTTTAAAACATGTATAATGTGTTAGAACAAATTGACTCAATATAATGTATCCTTTGTTATAGGGGAAAGCATATTTATGCCAGTTGTTGTATATGGACATGTATATTTCATTAAGCATTTTTTGGACCTTCTCAAAATTGTTCCTATTTGTTAATTCTTCACATGCATCAAAAACAGTATAGTAGATATCCTTTCTCATATTCAAATTAATTAAAGTTTTGTGCAAATAAAAAGAAAACACATATTTGCAATCTTGTCTTGTTTGTACTAGCATATCTAGTATCATGTGTCTAAATTGGGGGTGGTTTGTGATAATAGAGAATGTGAAGAGAGTAAATGTTAATGAAGAGAATAGCAAAAGAATTTTCATAGAGAAATAACGCATCAGTGATTAAAATAATAACACTTTAGTGATATATTAATGCCTATGATCCTTCTACAATTATAATAGTTTTGAATATTGTAGTAAAAAAAAAAAAAAAAAGGGAAAAACATAATTTCACGCAAAATAATAACCTCTCATTAGTTATGAAAAATTATTTCGTATCACTCGAAAGTTACCTCATATAGGGATTCTTCATCAAGAGGTAATTAACAAGGTGCTCAAAAAAAATACAATATAAGGTGTCTGAATATTTGCATCTCCTTCTAATGTATTTGTTGTAATGTTTTTTCAGATAGTACCGTGCCTTGTCGAAACGGTATTCTAGAACACATCGCACAAAATGACATAAACAAACTATTGGTTTATCGAAATAAAAAATATATAGAAATCTGTCCAATAAATTATATATACCATTTGAAATGAGAAAAAATATTAAATAATAAGTTGTTTCATTTTTTTTCATCACATCGAAAAAAAGATCCATTCTCTTCATTTTGTACTCCTTTATATTGTGTACAAAGTTATGAAATTTCAAATTATACATATCTACAATCTTCATATTTTTCAGAAATAATAAATACCCGCTAATTTGTAAGTATAACCATATATTTTTTAGCATAACAATTAAGCTTTTATATTCTTCTTTCTTTTTTTTAATGAATAACACAAAATTGTGAAAATCGTCGTATGTGTAAAAATTTTTTTGAAACATATTCTCATACTTCTTAAAATGGACAACCTTCTGAGTTGTTCGAGCTTCAAATTTTTTTATACTCCTTTTATACTTCTTTATAAATAAATAGGGAAATTTGTTTCTAAAAATGTACTGTACATAGGCAGTGATATATATGTAAAATTTGGTGTAATATGTATTGTTCTTGATAACAATTTCAAGAATATTCTGAAGAATCTTGTAATCATAATTGTTATAAATTATGTGATAAAGTAATTCTAGAATTGTTTTATTCGAATAATTTACACCACTCTCGCTTCTATAAAAATGGACATTCCCTGTAAAGATGCTTTGCATCCTATTCAACAGTTCAATGATAGAATTGTGCCCATTATCACTACTTTTAATGGCAGCATTGTGGCCATTATCACTACTTTGAATGGGAGAATTGTGGCCATTATCACTACTTTGAATGGGAGAATTGTGGCCATTATGACTGATTTTAGTTGTTTCTTTGCAGATATCTCTACTTCCTCCACTTTTTTGGCTTAAATTGTGATTACTACTTCTCGCTTGAAATTTCATTATGGTGTTCATATTTTTTCTAATATGATTTAAAAACGTTAGTATATGTCTTTTCGTGTATTTGTTTTTTGTATACAAATTGATAATATCTTGGCATGTTTTAATATCTATTTTTTTATCAATACATTCGTAAAAAACTATAAAAATATCATTTTTTTTGCTCAAAATATGTAATAATGTTAAAGGTTGGTGCACATTATTTACTTTACAGTAAAGCGAAATTATATTTAAAAAATCGTTAAAGTATTTTTTTTTTTTTTTTCTTTTCTTGTCTTTTATTCTATATTGTATAGATTTTTCTAACAAAATTAAAATGAACAATTTTTTCGATTCCGGTTTTGTTACATAGTAATCTGCACTGCCTCTTTGCTTAACATTTTTGCTTCCTTCCAATGGATATTCATTCATATTTTCATTTTCACAAATCTCTTCATACTCATCAGATATGGAGTTTTTACGTTTTAAGTGCATCTCAATTTGATGCATACTTTTACCACACTCATGAGTGCATAACTTATTTGTATATTCTTCACATATAGTGGAATAACTGCAACTATTCTTTGTATCGTATGTATTCATGTTATCATCAGCACATGTATATTTTTTCATATTTATCTCACTCCTCTTATTGTCTCCTTCATTGTCTTCCTTATTTGGAAAATTCAAGGTTTCATTAGCACTAAAACGATTTTGGGTATCACATATATTTTTTATTTTTATTTGAGTAGTATTATTAGTTACCTTTAATTTATCACTCTCTTTGGATAGTTCTAAAAACAGTTTAATAATAATCAATTCTATGAAATTTTTTTTGAATAAGTCATAATAATTGACATCTGTGAAGTTAAAAGTTTCGTAAAATATATCCTTATTCTGTTTGTAAAAATCATCAATTGTACATTTTTCCATTTTAAAAAATTCCACAAAACTGTTTATCCATTTATCAAAAAAACTCTTCTTTTTATAATTCTTCTTAAAATAGTAATATATACTTTTCATGCATAGAATATACATTTTTAATTTTTCAATATTCACATTACACAGATCTAGAAAGCATAACACAGAACATAATATATCATTATCATTGAAATAGAATATGCATAACTGGAGGCATAAATGGTTAATCACTTTTTTTAGGTCTTTTCCTAAATTTAGAGGCAGATGAATGTGATTATTAGCTATATAATCGTTGCAGTCTTTTGTGTCAAAATTATTGATAAATAAATAATTCGATAAATTAATTGGTTTTTTATGTCTGTAAAAAACATGATTTATTATTAATATATGATAAGCTACTAACGGCTGACAGGAAATTAGAAAATGCTTCACATCAAAATGTTTTAAAAAATAAAAACGATTCTTGCTGATAAGTATACAGCTATTTTGTAAACTTGATACAGGTTCTTTCCATGTGTCATTATTATTGTATCTGTCTTTTTTAAATATAATTGGAGGTTGTCCCTTTCCTTCCATACATTCCATTTTTTCTTGTTCATTTTTTTTAATTCTTGTCACATAATTCGCGTAATGATCAACCTTTTGATTTTTTCTCAAATGGTAAAAGAATATATTGTAATTGTACCTCTCTTTCAACGTTTTATTTTCATCTAGAAGTGAATTACAAAATAGGTGTTGTGACTTTGCGTACTGATTCCTTTTTGTGAATGTTATCTGATGATGTTTTGCGTCTACTTCATATTTTGAAATTTTTTGATCGATATTAGCTGACTTGTCAGATGTTTTTATTTTTTTAAAAATATTTTTAAAAATAGAAAAGGGACAAAAATTTATTTTGAAGAACGTTTCATCAACCGTTTTTCGTAACAAATTTTTTAATGACAAATCTTTATTATATGTAAAAAAATCATAAGAATGGTCAAACTTCATTACAGAAATATGTATTTTTTTTTCATAACCTGTTTTATTTTTTTTTATTTTCGAAGTTTTTTCTACTAAATTGAATTTTTCCTTGTCTCTAGAATCCCATCGAATGGTTCTGAGTTTAGCAAGTAACTGGATATTTTTGAAACATAAACTGTATCTAGTTTTATCCCATTTATTTTCATTAATGTATCCGTTTTTCTTACATATCTTCTTCTTATTTTTCTCGTGCGGTGGAACATCATCCTTTGGAATTTTGAGATAATTCTCCTTATATTCTGCCAAATTCTTAATAGCTAACTTAAAGATATCCTTATTTGGCCCCTTTTCTTCTTCTAACTTTGTCTTAAATTTGTTTTTCATATGTTCTTTTGTACCGAAATATGCTTCATATATAGATGGCATAAAATTCTTCGTTAATTTTTTAAAATAATAGATGTTTACATATAAAGGGCTATTTTCTTTGTTTTTTTTTAAGTCAAATATGTCCACATTGCTAAACATGAATATGCAGAGAAATAATTTAAAATTCAAAAAACTTAACGCGTGAAGTGATATGAAATTTATACTATTTCTATCCTTTCTCAAAACAAAGTTCATCATAAAGTCTGTTCGTTCTGCATTATTATGACATTTCTTATCTAATCCTTCCTCCTCCAAATATTTGCTTCTTATTTTGCTAATATTGTAAGCGGTGTTACTATGCATATAAATTGTTGAATTATTTTCATCTTGTGCATTCATAGCAGTTTGACCATTCTGAAGTTGAGTGGGTGATATTATTCTGAGGAGTGGTCCTTGATCGGTCAGAGTAAACTCTTGATATTTCTCTAAATTATTTTCACTCTTTTGAACTATATCTATCGCACTGATATTCCTAATGGAGTTGTGCCCTTCCCATTCATACAGAAAAATATCTGCTAAATTGTACATAGACAAAGCTAGCAAATTATTAGACAGTTGAGAATATATATAGCAAGAGATGTACGGTAAGTATAAGTTCAAAGAATTATTAAAAAGGGAAACATTCTTCTCTTTTTTGTATAATTTTTTTATTAAATAATTACAATTTTTAAAAGATCTAAATACCTTACTATTATTGAGCACAAAAAAGTAGATACATGTATAACTTTGATTTACTATAAGATAAGTTAAAATATAATTGTGAAGTTTATTGACTTGATTAGAATTTAAATATTTTTTTTTATACTCCAAAAAACTGTTATAATTTCCAAAAGAAATAGTTACATTAAATTTATTTCTAATATCTTCATAAGACAAATAATTAAAGCATAAAAAATTTCTGCTTAATTTTATCATGAAGGAATAATAAATAAGTGCATTTTGCATATATCGTTTGAACTTTCTCGAATTCAAAGTATGACTATTTCTTACATTCTCCACTTTGTTACTATGTTTGTCATATGTTGAGTATCCATCATTGTTACATTCTTTTGAAATGTCCTTTTTTAAAATTTCCTCATTCCTTGTTATACATATACTGTTTTTTTTACTCACAAAATTGCTCCAAATTTTTACATCATACAAATCATTATAAATTAAAAGGAAAATTCCAAGTGATTCCAAAACAGATTCCACGAAATCGTAGATGTAACATATGGACTTTTTTCGAAAATAATTTTGAATATAAATTAATATTTTTATGAAACTTATTTCATCTCCATTTAGACATTCATCGTTCCTCCATTTCCCTTCCTTCGTATGATTTGAATAACTTCGCAAGTTCTTACTTCCCTTTTTGCTCTTTTCATCGGATCTTTTTCTTTCCATATTAGAATGTTCTCCAATTTTAATCCTGTCATAAAAATTAAATCTTTTCAATTTCTGAAGTGTCTTGAAAAAATTTTTACTAAAATATTTTAGGGTGAGCAAGAGCATAAACAAAGCTGATATATCACAGTTATCTGTATAATATTCCAAAATGTGTACAAATAAACACCAATTATATGATTTTATATTTGCAATTTTGATTATTTCATAGTATAAATTTTTTACTACTATCTTGTTTTTTTTATCATTTTGACTTTTTAATATTACGCGCTTATAAATTGTATCATCCCCCAAAATGTTTTCCTCATCTGAAAAGTTAATTTTCTTTTTCTCAACGACGTTCTCATTCATATGTTTAAATAAAGTATAATTGTTTAATATATCCAATTTGAGAAAAAAAGGAAAAGGTAGTGAACTTTTTCTCCTATTATAATTCCTTAAATTATTGATTTTCCCATGTGTTGCCACTTTTCCTACATTTATTAGTTGCCCATTTCTGGTGCAAATCTCATTACGAGTAAAACAATTTTTAATCTTCTTTTTGCTAAAATATTTAATAAGAAAATACAAAAAGTTCACCCCTCTATTTTGCAGAATAATTCTAATGATAATGTTTCTGTTAATCGTTTTTAACATTACTAAGGAACAGCACAAATAAGAACCACTTCTATATATAGAGGACGGAATTAATTGGTAACTATATCTGCTACAATAATTCTGCTTTGTTTTGTTTTTTTTAAACGGCTGTTCTATTTCTTGTGTTGATATATATTCTCTCTCATTATTCGCATCAATGTGATATAATTTCCCTCTGGAATAATTTCCGCATCGATAAGTGTTCTCGATATGTTTATTTTCCTCCCTTTCAAGTATAAATGTATCATTTATGTAATAATTTTGCACACTTTTTTCATTAGAAATAACTTTGTCTTTATAAGCTAATTCTGAAATATTTTCAATAGTTTGATTATTATATAGGACAAAATCATCAACAGAATCAACATTGCTATAGTTATAATCTACATGTAACACTTTATTATTATCTTTTTCATATTCCTGTCTTTCCTTTTCTTCTTTTGTCCCGAAACAACGAAAACAGTAACATTCATTATCATAATTATTAAAATTGAAATAATTTTCCTCCCTTTTTTGGAAGCACTTGTCGTATGCATACTTTTTTCTATTTATTATATTATTCTTTTCACTTATGATGTTACTACTAAAATTTTTATGACTTATAAACATTAAGTCGTCTACTTCTTCCCCTTTCAACTTCATCCAATTTTTTGCCATTTTAAATGTTACAATATTATTATTTCCATTTTTTTTTGTAATATAACAATTGACAAATTTATTATATATTTTGTTTTTTTCGCACTTTGTGTTGTTATTATCTTGGTTTGAAATATCTTCAGAATGTTTTTTCCCATGTCCAACATTCCTCATCATTTTAGAATTAACACAAACATCTGTATGTGGAACTTTTTTTTTACCTTGATCATTCTGTATGGCAGATAAAATGTCCTTTCCTGAGATGACTTGACTCATATCTATGTTTCTAAGACGACACATATTATAATCCTTTTTGCCATCCTCTTCATGACATATTTTTTCTAACTCTTCTGATATTAAATCTTCCGCATGCAATGGTTCGCAAATGTATCTTTGCTTATTTATGTGCAAATTTAATTTTTTTTTTTTTTCTTCCACAATGTATCTTCTTATGCTATTTCTTGAATGTGATACCAACTCATTATTGTATATGAAACCTACCTTGGTGACTCTTTTTTTTTTTTTTATTATTTTTATAAAATAGCACTTTTTCATTTGTATCAATTGTTCTCTCTTTCTATTTCTCCTTTTGTAATTCATCCCTTTAAATAAAAAATTTCTTAACAAAGTTTTAACATATAGAAGTTGTACTTTTTTTTTCCTATCTTTTTCTTCATCTTTTTTAGACTGTACGTTGTATGTATTGAAAAAATTTGGGATAATAAATGGCACAAACACGTGTGAAACATGATCAAAGTGATTAACAAATTGAGTATTGTTATGATTTGGTTCGTCAAACATGTTTAGATAACTAAGAACCTTCAACGTGTTTTGCTCTTTGTACACAATATCATGAATATAATTGTTCATAAATTTGTATATTTTCTTCCTTAATTCATTCAAAAATGCTGTATTGTTATGTAATTTAAAAACATTTCTATTTAACATATAATCTGTGTAGTAATTATTATGTTCAGACACGTATGAACTATTTCTATAGAACAATTCCAAAATTGAAACAAATTTAATAGCTCTTTTATCCTTCATGTTAAATCTACAACCATTCTTGCGTAAAAATAAGAGTAAATTGTTTCTAATATATTTTTTAAATGTGTTTAAGGCAATAGTTTTAAAAAATTTCATAACATCTACACATAATATTTTCAATATATGTATACATACATTTAAATAGTTATCTATATTATTACATAATAGCCTGTATATAATAGTCCCATAATAATTTATTAACATTTTGTGTGGGTTCAAATGGATGAATAAAAATGGAATCTTCGCATTACTTACTAAGTGATTCATTATGTTGTTTTTAAAAAAAGAATTGCATTCATCTTTATCTTTCATAATTAATTTATATATTAACATTATCAAATTTACTAAATTCGTTTTTAATATATTCTTTATATCATAATGGAAATTCAAAAAGGTATTAATATTTTTCACATGTATTTCATTCTTTAATTTTGTAAAATTGTCATTCACGGTGTCGTACATCTGATATATGTCCAAGATTGTCCTTTTCAATTTCTTTTTCAATTTGTGGTTCCTTAAGCTCATTTTCAAATGGAAATTCCTCGACTGTTTAGGAGTTCTATCATCATGAGGGATAAGGTAAGATTTGGTGGTTCTTACCTTTCCATATGCATATTTCTTACTATCTTTTCCAATTTCATTTCTATCATGGTTGTAATTAATATCAAGCTTGTTAACACGCTTAACATTTATATCCATTTCCAATTTGTGATTATTAGTTTGGCCTGTAATGTCCCATGCAGTAATTATGGTTCCATTATTAACTAAGCATTCGTGATTAATGCGTCTTTTTATTTTACTATCAATTAGAAAGTCGTTTTCAACTTTTTTTTCTTTTAATAGATAATCAATTAAAGTTCTGTAATTGCACTTTTGCCCTTTATTAATTGTAATACTGGAATCGTTGATAGCAGCGCTCAAGATTTTGTAGAAAAATAAATTATATTCTTGTTTCCTTTGTTTTTTTTGATCTGTTATCTTTGTTTTTATATTCCTTGACATTTTTTTCTCCTCTATTTTTTCCTCATTACTATGCATTTCCTTTGAATTAGTATCATTACCACTTCTCCTAGTAACACCATAAGTAAAATTCTTGAAAAAGTTGTGTCTACCTTTTTGCAAGAAATTGTACAGCATATTGTAGTTAAAATATAAAAACATGAAATTAAGGAGAAATTCATATTTCTTCGAATATATATAATAAATAACCGTACTCAAATTGTTACTGCTAAGTATATTATAAACTATACTGTCAAAAGAGTGTTTATCAGAAATTAAGTTGTTTGAGATAACAACTTCTTTATATAAAACATCTTTCATATGAAAGTATGGAAGTGCTTTCTTTTTCCTTTTCGCCGTTACTATAAAGCAATAGCACAAATAAAAAAGGAGATTCTTAAATTTTTGTGCACTATTGTATTTATAATTTGGCCTATTAAAACTATCATTAACACTTTTATGAACCCTGATATTTTTTTCTCCTATAAATAGATTCGAATGATCTGTGTTATTCGAGTCCTTTTGTCTTGTATATTTACATTCTTTGTTTTCTCCCTCTCCACTATCTGTTCTTTTTTCTTCTACTGTGTAATATGTACTTGACATGTCTAATCTTTTGGGTATGACAGAATTATACGCATGAAGCAACTTATCAGTATTTAATAACTCTCTGTTACTTCCATTTTTGCCTTTTTTATCACCATCCTGATTTTTTTTTAAAGGGTGAATAGTTACACAATTATTCGATTTGTAGACATGATCATATTGCTCACTCCTGTTACTAGGATTGCTTAGAGTATTTTCCCACTTGAGATGTTTACATATTTTATCATTAGCAGATTTTTTTACATACAATATTTTGGATATAGCATCATACATCCTATATACATTAAGGTATCTGGTATTGAATAAACTAGATTTGTAAAATTTTCCATTAGAATTTTGGAATAATGTAATATTTTCCCAGACATTAACGTGACTCACGTTTCTTTTGGTTCTCTCTTTTACTCTCGTTTCATAATTGTTTAATAATATATGCATTAACATTTTAACAAAATATATATATTTATTTAGTTCAAGGAAAACATTACTACTTCTTGAGTTATTTCCTCTATATTCCCTTTTCTTTATAAAATGATCGATAAATGTAATAATGAACTGTAACATTAATGAACACAGTTCTATACTAAATTTTTTGTTTAAAAATAAATTATAATTATTACTAAAACAGAGTTTCTCAAAGTAGTTCATCAAAAATATTTTTATATACTTGTTATTTTTGTTATTGTGGTTGTTCTTTTTGTTCTTATTATCATCCGTGACAGCTTTTAAGCCTTTTCCGTTTAACAATAAATTGGATTGCATATCCCTATTGGTAAATGGGCTTTTACTATCTGGGGAAGCGTTATTTTTTGATTCGTTCAAAGTTTTATAATACATTTTTAAATGTGTGTGATTATTGTTCATTCTAGATGTACCTGTGACAATTTTGTCTTTCTCTTGCTTCTCATTTTTGATAGTAGAATGAACAAAACAGTCAGCACGCAACTTTCCATCCTTAGAATGATTATTCTCAGAAATATGAAATCCCCAATTTTTTTTGCATAACATTTCGTGATTGTTATTTAAATTGTAATTTTGAAATTTTGTATCTTTTGAAAATGTTAAATATGATTTTTTTATGATTTCCTTTTTTTCCTTTTTTTTCCTTTGTTCCATTTGTTCCCTTTTTTCCATTTTTTCCCTTTTTTCCATTTTTTCCCCTTTTTTCATTTTTTCCCCTTTTTCCATTTTTTCCCTTTTCTCCTTTTTATTAGGTACGTTAAAGAATTCTCCCTTTTCCATCCCTGTTTGATTGGGATCCAATTCATCTTCCATCCTAGAATTTTTAAATTTATAATTGTCTGGAAAGCAGAGATACTTTTTTCCTACTACGTCTACTATGTCAAAGATACTTCTCAACGCAATAGACATGTAGATTCCTATGTATTCCCTTTTATGTCTTATAATTTTTAAATATTTGTGCATCTTCCTTTTGTATTTCTTCTTCCATACATGATTTATGAAAGAAAAATAATCAAAAAAATAGAAATAAATTATTTTCATATTGAAGTTATTCCAAAGGTAATGAAATAAAATTCGACACTGCAGTAGCGATTCCTTAAATCCAAGTATTTTTAAATTTTTTTTAATTAATGTCATGTCCTTATTTAAAAATCCGTAGTATATCATTATAAAATAATGATAATGTCTTTTTAAATCATTCATTTTAAGAATTTTCTCTGCTTTTTCTCTTTTGTTATATGCACTGATACTGAACAAACTGTTCATGTAATTTTTGAACAGCACTTTACATAACATATTGTCGACATTGAAAAGTGCATGCGATTTGTTATTTACATAAAAATAACTGTAATTCTTCAAAATTTGTAGAAAATCAATTTTTCCATTACTATTTTTTAGAACTATTAAATATCGTTTACATTTTGTACATCCTTCCATTGGTAGACAAATGTATTCAACAAAAAAGTACTCTTTGCATGAGTATAATTTTATACTCTGAAATTTTTTATTGAACAGAAAGTTTTTATCCTTAGCCTTTTTCTGTTGCATTATATTACCACTTTTCTCATACCATTTTTTAAAACATTTAATTATAAATAAATTTTTTATATCAGCTGAGTAGTTGTAAACGTGAATGAGCTGTATATATTTTGGAAGTATTTTATTAAGGTTTTTTATTGATTGTTCTAAACTAAAATTCACTAGTTTCTCTGTACCTGGAATGTAATAACTGTTGGGACATGTCATATGGGTATAATTATCCCTTTTGTGATAACACATTGGAATATCTAAATGGTTGTAAAAACTGTTAACCTCCTTTCTATTTTCAGTACTATTAATATTTTCTCTCTCGGTGCATGATCTTTCTTCACTGCTTATTTCTACCCTTTTTGCTTCTTTATTCCTCACACTAACGTTTCGATAAATTTCTTCATTCTGAAGAATATTGTACTTTTTTTCAAAATCATAGTTAATTTTTATGCCATGAAAATCTGTATATATATTTTCTCGATCTAGTCCTAAATGTTTATGTTTACAAAAATTTTCAATATCGTCACAACTGCTCTCATGAGAGTATGAGAAATTATCAAAGTGGTTTGAAAAGTTCATGTAATAATTAGATATTTTTTCTTTTTCGTAAAAATATAACATAGTATTGTATTTCTCTTGATAATTTTTCTTTTCCTTTCCAGTGGATATTTCGAAGGTGTAAATAGTTTGATATAAGTTTTGTTTTTCTCCATACATACTTTTAATTTCGTTAATTATGTAATTATATTTCGAATTTTCTAAATTTTTATAATTTTTTAGACTTATAGAATGGCAGAACTTTTCTCCTCTACTATTTGCATTTATGTATACACTTTTTTGTCTTAATTCAAAAAAATCAGGAAAATATGATTCAAAATTGAATTTAACAATATTTTTATTTTTCTCAAAATCAGTGCGTTCTTTTTTTTCCAAACATAATTCCTTTTCGTTATTCCCTTTGTCACAGTTTTCTATATATCTAAATGGCTCCTTCCTTGAATGTAACGAATACATATCAACATTTTTTATTTTTGTCTTCTCAAAAATATTTTCATTTTTTACTCCTATCATATTAAGATGGTAATATCTGCAAATTAGGGATAATGAAAATAAACCTTAGTGAGGTGCATATGGGAATAAAAGATAGAAGCTGCAACCATCATAGATGTCCAATATGTATTACTCCTACAAGTGCTTAAATGTGACACATGCATTGCTATGTTTTAGTAGCATATTTCCACGCTTAACTGTTATGTTCGTCACTCCTTCGTTTTAATTTAATTTAATTTTTTCGTCATAAGTGTACAATTACATTTTTAAATCAAAGGACCAGAGCTGGTTGCGCGAGTCAACCAACAACACACTGCTTAAGTCATTGCTAATTTCAAAATCAGTGAAAAAGGTACATGCTGTGAAAAAAAAAAAAATAAAATAAAACCATAAATATGTATACATATATATATATATACATACATATAGTTAAATGGTCTTTACTGATATAAAGAAAATGTCGCATAAATCACATGGTCAAATATATCTGAATTGTTCCTATTGCGAAAGAAAAAGTCTCATCAATAAAATGTTACTATGCTTATTTATATTTATTGCCAAGTAGGCTGTTTCTCCATTAAAAATTAGCAAATATTGTTCAGCTGTCAAGGTTAAAATGAGTAGTAAGCCGTTTCTACATAAAGACAAAAAAAAAAAAATATATATATATATATAAATAAAAATATAAATAAAACATAATTTCAACAATAACCTATATTTTTCTAAAAATTATTACTATTACTATTATTTTTCCCTACCTGAAAAGACATTTTTGAATGTAAATATAATCATAAACATTCGTTAGAATATTCTGTAAAGCTAATACTTTTTTTACTTTTAAGCTGCAAAATATCAGAAATTTGAATTAGGTTTATGCCGGTATACACGTGCATACTGTCAATGTAAATCAAGGGAAATAAACCAAAGAATCATGGATTACAAGGAATACATCAAGTTAGGGAAAAGATACTATATGTGCAGAAAAAATATCAAGAACATATGTCTATACATATGCACATTTATGCTTCTTTCCATATATATTAATTCGGGTAGAAAACACGCTCTTTTATTTTCACCTCAATCCTTTTGCAATCAGTTTAACACAGACAATATCATTTAGAATGATAAAAAAGGAGCTGTAAAAAAAAATAAATAAAATAAAAATAATTCATAAAAACGTCATATATCTTCACACTTTGTTATTCCAATTCGATGAAGAAAAAAATGTCTAATTTTTTTTTTAAACATTGTTATTTAGGGTATTATGAAAATTCTGCTTTGTTCAATAAATCATTACCTTTCCCCTTTTGAAACTATTTTCACAAATTTTTCTTTGAACAATTCCAAAATGGAGAATTTTTTCTGAGTATTCAAAGGATGAGAAAATAAAATCATAATCATGGAATTCTGTAAAGCTATAATATTATATAATTTTAATATTGAAGAGCTATGAAATTAAAAAATTGTAATCAACACTTTACATCATGTATCTGCCCAATTCCATTTAAGCAACACTCAGGTGTTTATATTCTATTCTTACATTCAAAGATACGACAAAACTAAATAGCTTATCATATGTTATGTAGAAATTATACAACTTATTCTTTTCATATAAATTTCTATGTGTATGAGCCTTGTTATAAACATGAAAATGAAGCGAATTATCTTGAATTCTGTAAGTGATAAATGGACATAAAATTGTCTATATTGTTTGTTAAAATAGACAGATGATATGTATAAATGGGCGTATTTTTCACCAATTTAAAGCGCAAAAGCTTAATTTCTTAAGGTAGCTAAGAAATAAGCGTATTTCTTATATTGTACATTATTTCGTGATTTTCTAGACAGGCATTTATTTTATTAACATTTGCAAAATTGTAGAAATTCAAAAGATTATGTTGTTGAGATATCTAAAAAAAAATATTACAATGAGAATTGAAAATTGGGAAATGAAAATTGGGAAATGAAAAATGGAAAATGAAAAATGGAAAATAAAAAATGGAAAATGAAAAGGAATGACCACAATTCGCTTTAATATTGTGTTTATTTTTAATTTTCCTTTATTTTAACCAAAATGGGAATTTGATATTTCACATTTTTGCTTTTTGTAAAAGTATCCTTGTCACAACATATCCAAATGCAGTTTATTGTATTGTTATTTAGTAAAAAATCGATGGTATTACAACTATTCAAGAAATTGTAGTATAATTTAAGACCTTTTTCTTCAGAATTATTTCCCTTCTTGAGGAGAACAAGAGCTATTATATCGTTACATGGATTTGGAAGAATTGTATATATTTCATTTTTGTTATATCTTTTCCTGCTTTTTAATAACTTTAAACAAATGATGTTATCCATGGTAAAAGTTACGTGAGTTCGTTATCATCATCTCTCACGAGGTGTCGGATGCTTTAAACAGATTTAGCAGTTTTTTTGCTTTTGATTTATACAAATATACATGTGTGTATATAAGCATATATATATATATATATATATATATTTGCAATTTCAGTATTATATGCCATTCTATTTTCTCTTTCCTTGGCATATTTCGTATTTACACATTTTTCAATCCTATGCATTTCTCATATACCCCCATTTGTTCTCCAACTTCAATTTTGCGTGTTTTTATTTATACACATGTAAAAGAGCCCACAAAATCTGTATACTGGTATGGACATGCATAAGCACTGGTAAATACTCTTTCCTTAGGACTACATGCTCGTTTTTGTAAATTTATTTAAGTTTTCTCAGTAACATAGATGATATTTTTGAGCACAAGTATTCTCAATTTTTTTGTAAATGTAAAAAAAAAAAAAAAAAAAAAAAAAAATGAGCATTTTCAGGCACGCTTATATATACATATTAATTCCTCGTAAACTTTTTCAAAAAAATAGGTCAAAAGAGGTAATTAAATTTGGGGCTAAATTTTACATTGCTTATTTATGTGGCAGATTCTTGTACCTGTGTGTATAAACACTGTGGAAATGTGTTAATTAAATGAGGAATTTTCTTTTTTCTTTTGATTTTTCATTAACATATTGGCTCTCCATTTTTAATTTATTGTACAAGAGAAAATACGTAGATAATTATTTCTTTCAATGAAATGTGCATTAACTTATGTTTGTGTGATTTTTTTTAGCATTGTAGCTTTGGCTTTTTTTTTTTTTTTTTTTTGTTTTTTTTTTGTACATCCATAAATGTGTACAATGTTCATTAAAATGTGGAACAACCATGTATGTTATGAGATTGTTCCTTGGGTGTTAATGTATATATTACATGTTTTTATTAACGCTATTTAAGCCGAATTATTTCCGATCTTTTCTTTTATTTTCTTTTTACACCACAAAGATTGATTAATTCATAGGTCCTCCTTACATGAAGATACATAAATGTGTAGGATGTGAAACGTTGTATTACCCAGGTTTATATTAATGTATGATACAATAAACATACTACTCTTTCTTTATAATTATTTTTTTCTTTGTTTTGTCCTATTTTATTTCATTTCCTTTATTCTTCCTCTTTTTTTTTGTGAGAGATCCACCCTTTTCCAGCAGCATTAAACCAAAAAAAAAAAAATAAATAAAATAAAATAAACTCCATATTTCTGTTGATTTCTTTATTATAATGTTCGAATAGAAAAAGAATTAAAAAGTAATTTACATAACACATTAAAAAAGTGATTTTTTTATATTTTTCCCCCCTCTTGTTATGCATTGAGAACACTTAAAAAAAAATGCATTTCGTCGATTTTTTTCAAAAAAATGAGCTACATATTTCTCAAATCGGGTTACACCTTTTTAAAAGTAAAACAAACCAAGCATAAAATAAGAAAATTACACATAATTTTAACACAAAAACTTTCAGCTGGAGTAACTACATTCAAAAATATGTTCTGAATTGGTAGAATGTTACATTACATTTACATGTTCCAATGTAAAGGAAGTAAATGAAAAAGAAGTTATTGGTACACTGGGAATTTAAGTCTCATAATTACTGGGCTTGTAAAAAAAAAAAAAAAAAAAAAGAATAAATAAAATGATAATAAAATAAGAAGAGTCACACTTGGAATCCATTACTGTTATTAAATAAGTATATAAATAAACAACACAAACTGCAAAAATTGCAAAAATTGCAAAAGTTTCACAGACAACTGTTTTTCCTTTTAAGTTTTTAAATATCCTAAAAAGCTTAAGCGCAAATTTTAATATTTTCACATGTGATGAAATAGTAAATTTCGTGATTGTATTGATCTGGTCCATAATATATATTCATATATGTGCACTTTGCACTTCCACTTAAAAACATCTCAACTATAGCGAATTAAATGAGGAACCCCATTTTGCATTTAGCACAGAGATCGGAATAATAAAAAAGAATATGTACACTATTCTTCACAGCGGTATTTTTTTCACAAAAGAAGATGAATATTAATACTTTCTAGAAAAAAATGTGTACACGTGTAAACACGAAAAAGCACAAGCAGCAGAACATATAGAAGCACACGCGTGCGTTCATATGTACGTTTCACACTAGTTTAGTGCATTTGGATACAAATATTATATATGCCCTTTCTTTAAATTCTTCTACTGGGGTGGAAAAAAAAATACTTGTTATAGCATACACAAAGCTATTCATAAATCCTAAACACCTAAATCAAAAAACGTGAAGCGGGAAATGCAGAAACACAAATTACATTTACATAATTTCTGCTTTAAAATAAGGAGATAAAAAAGGAAAAAAAAAAAAAAAAAAAAAAAAAAAAAGAGAGAAAAAAAAGGCAAATAATAGCAAAGAAAAGCTGGAAAAATAAAAGCTAAGCATAACCGCATAAATGTGAAGCTTTTGTGCCTTTCAAAAGACAAGTAAAATTTGAGAATATAAAAAAATTCAAAATATGTATTACGATTTTTACCGAAAATTTTCCTTTTTTCCATCCAAATTAATTTAATGAAACATTATCAAAATTTATCAACTAATACATGAGTTATCTTAAATCATTTTTATATAAAAAATTCAACTGAAGGACATATACCATAAATAATAATTATAACACAGTATTTTAAAATGACTGAAGTACAAAGCCAGAAGATAGAAGAACTCACACCATGGGTACGAGCACAAAAAAAAAAAAAAAAAAGGAGAGTGGAGAAAAAATGACTATTTCTAAATATAGTAACAGGGCGGCATATTCACGCGTCACAATTTCATGTACAAATATATACATATGAATTTTCGTCATTCTGTGCAAAGCTATATGTCCATGCAATGCATAGCAGTAACAGGTGCAGTGGTACGAAGTTTAATTCGTTAATTTCCTTTTTTGTTTGAAAATAGCCTTTGGTTGTGGTGCTAAAAACTAGTTCATTTTTAAGAGAAACAAAGGGAAATGAAAAGAAATTCCCACATTTACAAATATACATGTAAAGGAAATTATGAAAAGAAAAATAAAATTAGTAAATGAGCGCTCCATTTGCGAAAAATTACATTTAATTTCTAATCTTTTGTGTTCTTTTGAATGCCTTACCCTGATAATTTATTTTTTACAAGAGTGTGGGAGTACAATACCTACATGCATATGTAGGTATGTACATACTCCTGTGTATAATACATAAACTGTCTTTTTTTTTTTTTTTTTTTTTTTTTTTTTTTTTCTCCTTTTTTTTTCAAATCTCTCTTTCCCATGTTTAGGTAGAAAAATATAGACCAAATGTGCTGAATGATATAATATCGCATGAACAGGTTATATCAACAATTCAGAAATTTGTCGAAAAGGGAGAACTACCACACTTACTGTTACATGGGCCCCCCGGAACGGGAAAGACATCTACTATTTTAGCTGTGTGTAAAGAATTATATGGAGAGTCAAGAAGTTCATTTGTATTAGAATTAAATGCATCTGACGATAGAGGTATAAGTGTTGTTCGAGATCAAATAAAAACATTTGCGGAATCAAAAAATCATTATAATACTTGCGAAAAAACTTCGTTAAAATTAATAATTTTGGATGAAGCTGATCATATGACTTTTCCAGCACAAAATGCTATGAGAAGAATTATGGAAAATTATGCTAAGAATGTTCGTTTTTGCTTATTATGTAATTATGTAAATAAAATAACTCCAGCTATTCAGTCGAGGTGCACATCATTTAGATTTTCTCCTCTTAAAAAGGAAAATATGATAAATAAAGCTTTAGATATTGCAAATTCAGAAAAGGTTGATCTTACTAAAGATGGATTAGAGAGTCTTATACGTGTAGGACGTGGAGACATGAGGAGAATTTTAAATTGTTTACAAGTCGTATCATTGAGTCATAAAAATATGACAATTGATGAAAATGTGATATTATCAACCTTAGATATACCATTACCTGAAGAAGTCAAGAGCATATTAGAACATTTTACTAAAAGTAGCATAAAAGAGTCATATGAATTTGTTACAAAATTACAACACAATAAAGGTTATTCAATAAAAGACATTATGATAAATATATATGAATCCATTTTAACTTATGACTTTCCTGATTCTGCTGTTTGCATATTGCTTAAAAATTTTGGAGAAATTGAAGAAAGATGTTCCTCAGGAGCTAATGAACAAATTACCTTATCCGCATTAATTAGTGCATTTATTGAATTTAGAACTGAATTATTCAAATTGAAATACGATATGAACAAAATATAAATAATGACCATACGAAGAAAATGTAATGATTGCAATATCTTAATGTAAAATAAGGATTCTCTTTTTTTTTACTTATTTTTTTTTAATTTTAAAAAAAGGAAAATATATCTATAGCACGTTTTTTTTTTTTTTTTTTTTTTTTTTTTTTTTTTTTTTTTTTTTTTTTACCATTTTTTTGTTTCCATTTGAACAAAACTAAATTTATAAATAAAAAATTAAAAGATGAAAAACCAAAACAAGTTAAAAAAGTTTACCCAATTTTTTTTTTTTTTTTTTTTTTTTTTTTTTTTTTAAAAAAATAAATTTTTTTTTTTTTTTTTTTTTTTTTTTTTTTTTTTTTTTTTTTTTTTTTTTTTTTTTTTCTTCTACCATATTCATGATTCCATGTGAACAAAGCTACATTTATAAGTAAACAATTAGAAGATGAAAAATCGAATCAAGTTAAATAAGTTTACCCAATTTTATATTATTTCTAATAATTACATGTCTTTTTTCTCGAAAAGGAAGTAGTTCTCATGTATGCCACAAGATACGAAGAATGTCATTGGAGACATTGTGTATGAAACAGAGAAAAGCCCATACTATTGAGTATTTATTAATCGAACTACACTCACTTTTTTATATATACGTTTGTGTACATATACATACAATCGCATGACAGTTCCTTTTATGTATACAGATATTAATAATTTTAACCGATACTATAACCCTTTTGATTCCCCTTGTTTTATTGTTCAACACTTTTTTTTTTTTTTTTTTTTTTGCTCCCCATTTTTGCATGAATTGTTTTTTAATTTTTAAAGTTTACACTCCAACAAGTATGACATTACACCCGCAAAAAAAGGGCTAAGATATCTTTATATCAAAGTGAAATTTCCTTGTGTACTACTTCCCCAATGAATTTATTTATTTCTATGCAATAACTTTTACGGTTCTTTCGTTGTTCTAGTTAATTTAGAAATATATTATATTTTCATTACTACTTCCTATTGCTACTGTTTTGTTATTCGTATTACTTTATTTCCCCCATCCCAAAATAACATATAGAACAACTGAATTTTCTAAAAATTTCCTCACATATAAGAACTTTTGTATATATACTTTTCATATGAAAAAAAATTGACTTCCTTAAAATTGTGAATTTATCGTTACATGTCTTTTTTTATATTTATTTATTTTATTTTTTTTTTTTTTTTTGCGCTGTATTACATTTTAAAAATATTTATGAATTCAAAGTTTTGTTATATTACCCTGCAACATTACACACACAATCTGTTTCTTCTATTAGAGCAATACGGTTTTTCTATAAGAATAAGATAAAAATAATAGCTATCTTTATGTGACTCATTATAAATGTGACTAGTTTAGTAGTGTAAAATAACACACATGCTTGTGTGCAAAAACAAAGAGGCTAATGTCATAAACAGAAGTGTGTGCTTTGTATATTTTTATACCTTATAATACTTACCAAACCGTTTTCGTAGTTTTTAAAATGATACGTGGGTCATTTGCTTTGCTTATCTTCAAACGAAAACATTTTCACGTGTTATATAAATCTATTTAAAAATGCAAAGTGTTTTGACATATTGGGAAGCCTTAACAAATTCCAAAATTTAAATGAAATATTCGATAAAGCGATAAGCATTTAAGAGAAAAAAAAAAAAAAAAAAAAAAAAAATTAGCTATCTAATTCCCCCTTCCCCACAAAAAAAAGAAAAAAAAAAAAAACAATAATAATAAATAAATAATCATTTACATGTGCACACACGTGAATACACATGCATTTTAAAATAAAATGTACGGTATAGTATACATGCTACACACGATGATTTAGTAAAAAGTGAGGGAACTTTATCGAATAAAGAATAGCTAATACCTTTCTATGGAAACCTTGTTACAAGGGAAGAAAAAAGGAAAGCACAAAAAAAAAAAAATGGAAACGAATGTATATCAATTGTAATGAAAATTAAGTTATCTGGAAGTTTTAACCCGCCTTCTTATTTTATATATGCATTTATTCACAATAGTGATTTTACTCAAAAATTATGTATACTGAAACGATTATGCAGATATACAAACAAACAAACGTGAAAACGCGTGAATACACTAATGCACTAACCACGCCAACTTCTTAACAACGAGAACTTCTTAACCGAGCCAACTTCTTAACCACGCAGACTTGCTACTACCGAATTTTTTCACATGAGCAAAGTCTTGCGGCAGTTGCAGCGATACACACATCAGAATGTGATATTAAGATGAAGGAAATAAAACAAGCAGACGTGAAACTTTTCCTGGAAACGTACTACACAGATAACAGCCTAAGTGATGAATTGAAAGATGTGTTCGATTATGTAGAAAGAAATAAACACAAGAGTAATTTTCATAAATTATTTGAAGACTACTTGGAGGAATATAATAAAAAATTATTAAAAGATGAGAGCTTTTTAAAAGATAATGTAATATACGATTATGAATATACAAAGCAATACAACATTGAATTAACAGAAAAGGCAGGGATAAATTGTAACAATAAGTATCACTATTATGTGAAGCCTATCAATACTATCGATAAGAATTACAAATTTTTAGGGCTAGATACAAATGTCATATCTGAGAGCATAAATAAAAAAATAACATTATTTTTAGATCTTTTTTTAATGTATTCTAAAAAATTAAATTTAAATATTGAAATAAGTCCTATATTAAACATGAATGAAGACGAATGTCACATCTTTGGAAGAATTTATACAGATAATGAAATTAATATCAGTGAATCAAACATAATTCTAGAAGGAAATTTAAATTGGAATAATGGAGACAAGGCACAACTATTAAATTTAAATCAAATAAAAAATATATGTTGTTTTTTGGGGCAAATTTTAGCTATAAAAGGAAAAAAAGAAATAAACCAATACAGTATAAAATATTACGTAAATAGTATATATGCTGGGTTACCTACTCATTTAAACATAAAATTAGAAAACAGTGCTTTTTTATTAAAACATTTTAACTGTAACGAAATTGAAGAAGATAATAAATTAGAGGAAGAAAAAAGTGATCTCAGTAAAATCCTACAATTGTACAATAATGATAACATACACATAATGGTGTGTAATGGATATGTATATACAGACAATGAGTATAACGATAATTTAGACAATTTTTTAAAAATCGTAAATGAAAAGTTACCACATGTTGTTTTAATTTTCGGACCTTTTCTATATATTCGTAATTTTAGTGAAACAATTCAAAAAATTGGAGATATTCATGTTATTTATGAAAATATTTTTAAAAAAATTATCAAATTCGCAAAAAATGAACTATTAGAAAAAACACATTTTTTTATTATCCCATCAATTTATGATTCAATCAATGTATATCCACTCCCACAACCACCATTTATTTATGAAAATAATTACACGAACATGGCAAATGTACATTTCGTATCAAATCCATTTTATATTTATATAAATGAATTAAAAATAGCCTTAACATCATGCGATATCATTTACAATTTGAGTAAAAATTTATTATGTAGACCAAATGAAATGAAAATGTTTTATTTATTCGAACAAATTTTAAGACAGCTTTCTTTCTTCCCATCTTACCCATCTGAATATAATATTGAAATTACGAAATTTAAAAATCTCTTATTTCATCCAAATAAATTACCAGATATATTTCTATTCCCATCATACACTAATGAAAAGTCCTATGTTAAGGAGATACATAAAAAATTATTCATTTGCCCTTATTCCATTGACGTAAATAAAGCGCAACCATGCAATTTTTTTTCTAATATTTATATTCAACCCCCAAACGAATCTCAGGAGTTATCAAAACGGGTAATTCTAGAAAATGTCTTCGTCCGTAACAATAAAGTAGACCTCAACCAGTGAAACCAAATGCAGGGAAAAGAACTCAAGTAGTCTTCAATGAGATTCAAAGCTTGGCTCAAAAAAAAAAAAAAAAAATTCTTTAAAAACGTTGAAAATTGTGTTCATATTTAAGAAATGGATCACTTTGCTAAACTAGAGAGGGGATGGGAACAGGAAAACAGTTTAATACACTGTTTTTTTTTTTTTTTTTTTTTTTGTTATTTTAAGCACCATTTTTTCGCATTAGCATGAAAATTTATTTGCTCACAAGAAAAATACACATGCATGAATATGTACATATATATATCTGAAGCATTTATATATTATGTACAAAACATATTTTGCGTGCCTTCCTTATGTCCTATGCTAACTCCTTAGTTTCATTTTTTTTAATTTGTTCATCATTTCTTTTTTATTTATGATATATTTTTCTATTGCCCCCTTGTCATGGCGCTTGTGTAAATGCATACATATATATATTATGTGGGAATATATTCCACCTTGGGCTTTTTTTTTTTTTTTTTTTTTTTTTTTACTTTAATTTTTTCCCAACTGTATTTCCTTTTCTTACCTTTTTAAAAATAAACATAACATACGCTCGAAACTTTTTTATTTGCATATCCCAATTTAAAGATATACTTACAATAGCAGTAATGGCATGTGCCCTAATGCACATGCGTAGTAAAGCAAAAAAATAAAGGTACACAGGAATTTTTTTTTTATATGTTTCTTTTTTCAACGAATTTTAAGGAACTTGGGACATTTTCCTTCATTCTACCGTTACTTTGTTGCCTTTCATATACTTCACTCTTTTTTTCTTTTTTTTTTTAAACGTAAATGTAGAAGAAAATAATACTCACAAATGAAGGAAACAAAGCTTATAAATTGCAAAAGATATTGAAGTATAAATAAAGCAAACAGGAATTAAGGATCGCCTTTTTTTTTTTTTTTTTTTTTCATTTTAGTATTGTAAAACACAAGATATTTGTTAACTACAAACAAAGGCCTTTGAGGATAGTAAGGGTTAAGGGGAAAAAAATTCAAAAATTTGGAGCCCCTTTCATTTAGGCAAAACTATAACATAGAAACAACCCGTTAGTATTTTTGTTTATGTATCATGAACAGATAAACATAGGAGAATTTAAATATATGAAAATGTGAAAGTGTGAAAATGAAAATATGAAAGCGTGAACATGAAAATATGAGCACATTCTGCCACCTACATAATCAAATATATAGCATGCAGAAGGGAATAATTTAATAAATCTTTAACTCATATCTTATGCATATGCTGCATGTAAAAATGTTCATCCACATCAGACAACTATGAGCAAGTCGATATATCCTACATATATATGCAAATCCACCTGAAACAAAAAGAAAAAAAAAAGGTATATCAAGCCACTTTACATATTTCCCATTCACATATTAGTAAATAATGAATAATAGACACAATCAAGATGAATACAGCTTGAGAAGAAGTATTAACAACACACTGCGGAACAAGTCGAATTCACTTAAGAGTGGTATTAATGATAATAAAAAGGGTCCATTAAAAAAGTTTATTCCAAATATTGACAATTTAAAAAATGAAAATAATATAAAATCGGAACAAACAAATAAATTAGAAGATAGCTTAAACAATAGAAGTATTCAAGAATTGATAACAAAAACTATTAATTTTGATTTACAAACTGATAAAAATAAAAATGAAAATCATTTTAACAATAATAAAAGTAATATAGCTTTTCCTTCTCAGGGCGTAGAAAAAACATTAAATAATAATAATTTAAACTTATTGAATTTAGGAATTTTAAAAACCAATAATAATGACATTTCCGTATGTCAACAAAAAAAAAAAACATCTATAGATATATATGAACTAAATAATATAAGCAAAAACATTTTCTATAATAAGAAGTCTACTTCTTCTGATGCTCACTTTTTGCCATTGACCTTACCATTTTTTAAAGATAATGAAAAACAGAAAAAAATTCGAAAGTTATTTCTAAATAAGGAACGGTTCTTTTTCTGCATCCAGTTACCGAACATGTTACCAGCTCTTGCTCGAAACGAGGAACCGAATGAAAATAAAGACAGTATAATAAAAAAGCAAGAAGAACAACAAAAAATGGGCTTTAAAACGGAGGACAAAAATGAAACAGAAATAAAGAAGAAAATGATCCAAAAGGAAAACAATAACGAATATGAACTGAGAAATATAAGTACATTACCAAATGGTAAATTTGCAAAGTTAATTTTATATAAAAACAAAAAAATTAAAATGAAAATTAACGATATTATATTTGATGTTGATGAAGGATCAGAATGCACTTTTTCGCAAGAGATTGGTTGCTACATAAAGGAAAATTCGGAATTTATTTTTTTGGGAAACTGTGACAATAAACTTGTTGCAACCCCAAATATTGAAAGAATTATAAATCAAAAGTAATTTTTTTTTTTTTTTTTTTTTTTTTTTTATAGAATGAAGAGGGGGAGAGTTCCCCCATATTATATTCCATTTTTCATGCTACACTTATTTTATAAACACGATTACAAGATTTGTGCTATGTTTCAATATGAAATTTCTGTTTTTAACAATGCTTTCAATTTCAACGAATTTTTATATAAAATAGTAAGGGGGAGAGGGGGACTCCACTCTTTTCATTTATTCGTATTTATTATTTTTTTTTTATTTTTTTATTTTACTTTTTTTGTCAATTCATTTAACAATGAAAATTTAATATCCATAAAAAAGGTAAAAATGCCTGGAGCAACTTTCATCCCATAGACATGTGTCAGTGAATAGATATACGTATGGTGTTCTTTGATTTGTGTAGTTATTTAAATATATGACGTACATGAAAAATTATGCCATTCTAATGCCCATATAAAGAAAAAAAAAAAAAAAAAAAAAAAAAAAAAAAAAAAAAAATAAAAAAAAAAAATAAAAAAGCAAAAAAAAAACAAAATATTAATAATCCCAACCATAACTATTTCAATAAAAAAAAAAAAAAAAAAATTGTCATTTTTATTCTATCCATCCTTGTCGCCTTCTTATATAGCACAAAGGTGTGCATATATATGTTCTAACGTAAGCACCAAATATGCACATTCAGCGATAGATATATAGATATACACATATTTACACGCGTGTGCCTATGGGCTTATATATATGTTCGCATTCTTCATGTTTAAATTGTTAAATAAAAAGGGAAAAAAAAAAAAAAAAAAAAAAAAAAAAAAGGCGCCATAAAATATAAGATATTTTTTAGGTTTTTTACTAAATGTTTTATCCCAAAAGTAGAAGAAAGAAATATACACAAATTAATTTAAACAAGTTCATTAAAATGAATGTTTTTACATTATTATTGGTCTCTCATTTGTGAAATATTATTTCATGTTTATTACAGTGTGTCCTTTTTGCATGCACATTATTTTGTGATAATAATCCTTTTCTTTTTTTTTTTTTTACAAAAATGGTAAATGTTTTTATGTAAGAGTGTTTGAAGCATAAGGCTTATTCTCATTCTTATTAAATATACAAGGAAAAAAAAAAAAAAAAAAAAAAAAAGTGTGCTCTATTATAATTTCCACGTATTGAAAATATGCTATATTAGTTAAATGATTTAAAAAAGAAGAAATTTTCATCTGCAAATGTTTTAAAAATAAATAAGAAATTTTATGTGAATAAATAAAAAAAAATAAATAAATAAGGAAAATTCGCTTATTCTTATATATTCATATACACATGTGTACACACTTTCTAAGCACGTATATTGTGTATGCGCTATATAAGCATACTTTACATAAACGTTTATTTGTCAACAGGGGGAAATATATGATTTACAATAAATGAATAAATTATTTTTATTTCCCTTAGGCTAAATCTTTAGTGCTTCATTGTGTACTTGTGTTTTAAAAAATATTTTATTTCTACTAAATTTTTTGTTGAATTTTTTTTTTTCTTTTTGTTGAGGTTTGACTAATCATTTTTTTTTTTTATAAAAAATATATTTTACCCTTCAAAAAAACATTATTTTTTTTTTTTTTATTATTTTTTTTGGCATATTAATTTTTGAATGGCAAATTATATATGCTATGTTTTAGTGTAGTGCTTTATCTAAAATTGCCTTGTCCACATGTTACACATGCGTAGAAGGTTCCTACGTATATATATGAACATGTTCACATTTGTCCTTATGCATGCATTCTTACATATATATGCATACATACATATAAATACATATACATATATACACACCCATACCTACTTACACACATATACATGGGCGAAAGTATAAGGTGATACACCCCATACCCTGTGCGTATCACTTCTCCACATACATAAGCAAATGAGAAATGTGATGGTACTTTAAAATGAATAGCAACGAGGTAAATAATGAAGTAAGTGTAGATGAAAGAATTAACAATGTGAAACATTTATTTTGTGAAAACGAAGAAGAAATTAAAAAAGTTAATGAAATTATTGAAGAGACTGATCAGGTTTTGTATAATTTTGCTTCGAATAAAGAAGGGTATACTAAGTACAGTTCACTGGATGACGAATCTCATTTATATTTCAAAAAAGTTAATAATGTAGACGTAGGAAAACTCACCCTTATATTCCGTGACTGTACGAAGGTATACATTATTATTGATAAAAATATAAAACGATTATTCATGATGAAAAAATCTGAAAGAACTTGTACCCCAAAAAAAAAAAAATATGCCATAAAGATGGCACTAGTAGTTGGTACCATAGATGGGTTACTCAGATTCATATAAACACGACATAACTAAATTTTTCACTTTTTAGCTCGAAAAGTTAATACAAATAATATGGGATGAAAATGGAACAAAAAAATTTGACCCACACTTTATAGAAGGTGAAATAAACGAAAATATGCACGTAACCATATCCTTTACGTAATATGCATCATTTTATTATTTTTACATTGTTTCTCTTTTTTCATTCATTTCTTTCTTTATTTTTTTTTTAATTTCGAAAAATTGAAATTTAATTCACAACTGTTTTTAAAACATTCCATAATTTGTCAAATTAGGCAAAATTCTGCGCGTATACAATAAAGATCTAATCCTATTACAACAAAGCTATAAGGGTACACTAGGAAATGAGGGAAGATACTTTTACATTCTTGCACATAAAAAAAAGGTAGGGAAATTTTTTTTTTTCGTGTACATTTTTTTCCACACATTTCTGGGGTCATATAGGACAGTGAGTCAGCGCAATATGATACATCTACTGCTACATATCTATGCCTACATATGTATCTTATGCATGTATTTTTTCATCTTATCATTCCGTAGCTTAACAAGGACACATACCTAATTGCATGTGCGTCGGTAAATGTAAATGATAATAAGAAAAATCAAAGTAGTTTCAAAAATCCGTTTATCAGTAGTGCTAGTTCCTTTTCACTGAACATTGAATGTGACGAACAAATTAAAAGCTCCTCATTACGAAAAATGTTTATTAATGTATCTGGATATTATATAAAAAGAGAAGACACCTGTCTTAATTGTACATACATTTCTTCGGTAAGTTGTAAGCATGGTAGTAAGCGATAATTTTTCTCTTTTTCTTTTTCATGCAATATTAATGCTTCTCTTTTTAATATTATATATGAATGCATTTACGTATATAGTTTATGGCTACATTCACAAAAATAAACTTATTTTATAATCATTGTCATTGATTTTGTTTGAACCCATTCACTGCTACACCATTTTTTTTTTTTTTTTTTTTTTCAGATTGAACTTGATACGTCACCGTTGATTCCGCAATTTATTATACGAAAAATTAAAGCAAGTAAAATGTCACAGCTAAAAACATTAAAAAATCATCTTTGATAGTTTAGTTTGTTGAAATATGTTACAAATATATTTTATGTTACTTGTATGATGATTAAATTCGCATCATTGTTTACCTTCAATTTTTTTTTTTTTTTTTTTTTGATTTTTAATTCCTATTTGCAATTGCATAATGATATATGTTTTATTTTATTTTATTTTTTTTTTTTTTGGATACTGCATATGAAGACGATTTTTTTTTTTTTTTTTTTCTTAGAATTAAGGCATACATTTGTTTATGTCTAGAAGTGTATGTTTCATCTTTGTCAAACTTATAAGTCCGTTATTTATATATACATATTTATTGATGTATATATCTATGTATATATAATTTGAACAAAATTTTGTTTTTTCATATACCTAAAGGTACTATGTTTCAATTTCTAATTGTTAAACAGTATATTTCAAAAAAAAAAAAAAAAATGAGCATCCGTTTTAGCACAGGATATAATGCTTTTGACGTAATCCTTCAAAATAGGAGTGACAAGGGAATCGAAATAGACATCTTATATATAAATGTATATATGCATATATATATGTATACGCGTGGGCTTATTGCTATTGCTTATGTTTTTGCCTCCTTTTACTATCATTTTTTGCAACGCTCGCTTTGCATGTATAGTTAATTTTCCTTTCATATTAAACGTTGTAAAACACTTATAAAAATATATTATATTACTCTTTTGTTCATTGAATATAAGTACTCCTCCCCAAATGTCATCAATTCGTCAGATAAAAAAAAAAAAAAAAAAAGAAAAGTGCCTTCATGTATGTTTGTGTATATGTTTCCCATATGATTCTAACGAATATTGTCTGGTAAAAGATAATTATTTATACAATTATTATCCTTGCTTGGCAATGAAATATGATTAACTGCATGTTTGCCATATATCTTCTTTTTGAATTTGTCAAATTTTAGACTAAAAAAATTCTGAAAAGGTGGAAACAGGAAAAGATACAAAATGAGGGCAAATGGCAAGACGGGTTAAATAATGCAAATGAAATGGTTACTAGTGATGTAGGAAAAAAAAAAAAAAAAAAAAAAAAAAGGAAAATCGTGGGACGCATAAATAGGATCAACATATCTAATTATAGGACAAGCAATCAACAGTATCAAATAATGTAATTGTGTGAGATTTTTAATCCTCGTCACCAAAGAAGAATATATGAAAAGGCATTTGAGGCACATAAAGAAGCGCATGAAGAAATGCACGAAGTATATTTTCATGCTCCAGCATGCGCAAACGCACATGCATGCAAAAATGTACTCATTTATTCAGCATTACATCAAAAAGTAAATTCTTGAAATAAAAGCTCGGTATTATTAACAAGGCTAGCCATGTATAATGTGTTAAGGTTTTCTTATTTTTTTTTACAATCATTTTGGAATGAAGAAAAAGATTATGTATATTTGTTATGTTATTTGCAGATCTTCAATAAAAAAGTTTCCTCTAATTCTTCTCGTTTTCTTTCTATTTTTCGTTTCCAATATCGAAAAAGTATTATTTCTGGTTGTCGTGGGACACTATTCAAAGATGCAAAGGTATACACTTTTTTCATTTACATCTACGTATACATCTGTTTGTTTGACTATTGTATATTTAAGTAGTGAATTCATACACAGTACAACTAAAAATTCGTATATACACTTGTGATACATGTCCTCAAAAAATCGGCTATTTATTTGTTGCAATAAATGGAGGAGAAGCTTAATAGAGAATATGAACAAAATTTGCAAGCATTAATTTCGTATAAAAAAGATGGATGCAAAAAAAAAAAAAAAAAAAAAAAAACTATTTATAACCTTTAGGGTTCATCACACATTTTCGTAAAAAACTGCTTTAAAATTACGAATTTACAATTTTACAGTTTCATAATTAAATTTTGGGACATGAATTAACTTTTTTTTTTTTTCCCCTCCTTACCTTAAGCTGATTTGGTCTTTGGGCGAAATGAATTGAAGCATAAACCAGAAAAGAGAAAATTGACGTATGAAAATTACGAGGTGATAATTACAAAAATGCTAAAATAACATCGTACACTCGAAAAAAAAAAAAAAAAAAAAAAAAAATGAAGGAAACATCGTGTAACATAAAATATAAAGAAATGAAAAATGTACGTAAAAATATGGGACAGGCAAAAAAAGGCCAAGAGATGACTAGATCAAACATTTTAAAACATATATCTTTTTTAAATGATGAGTTATATCTATCCTGGTTCGAAACTATATGTAAAATTTAAGAAAACAGATAAATGAGTACTCAAATAATATACAAATTTGCATGTTGGAACATTTGAGATTTATTTGTACATGCCATATTGGCAAATTCTTTATTCTTCCGTATGTTCATTTGACCCACTGTAATGCTTTTTTTCCCGGTTGATTGTTTCTGTTTAACTGTCGTTTGGTTATATGTTGCTGATTTTCCTTCCGTCATTTACTCCTAATTGGTTAACCACGCATTATTACTCCCTTTTCATTTGCCTTTCGTTAGTAGTCCCTATTCATTTTCCTCTCGTCGTGGTAGTGCCCGTTGTGCACCTGTCCCCTTTGTAGCTGCATATTGCTCTTTTTATTTCCCCTATATAAATGGAAATAAGATAAAAAAAAAAAAAAAAAAAAAATATGAAATATCCAGAGGACACTTCACATATTAGCAAATGGCTTTTCAGAAGCAAAAAAGAAATAGATGACATATGTGTAAAAAAGTATAATAATTTTAAAGAAAAATTTAAAGATTACAATGTGAGCATACCCAAATATGCTGAAATTGAGAAAACAAAACTTTATTTCTGCTACCAAATGACACACCTTTGTGAAATAAAAAATCTGAAGCCTCAAATAGTGGAATGTGCAATTGTGCTATATAATAGATTTTACTTGAAAGAAATTATTTTAGAGTATGATCCTCGTATCTTAATATTTACCTGTATAATATTAGCAATAAAGTTGGAAGGATATGGTAGATTATATAAAATGAATGAATTTTTTAGTGACATTGATATAAATTTAGACAAAGTATTAGAACATGAAAATGTTGTTTGCTCATCATTAAATTTTGAAATTAATTTTTTATATACAAAAGAATGTATCTTTTATTTAAAAAGGAAACTTTTAAATTATATCAATAAATATATAAACAAAGACAATGAAGTAGAAAATTCATTTGAAAGCGTCTGTAATCAAATTTACTCAAAAACATCAGATGACTGTTTAAAAGTTATCGAAAACTTCGTTATTACTTTTACATATACACCTTCACAAATAGCACTATACTGTTTTGTAAATAATATAAAAATAAATTTCAATATAGTTAATGCTGATAAATTTATTCTTGAATTTATTACCAATAATAATCAAATTCTTTTTCAAAAATTAAGAAACAAAATTGATGAATTGCATGTAAGGTATAAGGACCACCTCGATTTAAGAAATACATTTGACGATGAAAATACAACTAGACAAATCGGGGAAACATTGGATACGTGTATTGATATTTATGAAATTTTAAAAAAAAAAAAAAGCAGCAAAAAGTCCAGAAAAAAGAAATTAAATAGCGAAGATTATACTCTAAATGAGTCTTCCAAAAGGGTTGATGTGAAGTAGAGAGATATAGAATGGGAAAAAAATGGAAATGTAGAAGAATAAGAGACTACATATATATAACCAATTTCTTCTCATATCTACAAATATTTGATGAGTACCGCGATTGATGATTTTATATTTTCCATGCGATAATTCATCTGCTGTGTTTTCTTTTTTTGTATAATGGGAAAAATACACAGAATGTAATATACTTTTTCCCACCCATCTGTTTAATTATGTAACTTTTATATTTTTCCAATTCTTATGAAACATATTTCTCCATATTCGTCAGAACAGAGAAGAAGATTTTCCTAACACAAAATATAGCCTTCCTTAAAACCTTAGAGCTTTTTTCATACACCACTGAAAAAGCATAATTTGTAAAATGAAACCATCATTTTTTTCATTTTTTCTTTAAGTAATGCATATTTTCTAGAGTCAGCTTCATTTTTTTTTTTTTTTTTTTTTTTTAATTTCGTATATATAGCCATTTTTCAAGTCCCCCTTTACGCCCTTTATTTTTCCAAGTTGTGTGTAGAATGATCATATACTGCTGCTACATTTTTTAGTACTATTTTTAAGAAAAACACAACAAATGAGAAAAAGGGCATAGAAAATTTTGCGAAAATTATGAGAAAAACACACATGTATTAAAAAAATGGTCTACAAAAATAAAGTAATACGGAAATCAGGGGTGTATTCCAGTTTAAATTTTTTCTCCATTTCGTCCTCTTGGTTTTCATTTGCCTTTCTTCTGTTTCATACTTTTCTGTCCTGTCTTGCTTTTACCGCCCCATCTAACCTTTTTCCACCATATCTGTTACATACAACGCTTTTTTTTTTTTTTTTTACTCATTAATGTACGAAAAGGGCGCAACCAAAAAATTTGATCTATATTTCATTTTAACATTTAAAAATCGTAAAATAAAAGTATTGCTATGAAAGAACTCGTTTAAATCTTTTATACTTTTTCCATTTGAATAAAATGTAATACAATAAAATCTACCAAAATGAAATGTTCCTACGTTGGGCTTCTTTATACAGAAAGCAAATTTTCTCCAACCTAAATCATTTATACTTATTATATTACCATTGTGTTTATTTACTATAAAATTAAAGTTTTTCATTAAATTCTTTACATCGTCTTTTTTTATGTGTTTATTTAGAGCTATATAAGATTCGTACAAAACCATTTTTTTTTTATTACTACTTTTTTCTTCATTATAACTCCTAGTTATATTCTTTTCTCTCCCTTATTTTATTCTTCGCTGTTTAAACATGCGTATACAAAAATCCTGTGTTTTCAATAAGTTCCTGTAACTGCATACTTCTACGATGCACAAAAAGTAGAATGAATAAATGTTTACATATGTGTGCACATATATACATATAAATAAGTGTATATGACCGTTATGCTATACTAACATTCAGCAACTAAGTCATGTGCCATAGATTCTTTTTTTCTATGGGACCCATGTATCATTAATAATCACTATCCACATTGATGTCATAAGGTTTATTTCATTTTATTGTTAGCAACTTTTTTGTACTTTGGTGAAACTAAAGAGCTATTTGTTGCGCATATATATACACATGTATATATATATGCATAAAATATATACATGTTTATGAATGGTAAAATTAAATTTTCCACAGTTCATGCATTTGGAACAAAATGATTGTGGATACATAAACAATATTTAAAAAATACCATATCGTTTAAAAAAAAAAAAAAAAAAAAAAAAAAAAAAAAATATATATATATAACAAAAAATGGTAATATAGGTAGATACAATATGCGCCTTTAGAACGTATATATAGGAAAAATAAGAGATTAATTATTCCACGGCTGAAAAATGTAAATTTAAACAGTATAAAACAAGGTCATATTCAAATATAGGTAAAAATAAGAAAAAACTAAAAAAAGCCTACAACTCAAATATTTAACAAAATTTAAAAAACAAAAACTAAAAAGTAAAAAACAAAAAAATAAAACTTTTCATGCACATATTTTTATGATCTTATATAGGACAAGAAAAAAGAAATAAAAATTAGTGATCTGGGAAGAACTACCCTCAAAAGGATGATAAAAAAAAAAATCACACAAAATATAGTCAAATAAGCAAACTAATTAAGTTATTCTTAACAAAATGTTTGAATATTTTTATAATTAATAGAAGAATTTTTTTTTTTTTATGCTGTTGTATAACAAAGTGAAGTAAATTGAAATGAGAGAAAAAAAAACATATCACTTCCTAGTGGTTGTGTCCCTTCATTTTTACTTTGTATCTGAAACAGACTGCAAAAATGATAAGAAAAAAAAGAAAAAAGGGAAAAAAAAATGTGAAACAGAAGAATTTGTACAACAATGTCTACTGAACTATTAAGTCGTTTATAATAAGGTAAAATATATAATTACATGAAAAGGCTGCAAGGTCACTTCTTCGATATTGATAAGCTGCTTTATGAAATACTCAGCACTAACATATTTCGTTTTTTTATTTTCGCAAACAAAGTCAATCAAATTGCGAATTTTTCCATGTGGCCACTGTAAATTTAGCTATAAAAAAAAAAAAGTGTTCAAAAAATAAAGATAAAACGAAACTCTTACATTTGATTGAATAGAATATGTGAAACGTTTTTTAAACAATCAAGAGTTTTCCTCATTTCTTACTTCTCCTAAGATTTTTTTTAAGCTGTTCACATCAATGGATGATAGTGAATTCCATGGAATTCCGTATACTTCTTCAAATAGGGACTGCAGTATCACGGATAGTGGTGTAAGGAATGTTTAATTGAGTAGATGAACGAGTGTGACAAATTAAAAATGAACTTACACAAAAATAATACATCGTGTTTATTTTTGCTCTGTTTTTTGTTCCGCTCACTATTCAGTTTTTTTTTTTTTTTTTTTCCTTTTTCCTTTTATGTTGATGATTTTTTGTCCACTTCAGGCTCATTTTTGCTTTTTTACCTGTACTGCATTAATATCCAAAAGTTCCACCAAAATTTGCTTCACTATAATAATGAGGACGAAAAACTCTTCTTGGTTTAGACCATTTTTATTGTTTCTGTCGAACACTTCCAGGAATTCCTATAAGGAGTGGTTTAATATTCAAAAAAAAAAAAAAAAAAAAAGATGATGGAAGAGACAAGGGAAAGCGCAATACGAGAATGCTCAATGTAAAATAGTGATTTAATCATTCATATCACTACTCGTGCCTAGATTCATGCTACTATACACAACACGTATCTCAGCAAAAGTATTAATTTGTAGCCCATCTTTAGGCACGTCATTACAAAAATATAACTGGAAATTTTATTTCATATATATAAACCGTGTAATGTTACCTTAATATCACTTTCCGAGGTCAAGTTAATTCCTTGTGATTTCAAAAATTTCAAAATTTTCGCTGAGTCAATTATTCCTCTATTTTCTTCATCTAATCCTATCCATATACTAAACATTTTTTCCTGTATATTTGACGGCACTGTGCTTGATTTTATGAGCAACTGCCTCCAAAATACTTCTCCTCCCTCTTTCAACGCATGCAACGTTGACTAAAAATGGGAAATAAATAAAACATATATATGACCCTCCGTAGAAAAAAAAAAAAAAACATGGTATAACAAACGATAAAATGTACCAGACAAAATAAAAAATAATAAAATCTACAAATTATTGTATACACATGTTTAAAAAAACGCAAAATTGTACGAGAAATACCTTTATTTTTATAGCATCAATAAATTCTGATATTCTCTTAATATTGTCAGACCTTTCAAATTCCCACACCTGCCAAAGGGGGAAACATGTAATATTATATGATTTTATCAATCTGTCTATTTTATGTCCACCATTACGTTAATTTTATTTTATTTCGTTTTGTTTTGTTTTATTTATTTTATTTTTTATTATTTATTTTGTTTTGTTTTATTTATTTTGTTTTGTTTTATTTATTTTGTTTTGTTTTATTTATTTTATTTTTTATTATTTATTTTATTTTTTATTATTTTTTCTTCTTTCCCCCCCCTCTTATTTCCACGCAAGCTTGTTTACCTTTTCCAGCAATTTGGTATCAATTAAATATCCCGTCTTGCTAACCATAATATTGTAATAAATGATATGCTTGAGTATGGTCAAAAAAAGAAATATGCACACACAAATAGCTAAACTTCCGTAGCTGTACAACTGGAGCCATGTAATATTGTCTACCCTTAATAAAAATATCCAACATGACAATATTATCAAGAAACAAAAACACAGTGTCTAAAATGGGGGAAAGGAAAAAAGTAAATAAATAAGTAAAAAATATAAAGTAAAAAATAAAAAATACAACAACATAAAATCATGAACAAATCTTAATTAAAAAACATAAATAACTATATTAGAAAAAAAATAAATAAATAAATAAAATAAATATATAACAGTGAAGAATTTTCAAACGTTAATAATAATCTCACTCCTTAGTTTTAAATTTAAAAAAAAAATATATGAATATTCGTAACAATAGGTAATATTATTGCTCTTGGTACTTACTTGAAAAATAAAATTAATTAGGCTGGGACCGTTACCCCAAAAAAAAAATAGTTGCTCATGCTTGTTAGGGAAAGTTGTTTTGTACAAAAAATAGTTTATTGCTGAGGGGTATACAGACTGAAAAATAAAAAAAAAAATATATATAGGTAAGGTGTAACTAGCTAATTAGTGTAAACAATAGACATTAGATATATAAATGTGTATATTTATATATATTTTTTTTTTTCTTTTTACCTGTTGCTTTAACAGTTTATAGTAGGGTGTAATATCTCTTTTGTTCTGTTCGCATGCTTCGATGTGATATCTGTTTAGTAAGTACTTTGAAATATCTCTTGGTAATAGTTTTCTGTCTATTTTATACAACTGTAAAAATAATATATATAAAACGTGTAATTAGTAGTGTTCCTAGAGGTGAGAATAAATAACAAAATGAAGAACTACAACTGAGTAGTTATTATTCTCGCTATTTCTATATATGCGTATGAATACATGTTTGCTTGCACAAAGATTCTGTATTCTCTGTAATCTATAAAATATTCTATTACGTATAGGAACATGAGGAGCAAGCCCATAATACAAATGAAGGAGAGGAAATTTAGAAAAATAACTTCCGCTTTCAGTCTTATGTTAAAAAATGGCCTATATATAAAATGAAGCAAATGAGAAAGACATAATTTTGCCATTTAGGATAAGTGTTAACTATTACATCTTCTGCGATTTTTCTATTTCTATTATTTTTTATACCTTAAAGAAATGCATGCAAACACTAAAAATAGGATAACTGCATTGGGAATTTTTATTAGTTTGACGTTGTATTTCAATAAGCATGCTCTCATATATTCATAGTAGTAATATCCATTCGGATCTAGACCTGGAATACTTATGGCATCTACATTTTCAGAAAAATCGTATCTACAAGATAGATGAGAAAAATAGGTAATATTTTAAAATGAATACACGTATCTAAAGGGGAAATTTTAATGTGCATTCTTTATGCAGCTTTTACATGTTTTCTTATGGTATTTTTTCTACGTTTCTATTCTAATGAATAACTTACCTGTGTGCTAAATACTTAGAGTTCCTTGCATGTCTAAGGAAAAAAAAAAAATTCTTAAAACATCCTTTCCTCGACTCCTTCATTTCCTTGACTACATTTGAAATATCGCAATTGTCAGCTTCAGAAAACCACTTTAATATTCTCCTTGTCACAAAGTGTATGTTTATTATAAATAAGGAATAGCTGCAAAAAATAAAAAAAAAAAATCAATTTGTCACATGTGTACAATTATTTATATCCAGAAAACCTTTGTTATCTGAGAAGGGATCAACCGTGTTCAGGCATAATCCTCATGCACGTTCGCACAATTTGTTCTTAACTTACCATATTAGAAAGTTCATCGAAATGAAAAGTATTTTCTCGAATATGATCTCTAACAGTGGTTCCACGTTATGCAAAACTTCATCAACGTTTCTTTGTCTTGGTAGGATCTAACATGGCAAAGTGAAGAAACCAGGACATACACATCCGCAGGGGATGTTACACATTGGTGCATATATTTTTATTTCACTTCTCCTCATATTTCGTTAGGCATTATGAGGACATTTACACATGTGTATGAATATTTACAAACACACTTGTATACGCATGTCAGTTTTGCAATATACGTGCATTTTTACTTTGATCCATTTTTCTCACTTACGTCGCTGAAAATTATTTCATCAAGCGCTTCTGCAACATTGGACTGAAGAATTCCCCATATTGTGAGGTTAATTATGGTAATTAGGGATATTTGTCTAAAAGCTGTGTTTAGCAAGTCCTTTCTAAATTGATCTTTTGAATTTCTCACTCTTTTTTCAATATAATAGACTATATTTTGTATAAGTAAACTAAAGAATAACGTGAATAATATTATAAATAAAAAGGCGCAATTTTTTTTATTTTCATAATTCCATAACGTTTTCTTTGCTTCTTCATCAACACTACAAAATTCTGGACCAAAAGATTCATAATTGCAATCCTTTACTATTAACTTATCATGCTCAAATTTTTCATGTATATTTGATTTTATTCCTAACATATTTTTCATGTATTTTACTAAATCGTTTACTTCAAAAAATTCTTTAATTTTATTTCTCCTCAAATTAATATTGGTTTTTTCTGAATTACTTTTTTCAGGGAAAAAAGAAAATGATTCCTGTATATAATTACTTCCTTTTTCTTCTTTATTTTTTGTCAATGACGATTTCATTTCTTGATTTTTTTCTACGTTATTGTCTGTTCCATTGTTTGTGTCTTCTCTGTGATGTCCTACTTGGTCTTTTTCATTTTTTATTTCCTCCTTCCCTGTTTTCGGACTTTCATCATGTTCATCTGGCCGTGCATGCTCTGATCCATTAGAAGAGAAGTAATGTTTCAACGATTTCACCTTTTCCAAAAACTTTACACTTTGCAGTACATTATTCAATTTGGCATTATCAATGCGCTTAATCCTTTCCTCTTCTTTTTCTTCATCTTTTTCTTCATCTTCTTCTTCCTCTTCTTTAGGATTTGAAGCATTATTTATATGATCATGTTTCTTTACGAATTTGTCTACTCGAACATTTTCTTTCGCTTGAAGGTCAGTTTGTTTTTGTGTTGCTTTGTTTTTATTAACCTGATCATTCGTCATTCCTCTTCCATCATAGGTCTGTGTATTCACATTTGTAAGTTTGTCTGATTTTTCTGGAACAATAATATCCTTATTGATTTCACCTGCATTGCTCATGTCATTTTTTTCTTTTTCATTATGTTTTTTTTCTTTTCCTTCTATAGTGGTAACATTTTGTTCATTGTCTTTTTGGTTATTCATAATGTTGCCAATGAAATTACCTGAATTAGCAGCTTTATATATTTTTCTTAATTTTTTTTCTTCTCGCCATTTTTTTTTCATCTCTTTATCTATATTAGACTGAAAATACAACAGCTTTTTTAGTTTACTAATATCAAAGAGTTCGTCATTGTCTTCTAGCAGCAAACGGTTGTTCCATTTGTGACCACAGGTAATCCTTTTTTTTATACGTTCATTTTTGATGCAGCAATTTTTTTCAAAAATATTTTCTTTTAAAATGAATAAAGGATATATTACAGAAACCTGAGGGGTAAAAAAAAAAAAAAAAAAAAAAGAAAAAAAAGACAAAATGAATTAAACTGAATTTATTCCAATGGATTATACGTAGAAATGGAATAAAAATGAAGTAAAAAAGAAAAAAAAAAATACATATTGTACACTTGTTTTGTATGGATGAAAAGGAAAGGGGTGAATGTAGCACGCATAAAAAGGATTATCATTTGAAAATATTTTTACCAAATACAATAACTCATTAGCACACCTGTGCATATATATTCAAGTTTAGTTAGAAAAAACAACATTATAGATTGGATCTATCCATGTGCATAGGACGTTATATTTTTATGCATAAATGGAGAAATATCCCATTGGATAAATTATATACATTTCTTAGGCACATATATAGGGATGCACACTCACACATGTATATACATGTTTGAACACTGTTCAAATTATCTGTGATAAAAACTGTTCTTTATTCCTTATTTTTTTTTTTTTTTTTATCATTTTTCTTTTTCTTTTTTTCTAACGAACACATAACAAAATTAGGAGGTGGGACATTAACATATTCTGGGGGTCCTGTAGGAAGGGGAGGAGAAAAGGGGAAATGTGACAAAACAAGCATTTTTATTTTTTTCGAAATAAATAAAACTCTACAACCATTTCATGCATTAAATCTTCATTTTTTCTTATAGGAATTTCATTTGAGATTTTCCACTCTACTTTTATCAGCATGTTCATTTGTTTTATTTCGCTTCATTTCATTATTTTGCTATTGTTTTTTTTTTTTTTTTTTTTTTTTTTTTTTTTTTTCTCTTTTTTCTTCCTCAAAATGGTACATTACTATATTTTAACCTTAAAAATGAGAATGTCTTGTAATTGTGAAGTCAGTTACCATCTATATTCTACCTTGAAAACTTATAAAAATTTACATGTTTCTTTCTTTTTTCTTTCTTTTTCTTTTATATAAATTTCTTAAAAATGTTGACAAAAAAGCTATATAACAAATCAACAAAATTATGCTATTGGGAAATCATCACACAGTTGTATCAATGAAATAAACTATTCTGTCTTTTTAAATCTACGTTGCTACATTAATAAAACATCTTTATATTTGTACTTCCAATTTGAGTGATGTTCTTCTATTTTACTGCAGTTATCGATAATTTATATTTACAACACACCTTTTATTAAAATTTGTGGTAAATTTTTTTATTTTCACCTATTATGTATGTTTTTATTTTTCTCAATTGCCTTTCTTTTATATATATTCAAATTTTTTTATTCTAAATAAGCAGGTGCAAAAAAGTAGTAAAAATAAAATAAAATAACTGAATTACCTTAGAAAAGTTATATGCTACATACATATATATGTATGTGTGTAGTATAACTAATGTATCGTTATTCATTATTTTACTTTTTTTTTTTTTTTTTTTTTTTTTTTTTTCTTTCGAAAAATAATTTCTAAATCTGAATCACTATTTGGATAACATGCAGTTTATGAAATCTGGGTGGCAGTGCAAACGCAAACGCTGAGAAGTAATAACAAATAACAACATTAATCAATCTCAATGTCTGATAGTGTCCACTGGTTACGTTAACTAGTAGTAGTGAACACTTGCGACAAATGAAAATAATAAACATTTGAACTGACAACTGTGCCCTGTTATTTGTACCCACTCGCGTATTTTCTAGAAGAAAATGTAGGCAAGCAGGTGCACAATAATAAGTTGCAACACAAAAGTGAAAAAAAAAAAAAAAAAAAAACAGAGAAAAATAAAGCAAATAATTTTTTTTTTTTTTTTTTTTTTTTTAATATACAAAAAATAATGTAACAGTTTTATTTGTAACAATTGTTCATGTAACGTTAAGCGATTTTAAAATGTATTTAGAAAATGAGTTTGAAACAATATAAGTTTGTCTTCTAACATTTTTTTGAAATATTTTCTGCAACATGTTTATTATTGTACAGTTACATATTCTCCCAAGCATACGAATATAATTCTTTTTATTTTTTATGAGCCGAGTTAATTTTTTTTTTTTCCCCCCCTTGCTTTTTTGTTTAGTCTTATGATATCCTTTTTGTTTGCACTTTTTCTTAAAATGTAGGATCAGGGATGTGATTAAATAAATGGGTAACTTTTTTTCTATACGAATGTTCTCAAAATAAACTATTACCCAAAAATGGTTATTTTATATTTTCCCCATTTTGTGTATTACATTTTCAGTACATTTTTTTTTTTAATACTTGCTTGAGCATTTCCCTTTTTAAGGGTTTCACTTTTAGCTGATAATTTTCTAAAAAAAAGAGACGCACTTTTTTGTCCCACCGTCATAATAGAACATTAAAAAGAACAGTATATGAGGATATACAATGATGGGTAAAACTACCATGTTTTCCTATGCATCCGAATAATTAATTAGTTTTTTTTTTTTTTTTTTTTTTTTTTTTTATAAGAAGGTTTATTGTTGCTGTGTACTGTTGGGTGTGGAAAAATATTTATTATACTAAAAAAAAATAATAATAAATAAAATTAATTAAATCTGATAAGAGAACTACCGGAAGGGGGCAATGAATAGATGTATATGCATATATATGTATATACATATTTTTGTGTACTTCATTTTCATGCAAAAGAGAGACTCGTGTAGGTAGCAATGTACCATGGGTATCGGTGAAATTTCATCCTTTATCGTTGACCATTTGGTAAAAAAAAAAAAAAAAATCAATAAAAAAACGGGAACGGAAAATGGCTAACGTCAAAATTATAAAAGAGAAAACTAAAATGGGACTTATATTACTGCATATTTGTCAACCTATTGTATGATATTTAGTATTGGAATAACAAGTACAATATATGAAATATGATAACAATTCTAAGAATTACGTATAAAGGGTGTAGTTAGACACTTCAAACGATATACATTAGATGCTAATAGATGTTAAACTCACATGTATGCGTATGATATCAAGTCCATTAAAAATTGTCGAAAACTGTATTTTTCATATTTTCTCCTATTTCATTTAACTTGTTATCAAAAAGGTCAAGCATCCTGGAGACCTGGTCGTTGATGTCATCATATGTTTCTTTGTGATAATTAAATCGTAATAATTTAAACGCTTCTGAATTATTAAAATATTTTTGGGTTAGTGGATCAAAATACTTTCCTTCTAAATTGGTAATTGCACATAAGTTATTTTTATTTTTAACTCTTTCTAAATGTTCCACATTATTGTTATAATTACTATACATATTTAATTCGTTCAAATCAGTAACAATATATATTTGTCTTTCTTCTGTGTCTGTCTTAATTTTTTTTTGTTTTTTTTTGTTTAATACTTTCTGGATATTTCCATTTATGGATTTTGTATTATTTTTATTCCCTTGTGTCCCAAAATTTATTTCATCATTTTCATTTAAATATTCTATGTGTAAATCTTCGCATTTATCTAAATTGTCCAGATCATCCAGATTATCCAACTGAACTGGTTGAAACGGTTGTTTTTTGTTTGAATTTTCAATTTCTACTTTTTTATTTGTGCAAACATCATCTTCGTTTTCAGTCATAACATTACCATTATCATCGTTTTTTTTTTTTTGGCTCATATCGCTTATGTTATCAGATGATACATCATCGTTGGGCACATGCTTTTCTTCCTTAGGAACTATTTCTTTCATTTTAAATAATTCATCAGCTTGATTTATGCCGTTATTACTTTTTATAACATCATTGTTGTTGTTCATGCAACTTTGAGACATATTAATGTTGTTTAGAGGGTCGTATAAAAGATTTCCTTCTACGCTAGTATTGGCTAGTTGTGATGAATAATTCACGTAATATGAATCGATTTCATACTTCAAATTTTCGTTTGATGGAAATGCATTGTCTTTTGAATAAGAATAACTAATAAAAACATTTTTCGGTCTATGATATAAAATTTTTTTGCTTTCTATATATTTTTTTTTATCCTCTTCCCATGCTTGTAATTCTAAAAGTGATTGCAAATTGTACTGCTCAGTTATTTTTGCTTCTTCTAATCTTTCTTCTCTTGTCATTTCTCTTTGCATACGTTTTTTGTTTGTTCTATTTTCGTAAAATTTTTTAAAACGATTTTCCTTTTTAATTCTTCTCAATTCAGAAAGCTTTTGAATTTGCTCTGTCTTTTGTCTTGTAGTGTTTCTTGTAGATCTATTTAATACCATATATGAAATTTCAGCTTGCTTCTGTTTTTTTAACATTCTTTCATTTTTTAATTTATTTTCATCCTTTTTCCTTGTCGCTTTATTATCCCCAACATGTTGATGTGTTCCATATTTCATACCAATTCTTTTTCTATCATAGTACTTTGCCTTTTTCATTAATTTATGTCTTAATGCATTATTATGTGTTTGTTTTTTTAATTTTTCTAAATAGGAATACATTTTTTTTTTCTTTTTTTTTTCTTCTTCATCATATAATTCGTTCCTCTCCGCTTCATCTTCGTCTTCATCTTCTTCATCGTCTATACCATCATCGTCAAAATCAGAATCGGTAATATCTATATATTCTTCTTCCCCTTCTGAATTTACATATTCTTCGTCTATTTCTTCTTCTTCCCAAATGCTATCATTCCAAAATTTTTCATCTTTTTCCAAATCTTCCCCAATTAGTTTTTTTAGGTTTTTTCCTCTATTCTTTCGTTGCGGCATCTCAAGTGCTATACCGTAATTTTTCAGCTCGTAATCTTCGTCCTCTTCTTCATCTTCGTCCTCTTCTTCCTCTTCCTCTTCGTCTTCTTCTTCTTCTTCTTCTTCTTCTTCCTCTTCGTCTTCTCCTTCATCCTCTTCGTTTTCTCCTTCATCCTCTTCTTCGTCCTCTCCTTCATCCTCTTCTTCGTCCTCTTCTAGGTCTTCTCCTTCATCCTCTCCTTCATCCTCCTCTTCCTCATCTGCTTCCACTTCTCCCCTTGTGTGTTCTTCATCTTCAGCCTCTTCCAGTTCCTCCTCTTCAACACTGTCGATGAAGCTTTCATCCGATTCTCTCACAATATCTTGGCATTTAGTTCTTCTTTTACTCCCACAGGATTTCCCTTTCCTCATTTCGTAACATGTATATATGTTTAGGATATATTTCTATTTTATTACTATTATTATTGTTATTTCTTTTTTGATGGTCCTAAACTTTTCCTTAACTCATGTAGAACTTTATCACTTAAGATGCATCTAAACAAATTTGTGTATTTTTAAAAAAAAATAGGACTCTTCTTTTTGTTGTTAAATTTTGTAAATTAATTAGTTTACCTTTTAAGTAATTCATTCCGGGATGCCTTTCCCTATGAACACACATTTCTTATTCTTTACCATGTAATTTAACTGAATTATCATTTTCCTGCTCCCTACATGCATACGGGTACCTAAACATGTTTTAGTTTTTTTGTGCCTTCGAATTATAATGCAAGTCAAATTCTTTATTACTTTTTTGTTTTGTGAAATTAGTTTTTTTTTTTTTTTTTTTTTTTTTTTTTTTTTTTTTTCCCTCTCACTTAAATTTTGTTTTTTATTTTTCAGAATTTTTTTTTTTTTTTTATAAGTCTCTCTCTTAAATATTGCTTTTATTTTTCAGAATTTCTTTTTTTTTTTTTTTTTTTTTTTTTTTTTTTTTTTTTTTTTTTTTTTTTTTTTTTTTTTTTTTTTTTTTTTTTTTTTTTTTTTTTTTTTTTTTTTTTTTTTTTTTTTTTTTTTTGGTATTCTTATATTATGAATCTTGTAAGTCTTATTCATGCTTCTTTGTGCTAATTTTTCGTTCTTACACTTTTTATATTACATATTTTGTGTTTTTTCCTCCCTATAATATAATACCGCAAATATAATCTAAAAATATCAGAGAATCAATCCCTCTCCTTTTCCCCCTCTGAGTTACACATAACAGTGGGGACAAGTTTGGAAAAATAATAATATGTACACTCTTAAAGGAGAAATAAAATATGTATGAAGGCATGTTGAAATTATGTAAAATTTGCTAGTGAATAAAATTAGGTTTATAATAATTTACAAGCAAAAAAAAAAAAAAAAAAAAGAAACATAATCAGGATTTCATTAAGGGTGAAAAAAGTACAGGATATTATTTTCTTTTTTTTCGCTAGATTTGGCATATCCTTTTGTAAGTTCTAAATTTAGAGTTCATACTTGTTCTCATGAATTGGGAAAAAAAAAAAAAAAATTCTCATTAACCATAGACACAATATATATATGTATATATTATGAAAATTGTACATTTTCAAATAAATGGAGAAACTTACTTAGAAGCAATAATGTCCTTTCTACAAAAAAACCAACGAGTTAACACACAATCGGTTTTTACCAATGCTCTTGGTTCACTTTATAAAAATGAAAAGAGAAATTATTTCATAGTATGTCCGACTCAGGAACACACATCAAAAGGGTGTGAACAGAAAGAGGAAACAGCATGTATAAATTATAAAAAAGATATAAAAGACACCACTTTACAGAATATCAAATTAAGTGTATGTGAAAAGGCAAAAAAACAAGTATCAATACATAACAATACTAATATGTGTAAGGAAGTAAAGGAAAAATGGATTAAGGAAAGTTTGAAAAAATATAATTTATTTAACGTTTATCTTGATAAAATAAAAAAATCAACAAGAGAGAAAAAAAAAAATAAAATAATTAATATAAATAGTGTTATACATTACGATGAATATGTTCATATGTTCGATATAAATTCGTTACTAATACATGCAAAGGACAAATTGAGGGCATATAAAAAGAAAAGGCAAATATCCATGAATAATAACTTTTTCATCCATTTTTTGAAAATATTTATTCGGCTTAACATCATTTTAAATGATTTCTTTTCTTGTCATGGTGAAATAAAATTTAGGGAATGTTACACAAGCATTTTTAACAAATACTTGAAAAATATTCCGCTTTCCCATAAGAAAACACAACAAAAAATATATGACCAAACTTTTTTTATAAATGTTTTACAATTAGTAAAGATATTTAATCAAATCCATTTTTTTAAGACATTAAAAAGTATAAATATTTCGTATGTATTGAACAATTTAACCTTAACTGTTGCGAATGAAAGAGGGTCTATTTATAAACAGGAAGAATCAAACTTTTCTAAAAGTATAGACTATCATAAATTATTTTATGAATATATGACCAACGATTGTGATGAAAATGTAGACAAAGAAAAATTTAATACCCCAGGAAAATCGAATTTTATGGACAATTTAAACATATTCGGTAACAAATTAGAGGACTTAAATGATATAGATGATGCAAAAAGTTTTTTTTTCTATAAAAAGGAGAAAATAAAAAAAAATTCCCTACATTCAGGGGGAGAAGAAAATGTGTATTTGCTTCGGCACGATATAAATAAGAAATCGGACAATTTGCACAAAGAACATTTGAATAATTCACAAGAAGGAAGAAATGAACTGCATAATACACAAGTATGTGAAAATGAACTGAGGGTTTCCAATGACAAAAAAGTACATGACCATTTGAATAAAAATAATGATTTGTTATACTACTTGAGCCTGACTAGAGGATTTAGCTATATATTAAAGAGTTTAATAAAACATCTAGATGACGATGGAGTGGTAAGATTATTTATTCATTGCTCCAACCTGTTCGACAGGATGTGTACTGATAAGGAGGTATTATCATTGTACACAAAAATGTATGAGCGCATTAAAAAAATGAAAAATATTTCAAATAAAAATCTTGCATATATTTTGAGTGCATGCAACAACTACTTTTTAAAAGAAGAAAATATAGACCTATTAAAACATTTAAAAAAAGACATACTGTGTAATAGGACGAACTTAAAGAATAACGCCAAAAAATATTTGAATATATGTAATATAACTCCATCCCATTTAGAAAATATTATTTATACATTTTCAAAGAATAAGTTGAAAGAAAAAGAGCTTTTCATATTGTTTAGCGAAATTGTAAAAGAAAAATGTCATGGGTTCTCATGTATAACTACTATAAACATATTAAACAGCTATACCATTCTGAATTATGAATCATTAATATTTGATTTTCTTTATGCAAAAATAAAGAGTTTTGATTTAATATCTTTTATGATGTGTAAGGGGAGAAATGTGATTAAGCTCATAAATACATTACTACTAATTGAGCATCGGAATTTCGAAAGGTGCCACAACAACAGATCAACTCAGAGTGCTGCTCCTGCAATAGATAAAACAGGGGGAAATAATAGCAAAAGGAATGCATTAACGGATATAGAAGTTTATGTAACTCTCATTTCTTCTCTAATATATGAGTTAAAAACGTTTAAAGGGGAAAATTCCTATGGAAGCAGAAATAGTGATGACTGTGGTTATCTCTCCAAGCTCAACAATTGTGGTTACATAGATGAACAATCCATTCTGAGCATTTATAAAAAAATGCTGAGACTGCAAATAATTTCCTTGCAAAGCAAACCCGACTGGACTTTATTGAAGAACATATTTAGAAGGAATTATGACCAACTAAACATAGAACAATTCGACAGTTTTTTTGTTTTTTCATTTATTAACTTTAATTTAAACAAAATAAATTTTCATAAATTATTATTTACATTATTAACATATAATAATTTAATTCATAGAGCAAAATTTTCAAATAATTATAAACAAACAAAAAAAAAATTTATCTAATAAATGGTATATTATTTTATTTTATTTTAATTATTTTTTTTTTTTTTTTTCTTTTTCCCCACCTTACCATTTTATATTTTGCACATGTACAAATATTTTACATGTGTGTAACGCGTAAACATAATAACAAATATTTAACTTAAAAAAATAAATAAATTTTTTAACTACTGTGCAAAATGTATTTTTTTTTAATTAGGTAAAAAAAAAAAAAAAAAAAAAAATAGTGTATAAAAAAAAATTAAAATAATGAACAAACTTTGTAGGCTACCCATCTATTTCGAAATATTTATTTAGATATTTGGCGTAATCCTCTTCCTCGTCACTTGAATAAAACTTATAATCACTGAAATTATTTTCAGCATTATTAGTATCGATATTGTTATAATTGCTATCGAAATTGTTGTTATTGTTAAAACCTGTTTCTTTTTCCCCTACTTGGTTATATTCTGAGTTGTCCACAGGAATTTTAGCGTAGTCGGAACTAGTTGATGCGTCTATATTTAGACCCTCGCCACCGTGGTTTATGATGTTTTCATTATTCCAACAGAAAGGAGTTTTAGCATTGAACACTTTATTTTTATAGTTTTCCACTAGTTTTATAAATGTATTTGCTTTACTGGATTTATAGTCTAATTTAATTAGATCGATGACACCGTTGATAAACCATGGGTATGTTTCTTTTTTTACCAAATCGTCTATATTCAGCTGTTCACATTTATCGAATTTGTGGTACTTGTTAATTAATAATTCCATCAAATAATTTTTATTATTATACAGAAATCTTATTTTGTCATCTTTGCTCAAAATGTTATCTACCTCTAGATTATACTGATCTGCATTGTTAATAGTACTGTCAATTTTTATGTGCTTAAATTTACAAGATGGGTTGTAACAAGAATTGTATATTACATTGTTACGACAAAAGAAAAGATTATAGTCGTGTGAAAATATACAATTTTCTTTTCCACATGTCCCTTTAACTAAAAATTTACATAGCTTGGATATTTTATATATTGGTGTAACATCATGTGAGTATGTACAATTTTCATTATGCATACATTTTCCTTTTCTAAAAAAAAATTTACATATTTCTCTTTTTTGTAGAACTTTATTGTCTTCACACAACTCTGTTAGTTTGTTTGCTTTTTTGTTCTTTGTTCCTACAATTTTCTTGTTCGCTTCTACTGACGCACTTTTTCTCTTTTTCTTTTTTTTTTTTTTTTTTTTATTTTTTTTCTTGACAAGCAATGGGCTTTTCGTTACATTTCCTAGAAAAAAAGAAAAGAAAAGTTACAGCAAAGGCCAAAGGTGTAAATGTGGAAGAATAACGGACGATGCAAAAAGAATGGGGATTTTAAAAAATCACATAGTCTCGAAAAAATGAAGAGTAATATAAAGTGGCAGTGCTGTTTGCAAGAGTTCACAGTTCCTTGCAAAAGATCAAACATGGTATAATATGCTACACGTTAATATTGTGACATATTCGGACGTCTACATATGTCCTATATAGTTCCATAAACATGAGTTTTCGTATGAAGGCTTATGTGCTTAATGTAAAAATGAAAAAAAAACAAAAAAAAAAAAAAAAAAAAAACATTTAAAAAATATATACACATATCATAAAATCATCATTAAGCAAAAAGTGTTCACGAGTGTCGAAAATATGCCATAATGTTGCATGTAGTATTAAGGCCAGCGGTTACCCGTTAGGCTTGCTATTTTATCCAAAATATCTTGATCCTCTAATTTTTCCATTTTCTATCTTTTTTATTCCCTTTTGAAATATGTAGAAATAAAACAAAGGAACATGTCCTTCTATTTATAACAAGCCCTGGAGGTTCTTATTCATGCTAGGCTGTACATAATTTTGTTTTGGAAAAAGGTTATTTTGTTCTTTATTATTTCTGCAGATATGTTTTGTTTGACATTCTGTACATACTAAAAATATTGACATCTTTTTTTTTTTTTTTTCTTTTTTTTGTAAATTCCTGATACTTTTTGTTAACATAGTAAAAAGAAAAAAAAAAAAAAAAAAAAAAAAAACCACTTTTTCTCATTTCATTTTTGGGATATTTGCTATACACGCAAGCACGTAATAAAACATGCATACTTTTCTTTTAGAGAACACATTAACTTGAAATTTTTTGAACACTGCCCAGATTATAATCCCTTAGCACGATACCTCAAGCAAGATGGGGTTGGTATGCCATCCTGGGTTAACTAGTCATTTTAAATATAGCATTTTTTTTAATATTTTATTAGCACCTTTGGTTAACGTTTTATTAGCGTTTTGTTAACATTTCATCAATGTTTTATTTTATCATTTTGACAATTTGTTTTATTTTTTTTATCCTTGTGCTGGTGAAGCTACGAAAAATATGCTGTGATTATCATCACGTAAAACAAAATGAACTTCATCAAGGAAAAAAAATTAAAATAAAATTATAAATTGACGATATGTTTTGCCTTTGCAACCCCCATTGTAGATATACTATTAAATTGTTCCACATTTCTTAAACTAGGAAATTAAATGAAATTTTTTCAAAATTTTATTAAAAGAAATTTCTTGTCCCCTTTTTTTTTCTTTCTGTACGTAAAATTAGGAAAAGGAACTAACGCATAATGTCAAAACACATAAAAATATAAAAACTGCAAAATGTGGGTTCATTTCAATGCATTTTCAGAGAAAACATTTTTTTACAAAATGGAATGAATGGCATATAATTACGTTACCACAATTTTCACACCGATAAAAAATACAGTATGAATTATGACTAAATAATTCATAAAAAAAAATACTTTCTTTCAAAAAATGACGTCCAATTTTTTAAGTTTTCTCACATTATCTGCGCTTTTATAACATAAAAAGGTTTCCTCGTCCCCACGTGAAATTAACCACGAGTTAAATTGCTGATATTATATTATACTCCTTTGTCATTCTTCTTTTCTCTATCACATACCAAGGGTACCGCTTAAGACAAATCCATATGTATATATATATATATATATAAAGGAAAAAAAAAAAAATGTAGCCGCATATAGGTTTCAAGTGAAAAACACATATTCTTTCCGCATCCCTTACATCACAATGAATTACACAATATTATGTTGTCCTTTTATTTTATTTTATTTTTTTTTTAATTTAATTGATTTCACGTATTTTTTCTTAAGTTTGAATAAATAATAAATGGAGATAGGGCAAACATATTACTTCTTTAACATGTTTTCCTTTTAAATCACATAGTGCGAAAAAACAGGGTGATAAAATAAGGTGGCTCGAAATGAAAAAAAAAAATGATAATACTAAGAAATCTGTTGCAGACAAGGAAAAAGGTAATATAAAGAATGCAGCTAACGAAAATGAGAAAACGAAAAAAAAAAGAAAAAAGAAAAAAATAACAAACGATAAAATTGAAAATGAAAATAATGTCGAAATAACTGAAAAAAAGGATTTGTTAGACAACACAAAAATAAATGTCTATAACGAAAGTGATTTTATGTTAATAGCTAAAACACTTTCCTACATAGAGCAACAAAAGTACGAGATAGTAAATGGTTTATTAAAAAAATATTATGATGCAGATAAAAGAACACCCTTCTTTTACATTGACATAAGTACACACAAGTGTACACGTGACATGTTTTTCCCAATGTCTATAGAAGACAAAACAATATTTCATAAAAAATCAAACAAGTATTATGAAAATAGTTCCATATACTTCTACAATATTTTGAATAATAAATGCTTAAACACAATTTTTTATTCTTTGAAAGAATTTTTTAAAGATCATTCAATAGAACATTTTGAAAACTGTTGTGAAACAATGCAATTAACATACTTATCTTTTTTTATTTTGTTAACCAGTTGTTATTCACTAAGTAAAAACATAAAAAAATGTTGCATTGAAAATTTAAAAATTATTTTCAAGATAAAAACATATCTCTTTGAAAAGTATATAAAATATACAAATAAAAACATATTAAACAAACTTATACTGTTAAATAAGGTAGAAAACGGAAATACGAAAAATGCCTTTTTCATTTATGAAACAAAGATAATAAATGGCATAATAAATGATAAGAAAATAGAGTTCGAGAATATGACTATGCGTATAATTTCTTCTAACAATGTAGACAAACGATACCTCTTAAGTTTAGTAATCAAAACAAAATCGTACGAATATATTCATGATTTTCTTTTTCTTGATTTATTTAAAATTCACATTCTCTCGAGTCCATGTTTATCTGCAATATCAAGTACACACGATGTAAGCACTTCCTTTACACAGGTCAGGAACGACCATACCACCGTTCCCATTGCACTTTCCAGTGTAGCAAACACCTTTCCCCTTGAAGAAAAAGAAAATGCGTTTTCTTACGTATTCGAAATTGAAGTTCCTGCTGATATTTATACTAATCAGGAATTAGAAATATTTTATATCGACACTTATAATAAAGCGAATTGCGAGAATTTTTTTCCTGCAGAGGATTTGTATCAATGGGGTAAAATTGATTGCTGGAATGAAGCAAACGGAGAAGTTCCAAATGGAAAAGTTCCAAACCTAGAAGTGTCAAACGGAAGGATAGAAATAATGGAAATATTGCAGGGGGAGAGGGAAGGAGAAAATATTGACAATAGGATTGTCCAGGGTTTACACAGGAATGAAAAACAAACTTCCCAGAATTATACACAGAAATGGAATGAAAAAAATTGTAACGAAGAAATCATAGCTTGTTCAGAGAACAGCGTTAGCATAAATGTAGAAAATGAGTATAATGTTAAAATAAGAAATATATGCACGGGGAATAAAGAAGCAAGCTTACATGAGAGTACAAAAACAAAAACATGTGATGAAATAAATTTAGTGAGAGTACAAAATGAACAATTTACATTAAATGGTAAGACATACCTAAAATTTTATAGCAGTCGAATCAGCAATTATTACATCAGTTTGAATAGTATACAAAATTTTCCATATCTTCATTGGGGAATTAAATATTATCAAAATAATGTAGTTATCACATTAAAGAGCCAAAGGAATAAAGAATTTATTTTTCATATTAATAATGACGGTATAGAATTACAAGACAATGGAATAGGTGTTCTAAATGATCTCTATAATTGCACGTTAGATGTATATACCTTATTATTTTTAATGAAGAAAAAAGGAATTAACTTTTTTTTTACAAGTGTAGAAATGGAGAAAATGCAAAAACAGTACAATTATAATTTGAATAATGACAAAAACGCACAACTTTTAATTAATGATATTTTATTATGCTTTCGATTTATGACCTTTTATTCATCGCACGTCAGTTCTACGAATAAGATCGATGAGGGAAATTTGGAAAATAAAACCAATTTAAAGAAAATTGTTCATGTTCATATGATGGGAAACGAAGGGGAGTTGAAGATTCCACTTAATGATTCCCTATATGTGGAATATATGGATAATTTTTGTAGGTAAGCATACATGCTTCTCGAGGGAGGAGAGGTCCAGGTAGAAGAAACTGTATTATGTGCATTAAAATGATAACTCCATATTACACTCTTCACCAAACACACACACATTTAATCATCAACTGTCAAAATTTAAGCTTCATTGAAAAGCAATTAATTCATTGCATTGTATCGTCCCAATCAGCTCTTTTCCTTTCCCCTTTGATTTGTACATTTTGCGATTTGTCTTTCATTCGTTATTTTAATTATTAATTTATTCTTTTTTTTTCTCTCCCTTTACTTCGGTTCTTGTAGAATTGTCAAAATAGAAACGGAAGAAAACGAAATAAGATTCACGAAAAACTTGACAAAACATAAATCCATTCTGTTTTGCCTATTTGAGTTATGTCAGTTAATTAATTTAAATAATAATAAGGAAAAGACAAAGGTAACAGAAAACAATATGGACGAAAATAATGATGATGATAACAAAAATGACGTAATGAATTTTCAAAATTTCTTAATAAATATTTTTACACGTAATAATATTGAAAAAATTAAAGAAGTAATGAACGATGGGGATAACTTAAAAAAAAATTCTTTACAAGTATATTATGACGGAGCCTTTTCCGAAAATGAATACAACAATTTCCTTGAGTTCACTCCAATAGTGCATAATTTACAACTCTTTTTGGAGATAACCAGGATTGTATCAATTACTCGAATTTAACATAAAACATATATAGGTGTTCTCATACATGCTTCTGCACATAAGCACTATCATCCCATATACGGGGGAATTCAAGTTAAATAGAAATTTCAGCAGCCTTCAGAGCGTCCTTCTGTAAAGAAGAAGATAATGAATTAGGGTGTTTCTTAAAATGTATTTTTCAGGAAATATTAATTCGGGAGTCAATATACCATCAAACGTAAACACATAAACATATGCAATATATGTGCACTTTCTAAAAACTTTTACATAAGTATAAGGAGTTTCCGAGTTCAGCATCTTCACCCTTCTCTTGTGTTTCTTCGTCTTTTCGTGTTGTTTCTTTGCATCGTCATTTATAAAATAAATGTCACAAGCATAACATTTATGTTGTCCTAAAAAAAATGTCGACAATAATTTTTCTCTATTTTAATGTTCTACAGTAATTAAAAACAAAAATTTAATAATAATAATTTGTGCGCTTTCTTTTATTTTGTTACCGCCTCCTTTTTTGTCTTCATCGTAAGGAAGGTGTGGTTGGTTCAGATAGTCCTTATACACTACATATAAAAAAAAATAAATATCGACATGGAAAATATTTTCGTGGGAGTAGAGGTTGCATAATCAATAAGCAAGCATTTTTACCCATATGGGATATGTGTGCATACATATAAACAAGCATGGTTGTCATGTAGATTAATATGAATTTCCATTTTCATTATCCTCAGTATCCAAAAGGAAGTAACTCATAAAATGTGGCTCGTTTTCTATTATTATACCTTCATCATAGTCCCTTTTCCTTTTTCTCGTTTTCAGAATTTTACTTTTTATCGTGTTACGCGGATTTTTTTTTTTTCTAGTTGACAATGCCACTGGGTAATATAAAAAAAAAAAAAAAATAATTACATTAAAATAACTGTCTGAATGTATACATGTTAGTGTCCTGATGAATGTAAAACGTATGTGCGTTTAAAAATGGATTCACTTTTTCCTTCATAATTTTTAATTCTTACTTCTTTTATTTTATTTTATTTTTTTGCTATTATCCTTGTTTCCTGCTTTCTCAATTTAATCTATTCTTTTAAAGCTGTACATATCACAAGATATTAAATTCATAAATGTGCTTGTTTATGAAAAGGTACAAAAAGAAATTCTAAGATTGTAGGAAGTATTTTTTTTCTCAAAAAAATAGCACGTGCCTTTTACCTGTTCTACAGTTTGTTTTCCTTCACGATAAAATATATTTTATTTACAAAAAGAAGAAAAAAAAAAAAAAAAAAAAAAGGAAAAGAAAAAGAAAGTGTAATTAATAGAGCTACAAATTTTTTTTTTTTTTTTTTTTTTTTTGTAAAAAAGCATTTCATTTAAAATGTTCACTTAAATTTCGTCTATTATGAATATATACACTGAATTACTCTTTTTCCATTTCTTTTGTTCACTCATGGGGGTTTTCTTTTATGTAATTAGAATAATATATATTTCATCCCATTCGTATATATTTAACAAGGATATTATTCTGAAATTATTTATGCTTTATGCAGGCTTGTGTTCATGTAGTGGGCTTTCTCTTTTTTTTTATTATTTTTTTTTTTTTTTAGGGAAATGGATGATATTTTTATTTATATATAATATTTTTTTCTTTTCGAAAAAGAAATACAATTTAATGTCACTTTATACCGTTTTGTAATCTGTGCAGCTTTTTTTTAATTTCGTTTACATTATGTATACACCCGTTGCAGTTTTGCCTACAATTTATTACATCATACATTTTTACCTGCGTGAAAAATTAAAATTTTTGGCTTACAAACATGTAGCAATGGAGTTTTACGTTCTTACCACGAAAAAGTAGCAAAAGAACAAATAAAAAAAAAAAATACAAAGAAAATAATAAATAAATAAATGAAAAAGTTTTTTTTTTTTTTCTTTTTTTTTTTTTTCAATACCTTTTTGTTTGACACCTAAAAGATAACTTCCCATATTTTTTTCGTAATTCACATAGACACAAAAATGGCACTTTTTAAAATAGTAGATGATATAATAATATAAACTCATGCATTCATGTGTTTATAACACTTCATTTAACAAATTGTAACTTTCTGTATGTAATTTTTTTTCTACTTTGAATTTTTTTTTTTTTTTTTTTGGTAAATACAAATTTGTACATATATGTGATAGTCACACTGCTGATGTAATTGGTACTCATGGATGCGCATGAGAATGTAAATATGAGCGTAACCTTTTTTGTTAACCACAAGAATATCCATGTTGCAGTATGAATGTGCATAAATCAATAAAGCGGGGTGTGTGTGTGTCTGTGTGAATTGACTTTGATACTAAGTTTAGGATTTATGTATGATATAGCTTCTCCTTCCTTTTCTTTTTCTTTTTTTTTTTTTTTTCTTCCGTCTTTACCCACTCTTGAGATGAACAAAAAACTGAACCAATGAAGACCAAAAGAAACAAGGTCCAAAGTATGAAAATAGAAAATTACAGCATCTTGTAATTTACAAAATGGAAATTAAGAACAACAAAAGGAATAGAATACACAATGAAGACATTAAATTAAATAACAAATTACGACCGAATAATAATCATAAATATGATAATTTAAAAAAAAATATTCTTTACAACGAATCAAATGATAAAAAAAATACGGATAGTAATTCCAATGTTCTAAGTAATACATATGATAATATCTATGATGAAATTTCTTCCAATTATGAAGATAGTGTATATAAATCGAATGATGATTTAACAGAATTCTATTTATACAAAGAAATTAACAATCATAAGTATAACAATAATTTATATGATTTTTATTTGAGCAAATTTAATAGTAACCTGGAGGAGAAAAACAAGTTCAACGAATCCAATGTGAGCTTTATTAATAATTATTCAGGTGTAAAAAATAATCCAAATTGTAAAGTTCAAGATAATGGAGAAAGGGATGAAAATGAAAGAAATCAAAATTTAAATGAAAACAATAGGGAACAGAAGGACCGAATGAGGGAGGATTGCCAAGATGAGGGATCTAATAACTACGACTGTAAAGATGAACTTGTAGACTTATATGATAAAGAAAATAATAAAAAAAAAACTGAATTGAGAAAAAAATATAGTGATATTACGTTTGATTCGTCAGAAGAGATAATAAATGGTAGAACAAAAAGCGAACATGTAACAAAAAAGGCAGAAAAAATAAAAAGAAAAAAGGTAGAAGAAAATGATGAGAAAGAAAATGTATATAATATATATTTCAACACCTTGATAAAAAAATTTGATTACACCATTTCCTGTTATATGTTTAAGAAAACAAATGCTACACATATATACAGAAAAAAAATCTTAGTTTTAAAAAAACATTTTTTAATTATAAATAAATTTAAACAGAATATAAATAATATTTATAAAGTTATGCACCCAGATGTGTATGACATATCACATTCTAGATATGGAAATATTTACAAAAGTTCAAATAATATTTATAAATTTAGTATATATGCCAAAAGGCTAAGTAAAGATGACGCTAGTTCTGGTTCTGATAATAGTAATTTTTTTTCTTTAAAAAAAAAAAAGAAGAAAAAAAAAAATAATTATAAAATATCAAATGATGGATATCATTTCAACAATGAACATATTCGTTTAGCAAATCAAAATGTCAATGTTATTATCGAGTTAATAAACTTAATGAAAATTATTTCTACATATGGTTCTATAAAAAAGTACATGAAAATACTTTTTTTTAAATACAAAAAAAATGTATTTTTAAAGAATTATGAATTACACTATTCTTCTCCAAAATATTTTAATGTGCTGAAGAAATTCTACAAATCCATTTATGCCAATACTTATAATTATATATATGTAAATATATTAAAAATTAAAAATATAGAACAAATGAAGTATAACTATATATATGCCATAATCGATGTGGATAATTTTTTATATTACTACAAATATGAATATAATAGAGATATGTTTATACCTCTATACACGGACAGACAAAATAAGGTTATATTTTATTTTTATACAGACATGGATTTATACCTAGGATATATTATATTACAAAATTATGAAATTGAGAAACATATTGATTTTGATTTATACAAAAATGTCGAACTCAATAGCACACAGATTAAGACTGATTTCTTTTTAACAAAAAACAACAAATGTAGAAATACATCTATGTATAGTTCTACTTCATCTAACAAAACGGAGAAATTATTCAGCTCTTTCTGTAATAAAACTAGTGATGAAATTCCTAATGATATTTCTTTATTAAATCAAAAAAATATATTTTTTGATAAGAACTATTTTTTTGTAAGAAAATTATATAACGATCAAAAAAAAAATATCCAGAAAAGTAGTAGATATGAACCTGATTCGAATGATGATAATTTATATGTTCATATATTTATATATAAAAGTAAAAACAGATTTGAATACCTACTACCATCTCATAATACGACCAATGCGTTATGTAATGATGAGAATTTATCCATGACCTACAACAATTTTAATAATAATTACCAATTAATCAATTTGTTTTTAAATAATGTAAAAAGGACAATGCAAATAAAAAATAGATTTAATTATATTTTTGATAAAATAAATAGTATATTCGAATTTAAGAGTTTTCTAATTTCAATCATTTCAATTATTTATATTTTTTTTTGTTCCTACTATAAGAATTATATACATATCATAATATTGCTAACCGTTGGATTTATGACATACATAAATAATGAGAAGAATTATGATTTTTATAAAAACGTTTTATATGATTTTCCTATATTTTATTTATTCTTTCCTCATAAAATTTTGTGTAAAATATCCAAAAAATCGAACTTGTATCATTTACACACCTTTGTACATATTTTTATACTAAACAGATTTCCGTGCTTTTTTCAATATCTGTACAAATATTACAAATCTAAGTGTATATACTTTTTTGCATACACTCCTACATATATTGGGAAGTATTGCAACAATAATTTTTTAAGTAAAAGAAGTAATGAAAATAGCAGAAGTAGATTATCATTAGGAAAACTCTCTAAGATGAAAGGAAGTAATAGAAAGGGACTTGACAATGTATGCGACAAAAGTGTTGCAAAAAAAAGCACCAAGGGAAAGGATCGACAGACAATGATGGATCAATTACATACGCGTACTAATGTTAGTAACACAGTAGAGCACAGCAGAATTTGTAACACAAACAAAATCTGTGATATGCTTAGTAACAGTGATTCAGTAAACATTTCACCCAATACATGTAAAGATTCCCTTCTTGACACAAGGAAGATAAATTTGAAGAAGAAAAAAATAGATTCTAATTATAAGGAAATCAATTTAACCAGCAGAAATGTCTTTGATGAGAGTAACCACTGTGATAATGGAAATGGAAAATATGAGTTTGTGAGTGTATGTTGCAAAACAGAAGGGCCATATGTTGAAGATTTACCATATCGAGAAAATGAGGTAAAGAATGAGAAAAATCCAAAAATGGATAAAAATGTCGAAGTCACTGAAGAGGATATATATTCTGAACGCATCCCAAATTGTCAGAGTATCCAACAGATTGATGAACCTGAAAAGAACGAAAACAAGAACGACAAAATTTTGAAGAATCTTCGAAAGTATTTTAAAAACAAAAGTTCTATCTACGGGGAAACGAACAACAAAGAAGTAGGAAATAACAACGGAAGTAATAGATACAGAGATTGGAATAACACACTTTTGGAAGGAAATAGTTATTCTAAAGGTCCCCAAATCATTAGCAATAACAACGAGGGAATTAACGAAGACAATAATTTGTACAACAAAATATTAAAGCATAGCAAAATTTACCATGTGATTAATAATAATAAACAAAAGCTAATGGATTATTACAGTGTAGTAGGGGCGGGATATCAGAAATTTAGAAGCTCAGATGATATAACTTATTTTAATATGAATAATAAAAAGGATAAATTAAATACATGTACATTAAAAAATAACCCTTCTGATATTAACCCTGTGCTTGCAGGACATATAAAAAAGGGAGAAAGACAAATTTTTAGTGATAATGAAGATAACAAAAAAAAAAAAAAAATATATAATGGGAATTCATGTATTCGTAATACCTTGTCACATACAGAAGGAAAAAATCATTTTGACAAAAACAGTTCTTATATGTATAAATATAATTACAATCATTACGAAAAAGTTGAAAATTATTCAGCAAATTTGAGTATCAACGAAATTATGTTATTAGATTTAGAAATTAAAATTATGAATCATATGAAAAATAACTATTACGATTCAGCAGTAAAGGAACAGATTAGGAGGGTTCAGGATGATGTAAAAAATGGGAATAATATGGTTCATAGGGAAAATTGTACCAATAAAGAGTTTTGCTTTGAAATAAATAATGAAAAATATTGGTTTGATTTAAGTTTGTACGAAAATGGTAGATACTCTCATTTTCAGAAGCTTCGTGAAAATTTAGAAAGAAGCAACGTAAACCTATATCAGTATGACTATTTTCTCCCAGCTAATCATCATACTGTCATTCAGCATTCGATTTATCCCATGAACGAACAGTATTTTGTAGATAAAAATACAAAAACGAACAATAGAAAAGGTACTCAAGGACTTTACACAAATAATGACAGTGATACAAGGAACAGTATCAGTAAGGAAAGTGTCTTATGCAGCATTATTGAATATTTCCCAAGTTATTTTTACAATAAAGTAGAAATTATATACATTAATTTAATATTAATTTTTATGTATTTTTATTGCCTTTTTATAATTACCGTACATGGGGGATTAAACAATGATTTCCCCTTATTTTTTTATTTTTTAAATAAAAACAAAAAGAAAGGAAAAAGGGGTTCAAAACATAGGGAAGAAAAAAGAGAAAATTCTGAAAAGAATGAAGAATTAAATAAAGTGGAAATAAAAAAAAAATGTGAAGACAAAACGTACACATCCAATCTGTTATTTAAATCAAAGCGTATATTCAAGAATTGGAAACAGAAAAGAAAGTTGAATAAAAATAATATTAAAATTGATTTAAGCAAACATCTGTCATCAGATGCTTCTGATGATTTAAAGAATGAGAACCTGTCTGACCAAAATAAGGATTCATTATTGTGCAAAAGTAGAAAAAATGAAGAATATAAAGTAATAACGAATAAGAACATTTCTGGAATAAAGCAAGTGTTGACCACTGATCTGGGCCAAGATTACTACAGAATGCATTTGATGAATTGCAGAAATTCGAAAGAATTTAATTTAATGAATAAAAGGGAAAACCATCTTATAAATACATTAAATCCAAATTCTCAGCAAAAATTGAAAAAAAGAAATACTCCACTGATTAGCGGAAGTTACAATGATCAGCAGCAGTGTGTCCAAATATTAGGTAGTAATATTGAGGAAGAAATTCAAGTGAAAAAGGACAATGAAGAGGGTGTTATACGCAACAATTTCCATCAATTCGAGGTTAAAAATGGATTTAACTGGGAAAATAATGCATGTTCTCTTCTTCGAAGAAGACACAATAGTGTTAACATAAACAAGGGGAATACAAACAATAATGAAGAAAATAATTCAAGTATAGAAAACCCACAGCACTATTACAAGAATCATAACGAATGGTTTATGCCCTTCGAGAAAAGACCCTTTGAGGAAATGGAAATTGTCACACAGGAAGACGATCCCCAATTGATGAAAAATAAATTGTTTGTACCTAACAAAATTATGAAGTGTAAACCTTTTTCAATGAACGAATTAAAAGATCATTGTAAAAATAAATTAAGAGAATATAATATTATCTCTCAGGAGAATTATTCAATATATAAAGATCAACGTGATTTATCCTTTGAGAAAAGAGAAAATATAAATATAGTTGGAGAATCCAAAAAAAAAGCCATGAATATGTTTTTTGGAAAATTAAAAGATATAAAAGAAGAGAAACTTAGCCAAATTAAAAATATGTACAAATTTGAAAAAAATAATAATCGTATTAAGAAAGGATTTGATATAATTAAAAACAAAATTAATAGTGAAACTGGGAAGGATAGTTTCAGGATCAATAAGACTAATCTATGGAGTGATATAAAGAATAGGAAAAAAAAGAAATATTCACGAAATAGTGAAAACGAAATTGATATTTATAAACATACAGAAACATTCGATTTTCAAAATTCGCTTCCACCAGCATTTAACACAGACAGAGAAATATACAAAATGGATAATTCATTACAGGAAAAGGTTCAATCTGGTATAACCAAGGAAGAAATTTGTATGAGTAATTCCTTTTATGTAAAAAACCATCCGAATAATAAGCATAACATAGAGTATAGAAATTCCCGAATAAAAAATAATTTTTTGCACAAAAATTTTATTTCCAGCACATATACATATAAAGAAGGGAAACTCGAAAAAGAAAGAAATGAAGATTTCATGGATTTAAAATGTAATTCCAATTTTATGAATTATAATAAGTATGATATAGAATATATCAATTCTAGTATGAATGATGAGGAAACAAAAATATTTGCAAAAAATAATATACACAGAACATCGTTTAACTCGAAACGTAAAGAATTAAAAAATAAAATTATTTCATATGTAAGAAGGAAAACAAATAAGAAAAAGAATGAAAGTTATGAACTAACACCAATGATGTTGGTTGAGAAAGAGTTACTAAATGACCAAATATACGTTGGTGAAGAAAACAAATTGGTGAATTTAATAAATTATGAAGAAGATTTTTGTTCTAAGATAAATAATGAAACAGATTCTATAAATCAAGAAAAAGAAAAGAACATATCTTTTATAAAAAACAACGATGAACTTGTAAGTTTAAAGGAGAACAAGGAAAAAATTAGTGTAACCCCAAATCTTAGTAATAAACATAAGAATGTTGTAAATTCAAATACTTCATTATCCATTTCGAAGAGAATAATTAAAAGAAATCAAGATTATCTGAAGTTTTATAGAAATGGATATTTTAGCGAATACGACATACATAGAATTATAAGGTGTATGGAAAAAACGAAATTTATACATTCAGGCAAGATGTATAAAAATATAAAAAAGGCTAAAAAAAAAAAAAATGGGAAAATGAAGAATCAGTTTAATAGCAAAAACAACTGGTTATACCAACCAAAAAATGATAATGGAATTATGCTTGATGCATTTAACGAGTCTTCATTCACATGTATAAAGAATGAGACAGATAATATGCTAACTATTGAACAAATGAACGAAGTAACAAATGGTACACATAATGACCTTTTTAGTAAAAAAAAAAAAATTTTTTTTAGCATGAAAAAAAAATTTCTCAAATTTAAAAATAAAAATAACTTTTTTAAAGATAAAATAATAAAAATGGTTAATAAGAAAATTATCCATTTTGATAATGAATGTGACGACAAAGAAATATGTTTCAATAAAAATAATTTAATTGATATCCTTGATGAACAGGAAAAAAGTGCATCATCTATGTTTAAAAAAAATATGTTCTTTCGGAATACGTTGGAAATAAATAATTCTAATAATGCCCACAATTCTGCAGGTGAAAATAGTTATGATAACAATTCGTTAGACAATAATAAATCAGGAACGATTAAAAAAAAAGAGAGAGAACGGAATGATAGCTATTTTAAGGTTATTCGAAGCAAAATTAATATATTAAATTGTTCAAATCGCACATACGAAATGATAAATGAGAAAAAAAATACCACAGATCAGCAAGTTTGTCCAAATCAGATTGATAAGAAAGATAAAACTAATTCGCATTTATTTAATGAACAAGAAAATATAAATGTAAACACTTCTTCAACATTAAAACATTCGAGAAGTAGAGACAAGCGATTATGTAATAATAATAATAGTAATAAAGGTAGTTATGTTCACAACAATGGTTCACATATGGACCTGCATGAAATGAACAAGTATGTTAATCAAAACATTTTAAGAAAAAAAAAAGAAAGAGAAAAACACACAATAACTATGGTGATAAATGATTATAATAAATTTCTCCTAAAAAAAAAGAATTATTACAGTTGTCTGGAAAAAACAAACATTTATTTTAAGTTCTATTACAATTTTTTAATATTTGTAATTAATTATTTTTTAATTTTTACCATAACGTATATATATATGAACAATATATATAACCTGTTCCTATGTTCCAAACATTTGCATTTCAAAGCTAAGAAAAAGGAAAGAAAGAAGCACACAGATTTTAACAACATTGTCCGAATAATATATCATAAGAATGTTTTTTCTACAAATAACAATTCTATAAATATGAGTAAACATAAAAATATGTACTTGAAAAAAAATATATTCGCACAAATATTTGTTCAGAACAAAAGACAAGATATTAAGGCTAGTGAAAAACAAGATAAAAATGAGGAGGATGTTTCATCAGATAGTGAACAAATGAAAAAAACAAACATTCGAAATTACAATTTTAATCCTAGTAAATATCATGAAGAAATAAAGGATAAAAGAAATATACTCAGTTTATATAAAAGTGCCAAAAGCAATATTAAACTCTTTATGTCAAAGCATATGATTCTTAATCTTTATTTGGAAAAATTCCTAAATCTTTTCAATCATAAAAATTTTAACTTAACTAAGGTGAGTTTTCTTTTCATTTGTAAACATGAAAACTTTACATGATTAACCCTCTTTTGGAACACATAATGAGATTCTTTTTTTCCATATATGTATATTCTTATTCTTTTATATTTCATTCTATGTATTATTGGTCTTACGTACATTCATACTAAATATGTCCTATTTTAAATTTCCCTAATGGATTTATTATGTTGTTACAAATGTGAGTTCATTTCTATTGCATCGTTTCCCCCACTTTTACAGATTGTTATTTCACTTATGGGATATTTCTCCATTTTGTTGCTTCCAATAAAATTCCATCATTTGGTTATCATCAAATTGTTGCACATGTACTATAAGGTAATATTAAAAAAATGCATCCTAATTTAATGTACATCTACATCTTTTGTAAAATTGCATTTTTTTTTTTTTTTTTTTTTTTTTTTTTATTTTACATTTTATGGCATTTTAAAAATTTATAGGGATTCTCGAGAAGATATTACAAAAATATTGTTCTGAACAGTATATTGGAAAATATAAATAATGTGAAAATAAATTTGAAGCTCTATAAACCTATTTGTTCATTAAATGTAATTATTAAAAGTGGAGTAGTTATAGTACATATCTGAAATAATGTGTGCATGCTAATACATTTGTCCATAAATATATATCCATGGTCCTGTGATAACATGGATGAATGCAATCCCATATTGACTGTAAGACTATACATTTTTTTCTTTTTCTACCATTATGGGAATCGTAGGAAGAAGAATTTTGTGCGCTGATTGAAGAAATTAACAAAACATGCAATCAGAATTTAAATATATCACAATTTAAGGTAAGTGCTTTTTTTTTTTTTTTTTTTCTTTTTTTTTAAGTCTTCTACCAATTTAATGTAACATAAAAATGGCATAATGGTGTATGAATGGTACACTTTTTTAAATTCTAGAATAGACATGTATAGATTCCGCACACCCCCAAAAGAAGAGATCCATATATTAACAATAAATTTACACCTGTTTGCAATGCTACTTTTTGCAGGATATTAAGGATGAATATGACTTGGCAAATATCATTATGACAAATTTAAACGAATTTTCAGAGGTTAAAAAAATAATAAGACAGGAGTGGAACGTTAACTTGTTAAATAATTCACCAAATGATAATACGAATGTCGTTAATGCTTGATGCAACACTTACGAATGTTCAAAATTGGGCTTGTGCGAGTAAAAATTTTAAAAATATACTTTCTTTTTAAAAATTATTAATTATCCTTTTTAATTTTTTATGTTTAACCTTTTATGTTTTTTGTTTTTTTACATTTTGTGCTTTAAGTACTTGTTTGAATAGCTGAAGCGTACTGCGGTTCATTTGAATATTTTATTTTCCTTCTTTTCCGTTCCTACTTTAAAAATACATTTTTGTGTGAAAGTCATTTGATTTGATTCATTTCTCCAGTGTATGTATACATATAATATATACACATATTGGTATATATGTACATGCGCACATATATGCAATAACCCCCAACTATATGTATATTTTTGCATGGCACATTTTTTGTCACATGAGCAAGCCCCTTTTCAGTGTATTTATCATTTTACTATAGCATATTTTTTGTAATTTTTATTTATCAACCAATCCTCAAAATATTTGTAGATTTTATTAACTATTTTAAAGTAAAATTTTTTTTTTTTTTTTTTGGAAGCTACATCAATATTTTCCACACGTGGTTACACCATCTGCTCCATTTTTTAATATTACTTGAAAAGGTTTACTTAATTCAAAAAGTAAAAATAAAAAAAAAAAAAAGGGAGTTCAATTGATGCTTAATTCTTTTTTTAATTTTTTTTTCATAACAGTGGAAACCATGGTTATAACAAGAGAATCTATAAAATTTTGAAAGGACGAACTACTTAATTGTGAACGATTTGTACGTTTTAAAAATTAAGTGTTAATTGTTAAATTTTGTATTAAGTCTAGTGTTAAATTGTGTGTTATTTTTTTTCCTAACTTGTGCGCTAAACTGTGTATTAAATTGTTTACTAAATTGTTTTTTAAGTTCTAACTAAAATGTGTATTAAAAATTATGTTCTAAGTGAAAAGTTATAAAAAAGCACATAACATTAAACGTGTAATGTGGAGTATAATGTTACATAGCATGCGCAGAAAATTTAAATGGAGAAAAAAAAAAAAAAAAAAAAAAAAAAAAAAAAAAAATTATATCAAATAAAGAAGAATGAGGCTTGTGAGACTTTAACGTATAAAATTATATATTATTTTTAATCCCCCAAACTTTTCTTTTAATATTTTTGTTTATTTTATTTTACTTTATTTTATTTCACGTTCTTTTTTTTTTTTTTTTTTGGCCCTTTTTTCATCATAAATAAAGAGTACAAAGAATAAAATAAACCCAATAACATGTAATGATATACATCTATAACACTGTTGCATAATTAAAACCTTGAAGAAAAAGCAATAAAAAAAAAAAAAAACATATAAACTTTGTATAAATACATACAAGAATAAAAATTAGCTTAAAAAAAGTTAATGAAGAGGAAAAAATAAAACTTCCTTTTGTTTTGGAAATATTCTACAAATTTAATGTTGTACATGTATATATATATATATATATCACTTTATGCAACATATACCCTTACATAATTTTTTCCCATATTTATTATTATATATACAATATTAAAACGCATTATTAAGTACATATATTTTTACGAGTTTCTTCACTTCATAGCCTCCAATCCATTTCACCATAACATACACTTTTGCTTCTACAAATTATTTGTATACATATATAACATTATGTTTTTACACACCTATCTGTTGTCACCTTCAGTGATTTTCTTGAAAGAAGGAACATAACTATATGCTCCATTTTAAGTCATATTTGTTTTAATAAAATAAAAATTCTTTATTCCCTCGCATTCCTTTTTTTTTTTTTTTTAAACTATTTTGAATTTGATAAAGTTGCAATAATATAATTCTTACATACTTGTATACAACACTTGTTAATAATTGAAAAATTTGAATCATTATAGATATTTTTGAAGCACTAAATATGTTTGTATTATATGTAGAGGGGCAGGAAAAAGAAAAAAAAAAAATCGTGTACTCTTTTTGCACTTGTTATGTATAACTAAATATATAAACATATTTGGAACACATATGAAATTACATCCATATAAATAAACGCACGAATACAACCACCTACTTCTAAGACAATTGCGTTAACACGGCAACTAATACACACATTTGTGCTTTAATTTAAATTTCAAATCAGTGATTTCTTCCTTTTTTGTTGTGATTTTCTTTTGCATTTGTTTGTGTGGATTTTTCTTTTTTTTTTTTTTTTTTTTTTGTTTCATATTTTCAATTAAATGGAATTGTAATGAATATAACAAAATATGTTTTGATTATTCTTTCTTTTATTCTCCTAAAGTACATCTCAAGGAAGGCACTTATCAGCTATGAAAATGTTTTATTAAATAATATTTTAAAGGGGCCCGTGTTAGGGAGAATTATTAAAGAGGACAATGAAAGGAATGCAAAAAGTGAAAAAGATAAAGAAGAAGAGAGAGAATATGAAGAATATTTACGAAATAAGGGATCAAACGAATTTGAAAAAGTCAAATACAAATATATGGACTATGTGAATTTTACTATTCATAAGAGCACAAAAACGTGTAAACATTTGTTAAATGAGTTCCTAGTTTTCTTAGGTTCTCAGTATAGTACAGAAGAAAAATTAGTGTTTCATGTAAAATTAATTGATATTTTATCCCTATTATTTGTTCATTACAAGGATAATTTAAGCAGTTTTGACCATGCTATAAATAGCTTTCAAGATAGAAACAAATTAATGAATTCTATCGAAAATGAATATTTTAGAGAATTTATTGATGAAAGAGACAATTATATTTTTGAGGTAAAAAATTTGTACTACAACATTAATAATAAGGATGAAGAAAAAGAAAAAGTATTAAATAAAAAAAAACAAATATATGAAATATTTTTACAAAATTGGAAAAATGATGGATATCGATTCTACAGCGTGAATAACAAAAAAAAAGCATATATACCAAAAAAAATAGATCATAAGAAAAAAAAAAAAAATGAAAATCATATTATTTTGCAATGTCGAAATTTGGTATCTAGTCCACAAGGTTTAGTGGATAGTACCACCACCCCTGACGGAGGAAAAGTCCTTAAGGAAGAAGTGAATTCAAATGAAAAACAAAATGATGACTATAATTCCAAAATGTTGTCTCACGTAGAAGAAGATGTGCAGGAAGAAACGCGCCAAGAGGTGGAAGAAAGAACAGAACATGTAAATAAACTACATACAATAACAGAACAGAAACAGTCATTAGAGAAAAATGTTAATGATGAAATGAGTCCAAATGAGAAAAAAAAACATGGAAATAGTGCTCAATCGAGGTCCCATGTGCAAGACGATGTAGAGGAAGAAACTCTCGAAGAGGTAGGAGAAAGAACAGAAGATGTAAATGAATTCAGTACAATAACAGAACAGAAAGAGTCACAAGAAGATAATTCTAATGATGAATCGATAAAATCAATGGAATTTTATAATCAGGAATCTTTTGAGGATGGATCATCAAATTATGAATCCTTATTGGAAAGTTACAATAATCAAATATGCCATTCTCCTCAAAACCAACAAGGAAGGTTTTTTCAAAATAAAACTTACAGAAATGGAATACCTGGTGTTACGTACAAAATGAGAAAAGATTTCTTTTTAAGTGGAAATTCATTTAATGTAATATCTTTGATTAATGCCATAACATCTAACCATGACAATGCAGTAGTTACTAAATTACATGAAGGATTAAAAAGGCTAGGAATAACAACATTTGACCATCTAGTTCGATATACCAACATTATAGGAATATTTTTCTCGTATGACATTTTTGATGAATTATATTTACAAATTAAATTAGTGAAGGAATATTTAGGACTTATAAAAAAGAAAGAAAATGAATTTTCTATAGTCGAAAAAATAGAAAAGAAAAAGAAGAAAAAAAAAATTTATGGAGCGTACAAAATGAATGATGATGAAATATTTGTACCACCAAACTGTTTAAGTGCATATTGTAAATTAAAATCAGTATGGATGCGAAATAGAAACACAACAGTGAAAATTGAAAGAAGTAATAGTAATGGTATGAATTTTATGATGCTAGGAGATATTGGCCAAGGGTTTGAAGAGGAAAAAGATTTTGATGCACAGAATATGTTAAATTTAATGGGGTTTAATGAATTAAAAAGTACAGTTCAAACTATGAAAGAATGGCATTTTAAGAATAACGCAGATTTTATTATAAATTTAGGAGACAATATACCTAATGATGGTGCTATGAATTATTTGGAAAATTTCGAATGGCATAATTTAATGAAAGAATTATTTGTTTTCAAAAAAAGGAGCGAAGAGGAAATTAACAATGTTTTAGGACATAATCCAATTACCAAACAAAGTATAACTGAATTCTATAATGAAAGGATGAAAGAATTAAAGGATGATTATAATAATAGACAAGCAGAAGAGAAAAAAAAGAAAAAAAACAAAAAAAAGTTAACAATGGAAAATGATAAAAAGGGAAAAGGAAAAAAGGAAAATGATACTGAGACATTTAATAACGAAACAGATTTTAGTGATTACGATCATGATCGTAAAAAGTTATACCAGTTTGATGAGGAAAAGGAGTCTGATGAAAATTTTGAAGCCATTCCATTTTATTCCATTTTAGGAGAAAAAGACTATTTTTTCTTTCCAAGTGAACAAATACAAGAACATTACTCAAATAGAATTCCAGGATATTTTATGCCAAATAATTACTATTGTGTAAACTATGATTTTATATATAAAAATGTAGGTTATAAAGAAATTATTAACGAAGAAAAATTTAGAGCGTCTTTTATCTTTATTGATACCTGGTCCCTAATGGTAGGATTTCCTATCATAAGAAATTATCGATCATTTCGTGAACAATTTAATTGGTTAAGTAAAACATTATACGAAAGTGCACAGAAAAGTGATTGGATTTTTGTTATTGGGCATCATCCACTAATTTCAAGTGGCAGACGTGCTGATAATTATTCCTATGAGGAACATTCCTTTCATGATATTTTAAGAGATTTCCTTTTCAATTATAATGTAGATGGTTATTTTAGCTCTCATGACCATTTAATGGAATATATTAAATTTGGAAATATAGATTTATTTATTAATGGTTCATCTTCTAGAGTTCTTTTTGATAACTCAAATATGGGTAGGGGATATTTTGGAAAGGTCATCGGAAATTTGTACCCTGTTACATGCTACATTTTAAAAACTATACACAGAGGATTAAAACCGAAAGGATGCAATGTGAATAGATATTCGAAATGGTCTAACAAATCAGATATTGGATTTAGTGTCCATAAACTGACAAAAGATGAGTTTATAACTGAATTTATTAATGGCAGAAACGGAAAACCACTTAGCCATAAGATTGTATTAAAAAACAAAAAACATGAAAGAAAAAAATTTTACGATTTAGATGCTTATGCGGATGATAGAATTGGTGAATTAGAAAAAAAAATAAAAGAATTTGCTTTAAAAAATCCAGATTTGATAAAATATAAAGTTGAAGAATTTAATGAAAATGTCACTAAACTGAATTTAATTATGAAGACATTAAAAAAAAAAGAAGAAAGGGAAAATTTTAACGAATTACTTTATCTAAATAACTTAATTTTTGATGTTTCTCAACACCTTTCTAAAATGAGCTCAAAAAAATTAAGAGGCATGCAAGTACTCGCGGAAAAATATAATATTTTTTTTAATAGAGAACTTAACAACCATATTACCATGGCACTAGAAAAAGCTGTACAACTTGAAAATAGTAAATTATGTGATCAAAGTGAACAAATAGATGAAGAAGAAGCTGAAAGAAGATTGAAAATAAAAGAAGAAAAACTTAATGAGGAAAAAAAGTCCTTAGAATTAATAGAATCCTTGGGATATAATCCGGAACAGTTTTTAGAAAAATACGATAATATGACCTTAGAAGAGAAGGATCTTTTACAAGAGAAAGTTGGCAAAGATGTAAATCTCCCCGAGTACATTAATAGAATTAGGATCTCTGTGGCGAAGAAAAATATGAGTGAAAGTGAGTTGGAAGCCCTACAGGAAAAGGTAGACTCTGAGGAAAGAGGATATACTGAGGGGGGAAAAGAAGAGCAAGAAGAAATTTGCGAAGTTAGTGATCAGGAAAATGGTGAGGAAGATAGAGATGAAGAAATTGACGAAATACCACTAGTAAAAGATGTGAATAAAACTTATCAAAATTTGGCATTTAAGGAAAAGGAATTATCAGAACAGAACTATATTTTGCTAATGCTAAGTTCCTTGAGAATTTATGATGAAACGAAATATTCCATTAATATGGATACAAAAAAAGAAGTTATAAAATCCATTGCCTCTTCCAATTTTTTATATAATATAGAAAAGCATAAAACATTTTTTCAGTTATGCATTGAGTTGGCACCTGACATTAAAAGAATTATTAGTAACTTTGGGGGAGTAGGGTGTAGATTACCATTTTTCAATCTAATGAATAAACTGTACGATGAAATAATGAAGTTAAAGGATGGACTTGATCGAATTGCAAAATGATCGTTTAACCTATTATTTCCACGGTTATTATTGTTGTTGTGATTGCTAATGCTTATTACCACTGTCACTATTTATTTTGTGTTTTATTGTTTATAATTTAATGTTTGTACAAAAAAAAAAAAAAAAAAAAAAAAAAATTAAAAAAATAATAAAATAATAAAATAATAAAACTTAATTTTTTTAAATTTTCTTCGCGAAAAATGGTTTATTCATTATTTTATTAAATTGACATGTTAAATTTATCTGCCGCGCACACGTAACATGTTCAAATTGTTTTAAGTTCTTCATCGTATTCATAAGTATTCCCCATTGATATTGATGATAAACGGTTTTTATTTATTTATTTTTTCTACATACACACAACATTTATTATGAAGTATGAAGAGGCTTTTCTCCATTTCTCGAAGCACCCACATTTTTTTCTTATTTGTATCCTTTTTTTTTTTAATTAACTTTACGCACTTTTTAAACGTAAATATTTTGATATATATACGCTTCTACATGAAAGCGTTTGTTATTTTATTCAAAGCCTTTCTGGAATACTTTTAAAAAGCCTGTAAACAATTTTAATTATCTGCTTAAAACGGATGAACATAAAAAAAAAAATACTTATATGAACATAAAAGTCCAAGTCTCAAATATGTCAAAAATAACAAATGAGCAAGCAACAATGGGAGAAATCTATTTCACCACACTAAAATAATACTAGGGAAGGCTGGTGTTACTTTAAGGTGTTCCTTTAACCAAGGAATGGGGAGATGGAATTACCCGAACTTTTAGAAGTAGGAAAATACAGTCTTATTATGTTATTAAATCTATTCATAAACGCACCCATACGTGAATATGTTCATATACATAATGTTCCACACACACATGCATGCGAAACTGCTCTTCCCCTTCATGTCTCGTTCGCGAATTTGCATAATTTAAAGCACTCGGCTTCACAGTATTTTTTTGAATTCATTTTTATTCACACGAATAACAAGGGGGGAGGGGGGGCAGAGCTGTTATAAAAAATGGGGTTATATGGTGGTAATTAAAAAAAATATGCCTTTTTATTTTTTATTCATATGGTATTTGATACCTAAGATATGTGGCCATGATAAAGCTGTGTGAACACATTCAAATTTAATGAAATATGTATACAGGAAAAAATAACAAAAAAAAAAAAAGAAAAGAAAAGAAAAATAAGAAGAAAATAAAAAAAAAAAAAAAAAAAAAAGAAGAAGAAGAACAATAATACTAATAAATAAAATAACACAATGTAAGGCTACTTCGAGTTCGCATATACCCGCATAAAATAAATTGGCATAAATTGACACATTCATCATATAGAATAAAATGGGATATGTTCATAAATAATAACGGCTTTGACGTTAAAGTTATAATATGTTGTTTAGGATAATTAGCTTTTAAATTAATACTTAAAAAAAAAAAAAAAAATTGAATAAACAAAATTTAGAACAAAAATTTACGTAGTTGCGCATAATAGACATTGGCAGTAGCACACATCAGTCTGTATGCATGTGTACCTTATTATTACCATTTTACCATTCCTCATTTCTCAAGCACTGTTAAGTAGACATCTCTGTAAGGATGGATTCCTACATTTCATGGGGATACTAAATAAGTGGTTCAAATATAGGAATAATACTATCGATGCAATCTTTTCTATTCATCAAAATCATATCGGAAATCCAAACAATATTTCTAATTTCTTGTTCTTTTAATTTTACCCAAGCATAAAATATACCAAAATGACAATGTTGTTCAAATGCTGTCTCACACAATTTCACAAGCTTAACATATAACAAATCTTCTAATGATTTAATCTTATGATTAACTATTTTATTTTCATGAACATTTTCATTTTTGCTGTAAAATTGTTTGCATTCTTCATACAAATTATAGTAAATTGGGTAATTTTCCAATGCTGCTTGAACTGTTTCATTATTCCAACACTTTCTAATTCTATCTGTTCCTTCTGGGTATAAATAGCCAAAACAAGGAAACATATCATTTCTATCTTTTTGTAATTCCAAGCTTAGACTAGAATTTATTGTATTCAATGTCACCGATAAAACTCTAAAATCTGCAACACATTTTAATATGTGACCCATAACTTCCTCTGTTTTTCCTCCTAATTTTCTTATAAAATCATAAAAATCCTCTAGCCAAGCCTTTTTTAAAGTATTTCTTAAAATTTCTATATCCATTTCATTAAGTATTGTTGATACATTATTTTTCTCATTCGGTGCATTTGATGATATGTATTTGTCAAAGTAAATACCTATTGGTGTTTCAATTAATAAAACTTTTAAAACATCATCATGAGAATTCTGAACATCCATAGAGGTAATGGCTTTCATTTGTGGAAAATATCCTAGTGGATCAACGCGTGACAATAATTCTTCTGCTGGTTTTTTATTTAAGGTACCCTGTATTAAACTTATAACATTGTCAATCATTTTTTCTTTTGCAATGTAATCTAGAAAAGTTCTCAGCGGTTCTTCCGCTTGTGCTTTTATATAATTGAATTCGTGAGCCATTTTTTCTTTACATTTTTGTGCAATAGTTGTGACTGCAATGGGTGAAGGTTCATCCATCATAAATGAACCATAGTCTGTATCCTCTAAAACTGATTTCAAATCTTCGAGAGTATCAGCTTCCGTGAGTTTTTTATATTCTTCTGGGGTTAAAAAGCTGCTGCGAAATCCCCGCAACAGGGCTTCTAGATAACCATTTTTCGAGTTATATAGACATACTTCCATCCTTAAGGATTATTAAAAAATCATACGCGAATGTATGTATATATATACAGCTGCATGGGCATATAGGACAATATACTTATTTACTTATTTACAAAGCTTTATAAATTCACATATATATTTTTCTTTTGCTTCATATGATAAGTCAACGAACTTCATACTACATAAGCATATTGTGTACGTATAAATAAAAAAAGCTCAAAAAATCATCCAAGAATTGTTATACATGCACACATTATTAGATGTACATATTAACAATATATAGATCAATGTTGTTGTCTTTTTATTAACTGCTGTACTTTATTTATACTTATGACCGGCTAATTCCGCGATGTTCATTTAAGGTGAAAATATTTCCCAGCTTGGGTGAAAAATGTTCAAATGCAATAATATTATGCGACAAATGCTATGTGTGCATGGCCTTTTAGTCAGTACAATTCTTAAAAATATAATAAAATCAACTTTAACACAAAGAGTTAGCTGACATTTGTTAATATTTCATACAATTCTTAAAAGCTCTTTTTTTTTTTTTTTTTTTTTTGTGTGCGTGTGTGCAAAAAAAAAAAAAAAAAAAAAATATAAATATATAGAAAAATTTTTTTTTTTTGCCTGCTCAGGGAAATTTGAAAAAACCAAAATTGAAGTATTTTGTTTATATGTAAAATTAGAGTTTATTCAAATGATTCATATCTTTTTGAATTCTCTGGTGGATTGATATAAAGTTCATATATATACAAAATAAAATCTATGTGTGTTTTAAAGTTTTATCTATTATATATATAATAATGTAGCATATTTTTGCCAGTAGGTTTTTTTTTTTTTTTTTTTTTTTTTTTTCCTTTCTCACATATCATGTTTTTTTTCACTAACAATGAGTAAAAATTTTTATACTTCTCTCTTTCTCCAAAATATTATGAAAGATCGAATGATTTATATTTACATATTTACGCATATATATGTAAGTAAAAAAAAAGGTAAAAATGAATGCATTTATGGCAAAAGCCGTTTCCCCCTCCACATACATTTCTTATACATGACACAATTCTCAGCACTGATTATATATTCATACTTTGTAAGAACAAAAAATTCTTTGTAATAATTTTATATATGCTTTTTTTTTTTTTTTTTTTTTTTTTTTAACATATAAAAAAAACGTTAAGGTAAAAATTAAATTATTTTAATTTTTTTTTTTTTTATACTTTGAGTATTAAAACAAAAAAGAAAAAATTAACTTATAGACGATTTTTTTGGCCTTTTTTTTTTTTTTTTTTTTTTTCCATGCATGCTAATAATAATTTACGCATATAATATATGTATACATATTTAATTACGCGAAAGCGTAAGAGTAAAAACCATTACCTCATGGGAAACAAATGTTAAGAAAATTTTAACCTTCTTAATTTCTTCAAATTTTTTTCACTTAAAAAGCTCCACTTTCCATGTTTGACCCTTTACAACATGCTTTTTAATTATGAAAAAATAATGTTAGCAATTTATGCCACAGTGTTTGTTCCTATGCAAATACAAAAAGTGCAGTATTAAAGACGATGCTCATTATAGAGAAAATGTTATCTTGCATTTCTTCCAGAGGCCTTTCGTGTTTTCCTATATTTAACTATTTCCTTATCGTTACAGAAGGTTTTTATATTTATTCATCATTTGTTTGTTCTTACTCAGTTGACAATGAGTCCCATTTTTAGTGTTAAGGTTAAAGGGAGTAGAAGAAATATAAAAACTTCAACAAGTTTTACAAATGCTTTAAACCCATGAAAACACAAAATTGCTTTAACAAGAGAAAATAATTGGGATGTGTAGACAAATATAAAAGCACACATGAATAAATAATTGTTTTTACAAGCTTAATTATCACGTACATACTGTTAAAATCCAGAATGTTTTAAATAGTTTTTTTTTTTTTTTTTTTTTAATTTTTTGATTCTTCTATATTTCACCTTTTACACACGTTAAAACGTAAATGGGAACTGAAAACATACTTTTTGTGGATCAAATGAATGAATGCTCTTCACCAATACAAAAACATTGTTAAAGGTATTATTTAAGGGTTAATTATTTCACATGAAAAATAATATATGAAAAGGTATAGGAAAAAATAGCAGTAAGTATTCCCCTACTATTTCACCCTATTTTTTAGGGATAAAAATAAAGTTTGCTTTGATTTTCCACATTACTTTATTTAAGACATCCGTAGATTTCTCTTAAGTATCATTACAAAACAATGATATAAGAGTAGTGATTTAAGACAAAAATATTTATTAAAAATCTCTATACACTTGTGTTCCTTTTAGCTAAGAAAGCAAAACATTTTCATGTTTTAATGTATTTCCTCATTTAATAAAGGAAGTTTTAATTTTATTTCGTACTTTGATTCATTTACGGAAAAGAAATATTTTTATTTTTGCTAGAGTTAAGTATGCATGGGAATTCGGAGAAAAATTAATACGTAAAATGAGTTAATACTAAAATATTTTAAGTGTTAAGTTTGAACCCATTTACTTTATTTTATTTTATTCCATTTTATTTTTTTGTTTTATTTCGAACAATTTCGATAAATGAATAAAGAAAAAATGAATGGTACATTAAAATAAAAAAAAAAAAAAAGTAGAGCTCAGTTTAGTTATTTTACACCAGGATGTGTAAATATATATTAAAATAAAAACTGTATATTTGAATATCCTTTCCATGCAACAAACATTTTGCAGAAGATCTTGAGTACCTTAAAAACAAAAAAATAACAGAAATATTTGAGGTAATAAAAAAGTGAAAAGTGAAAATAATTACATCATTTTTAAGTATCATTATTAATATGCACCTTTCACATTGCTAAGGGGTTGTTAGGTTATGTTTATTTCGAAAAGCCACAAAACATAGTGGAGTCTTTAATAGGAGAGCTGAAAAAATTAGAAAAGGAGGTATAAAAAATAGCAACGAAATTACATAATAAACGTACTGTTTTAAAAAATACATTTTGTACCAACTGAGGAACAATTTTTTGTTCATTCCAACATACTGCTCATTAAATGTAGCAACAACACACATACACATGTACATTTTTATTTAAACACACCTCTTAAAAATTTTTCAGAGCAAAATAAGAAAAGTGTTTGACGTGGAAGACATAAAAGCTGTGTACAATTTTTTAAATTTGGAAAATGATAAATATATATCTAGAGATAAATGCATTCTAGGTTCTTCATAATTTAGTTTTCCTTTTACCTCATTATCCTTGCGCTCCTAAAAATTTGATATCCTCAACACATAGTACAATGTTTTATTTCCATCATTTAAGGCTTAAGTCAATTTGTGTTGAACAATAAGCAGAGGGAATTTATGGAAAAGGAAAAAATCACAAATGATGTCGATTTAGAAATATTCACTTCCTATGCGTTAGAAAATAAATTAAACTCCAGAATATAATAAACATGTTTACATTTACATGCTAGAACAAGATGCACATTTGAATCTATTAGAGCAAAATCTAACGTAAGAATTTGTGCCCTGCACACATACGAACTGTTTTTTTTTTTTTTTTTTTTTTTATCTCTTCTACATTAACATTTAGTGAAAAAATAATTAATTTATAATTAAGGATAAAGATATTATATATATGGAGCCTTCTAAAGCAATCACAATATGTATGCTTAATTTGTAAGGAAGGATTATCTCCAGCCCACGAAAATAATTTATAAGTTTTATGAATGGTTGTGTGAGTCACGATTTTTACCAAAAAGACTTGCATATGTAAATTTTCAACCTTTTCATTATTTATATTTTTCTATTTTTTTATCATGTGCTTAATAAATTATGCAACATTATTATACAAATAAAACGCATGTGTCATTAGTAACGATACAAACTTTTTTTTTTTTTTTTTTTTTTATATAGGTAAGTAGCTATGAGCACCTTTGCACCTATTCAACGAAAAAATTAAGTTAAAATCCGTAATAGTAATATTCATATACTCAATAGCTTAAGAAATAAATTAAAACGAAACGGAAAATCATACAAATGTTCTGATTGTAAAAAAGTCTTTCGCTATATCTACTTTCTTTTTGCACACTCTTTCCATCTACTAATCCCCTGCATTCACCATTTCATCTTTATCCTTAGTTTAAATTAATATGTACTTACGTTGAACTACAATGGTTTTATTACACTGTTTGTTTTTTTTTTTAAAAAAACCATTAAATCATAGATAGATAAACGTAAATGATAAAATATACAGATAGAGTTGGAAAAATTGAAAAAAGGGAGTCGTTCATATTAACAGTATAACTGTGTACGTAGGTAATGGATGGATACGGGACGGGTACTGGACAAATGAGGAAATTAAATAAAATCAAATGTGAGGAGAAGCGTGCATAGTATATGTAACACGTATCTCAATCTGAACATGAAAAAGCATGAACATGACAATAAAACATGATATTAAAAAAAAGGTTATATATCATATGATGGGTATTGAAAAAATAAATAATAATAATAGTAATACTAGTAATAAATAAAAGAGGGAAGCAGATGGAATAATTGAGATAAATGCTAATTATTTAAAAAAAGAGCGAATTCAATTGGAGGAAATACGTAGTAGCAACTGAAAAATTGAATATGAAAAAAAAAAAAAAAAAAAAAAAAGATAGAACAAAAGAAAGAAAGATAGAAAGAAAAAAAAAAAACGTCTGGTAATGTTCTGTATAATGTACACATAATTTACATATGGACTAAATTCTACCAGATTAAAAATATATTACGAAATTCTATTGTCCTTCAAATTGAACTCTTTTTGCTTTAATTCTCTATTTTTTCTTATCTGCTCATGCTTTCCTTGCATAGCTAATTTGATTTCATCACTAGTTAACGTTTCATATTCCACAAGAGCAGAGGCAACTCTGTGTAGTTCATCAATGTGTTGATTTAGAACCTTCTTTGCCCTATTATATGAGTCTAATAATATTCTTTGAATAGATTTATCAATTTTTAATTTCATTTCTTCACTAATATTTTTTTTATCTTGTAAGAACATGGATATATTTTCTTCATTTATTCCTACACCATAATTCATAACAAGTGATTGTGCTATGTGTGTAGCTCTTTGTAAATCACTAGAGCAACCTGTAGTAACATTATTCTTTCCAAAAATTATTTCTTCAGAAACTAATCCCCCCATAAGTATATCTATTTCACTTTGAACATCTTTTATTTTTTGGCTATATTTATCACTAATTGGGATTTTCCATGTAACTCCTAATGACATACCTCTAGGCATAATGGTTGCTTTATGAACAGGATCAGAACCTTTTGTATAAAAATTAACTAATGTATGTCCACCTTCATGATATGCTGTAATATTTTTTTCTTCTTCGTTTAGGGGTGACTTTCTTTGTAATCCTACAACAACTCTATCAAATGCTTGTTCGATTGAATTCATATCTACGGCTTTCTTTCCTTCTACTGAGCATTTAATGGCAGCTATGTTTAGTATATTATTCAAATCAGCACCGGTCATTCCAACTGTTCTTCTTGATAAAACATGTAAGTCTACATCTTTTGCGAGTACAATTTTATTGCTATACATTTTTAAAATTTCATATCTACCTTTTATATCTGGTAAAGGTACCACAATTGTTTTATCCAATCTACCTGGTCTAACTAATGCTTTATCTAAACTTTGTGGAAAATTCGTAGCACATATTACGACAATTCCTTCATTTTGTTCAAACCCATCTAATTCTACCAATAATTGGTTGAGAGTCATTCTGACTGCACTATTATCTCTGTTACTTCTTTTTGATCCCACTGCATCAATTTCATCAATAAAAACTATGCAAGGTGCGTGTTTTTTTGCTGCTTGGAAAAGTTCTCTTATCCTTCTTGCACCAACCCCAACAAACATTTCTTCAAATTCGGAACCTGAAGCTTGGAGAAAAGGAACATTTGCTTCTCCTGCTATGGCTCTAGCAATTAATGTTTTTCCTGTTCCCGGTTCCCCAGATAATAATATCCCTTTAGGTAGTTTGGCACCTATTTTTGTAAATTTATCTGAATTTTTTAAATAATCAATAATCTCTTCTAGTTCTTGCTTTACTTCATCACAGCCTTTTACATCTGCAAAGGTAACCTTCACATTTTCTACCGGAATTATTTTCTTATTTACTACTCCTATACCTTTTTGTACGTTTTGTGATACTCCTTCTAAGTATACACTAGCCGCTGCTACGAGGATTAGAAATCCAATAGTTGATTTGAGCAAACTCCATATCCCTTTTTTATTTCCATCTATTACTGAAACTTTTAAAGGCTTCTTTGGGTCTATTTGTAAACTAAAAATTTCATTGTGGACGCCTTTTTTTTTATCTCCATAATCTATTCTAGGAGCAGACTGAGACATGTTAGTGTAACCTGGATCTGTATTTAAATTATTCGTTTCATATATATTTGGACGTTCATCATTCATATCAGTGGATTGATTAGATTCATCCATAGATCTTCTGTAAAACATAGGATCACTATCATATTTTATATTATCAAGATTTGTGTATTTTAGTTTATTTGTATACACTAAAGCTTTTATATATTCTTTTGTTATACTTTCATTTTTAATGTTATTAGTATTTTCATAATGTTTTATAACTTCATTAGGATTATGTACATTAGCCTCTTTATAAAATTGTAATATCAGGAAGTTATCATTTGGCTTGTAACGAATTTCTCTCTTTAGTCTATCTAATCTTTCATTCTTCAACAACGTGAAATACCTTTTGTTGTTCAGGATGTATTTCACATTAGCAAGGTTACTTAAATAAAGCATATTACTCTTCTTCAGCTGTACAACTACAATGTTCCGCAGAAGCAGCATTTTTCCTTAAAGTTTTTCTAAACACTTTTCCAAAATGCTTTTTCGGTCCCTTTTCGGTCCTTTTTCGAGCGTTTTCCGAACGCTTATTTTATTTTATATATTTTTTTCTTCTTCCAATTTTTGGTTTTTCATTAAATTTGATAAATTTATAAGAACAGTTTTTATGAATGATCTTCTCCAAGAGGGAATTGAGTATTCTTTATGTTGCCCTAAAACTGCGTTATGGTTAACACCGTCTTTTCAAGTGTTTCTTTTTTGCTAATTTCAACTCTAATTATACATGCGCCTTTCGTCTGAAGGGGAAATTAACAACTTTCAGTTCCAAGCTATCTAATATGTGCTCATATCTCACCGAATTGTCATCTGTTATTTCGTTAAAAAAGTGTTAATTCTGTAACTTTTTTTTTTTTTTTTAATAAATACACAAAATAACGTTTTGGTTAATCACAAACGAATGTAATAATTTATGTTCATGCATAAATTGGTATCATACAACTGTGTGGAAGTAAATCCATATATAAGTGTAAAAAGATATGATTAAATAAAACTAATCAAATACAATTGTCAAATGATTCTTGAGAAATACATATATAACAAATTTATAAATTATTTCTGATTCCTGAGAACATACGAATTTGCAACAACTCAGTGGGGTAATATGCATACAACGTAATGTTCATGAGCTGATGAAAAAAAGAAAAGAAAAATAAGCCTTGTTCAGCTATGGATTGTATGCAATATATATATATATATATATATATATATATATATATATATATACACTAGTTTTTTCATATAAATATGTGAACAAAATTTTGTTATATATTTATGCAAGGTTATACATAATTGTTTAAACACACGTATACACCACCATAATTCAAACAATAGCACGGAATCTATTTATTTATGTACCATCCATTCCAATTTGTGTGATTCAGCTGATGTATACAATTTTATGACAGTTTCATAAAAAATAAAAAAAAAAAAACACAAATTTTTAGTGACAATTTAAGTAGGACTTGTTTTTAATAAAAAAACATTTATCCACAAATAATATTCTCAAGTGTGCGTAAAAACCAAAAAAAGTTTTTTTTTTTTTTTTTTTTTTTTTTTTTAAATGTAATTCATATATTGTGAAGCTCATGCACAACGAATTTTGGCAGCATTATTTAAAAAATTATAGGCGTCATAGAATATCCCCCTTACCAATTTCAAATTTTTTTCTGTTATACATTTCATACATGTTTAAGCCTATCTCACTTATGTAAGCTAGTTTTTTTTTTACTTTTTTTTTTTTTTTTTAGGTATTTTAATTGTTAAGTATTGTTCGTAGTGATATAAGTATTACTACTGTAATGCAATTCTTTCCAAAAAATTTAACACATTTCGTATGTCATTTGTGATCACACTATAGTAAAGAAAAATTATTTTATATGATTCGTAATTTACATGTATTACTTTGGAAAAAAATTATAGCAAAAAAAAAAAATAAAATAATAAAATACACTTCCTTTTTAAATTAACACATGTAAAGGTTGTTTGTATATTGTAAATGCCTATAGATAACATACCCACAGATATATGTCCCTCATATAACTTTCTCATCTCCACTGTGGACATGTTTATTTACACCTTTCATCTTTTAAGCATAATTTATCCCCCACACCCCTATATTGATTTTTGTGTACGCTGTTTGATGAGCAAATATGGAGTTAGTGTACTCCTGCATTTGTCAGCACGGTACTAAGTATACATAAACTATTTTTCATGTAGAATTGATGAAAAAAGACCTAACTATATTAAAGATTATTCATGTTAGCATAAGCACTTGCATGAATTATACTGATCTCTCTCCGTTAATGTTAATTCGTTCTGTCTGTTTTTCCCACTTTTAATCTTATGACGTATTATAAAAAAAGGAAAAAAAAAAAAAAAAAAAAAACTAGAAAAATATACTTTTTAAGTTTAATATTTTTTTTTTTTTATATCATACTTTAATAAGCAATTTTGGTATTAGAAATCAACATAATGCATTGTATCTCTCGTCACCTATATTTTAATAGAAACACCTTACAAATGTGTGATCATGCGCATGTATCTATGTATGTATCTATCTATCGATATATATATATTTATGTATTCTGAAGCGTGCAGTTGTTTTCTCGTTCCACGTACCTTTCACGCGTCTATTGGACATGCATACGTGCGCACATAGGTAAAAAGTCTGCTCTGCAACGGAGCAACATAATTATCATTAAACAAAAAGATCGTTGAAAAAATTATATAGGTGTTAATACTTCAATGTTTAACATAACCATAAAGTGGTATGAAGAAAAAAAAAAAAAAAAAAGTAATATTCAATGGGTAACACCAAAACATGTGAAATACTATATGCAATAATTTTATCTAACTTGTTTAATATGCATCACTTTTTCGACTCCGTTGTATGTTTCATTTGGTGAACGAACGTGACTTTTCGTGTTCCATAATTGATATTGTCTATATGCTTCTTAATTTCTATTTGTGTGTATTAAGTGGAAAAAGTATATATTAAAATGACCACGCTAAAATAACAAAAATGAAATATAATTTAGATACGTCTGATTTTTTTCTTTTTTTTCCTTTCCTTTTATTTTACTTTATTTTACTTAATTTCATTTTATTTTATTCTTTTTTTTTTTTTTTCCTTTCCTTTTATTTTACTTTATTTTACTTTATTTCATTTTATTTTATTCTTTTTTTTTTTTTTTTCCCTTTTTTCCTATTTCACGAGTGTTCTTTAAAAATAAAGTTTTATTCTTTTTTTTTTTAGTCACCTGGAGTTCATCTAATTATTCAATAACGCTTTTAACTTTCATCATTGAGGTGCAAATGGTGTTGACAGAAATAGTTAAAAGTGTTATTATTCCAGCATGCACTTTATTTTTTCTTTTTTTTAATAAAAATCGAAACGCAAAAGTACATCTTTATATTTAAATTGTTTTTTAGCTTAAAATGTATGCAAACGGGGGTAATAGAATTTTGTTACAGCATCAGAGGAAAAAAAAAAAAAAAAAAAAAAAAAATTGCAAATTACAAAACTGGAAAAGTGCGTTTAACGGTTGTACCTGAAATAAAATCACAGGCAGGTGCTGGGAAATCGAAATAATGTTATACTTTCTAAGAAAAAAAATAGTTATGAACATAAAATATGTGCACTTGCGACAGATACGCATACAGGAAGTGCTTATATTTTCCACGCAAAAGTAGCTGCCATTGCATACGCATATATGTATATACATGCACACCCATATATATTAATTCCACATATCAGTTCCAAAAAAAAAAAAAAAAAAAAAAATGTGAAGTAAATAGCAGAATTTCTTCATCCTTACAAGCGATATTTATTTACGTTTCTATGGCTAAGGACTCATTTTGAACCGAACATTACAATACTTATGTATATATATATATATATATATATATTATACATATATGCATATTACCTTTTAAAAGAACCCTTTTGGGTACGAGGGATTACATTATAAAATTTTTTTTGCTTATTTTTTTTTATAAATTGGCACACAGAAGAAAGGTTGCTTTGCACATCGTTAGATATCTGATTGCTTTTTAGGATGTCAGGGTTTACAAGACTCCAGTCTGCGTTGCACAAACCTATTTGCATTTTTATATGTATATAGTGATATATACGTATGTATATATATATATATATATATATATATATATATAACAATACCTACTTTAGGAAGCCCCATAAGCACATTTGAATTTTCATTATCATTGCTGCTGTACATTTTAATAAAGATATATGTTCTTTTATGTAAAGAAATAGGTACGCGTTTTGATCGATTTAAATGAACAAATTTGAATATTATCAAATGGACTTATATGAATGAGGCATAAAGTGTGAAGTGTACATAGAAAGTAAGAAGTTTGTTGCAAAAAACGTGGCATATCTCATGTATTTGCACAAGTGTGCCAGTGTACATAAGTAACTACGCAAACGGGTTATACTCTAAAGGTCATACACAGAAGCATAAATAGATAGATAAAAAAAAAAAAAAACGCACAAATATATATATATATATATATATATATATATATATATATATATATATATATACAGGGACAGAATACTGAATAAACAGAATATTAATAACGTAATATGATGCTGCACAAAAGCGAAAGGGATACAGTATTACAATTTTTTAGAAAAGGAAGAAATGATAAATTCAACATTTTTTCAAACATCCACGAAAAAGGTGGAAACAAATTTTTGTTAAGGACATACGTGACGGATAAGCATTATTTGAAGAATTGCTTTGTTAAGCAAAATGACTTTTTCTCACCATTAATAAATATGAACAAGAACACACAACTTTTTAAAAAAATTCGAAATAAATGTTTTGCAACAACAAATGAAAGTGTGAATAGCCTATCGGAGCATTATTCAAAAGACAATTTATCCATTTTAAAAAATTCCAATGTTATCATTCTTTTCAACAAAAATGAAAGAGAAACATTTGGACAAAAAATATATAGATATTTAGATATAACTGGATTCTTAACAAGATATAATAATAGAAAAGAATGGATTCTTGATTTAGAGCCTTATTCTAGATTGACTACAGTCATGTTAACTGAATATGAAAGGAAATTAATGATATTTTTAAAATTTCATGTTTATTTCTTATTTGTAACATGTTTATACCTATGGTATCATGCACAAGTTCATTTTACAATGAAACCACCTTGTCCCAAACCACATGCATATGGACATTTAGATGGAAGAAAAAGAGACTTCACATGGCATGGAAAGCTATTTTTTATGTATCCTAAAGCAAGGTGTAAAGAATGTCGCTGGCTAGATGTTCAATGCAAAAAAGAATGTTTTGAAAAATTAAAACAAGAAGGACATAAATTTTTCATAAATAACGGGGACCCACTCTCTGTACCGAAAACTGTTTTGTATCCTTCTCATTTTCATTGAGTTATTGAAAATAAAGCTTGTTCATACACATTTCCAAATCGTTACCTCATTATGGCCAATTTTTTGTGTACGTGTATGTAGACATGAATATGTGCAACTATGTATATACATTTGTCTGTCGTTGCAGGGTAGATCAATTGAACCTCACTAAAAGATGCCACCCCCATACCTCCTACCAGTTTATGTATATATGCAAATACATATATTGTATATTTATGTGTATTTGTATACATAAATATGTGCTTATATCCATATGCTCATATGTATATTTTTTCAAAAGACCCGTTTGTGTCCCTCTCACCTTCATGTTATCAACCCATGCTATATTACAAAACTTACGATCACAGTTTTATATTTAATTAGATTAATTCACTTCTAACTAGTTTAAACTATTGAATATGCCCCCTTTTTTTTTTTTTTTTTTTTTTTTCTCCCCCACTTTCTTTTTCTAATTTGAATTCGTAGTTTACTACTTTCAGTATTTATAAAAAAAAAAAAAAAAAAAAAAAAATCAATTATGTAGTAAAATGCATTAGACTTTTAAAAGGTGGAAAACAAGAAAAAAAAAGTAGTTTCTAAAGAAGGCCAGATAGATCAGTGGATGTACAAAATGTTTTAGCCCATATGTGTGTTTTTTTTTTTTTTTTTTTTTCCAAAAATATTTTTTTTGTTGCATTTTTTTTTTTTTTTTTTTTTTTTACGTACGTGTGATGTGGCCTTTTTATGTTTTAATGAATGAACTTCTCGAATGGTTTACTTGAATTCCTTTGTTGAATTATTTTGATTAATTTTCTTTTTTTGAATTTTTTTTTTGGGGAAAAATTTACCCATTTTAATTGCACTTATCCGTGAAGCGTATTTACGAGTTCGCATTTTAACTGTTGTTATTTTTTAGAATATGTGCAAAAGTATTTGTAGCAACATTTTTATAACACACAGATTAAAAGGTACACGAAAATACGCATGTGGTGATATTTATTCGCTATGTATTTACATGGCAAGCTCACTTCATGTACCCATTTAGTAGTGAGTGCAATCAAAAAAAGGCCATTTATATTTATCATTTCGAAGAAATAAGGGAAATATATTTTTATTTTTACCAAATGTTAAGATACAAACCAAACTAAGAGATTTATATAACCACTCGAATTAGCCACAATATCATGGATAATGTTCAGATAAATGAAGACCTTGATTCCTTTGGGAGTATCGATTCGTTAAATGAAGAGCTAGATAATTTTAAAGATCATAATAACACATATAGTAAATACAGTGTTCTTTATAATAAGGAGGATAACGAATTAAGAGAATTAAATCGTTTCGAGAATATGTTTAAGGAGGCAAATATATGTTTCACTTATTTTGAGAATATACAGAATAACTTAAAAAAAGTTAATGATTTAGACAAAAATAGAAAAGAAAAATTTTTAGAAAGTAGCAAAATGACAATCGAAATTGCAGATGAAATTAGAAAATTGAAAAAAGAAAAATATACTATTAAGAAAAAAGAAAAAATTTATGACAAAATATTGAGGGAATATAGTTTGAGCCCCTTATGCTACAACAACTTAACTGATATAAAAGTTTCATTAAATATTTCTTTTTTTGAACATTTAAAACAGTTTGAATATACCAAGGAAAATATAATTAAATTATTAAATGAAAATTCATCTGATAAAATAAGTAAATTTTATTCAAAACATTACAATAAAATATTGAATAAGGTGTGCAAAAAAATGTGTTTGTATGTAATAAGGGAGAACAGCAAATATTATAAGAGGACAAACAAAATTATGAATTTATTATTATGTACCATTTCTGAAGAAAGGGAAAAAAGAAGAATAATTATAAAAAATTGTGTAGAAAATTTTTCCCCGCTAACAAAATTGTGCTATAAAATTATTATAGAAAATATGGAATATTTTAATATAAGTTTAAGTAATTTTCTGCATTTTCGAATAAAGTTATTAAAAAAAAATTACAACGATTTGATTGTTAGACATTATAAAGCAATGATAAAGAACAAATTGTTAGGAGAGTTCCACACTACGGATGCTTCTATACATATATTTAAAATTTTTTTCTCAACTATTTATTACTTGATAGCATTAGAAGATTACTTCTTTAAAATTCTGTTATTATTCAATTTTTATTATACTAACTTAACAGTGCCATACATAAGTGCACATGTGGAAAATATGCATAATAACTTATACTCCATAGTTGATTCTTTGTATATTGCTTACTATAATTTTCTTGAAACAAATCTAAATACGTATCCTAAAAGTTATGAAACATGTTATGAATTATTTCATATTGTAGATATCTTTATTTTTAAATTGAAACAGTTTCAAAACAATTATGAAACAGTACAAGACGTTAAGGACATAATAAGAAAATATTCCAGCAGTACTGTTCGAGGGAACTCCGATTTGGACAATAATCAACATGGTATCGGAAAATTACAAAATGAATCAACTTTGCTTGAAAATTCATTTTTAGAAAATTATCAAATACATCTTGGAAATGAAGAAAAACGAAGAAGCAACATATTATGTGACCTCTCTAGCAACATTTTAAATGGTATCCAAAAAAATAATCCAACTACAAATCATACAAATAAAACTAATGAGGAAAAAATATCGAACAAAGTTGCAGTTAATAATTTAGACACGGAACAAGATGAAAATATTCCAAATGTTGAAAATATGGAAAATAGGGAGATGCTCTTAGATAACCTAGTAAATCAAGAAACACACGATAAAATGGGGAATATAATCAGCAGAGCTCTTAGTATGAATAATTCCACGATTCATGAGAAAGGTGATGTGATAATGGGGGACGCGGAATTTGTCCATAGAAGTAGTAAAAGCGAGTTAGAAAAACGGATTGGAGAAAATTGCAGGATTGTCGAAAAATACAACTGCAAGCTATTAAACTACACGCAAAAAATTCAGAAGAAAATAGAAAATGAATTCATTGCAGCATGGCAACAAGAAGTTGTAACGTTCTACCTAAATAAGATAACCAAAGAGGGAGAATCCAATAATTTTGATAATACATTGGCTTTGATAAAAAAGATTTTCAGTGCGTTAAATAATGTTTACAGTATTTATAAGAAAAGCGCCTTATTCGGTTCGATTAATAAGGAACAAAATTTCCAAAACGTACTTGATATAACAATAAATCCTCTAATAAATAATTCTTTAAAAAATAAAAATCATAATTTAGAAAGTGATTACATATCTATTATAAATATATTTGTCTTTATACAAGAAAATGTAGCGAAATATGAAGACTCTTCAAAATATTGTGATTTACTTGGTATAATTATTCAAGAACAAATTGAAAAAGTTTTGAAATTAGAAAATGCTAATATAATAGCCTACTTAAAATTAGACAAAATTAAACAACAAAAGGAAAATAATATAAACGAAATAAAAGCTATTTTAGAAAAATTTTATAAATTCGCTTTTTCGGAAAAAATCAATAATTTCCCAATAGTAAGCAAAATACAATCGAATGATATCAAAAAGGATATGCAGCTATCAATACTTAATAATGTTCATAAGGAATATGTGCATGTGTATGAAATGTATTCAAGTAAAGTGCACATGACTTATTACCCAGATCAAATAAAAGACGTTCTTTTAAAAAAATCCCAAGTTTTATGACATGTAAATGCTTATTATATTACTGGGGTGGTGTTTGTGTGTGGGGAGAAGGTCTAAAATTGATTTTATCATATCTTACTATATTGATATACTTCGTCAAGTCTCGTTTTACGCATACGGATAGAAGATTTGCACAGGAAAAAAAAAAAAAAAAAAAAAAAAAAAAGAAAAATAGAAAATGCTTCTTAGATGTCATATTCGGAAAATTCTTTGTTTAACCCAAATAGCCGTAAAGATTGAAATAACACGCGAAGCAGCTCCAAGCACACATTCAAAATGAATTGCTTCTATTTTTGTGAAAATTCTTAGTTTTTTTTAAATTGCTCTTACGTGATTACGCATCTACGCATGTTTATCTGTACATGTTTATGCCTCCGTACAATTGTGCACTTAGTTAATTTTGAATGTTACATTACCTTATCAAATGTGAAGCGAATATATATATTCTTTTTTTTTTTTTTTTTTTTTGTGTATGTATTAATGCTATAGTGCAACCACAAAGTGTGTTTTACTTCGAACCATCACTGGATGACTCATCATTTGATGACAACATTTCTGTTTTTTCCCGTTTTCTACTTAGTAAGAAACCTAAATTTTTAAATACATTTGTCATTTGTGATGATTTGTGAGCTACATTTGCATCGTTATCTGTTTTTAAAGTATCTAATGATTGTTCCTCAAGTTTTTTACTTAACACAGTTTCTTGGACAGAAGAAGTATCATCTTCAACTTTATACGATTTGGAAATACATGAAATTCTTGATTTCATATATCCCTCTCTAACTGACCGAGCATATACATTGATCTTTTTCCTTTTAACGATTTTGGGTTTCTCATCTGCATTATAGATTTGTTCGTTTACCGCATCGTTTACTCTATAATAAATTATGACATGTGGGGTTGAACAAGTAATGTTAACTACTAACAAATTGTCCACATCTTCCTGTATTGTAATAATTGGAGGAAAACAAACGGTGCTATATTTCTGCAATTGAAAAAGTTTGGATAAATGTATTTCTTCTACATTTACAAAATTTAGAAAATGATAATTCGGATAATATTCTTGATGCATAATTTTGTCATTTATATTATCACACTCTGGTGGGGCACATGTTGTGTCTGCTATTTTTTTAGAGTAATTTATCAATTCCTGAACATTAACAGGTTTGGATTTTTCTTCTAATTTAATACCTTCTAATCTTTTGCGTGATAATAACCAACTTGTTTCCATCATTTCCTTTATATTTAATAAAAAATAAAATTTTTCTTTATTATTAATATGGTCAAAAAATTCTTTATTTAGCTCAAATTTTGTATTGTTTTTTTCCTCCATACGTTTTTCATTGTTATCAGAGGTGCTGGCAACATTCAGCTCCTTACCGCATTCATCATTGTTATGGGCATCCTTGTTATCATTACCATCATGGTCTCCTCTCAAAAGTTGTTCAAAATATTCGTTATATTTTGCACCTTCTTCTGGTTTTACAATATTTTTCCATTTGCTTAAATCATGCTTTTCAATTTTTTCCTTTATGTTTAATACAACTTGGTGGAATTTCCTTTGATTTCGATATCCACATTCCATTTATTGTGTGTTCTTATCTGATTCATAAAATGGTGTGCTAAATAGGATAATTTTAGTTGCAAAAATGGATATACGCTGATGATATGTGTTCATTCTGATATAGCAATTATTTAGCCTAACTATTTGTTATTGAGACTGTAAGAGATGAGAAAAACGAATTTCGGATCTGCTGCTCGTTTTAATCGTTCTATACATATTTAATATTTCAAATAATTTTAACGCAAACCCCTATTTCTTGTTTTAAATGAAAAAGAATGTAAGGTCCTGTCACATTCACTTTAACCAATGTTAAAAAAAGTAGCGTTCCCTCTGTGCAATTTTGTTTTCCTTTTTTTTTTTTTTTTTTTTTTTTTTACAACCGCCGTATATTATTTCATCTTCCGTGGCCCCACTAAAACCTTGTTGGTCCTTAGTATGATGACAGCTTCAAGTTGGCCCTTTAAAAATGTACGTATGTATATGTATATATGTGTACATATATAAAATACAAAATTTTATGCTTGAATATTTCAATCATCGTTCTCTGAAAAACGTTCGCACAAACTGTTCTTTACACGCATCGTACGTAATTTACGACATACGTGACATGAGATTTTAGTTATTCTTTTTCCTTTTCCACATTCGATACTGCAAATTACTAATTGTTTTTTTTTTTTTTTTTTTTTATTATTCCAAGAAAAGAAATTATATTTCATCTGCATTATTTTTTTTATTTTTTTTAACCATGGCTAAAAGAATTTTTAATTATCCTAACTATTGCACAACGTTAATTACTTATTTCCACCTAACAGATCATTTTTTAACATCTGAACATTTAATTGTGTAACAAATAGATGTGATTTATCTGTAAGCAGTGTGGAGTGTTACGTCCTTAAAATGTAAGTGAAAAAAGGAAATATATACAAAGCACCAATTTCCATGTGCATAATGGTGTTGTTTATTTATAATATTTGTAATATCATAAATTTTGTGACTTATAAAACAGGTAGCATTTTTCTGTATCCTATTTTTTGAAAGAGAAAACGATTTCTCCCTTTAAAATCATTCGCCCATTCTGTATTGCTCATTTCTGTTTAATTTGGCTAAAATGGGATAAATTTGTCTTAATTTTGGCTTAACGTGACATACGTAGCTTAGGTTATATTGGCTTAGTTTTACTTATTCATTTTATTATTTCTTTGTGATGACATATTTAAAAAAGGAAACTTAAAATAGATTATGTACATGTTTTTCAAGAGAAGCACAACCAGGAATGTTTTTTTTTTTTTTTTTTTTTTTTTTCCAATTTTGACATAAAACATATGCACAATTCCCACCGTCACAAGTTATTCATTTGAAGAACGGACATTTTTGTGAATGCACATTTTGCTCTAATTGGGGCAAGAATTGAGTTTGCAACGTATGAAGAGAATTCATAAACCTACCTGAAAAACGACTATATTCAAAAAGGTAAAAAAAAAAAAAAAAAAAAAAAAACAAAATAAAAATGGAAGTCTATATCCAAATGGTAGGATGGCATAGTTTGGCGGTACCGCCAAGCTTGCGTTTATTCGTGAATGGAGAATGCACCCTGTTTAATTGTGGGGAAAACATTCAAAGATTTTTGAACGAATATAAATTACATGTTGCCAAAATTAGAAACATATGTTTTACTAAAATAAATCCAGAAACTATCGGAGGGTTAATTGGACTCCTATTAACAATAGACAATATAGCAGATATTGACATAACTATTTATGGCCCTAAGCCGATTGAACAGATAATTAATACTATTACTTGCTCCTTTGCGAAAATGAAAAATATAAAATTAAAAATACATGAATTTTGTGAAAACAATTTTCAAATAGTTTTAAAGGGAAATATTACTATAACCCCAATAATGATACGTGAAAAAAAAAAACAAGACAATGATATATGTAATAAGAGTGGGGGGGAAATGGATTATAAGAAAAGTCAAATAATTCCTGAATCGGATAAGACACATTGTGAGGGAACAAACAATTTACATAGAGGGGCTGGAATAAAGCATGAGTCATCTGGAGAAACTGATTTGGATAATTTTAAGAAAAGGAGACTGTGGGTCGATTGCCAAGATATGCATAAGGAGAATGACCAGGGTGAGAAAACAGACCTGAAAAATGCCCAAGATGAAGAAACTGCCCCAGAAAATGCACAGGGTGATAAAATTGACCCAGAGAACGCACAGGGTGATAAAATTGACCAAAAAAATAGCAAGAGTAATAAAATACTCGACAAAGAGAAGGATCCAAATAGGGGAACGTACAAAGAAAATGGTAACAAAACAAAATCAGGGGATGATAAAGTTAATAAAGAATTAAGAGGAATATGCTATTTAATCGAATGCCCCGAGACGATTGGAAAGTTTCATGTGGAAAAGGCAAAGAAACTAAATATTCCATCAGGAAAATATTACGGGATACTAAAATCTGGAAAATCTATAACAATAAACAACAAAGTAATAAAACCAGAAGATGTGTGTGATAAAAATATAAATGGAAGAAAGGCATTAGTTATTGATTTAGAAGATATTGATGATACAAAATATTTATTGGGAGAAATTTCTAGTAGAGAAAGTTTTTATTTAAAAAATTTGGAATATATTTTCCATTTATCGTGTGAAGAAATTACCAATATGGAGAATTATAAAAAATTTTTTTTAAATTTGAAGAATGTAAAAAATGTTAAGTGCAATCAATCCAATAGTTATTTAAATGTATGCCCATTTGTTTCCGCAGCTTCATTAAACAACTTCCTTTCGAAGTTATTACCTACCATTTTTTTGAAGTACAAATTGGATACACCTGTTTATGATATTTCAAATTTATCATCAACTAATGATAATAGGAAAAAAATGAAAAATGAAACAGAAGGCGCAAATTTGCTTACAGTTGATAAGGAGGATGGTTCTATATATCAAAACAGAGCTCCCCCCTCAGCATATGGATTCACAAATAATGACAACTTCAGTGATACACAAGAAACAGGTAATGACATAGAATGTGAACAAAATAGTTCTTATCTTGTGTATAACCCATTGAGCAAATTCGTTTTACACCCCTTTCATAAAATTAATATATGCACAGATGAAGCTTTGCGCGATTTATATCCAAATATATTTAATTCTGCAAAGACATCGAATATATTAAAAGAGAATGAAAACTTATTGGAAAATTTTAAAAATTTTAATAATAAAATAACGCAAAATTATTCAGAATATCCTTCTTTTTACTTTCTCGGTACTGGTTGTTCAATGCCTTCAACATTTCGCAACGTTTCTGGTATCATTTTGAATATTGAAAAAAATTTCAGTGTCGTTTTAGATTTTGGAGAGGGTTCACTCTACCAGCTATACTGGATGAGCCAATCATGGATCAATTTTTCAGAGGCTATTAAATCGATAAAGTAACATTATGTGCATGTCAAATTGTGTTTTATTTTTGTATTCCACAATGATACGAATCAGTTAGATCTATTTACATTTGCAATCAATTGAACAAAGGGAGATGTCTTTTTTTTTTTTTTTTTTTTTTTTCTTCTATAGCTTAAAATAATTTACACCTTCCAGTAAAGCATGACATAATTGCATAAATATACGTTTCTTTTCTTTTTTTTTTTTACTATCACCTTATCCATTTGCAGAATAGTATTCATATCACATGCACATGCAGATCACCACATGGGTCTTTATTACTTGTTGCATATGCGAAAAATACTTTTTCCACATTTAGATGAACCACTAATATTGATTCCGTTAACGCTAAAAAAGTGGATATGTTTATATAGGGAACTATTTTTTGACAAGCCAATAAAAATATTGTATAACGAAGAAAATTTAGAAGTAAAACAGAAAATTAATGATTCCAATAATTTTGTGTTTCTTCGACCATTTAAGGTATATATGTTACAATAAAAGTACATCCACTTTATTTTAAGCTTTAAAAATGTATATACATATATATAATCGATTGACTGTAATTGAGTCTTGGACGTTTTATTGCATGTATTTACACAGAACAAATAACTTGTATACAATTCGGAAGGGAAGAAATAATTTCACTGAATAAATTTCGGCTTACAGGTTAACCATATTAAGGAATCCTATGGCATAAAAATTGAAAGCAAAACTATCGGGTCCATTGTTTATTCAGCTGATACAAGACCATGCGATAATGTTAAAATGTTTTCCAAAAATTGTGATATTTTAATACATGAAGGTAAAAAAAAAAAAAAAAAAAAAGTTTCAAAAAATCTAATACATGTCTGAAGAGCGTATATACAAAGAACAGTTTAAGCCATATTTCAATGGAAAAAAAAAAAAAAAAAAAAAAAAAAAAAAACATTTGAACTATACTCATGTGCCAATATTTTTTCAATAAATTTTTTAGCAACATTTGACGATGAATTACTAGAGGAAGCCATTTATAAAAAACATTCTACAACGAATGAGGCTATGCAAATTGGTAGGAAAAAATAAAATACTATAATAAATACAATTAATATTGTGATGTGTCTTAATTTTATTAATGTCCTAATATTTTATCTCTTTTTAAAATGTTCTATAAATAATTGTACATATTTATTTTGTAGGTTTAGAAGTTCAATGCAAAACATTAATACTAACTCATTTTAGCCAGAGATATCCAAAGGTAATGCTTTTAAATAGAAATAAAGCATACACAGTAGTGAAATAACAGCGCATATATATACATACATAGGTACTTGTGCGTATACCTTGCACTTACGAATAAATTGATTTTATCAAAATATACCAAGAAGTGTTTCTTACGAGTGTGCTGGAACATAAAGAAGAAAAAGATCATTTTGTGATTATGTACCTTAAATGTACAAAGTGATTACAGTAGATTCTGTAATTCTCTTATGTTCAGCCCCTATGGCTTCAATTAAAATATGGTCTAAATTTTATTAACTTATTAAAATCTAATAATAAATTGTTATAATAATTAGTTCAAAATTTGAATAAAATAAAATAGAATAATAAAATGCATAAATGTATAAATATGCACACACAAGTGTACAACGAGATATATATAAAAAAAATACACATATATATGCACACGTACAAATTCGTACATAGAGTAGTTGGATCGGGGGGGGGGGGGATTAATTTGCATTGCAAAAAAAAAAAGGGTATAAAGATGAGACAAAAATGGAATAACGAAATATTGTATAGAATATCAAAGTTAAACTTTGTTGCCATATATAACTTGCAATATTAATGCATACGTTGATATATGGATATGTATATTGGACATATGCTATAACATACAAAAGAAAAGCAGAACAATTTTTAAATTTAAAGAATAGCACAATATAAGTGATAAGTGTAACATGTATCAACATTTTAACAATTAATAACTAAAAAAAAATATGCTTTCAGCGAAAAACTTAACAAAGCTTTTATGCTGATTAGATCAATACAAAAAATAATGAGTCAAATTATATTAAGAAGTTTTATTTATTTATTTAATTAATTTTTTTTTTTTTTTTTCATCTAAATAAAATGCATTAACTAAAAGGGCATCGTCTATATAACATATTTTCTTTTTAATCACAGCTACATAATGTACCAGTGATAGATGTTTGCATATAAACACATATATATATATAATATTTTTTTTTAGGCACCAAAATTAAACAAGCCATCATCTACCGAAATTAAAGAAATCATGAATAAAACAATTTATAGCTTCGATTATATGTGTATTCCTTTAAATTTAATAAATGAACTGCCTCATTATTTCAACATTTTATTAAATTTATTAGAAAAAATATTTTAAATGAAATAAAAGAAATAAAAGAAAAAAATATATGTATACGTATAAGAATAGCTGCATCTACCTATCTGTCTATATATACATATATATATATATAAATGCAATATACGCATGGAATAGTGAATAAGGTGCGTATGATACACTAAAAATAAATTCAGTAATAACTGAAACATACAGTTTTAAATAAAAATTAATTAGCAAAAAGCAAAATATTAAAAAAGGATAAGGCAAATAAAAAAAAAGATGTAAAACGATGATTCAAAAGCGTACAAAAAAATGCAGTAACAAAATCAAGGGCTAATATTGAGTGTCTATAAGCTTTCTCTCCTCCAGAATTAAAATATATAATATTATGCATACCGCATGCACGTTTATACGTCGTACAATGTTAATAATGTAAAAGATGGGTACAGGAATGCAACACTTTTTTTTCTTTTTTTTTTAAAATTAAAAATGATGCAAAATGTGTTTTGTAACAATATATTATTTTCTACAATTAATGTCATTCTCATGTAATTTGTTCATATCACAAAATTTGTTAAAAGCTCCGCTATTGGCTGAAAATTGATTATAAACTGTTTTGAAATTTCCCCATTTTGTTAAATAAAATGGTTTACTAAATTTCTGAGATTTGTATTCTTCCTTAACTAACCATTTACTAACATTCCATCTTGGGGACATGTGATATCTCTTTAATCTACATTAATAATTATAACGTTAAGAAAAAAAAAAAAAACATATATATATATAATACACATATATATACATATATATATATATATATAATTTTTTCCTTTACATATATATAAAATGAAATGGAATATTAGTTTGGTTCACAAATAATTGTGAAGCTTAATTAGCATTTTATGTATAAAACAAATTTTCGACGAAATATGTTTTGGTGGAAGGGTTTTTTATTATATTTATTTTTTATGAATGTAAAAAAAAAACATAGACAATAAATATTTATGCATATTAAAACAAATGAAGTAGTTATAAAATATATTCTGCTTTGTAAGCTAAAAGTGTTATAATAGTAACAATTCTTTAATATATTAAATTTCTTATTTACTTATATGTCCATGAAGCGTTCCATCTTAGAAAACATATTCTACTTAAATTATACATTTTTGGAAATTAATAATATATTTTGGTATTTATGTAATATATAACTGTAATGTTGACAAATAGTAAACTATCTTATGTATAATTCATTTATATTCTTAACTCTCTTTTTCGCACACGACAATACATATATATATGTAAAAATATACGTGTACTCTAGGATATCTTGTTGCTTCTATTTCGTGCAGCCTAAGTTCCTGTTCATGTATTATCCTTGAATATTAAAGTGTCTTTAATATTTACAAATCTAATTTTCCTTAAATTTGGGAAAAATATACAACAGGGGTGGGGGTGGGGGGTAACGTCACTTTATAAGGCTACCATTTTTTATATCTTACATTATAAAACAGCGTAAACATAAATATATTTCATATATATCTAATCAAATCCTTGATCTGATTCTTGTTTTCCTTTTGTTTAAAGTATAATATAATATATTAAAAATATTATATGAAATGAGAAAATACAGATATATTATATAAATATATCAATGTTATGTCTTTCTTCTTAAAGCATTCATTTTTTTCCTTATTTATGATCATATTTTTCAATATTAATATTTGTGACATATATAATGTCAGCTATATTCATATTTAAAATAATAATATAAAAATAATTTCATTTTTCTGGTAATATATAATTAACTAATACATATTTTATTTTTTTTATTTTTTTTTTTTCTTCAAATAAAATAAATTTATTTAAGGATTCTAATATACAGATTCTGTGAAATTATAAATGTACTATTCCCAATGAAAAAATAAAATAATAAATAAAAATAAAAAATGCCTTTTGCATTTATATTACATGGAGAAATCTTCTCATTTTGGATTAATTTTGAATCTTCATAAAATTAATAAATAATGAATATTATTCATTAATGTATAATAAATGTTAACTTTTCATTTTGTTTATATATTTATATATAATTACATATATATATACGTTATTTTTTTAAATATTGCATATGCAAAAGGGGAAAAAAAAAAATATATATTTTTAAAATGCCTGATAAAAAAAATTCTTTTTATTAGCTTATAATACTAAAAACATTTTAAATATATATCTCATAAACAGTTCGTGTATTTGTTTATACGCATTTTTACATTCGGGTCACTCAATTATATATATTATATATAACAAAATATATACCTTTTATAAAGCAAAAATTTGAACTAAATAATGCTTATTTAAAAAAACAGTGTGATGAAAAAAAAAAAAAAAAAGTCCATCAAAAACATAAGCGCATAGCTCAAAATTTTTTCATTTTATACTTCATTTAGCTATGTAAGAAAAAAATAAGAATCCCCATGGGATGCTTATTTGTAAAATATATATATATGTACATTTACATTTTTTATCGCTCCAAAGGGGTAAATGTACAAAATCGTAAGCAATAATTATTTGCAAAATTTTTCTTCACATTCATAACTTTGTTATATATTGTATTTATATTCACTTATATAAATTTATATGGATTTAATTTTTTTTTTTTTTTTTTTTCGCTTAATTACACAAGTAGAACAAGCATGATTATTTGTTAAAATTAAAGCTAACATATATTCTACTGAGAAATTTATTTTTCAAATTTTTTTTTTGTTGAATTATTTTTTGCAACTTACGAATATGTGTATCTATATTAATATAAAATATTGAGGGTACATTACTTTTCTTTGCAACGTGAGTCCATGCTAACACAAAAACCAATTTAAAAACAAAAAAAGCACGCATTTTTGTTATGTATAGCAAAATTTACGTTGATTAAAAATGGTTTATTTGCATAATTTTTCTTTCTTACAAAGTGTAAATAACATAGGCTGGCAAAGTTTGTTCTGTACGTTGAAATAACATAACCCATAATATATAAGGTTTTTGCCAGAAAAATTTACAATATATACGACAAATATAAAACATCCTAAACCCTAAACTTTAGCCAGTTACACAGTTAAGATATATCCCCCCCTCCCACCCTTCGCATAGGTTACGTTATTTTTTGTGCGTAGCTAGCTTTTAATTAAACGTTTAAAGTTTTAGTTTTTTTTTTTTTTTTTTTAACATCTCCGTCATGTTTGTAATTTAGATTAAAATATACCTAAGCACAAAACATATATGAACTATTTTTTTCTTTTTTCTTTTTTGTGTGTACCTAAATTAATCCCAATGTAAATGAAAAATCAAACGCATGTTTTCTTTGAAACAAAAAAACATTTAATTAAAAATTATGCATTAAAATTATCAAACAGTTTCATAGTCAGCCTAATCATTTTTTTGGGGGGGAGTGGATTTTCCATTTGAGTCCATATTATTTTGCTGGAAATATTAAACATTTTGCCAATAAATTGGCATATTTTTTATATCAAAAAAAAAAAAAATTTCAAAACTCAGGAATAATGGAAACACGATTAATTAGAGTAAGATTATTATTTACAACGATTTTTTTTCACATTATTGCCATTCACATTTATACAAAGAACAACATCATATAGACTAATATGAAAATTCTGTAACTGTAAAATATGGCATATTTTAGATAACTGATTTTACCTAACAATTGGGAAATGCCTTTATTCATGCAAAATATTTGAACCACCAGTATGTATATAAGTAATATATCACGTCCTTTTTTTTCCCTTTTTTTTTATGCTTTTCTTAAATCTGACCAAATATAAACAACATACATTATTAACAAATTTTATCAATGATGACAAAAAAATCAAACGCGAAATGAAGATCAGCTGAAAACGTGCCCAATTGTATATTGTATTTGTATAGACAAATGTGTAAAATATAGTTTTTACCAATCCTAAAGCTAACCAGAATTTAGCGTTCTTTTTTTTTTTTTTTTTTTTTACATTTCTTTAAGCTTTAAAAAGAAAATATAGCAATTTTATAGGACATCATTCATGCTTAATTTTTTGGTGTTCCAGTGCAAATGTACAAAAGCTGAAATGCAATTAAATGGCAAAAAATTTTTACATAAAAATGACAATTCATATATATGAGATTTCCCCGTATGTCATGTATTTAAACCATAATATAAATGCAGTAGACATTTAGTAAAAACACTGGAATAAATAAAATAATAAAAAAATATGTTTATAAATAAATATACCTTTTAAAGAATTTAGGGAGAAATTCCAAAGCAATAGTCATATATAAGCGTTAAAAGTGAACAACATAAATATTTAAATTTAAAAAGATTTTTAAAAAGTATAAAATTTTGTGCATTTAGACAAATGTAAATATGCTACATTGTGTAAAAATTTAAAAATTCACACCTTACCATTTTATGAAAACTGAAAATAGTTAAAATTACTTAATGCATATAAAGCTCATACGTTGACATTTACATTATGGATAGCTGTCCATTTTGCATACTTTCACATTTTGCACCTTGCACTTTGCACACCGCTGTTTCCAATTTTCAATGTCTTTCTGTGCGCTTTGTATTCTACAATATTTTCCCAAGTACATTTGCTATAGGATATCTAGGTGTACTATATATTATGGACATATATGTGCTTATGCGTGTTTACGTAGGACTAAGAAGTAAATATGAAAATAAAGCTAACACAAATACAATATAATATCCCATTCCTACTGTTTCCGAATTAGTAGGTGCTTCATGAAACGTTTGAAACTAAACATGTTATGACATAGAGGCATTTCCCTATATTTTTTGTTATATCTCCATGTTAATGAAACGTGAATGCGTCATTACAAAGATATAATCATGTAATCACACAATGCCACAATGACATAATCGAACAATTATGCAATCACATAATTACATAGCTATTTAACAATGTATGTATTTGTCTTTCGTGTGGGTATGTATAATTCTGTTTAGCAGAAATTTATAATAAATAATTTGTTTTATTATGAGAATAATTACCCTATTACCAACCTTATATATTTCTCTTTAAAAATTAACTGATTCTATATCAAAATATAGCTTTACCAAAGTTTGTCATTTTTTTAATTATTCTCACGGATGGTAGTATTATAATTTTTGCTGTACTAGAAATTTATGCTAAGGATATATTTTTTTTTTTTTTCTTTATTTACATATTAATACATGTTTGTACTCTGTATGAACTAGTTCCTTTGATCTTTTTCACATTATTCTATAAATAATTGCAAAATAGCGTAATAAAAAGAAAGAATGGAATCATTTTTTAGATGTAGTAACGAAGGACAATATGATGAATGCACTATAGAGGTAGAACGAATCATATTAAATGAAAATATGCACATGTATATACATATATATAAAAAGTAGGAGCAGACCACTACACACATTTCTGCTATGCTAAAATATCACAAGCGCACACATACATAAGTGCATGCTTATGTGTAGCTTCCCAAGGACATTATGAAATAAAACAAAAAAGGAAGAATACTATTACTTGCACGGATCTTTAAAATACGAATTATATCCGGATGAAAGCAGACATGTCTTGCAGCACCTATGCATATGTTTATATATATATATATATATAAACATATGCATACGTGTGAACTTGAAAAATGAACTCCTTTTTCAAAAAAGTAGTAGAATTTTTTTCCCCTTCCCCCATGATGTATACTCAAAAAATATGAAAACATGAAAAGTGGGTTACTATCGATAAACGATGTATTCTTTTTAGTAGTAAATATTTTTAAATATTTTCTGATTGTCTTGAACGGATTATATCTGTGTAAACTGCCATTCATTGCTGGAGAAAATGTTGACTTTGTAAGTTGTATTGTATGCATAATAGTAGGCTTTTCAATAAAATTATCAGTTATAGTAATATACTACTTATATTTTATGGACATATATGCAGTGAATAAATGTAGAAGGAAAAGTTTTCTAAATTTGTTTCATCTGAATAATACAGACGGCAACGGAAATAGAACTATGCAAGAATCCGATGACTTTGAGTATAAAAAATTAATTAAGAAATTTTTTTTTAAGAAAGTATATTATTCAATAAAGAAAAAACATAAAAAAGTGGAATTGTATATGTTAAAAATATATAATAGTACATTTAACTACTACTTCTGTAACATAAGAGATACGCTATACGCATTAATATGGTATATCAGTCTATATTACTGGAGGAGAGATACATATGATACTATCTGGAATTTTGACAAAATACCCGCATATATATACAACATTTTAATTGTTCTTTTGTCGTCATCCTATATCGACTTAGTAATGGTCATTCTTAGTTATAATAAATCTAAATTTTATATGATGAAATCGAAATTGTTAATAGATATATTTTTTAGTGCACCAAATGTGTTTTTTTTTTCGAAATATCTCTTTGTGCTTGATAATAAAATAGATATATACTTTATAATGGGGTTTTTACGAAACATAAAGATATTTCTAAATGTATCATATGTCAGAATAGAACAAAATTCCATTTTAACAAATACAGAAATTAAAATTGTTAGAATTGTGTTTGGAGTACTTTTGTTGTGTAATGCGTTTGCATCAACTATTTATACAATTCAGGCTATTCACCCTTTTAATTTGAAAGATGGGAATTTTCGATATTTTCTTAACAGTTATTTAGATTATTTCTATTTTTCTATAATCTCGATATCAACAGTTGGATATGGTGATATACTTCCAATTAACAAATTAAGTAAAGTAGTGTGTATTATTTTTATATTTTGGACATTTATTTGGGTTCCAATACAATTTAATGATTTAATTATTTCTATTTTTTCCAAAAAAAAAACATATGGAAAAGTTAGTAGGAATAATCAGAAATTTATTCTACTAATTGGAGAAGTGGAACCGCAAAAATTAAACGTTTTTCTTTTTGAGTCAATTGCATATGGAAATAAGCTAAAATTTCATATTTTAACTACTTATCCTATAAGTTTTTATAAAGAGCAAATAAAAGTAGCAGACCATTTTTGTATATCTCTATATATTAAAAATTTTGATTTGAATGATAAACAGAATACAAATTTATTATACAGTATCAATGCGCAGAATGCTTACTATTTATTTTTATTTTCTGATAAATTTAATAATGGACATTATAATATAGACACAAAATCGTTTACAAGATTGTTAATTCTGAAAAAGTTCTTACATGGAAAGAAAAACGCTGTGATTGAATTACGAAATAAAAGTGTTTCGAATATTGTGAAATCTATTGGATGTGAAAATTTTGTCATTGTCAATTTAAAGCATTCCTTAATAGTTAAAAATGCAAAGTATCCAGGGATTATAACATTAATTTTAAATTTGTTTACAGCATACAAATATGATGCTAATTTTTTGTATACATTTGATGATAAACACTCTTCTTTTCCATTAAAAAAATATATAAGTGAATATAGTAGGGGATCTAGAACCAAAATTTTTTCCTTCCTAGCTCATAAAAACATGATTGGATTAAAATTCGATAAATTATTTTATAAATTATATTTATCCCTCGGTATTATATTAATCGGTATCGAAAATGACAATGAAAATATATTTCTCACTGAGAGGAATTCTCTTACCCATAACGTCATTAAATTAATTAAGGGAAGAAAGAAAAGGCATCAAGAGTTTAAATTTATATACTTGCATTTGCTAAAAAGGTATTCTCATATGTGTACTACCTATGTGCCATCGTCATTACATAAAAGTAGGAATACTTCAAATAGATGTAAAAATTGTCATATGAAGCAGGAGAATTTAAACACACACACAACTAAAAAGTTTGATTTGTTAAATGTACACAAGAAATATCATTTCAATAAGAAAAATTTATACAATTCGGGTGACGTAAAATGTAAGAATTTAATGTGTAAAACTGGTTATTGTAGGGAAGGTGAATATGCAGATAAATCCTACAAGGGTAATAAAATAAATGGAAATATTCCTCATAGGAGAAAAAAAAATAATTCGAGTAACATGGAAAGTAAAGACAATATTTGCATAAGCATTGATAGAAGTAATACTACGAATAATAAAGTACACCAATCATATTCCATTAGGGGAAATAAATACATTGAGGACTTAAAGAATTGGGATTACAATATAATTCACACCATAACCAACACCAAATGGGGTCGAAACAGCTATATACATAGAAACAATAAACAGTTAAAAAGTTACCTGAATTTGTTAGGAAAAAATTATGCCATACAAGAAAATGACAAATGTATAGTTATTGCAAATTCTAAGAAAGTTATAAAATATTTATCAATAGCAAAAAGTCTATATTGGCTATTTGAAATTAAAAGCAAAAAGAAAGAGAATATCCCATACGATTTGAAATCTGTTATAAAAACTAAACAAACTTTCAATAAATATTTTACAGCAAATGTAAGGCGGAATATATCAAACATGCCTCATGGGTATAATACAAGTTTGATTCAAAAAAATGCCAATATAATGGCCGTAAATTATCACGATTTATTTAGGAATTATAAAATTTCGAGGCTTTTTTTTTCAAAAAAGAGTTATCTGCTTGGGAAAAAAAACAGGAAGGTTATATATGAGCATGGGAATGATAAGCACGATTCAACAGGCTTCAAGGTTCCTTCTAGAAACAATTCTTCTATTGGAATCCATCAAGGGAGTGCAAAACAATATAAAAATTGTGAAAAATGGGAATATTTCCAGAAAACTCCTCACGACATCATTTGTGATACTAAAAATTGTACCTTTGAAAGTTGTAATTTTAGTAGTTGCATTACAAACGAATTTAATATAGACACAGAATTAGGAAAAGATGATAAGAAAGATCATGTCACGACAACATTACATTACTTGGAGAGTCCTCATGGGAATATTTCCCTGAGGAATGGTCCCCAAAACAGTCATACTTTGCCCAGTAACGAACTGTGTACACATGGAAATTCAATGAACAAATATTCGAAAGGGGAAAAGAAGTGCAGAGAATTCTTAACATCTAATTGTAAGGACAAGAAATTGTTGCATTTAGATCACTCACAGATAATAAAAAAGCATAGAAATTATTTTTATCATAAAAACAAATTAAAAAAAAAAAAGTATTTAAATAATTATTGCAATTTTCAAAAATCAGAGGAAACACTAAAAGAGAAAGATAAGCAGAATAATTTCAATTCTACTTTTAAAATGAATGCAATAGTATATTCGTACGTGGAAGCCTATGAAAAATATTTCTCCCAGCGTAAGAATAATAAATTATTGCTAATAATAAATTGCCCATCGAATATTATAGACCTAATTAAAATGATAAATCGTAAATACGGATACAACATAATTATATTAACTGATGAAATACCTACCATAAATATACATGATTTGTGTAAATATAATGTTGTGTTTATAAAATGTAAATCTTTGGATGATTATAATATATTAAACGCTGGCTTAATTCAGGCATATTATATACTAATTCTTCCCACGGAAGCAAATAATGTAGATGAAATAAACGAAATAGACATGAATAATATAATATTAACAAGAAAGATTATTCACTTGATGCGAAAAAAAAAAAAGTCTTACTATATAAATAATATAATGACCGAATTAATTAACCCTTCTAATACTATTTTTCTTGAGGAAAATAAAATGGTAAAATTAAAAGACAAAAAATCTTCATATAGTGATTTTTTTCCTTATGTAAATTGTTCAAGGTTTTATTCAAGTAATATAATATGTGAAACCATGTTATATAACTTCATGACACATCACAAAAGTTTCACCAAATTTTCAGTGTGTAATGATACATTGAAAAGTCTCATAAAACACATCAGCACAATTTATATATGTGACTTGAATAAGTACTTTGATTTTTCTTTTAAAAAAATTAAAACATTCCGCGACCTATTTTATTATTTATCTAAAAAAAATATCATAACAATTGGTTTATACAGAAGGGGAGACAAATATGCCCCTTTTTACATTTATACCAAGCCTCACGAAAATTGCGTGCTGAAATTAGATGACATCATTTACGTCTTGTAGGAATTGATGACTACTTATTCTTACCGTTACTGCTTGTCATAATTGATATTTTTATTGCTATTGTTATTCATTTTTATTATTCTTTTTTCTGTCTTATTTATTATTTCTTTTTCCCTTACCCATCACTTGAATTTTTACATAATATGATGCATCCATGTGATGAATAAACGTTCCTTTAAATCTGTCAAGCCATTCGTGCATATGTTTTTGGTACCTTTTTCTATTGCTCTTTTTTAAAAATACGCAGCATGCTGCATGGACATATGTGCACATAAATATATATTTTTATGTGAATTTTTTTTTTTTTTGTTCTTAAGGACGTTTAAAGAACAATCTAAGATGTTATTATTTTTTTTTTTTTTTCTTTTTTTTTTTTTTTTTTTTTTTCTTTTTTTTTTTCTTTATTTTGGCATTATGTCTTTTCACCCGTTTTTAATTTGGTTCATGTGCTACATGTTAAATCGTGTCCATGTTTGTGGGAAAAAAGTGTTACATCTTTTTGCTGGATGTGTTTATTTACATTTGTAAGAAAGGAAAACATCCCTTTTGAAGATATGACATATATATATCACTTCATCTTTTAACTATTTCTTTTTTTAATTTTTAAACATTTAACAAATTTAAAATGGCTTAGACAAGTTATTGTTCTACCAGAATGTTTGAGAGAAAAAAAAAAAAAAAAAAAGGCTTAAAAAATGAAACTTTTTTCTTTTTCCTTTTTTACTAACGTAAGCTGCATATTTTACAAATATATGAAAACATGTAATCCAAGTCTTGGGCACTTTTCTTATTCTTAAAGAACACATGCTGATCCATTAGAATCACACATAATATTTTTGCATAGCATTTTTCTATAAAATTCTAAATTCTTCTGTGAAATAATATCACGAACAAATGCTAAGTATTGATAAAAATCATCAATTACTTCTTTAAAATCGTCATCTTCATATTTAGTTCCTTTATCATCAACCCCAATAGTGTTGAAGTTAAAATTATTCATTATTATGCTATAGTCTTCTGCTAAATTTTTCTATATTACGATTAGTTCAAAAAAGGGGAAGGAAAATATTATAAATGCATTAATTGAAAAAAAAAAAAAAAAAAAAAAAATTCCATTTAGTGCGTTAAAGTGACAGGTATTCTCATGAATAAGCAAAAGTATATATGGGCACGGAAATCTCACGAAGTTTTTATAACGTGTGATCCACTATATGTCCCCGTTGTTCACAAGAACATGTAAACATAACAATTCAGTCCAGAATGTTGCATGTTTGCACTGTATATGGGTTTAAGAAAAAGGAACTAATTGTCAAGCAAATTGGAATATATATATATATATATATATATATATATATATATATACAAATATGTATACGTATATGTATACGTGCATAAGTGCATATCTGAAAAAAGATGAGGCGTGTATATGGCCCATATTTGGTATTTTTCTTTACCACGCATCTAATCCGGTACTTATTGAAGCTATGATGTATTACATGCAAAATATTGTAGTATTTTTTTTGTTCATTTCTACACATCCTTAAAGTTATAGAGCTGTATATGTCATAAAAACTTTTTTCAGTAGGAGTAAAATAAATTATATTTTCCTGTCCCTTATTCTCTAATGTGGGTGCCTAAAGAAATGAGAAATATGAATTTAATCTTGTTGGTCGAAAATTGATCCCATGAGTGGCTACTTCTGTTATTGGCCATTCCCTTGCATTGGATACAAATGTATAACAAACGTAATATTCATTTTTTTCTCAGTGCATTATTTTCTCTGGATCACCATTTTTGGGAATTTTTTAGAGAAGCTTAAAAATCCTAGAATTTCATTTTTCTTCAAAGAAAGGTAAACCATTTAAAAATATTTGTATTGTGTATAATTTGTGTTTCCTAATTTCTATGCGCTGCACTAATATTTGACTAAGTTTTGACTAATTTGGGGCTAATTCTTGGCTAATTGTTGTCATTTTCGTACAACAAAAAAGGATAAGTAGGTAGAACAACAAATTTAGAATTGTTCAGCCCATATTTTATCTTATTACTTCAAGAAAGGGTATTGTAAAATTTAGTGCACTTTCAATTTGAAATGAAAATAGGATAACATAGGAATGTTTCAGCTTTGCGCATGATAAGGCGTCTTTCAAAAATACATGGTGTTTTCTTTTGATTATTCGATTCTTAATATTTGGGTAGCTAATAGTGTATATATTGAACTGTAGATCCTCCGAGACTGAATTTTTTTTTATGATGCAAATTGAGAATTCATAAGTACATAAATGAATTGAGTGTATATAAGAATACATGGTTATAGATACACAAGTCTATATACACTAATATCTATCCATTTCTATATAAAGATTAAATTGGAAATTCATACTTTTCGCCAATCTCGAATTCATCCAGTCTTCCGTACTCATGGGTCCAAAAAATACAACATTGTATTTCGCGTCCTTCACCAGCTCTGAGGTAAAACAGGGAATATTATTTTAGTTTTTCGGGTATTTTTCGGATGCTCTTTTTTTTTTTTTTTTTTTTTTTTGCCATATATTACTTTTTCTTTCAATTTCTTACTTTTTTTAAATGATATTCCGTCATATTTGCATTGCAGAGCACTTCGGTTATTCACTTTACAAAAAATAAGAAAAATGGTGGACAGAAAAGATGTGGTAAAACAACATGGGAAAGACCTTATGATGTGTTACTCAAGAAATGTATAAAATACGAGTGCTAGAAAAAAAAAATTTGGATTCTTTTAGTATTCTTATTCTTATTCTTTTTTCTTTTTTCCTTTTTTTCTTTTATATTTTTTTCTTACTGTTAATCACTGCCACTATTAATATAATAACTAGCCCGAAGAAGGCACATTGAATGGAACTAATAATTCGTAGCTGTGAAATGAAAAATGCGAAAATATGAGAAAAGCCGGAAATAATGATAGACAGAAAAGGATTAACACGTGCACTCATAATTCTCCATATGAGAACCTACCGTTACGATATTATTATTTTTTTTTTCTTTGCAAAAGGATCCAAAAATTGAAGCTAAAAATATGAAGAAAAAAAATAAATAAATGAAAATACCACTGATTGACGTATAAAAAGGTAGAAAAAACATACCACCTAAAATTCTCAAATTTTGTTTTGGAAATATATATTGCTATCACCTATGACCCATCCTAAATATGGCAAAAAGGAGAAACCACAGTAGTAAAATATTCGAACACTTAAAACGGAAATGAAAGAGAAAGTATATAATCCATGGAAGAGAGATATGCTTAAATACTTATATGAGCATATATGTATAAGCATATAAGTACAGGTATGAGTTTCTGTACCCCTCCTCTGGTTTTCATAAATAAAACTTTTGATTTCTTCATTACATTTTCTCGTCTCTGCCGATTGTTGGGTGAAAAGGATTTTTAAATAACCAGGAAAAACTCAAATGGTCGAAGTTTTCCAGCAAATTTTGTACTTCCTTATCATATTTATCACACAATTCATCAATTCCTTTAAATTTTGCTTCATTCTTTTTATTAGCTTTCAATCTATTAATATTCCCAGAGTGACAATAATTTATTTGGTCCATTGTATTTAAACTTTGCATAGTTTCTTCTCTTTCTGAAATTTTCTCATTTTCAATACTTGCACCACATTCAATTTCAGCAAAATTTCTTACCTCAATTTTGTTTTCCTGCACATGTGCTCGATTGTTTGAATAAGAAGAACTTTTCAATTTTTCAAAAATTTTCAATTCTGTACCTTCTGTTCTATTTCCTTCTCCCTCAACTTCGTATTTATCTTCCATACATTTCATAGCCGAGTTATTTTTTCTATACAAACCCTGTCCTTCCATTAATTCCTGCTCGTTATTCCCCTCGAACTCATCATTTTCTACTACTTTTGACTTTCTTTTCCGAATCATCTTTTCTATTCATACATGATCCTATGTATATGAACCTGTGTAAGAACAGAATTATCTATGCAACTGCGAACTTCCGTTTTAGCTAAATAGACCTTAGAACACCTTGATTTAATTAAAGGTGCAGGAATAGTTGTGTTAATTTTCGTTCATATGCTAAAACTGAAGAAACTTTTTTTTTTTTTTTTTTTTTTATTCTGCAGATCTTATTCCAAGTCTGATTATATACGAATAAGTTTTTAGTTTTAAAAATTATATGGCAAATTTATTTACTAGTTATAAATAATTTTTAGCAAAAAGACAAGTTAGAAGCAGAGGTTAGAAAATAATTTCTTACGTATCTGCACACAATGGACAAGATAAGGCGTTTTATACATATGCTCATTATAACATATGTATAAAAAAAAATAAAATAAAATAAAATAAACTAAAAGAATAAGTACAATTACACTGATTTAGCTAAACCTAAAAAGGAAATTTCAAAAAACGTATAAAGGACATTAATTTTGACTTCACGCAATTATGCATATGCAAATGTGCAAATAAACGCATATAAATTTAATACGTAAGTATTAAAATGAGTAAAGATAAGAATTATAGATTATAAAATTTATGCTTTCTTTTAAATAATACCAATAATCATTTTATCCTTTTCAAATATTGCATAATATTTTTGTAAAAATATTTGTCCAAGAATCTGTAGAAATAAAAAAAAAAAAAAAAAAAAAAAAGACATTCATATGTATTTGTTTTATCGGTTAACTGTATTCACTACATTCTGTGTATTCTTTGTGCATACATGAATACCATACATATATGTGTATATGTAACTGCATAGTTTATTGTGACACTTACATATAAATATCTATTAGCCGAAGAAATGTTAATTGGAATGAAAGCAAAGTTACAAGGGGATTTTAAAACAGGATCAACTCGAAAAGAGTTAACGATGTAATCATCCGGCGTTAAATCGTATTCTTTCTTTTCACCTATCACAAATGGATAAAGTTATGTATATTTGTATGTACATATATGTATATTGTTCCCATTAGACGTATTTTTAAGGTATTTATTTATTTTATTTTTTTTTTCTTCAAAGTATATTTATACCATTTTTATCACGTAAAATGAAAGAAAGGTTTTTTAGTAATCTTTTGTCGTGACAATTCTTTCTAGGATTCAATAACTTAGTTAACAAAATTATATCTATAAGGATGTGTATTTAATTTTTATATTCTTTTCCCTATATTATTACATGTATGAAAACAGAATAAAAGAAATGCGAAAAAAGAAAAGGAAATAAAAAAAAATAGTACTACCATCTTTGGGCCCAGCAATACTCGATGTACCTGTGTCAATAACTGCCTCACAGTAACTACCTAATGATGAAAAAAAAAAAAAAAAAAAAAAAAGTTCACTTACCAAAATTTTCGTGATTAATTAAAAAAAATTATCATATTTTATATCCCCGATTGTCCATTTATTTTATTTTTATATAAACCTATGTTTTTTGAGCACACGTCTAAAAAAACTCCATTAATTTTTAGTCCTATCTGTATTTACAACATCAGGGTTAAATGTAAGTTATTTCACTTTTTTATTTCTGTTTTTCTTTTTTGCACATACAAAAAAATATATGTTTATAGTACCATTTTAACTGCCCAATATTTTGTGGACGAAACGTCAAACCAATCTATGTTTGCATTGGGATGGATAAATCTTAACAGAAAAGTTTACAGATATCGTTGGGGGAGGAGTTGATAATATTTAATATGAGCATAAGGATAATGTGTATATGTGTTCATCTAAATATATAACCATTTTGACTTATTAGTATTTTTCCTTTCTCACTTTTTATCGTAACCTCCGAATGTAATTGCACCATCATCTTCTACATCTTTGGGGTAGTAAATCGAGAACATATTCTTTGTTGAACCATTTCTTGGTATGTTGTCATAGATTAGTGTTTTCTTTGTTTTATTATCTGAAATGCCTAGTCCGAATAATCCATCAAATTCTATTTGAGAAAAATTGGTACGCATATTGAGATAAGGTTACCCCCATATGCTGCACACTTTTGAATAGTACAAGTGAATATAACATCTTACGATGTTTCTTCTCTTTTGCTCTTCACTTTTTTTTTTTTTTTTTTTTACGCATATCAGAAAAAGGGTCATCGGATATGTAACTAGCTATTCCAAATTCCTGGTTTTTTACTCTACAAAATATTAAAGCAATTTAGTGGAGTTTACACTAGTTCCCATATTGATTTAATTGTGCTTGTCTTTTTTGAATAGTTATGCGTTAGATATTTGTGTTACCTTATATCTCCTAAGTGAATATCATCGGAAACGTAAGCAATTTGAATTTTTCCAGTTCCAAAAAAAACTTCCACAGGGGGTTTATTTTTGGATAATTTATAATTTTTAGAAATTTTATGATCATATTTTCTTTTTTTATGGCAGGCCTTTGTATAACAATTTTTCGAGGGGATCCATAAATTTGTGCTGCCTTAACAGGGAAGAAAAATGTATACATACATATACCCTTTTAAGGATAGATACACAGACATAAAGAATACATGTTACTGTATTTGTACAAGTTTATGTATATGTATTATTTTATTTGTTTTTTTTTTTCAACTCCTTTTCATTTTTTTTCTTCTTAACCAGTATCAAACAGCACTTTGAATAGCTGTGGAGGACTTCCGATATGTATTTCACCAATGAATCTATAACAATTCAAAACAGGAAATAGTAAAAAAAAAAAAAAAAGGAATTAGACGCACCCATAAAACATGAAACATAATTATAATTTCCTTATGTTAAAATAACTATTAGGAAATAAAGTGAAAGAATATGTCACATGTTTTTTTGTACACCGATAAAATGCATTTTTTGGAAAATGGAAACTATGTGTTCGAACATAAAATAATATTTTATGTGTTTACTGTCTGTTGATATAACCCCCCTTCAGGATTATGGTGGAAACTCCTTTGTTGTTGGTTGAGGTAAAATGATTTTTTATGTTTTTATTGTTTTTTTTTGTTTTTTTTGTTTTTTTTGTTTTTTTTGTTTTTTTTGTTTTTTTTGTTTTGTTTTTTTTGTTTTTTTTGTTTTTTTTGTTTTTTCTGTTTTTATTATTATTATTATTTTTTTTTTACTTGTGCTGTATTTTTCATTTTAACAACAAATTAGGCTATGCAGATTATGTAGAAAGTTTACCTGACTTGTTATATCTGCTTACCCTTAAATTCTCTCTTGCAGATTTCACAATAAGATGAATGTTCCAAATGAGGAAAACAAAAAGAGACAACAAAACGTTCATTTTGTACAGTGAATACTATTCTAAAATGTAGCTACAGAATTAAATTGGTAATACTAAGTGTACATTTTTTTTTTTTAGAATTATATTATATTTTTTGAAGGAAAACAAAAATTGTATTTATTAACTTAGTAAAATATCCCCTTCCTCTAACATTTTCATTCTTTTTTAATTTTTAACTTTTCATAGTAAATGTACTCTGCTATGGGAATGTAACACTTCTTTTTTGTGTATATACATTTACACATTAGTGAGTAATTTCCATCTTTACAACAGGAAAAGTAACAAATTGCGGTCTTTCATGAGTTTTTGTGGCCTGGGGCTTTGTTTTTTGTTACTCTTATTCTACTAACACATGTGGGATAATAACACTTTGTTAGTTACATTTCCTCAGTAGACATAACAAAAAAAAGCACAAAATGGCAAAAAATTTTAATTTAAAAAAATATCAAACTTTTATTACAAAGAAGAAAAAGGAAGTGTTTCAACGAAATTTGAGGAAAGAAAAAAAAAATTGTAAAATGAGCATGAATATATATGTACCCAATTTTCACTAATTTTGACTTATTTCAAATGATCGTAAACAACGTTTTTTTTTTTTTTTTTTTTTACTATTTTTATTTCCTGCGTACCCATAAAAAAAGAAGTTAAAAAATATCCCTAAAGTGATGCCAACTTTACCTTCTTTACACATTTATAATACAATACGGAACACATTAAACATGTTAGTATCATGTGTTTTACTTTCATTATTTTTGTTTGTTTTTTTATCACTGTGCACATGTGAATACACGTAGTCTCGTATCGTTTCTATTTGTGTTTCATCAATAAAATACATAAATATACACATATATACATATACATATGTACAAGTCTTTAAATGTCTAACACGATTTTTTTAATTTTTTAAATGCTTTATCTTTTCAAACGTTATTTATTGTTTTTACGGTTTTTAGACTTGTCTACCTAGAATTTTCGTTTTTTCGTTTTTTCGTTTTTTTAATTTTTCGAATGTTAATGCTTGCTAGAAATGGGTCCTTTGCCTCATTTATTATTTATTTATTTTTTTTTAATCCCTTTTATCGCATTACTTTATGTTTACGCCAAAAATTAATCATTCCATTACTTTTCCTCTTATCATTGCTCCAAACATTCAAGTCACTTTTCTTCTGCCTTTTTTTTTTTTTTTTTTTTTTTTTGTTCATGTGTAGAAATAAAAAAAAACGCTATGTGCTTGTTCATTACTGAGAAAATAGCAGTTTCTCTTAAAATTATTTGTAACATTGATAAAAAAAAGATATATTAAACATAAGGGGAAATTTTTATAATTATTTCTATTTATAAAAAAAATGGCAGACATATATTTTTCTTAAAAGGGAAAATAATTTTTTTTTTTTTTTTTTTTTTTTTTTTTTTTTTTTTTTTTTTTTTGCACACTTCATATAAGCACGGTATAACACATTTTGGTATACCGCAAAGTTAATCGTTCAATATTTTACATGTTTCATCGTATGGTATATTTTTGGTATATTTTTTTTTAATTAATAATTTATTTATTGTTTTGTCCTTTTTTTTACCTTTTTACTTTTTATAAGTTTGTCTATCTATCGTTACTAATCGATAAGCACATACACAAGTGCGTGCTTATGGATATATTTAAGCCCCTATTTCACTCACCCCATGAATATATACACATTTTTATTATTATTGATAACTTTTAAAATGTGCGATATGTGCATATGAAACTTGACCAATGGATATACTGAAATTCTGTTTCACAGATTGTTCTTGTTGTACCTTATTGAAAAAAAAAAAAAAAATTTAAAAATGGAGAGAGAAATTAGCGAAGGTTTTATAAGCATGTGGATGGAGAACAAAATAAGTTTTTCGAAATACAATTTTAAGAGTTTATGGAATGAGAGTTACAATAAAGTAATTCATAAATGGTTGTACAATACTAATTCTAAGATATTATTTATATACCTTGTAGAATATGATGAAGAGAAAACGTTAAATTTCTCTTTTGATTTTTCTAATGAAATCATAGAAGAAACGATTGATGAATATATCTTATTCCTAAAAACTAGTAACAAAAAAATAACGTATGATAATATAGACAATGCTATATTATATAACAAAGTCAAATGTAAATTAAAAGAAAATATTTTAAACTTAATGGATAATGTATTTATACCTATGTTAGATATGAAAAGTAGTTCTCCCATAAACATACAAAATGACTTTAATATCACAACTATTGAATTTATGACTTACATAACACAGTTATTTTCAAAGAACAAACTAATTTACTATCCCAAAATTTCAATTGATGATGCGCAGTTATTTTCAGCTGATAAAAATTATATTCAGTTACTTGAAAAATTGGTGGATCATTGGATAAAAGATATACAAAAGCTATTCAAAAATGTAATGCCTTCGACAGAAAAAAAAAAAAAAAAAAAAAAGATAGACAGATAGGGAGAGAGAGAGAAACAAAAAAAAAAAAAAAAAAATAGACAGATAGAGAGAGAGAAACAAAAAGAAAGAAGAGTGGGCACTTAATTGTGGTACATAAAAAATAGAAAAAATAAAATAATAATAATAAATTTCCTTGTGATAATATATTTTTATCGAGTGTATAACCGTAGAATGCACAGAATAGTTCTACTTTTTGTGTGCTCTAGATGTTCCATCATTAGAAGTGTAAAATTTCGTTTATCATCTTTAGATCATTTAGGAAATTAGGCATATATTAGCAGCTTATCACCCAATTCATGCTAGAAGTTCTGTACTTTTCGTGATATAGTTAGAGGGTTCTCTACGTATTAATGTTCTCATTATTATTCGTAACTGTGTTAGTAAAATGTGTACGCATAAATATATATGTATATGCTGTGCAACTATACTATGAAAACTATGAAAAAAGGAAGAACCCATCCTTTTACTTTTGACATTATTTATATGTATATTCTGTTATCTAGAAATTGTCAAAATTAATTTTTTCTCTCCATGTCTACTATGGTTTTAGCTTGTGCTTGAATTTTTCCCTTGCAAGATGCTTTAATGATTTCACCCATTTATTTACATACGTACACACATGCATGCACCTAATTTTTAACGTATCTAGTTTATTCATCCTTATGCTTACATGGTAGCCTCCAAACGCTCCTTTTTTTTTTTTTTTTTTTATGAAAAAGCACCATTCATAATATGTTGTAATTTTAGTAACTAGCTTAATTTTATACTCCCTATTTTTCAATGTTTTGAAACTAAGAGTAAAATTTAGATATGGTTTATGCATTACAGAACTAGCACTAAGTTGATCAAAATTGAGAACTCGGTATTACCAAGTTTTATTTATTATATAATATACAAAAAGAAGGCAACATTTTGTAGGAGAGAACAAGGAAAAATATTTAAATAAAATAAAATAACAGCATAATAAAATAAAATACATTAGTTAAAGAATGCTGCATAAAATTAGCATTTCCAACTTTCAACTAGCATATGTGCTAGTAATTGTGCATTGTCATTTAAGCAACGTGCACAAGCATTTCACACTTACATGCAAAACTATGTATTTACATGTTTATGCATATTTATATAAAACTCCTCATTTTAGATTAAAGACAAGAAAATTAACTACCTGACGCTGAGTGAGTACATTTCTGATGTAGAGAAAAAGCACAGCATTTTAAAAAACCTCTTAGAAGAGCTCAATTTAGATGCAATAAATTGCATTCAGAACATTTTAGAAAAAAATAATTGCGTTAATATCAAAACATACAATTCACTGATAACAAAAATAAGGGAGAAATGTGAGAAACTGAAGGAGAAACTGAAAGCACTAAAAATTTTAGAAGAACCATTCACCAATTTGGATGATAAGGCTTCTATAGACAATGTATACAACATATTGCCCATCATTGTAAACAGGCTAAAATTGATCTTTAACTTTTCAAAGTATTACAAGGATTCAGATCAAATAAGTAATTTGATAACATTATTATTAAATGAGTTTATTAAAAAATTGCAAAATTACATTGATCTTTCTAAGATGTACACTACAGAGGTTAAGCAGTTGTCTGAAACTCTAGATGAGTGCATCAACTTTGTGTCTTACTGGGACTACCTCATGGATGTCTCCTTCAGCAAATCACAGGACAGGAACCCCGCGTTCGACTCTATCATTAATCAGATTGACATGTCTAATGTAAGGGTGTATTTTTTTGCATATAATCATACAGAAGCATGGAGGCAAATGTGTAGGCAAATGTGAAGGCAAATGTGCAGGCAAATGTGTAGGCAAATGTGCAGGCAAATGTGAAGGCAAATGTGTAGGCAAATGTGTAGGCAAATGTATAGGCAAATGTGCAGGAATGTCTATGGTTTCATTCTTACCTGCCCACGTGACCCGCTGACATGTGCACTTTTTGGATCATCTTCCAGTGGCGAACGATTTTCCATGAGCACAGAAGCACAATGGCAAGGAGAACAATTAAACGTAGAGAGAAAGAGATGCAGATTTATGAATACATATTTTCACAAATTTACAGATAACGCACTTCAAGGAAAAATGCATAGACTTAAAGGAAATATGTTTTGCGTGCGAACAATTTTTATTTTGTGTAAAGGAAGAGGACATAAAAACCTTGAACTATGAATATTATCACATAATTAAGAAAGGGTTCAACGACATCGAATCCACATTTTTCAATGAATTAAATCGAATTAGGAACTTAAAATACAACATTTTAAGCATAAAAAATAATGATTGGAGTATCGATTTTAAAAAGACAAAAGAATTAATAAAAGTCTTAGAAAGTATATTTATTAACTTAATTAAAATATCATTTGAGAATTCCATAAATTTTGAAACGACGATTTTTTTATTTGACAAATTTCACAGTTTAGCTATCACAGAAAATATAAAATCATTTATGAATAAAAAAGTGGTTGATCTATGGAACAATTTTGTCAATTATATAGACATTTATTCTAAATACTTTGCCAATTTTCTTGAAAATCCATTAAATTATTTTTCTTACAACATAAGATATGAATACCACACTTCATGTATAATGCTTGCAAAATTTATCAGTATTAAATTATACCGAATTTATAATAATTTAAATAAGCTATTTTATTTACCGAAAGTAAAGGAGCAAGACATTGCGTATGAGAAATATTACAATTTACAGAATTCTATAAATACATATATAAAACAAATAAATAATATATGGATAAACGAATTAAAGACAATTGCATCTAAGAAAAATAATTCTCTAGTCAGTACCCTGTTAGATAATTCTATTTTAATAAAAGTGAAAGAAAAATATCTTGAAAGTACATACAACTTAGAAATTAAAAAAGTTTTATCTGAAGTCAATTTTTGGCTAAAAATAAAAGATGAAAAAGTGTTCCTTCCTAATGTAATTATTGAAATTTCATTTCATGAAGATAGACTAAAAATATATAAAGAATATGTAAATAGACTTGTAAGGAATTATAATAACATCCGTATTATGCTAAATAATGATCAATATAAAATATTCGAATATGTTCTGAGAAATATGTGTACCAATATTGAAAACACTGTGTTTAAGTATAACTGGAATAAGGATAGCATCAAATTAAATATTCTGTTCAATTTTCTTAACGAATGTATTCATATTAAATCTATAATTGCAACATTTAAAAAAAATGATGAAAAAATAAAAGACATATTAAATGAAGTAGAAAAAATATGCATAATTTCTATTGATGACAAAAGAACATACACTTTGGAAGAATTTGAAGAAGAACAGAACATCAATATTGAGGGGATAAGAAGCATACTGAGAGACAAACATACAAGTATCATTAAACTTTTGAAGGAAATACTTGTATATATTGAAAAATATTCTTCCAAAAGCTTAAATTCTTTCAAAAGTTACATTTCTAATATTGAAAGGAATTATCAGGAAAAGTATTTTATATCAGTGAAGGTTTCTTTGTATAACTACTACAAATTGTTAACTGATAAAATCAGCAATGATGCAGTGGAGAATTATCCCTTATTTAAAATTTATGTCAAACTGAATAGTAAAAAAGAGCTTGTTTATGATTTTTCTCATCAATCTGCCAAAAACCTCACAGACGAAATTTATAAAAAAGCATCCGATATATTCTTTACATTTCATAAATTTAGTGCTGTCATTTTCAAAAATAGACAAAAACAAGTGAAAAAAAAATTAGCCTTTGCTTTGTGTACTACAAATGCAAATGAGAAGGACATGCTGAATGATTCTAAGGAAAATCAACTGAAAAAAAATGATAATAATAACCAGTGTATCAAATTGCTAAGTCAAATTAATAATATATATGTCAACTTTATGGAAAAACTCAAGGAAAAAATAAAGTGGCTCAAGTATTACAATTTAAAGCTTCTTAGTTTGAATGAAGCCGATTTGATGCAGAATCTCCACTCCTCTGAGGACACTATGAAGTATGTGTACGGTCAAATAAATGTATTCAGAAATTTAGAGGAAAATATAAAACAGGACATTGACAAGGTAGGATAAACATGTGACTAGGGAATCCATCAGAGGAGAATTAGAGGATAGCAGAAAGCTGCAAATCAAATGAGCAAAACATGGAGAGGGTACCAGAGAAATATCTCCTCCACAAATGATGGGCATATCTACTTCCTGATCTGCTGCCTCCATATCTTTGAATTTACAATAAGAGACATTGTCCAAACTCAGAATTTTTATGTTATATATCTGTCTTCTGGAAGACTTTAAATATGAGCACCTATTGATCTGCTCCTCGCATGCGTTATACTCCTCAATTTATGCCACTTTTTTTTTTTTTTTTTTTTTTCTCACATTTTCAGGAAATAATTCTCTTCATTGAAATAAATCTGAGCACATTAAAAGAAGAATTACTAAGAGATTTTAAAAAGTACAAAGATCTATTTTTGGATTATATAAGTGAAAAATGTAAAAAAAAGCTAGAAGAATTGTACGCCTTTTTTAAGGAAAATAGCAGTAATCTTCTAAAAGCAGCAGTAGATATAAATGATCTAAAAAAGCATAACGTCTTGTTAGAATATTGCAGTAAAAATTATTTAACACATAAAAAAGAATTAGATATTTTGGAAAAAGATTATTTAAAATTGATAGAATTAAAAGGAGAATTAAATGAAGACGAAATCATGAAGTTAAAAACTTCTTTAACCTTATCCAACAAATTTGAAGCATTTCTGAAAGAAAGTAGAACCATATATTTAGACACTAAAGAAAAAATGAAAAATGAAATTAAAAATTCCTACAATGAATTTAATAAACTATGGCAAAAAAAAAAATTATTATTTTACAAAGAAATGCCAATAAATATAGACAATAACCCTAATGATGTTTTGAATAAGATTACTTTTTATGAAGAAGAATTGAAAAATATTAAGCACATTCAGGAAAGTTTGAAAAACAAAATAATCCTATTTAATATAGATGACGTTTGCGATGAACAAATAAATGATATGGAACTGGACTTGACTCACCTGAAAAATATATGGCAAATGATAAAGCTTTGGCAGACTGTTTTTGATTTTATTAAAAATGTTAATATATTCTTCTTGTATGACATACTAAGTGATCTCCTTGTAATTGTGAAGGATTATAAGAAGGAAAATTTTACTTACACGTTAAAATTCCTGCAGCAAGAAAAGATATGCGAAGAAGAGGACTTGGACATTTCCCCTGACTTGGAAAATTCCCATGACTTGGAGGATGTACAATCTGCACAATTCCAAAATAGTCAACGGATATTCCTTGCCAATGATGATCAAACGAGGGATGAGAGTAAGGGAAAAGGGGAAAAGAAAAAGGGGCAGGAGCAGGGATTAACAACGAGAGATGCAAAAAATTTGAACATAAAGTCTTTTTTAAATCAACTGAAAGCGCACTTCCTTGATATGTTTGAAGAATTTTTAATATATATGAAAAGAAGGAGCGCATGGGAAATATACAAGGAGCTAAAAAATAGTGTAGGTAAACTAAAATATTCTCTAATTCTTGTAGAAATATTAACAAATGAATGCATGAAATATAGACATTTCAAAGAAATAGAATTGAAGACAAATATTCAGTGGAATATTAGCAACATAACGATAAATGATATTATAGAACAAAAGTTATATAAAGAAATAAAATTCATAACTATGTTGTACAATAATGCTGAGAAGGAAATGTTTATAGAAAACAATTTAAAAAAAATAATTAATAAATATGAAAATATGAAATTGTCAGTACAGAATTGTAAATCTTCTTTGCTTATTCAAGATATAGAAAAAATATGCAATAATATTAACGAAGATTTATTTTTATTAAATAATATAAAAATATACAACTTTGACATAAATTTTTTAAAAAAAACCGAAAAATGGGAAGGAATGTTGGGAAATTTATATGACAATTTGGAAATAATATATTTTATACAAAACAAGAATGAATACTTAAAATCCATTTTGTCGTCTTCAGGTGAAATGAAACCACATCTAAAAAAGGTGTATGAACAGTACAATTTATGTAATCAGAAATTTACAAAAATTCTTAAAAGCTTTCAAAATGGTTATGTGTTAGACAAAATTAATAACAATGATAACGTGCGTATATTTCTCCAAATACAAAAACAGCTAAATTTTATAGAGAAGTCTTTGGAGAGCTATTTAGAAAAAAAAAAAAGTTCTTTTCCTCGATTTTACTTTTTATCTAATAAAGAAATTTTAGAGATATTAGGAATATACAAAAATCCAATGTTACTAAAAAAAAAAATACAAAAAATATTTTCGTCTATTTATTCTATCGAATTCGTATCCTCAGAAAAAAAAACGCATTTTTCAAAAAATAATTCAAAGTGTATTACTACACATGAATATAACAAAAATAGCTTCAGTTTTAATAATAAAAAAATCAATTATAAAAATTCATCCAATTTTAATAAAGAAAAATTTCAAATGGAAAATTTTCCAAACACACACGAACACATCACACCAAATGTAGACAACTCTAGTAAGTGTTCTTCCTATTTTGACACCTACATTTTTTCTCAATATAATGAAAAGATAAAATTACAAAAGAAGATGAAACTAAATTATGAATCCTCAACTGTTATTTTAAAGAAGTTAGAAGAAAATATATATGAAACTTTGAAACTAGATTTAGTAAATGTACAACTAGAACTAAAAGAAAAAAATTTTAAAAGCTGGATTTTAAATAATCCACAACAATTAGTATTAACAAGTAAATGCATTAATTTTACAAATGATTATGAATATTTTCAAATACAAATTAATAAAGGTTCTCATATTTTTGTAAACCAAATGAAAAGGCAAAATCACAAGGAACTTCTCTTTCTTACCGATTTAATAAAAACAATAAAGGATAAAAAAAATTACATTAAGATAAGCGCATTGATAATTCTAGAAAGTTACTACAAAGATGTTGCAGAAAAATTGATCAAAAATAAAATAGAATGCAATGACAACTTCTTATGGATGTGTCAACTTAAATATGTTCTATCTGAGGACGAATATAATGAAAGTTTGAATATCTCAAAATGTTTTTCATCTAACGATTTGGTGGAAAAAACCGATCCATCAGCTGCTGAATGTGCAGCAAAAAATGTATATAAAAAGGGAAATAGTAGAAACGTGGGGATGCATAATTTGACAAGCATCAAAAATTCTATGCCTTTAAATGGTGGAATTAGCATAATCAATTCAAAAATTGGGGAGGTCATCCAGAATACATCAAGTTCAGTTAACACAAATGAAAGGAACAAACATAAAGAGAATTTTTCCGTCATCAAACCAATCAGAAACAAGCATAGAATTGACGCAAAAGAGAAAAACGGAAAACAGGAAAAATTTCATGAAAATAAAAGCAACGGACAAAATTCCAATGATTCAAATGTAAATAAAGGGGAAGCTGTAGAAGGGTTAGAAAAAGGGGTTCAGAAAAAGAACTCCATAGAAAAAGGCAACTTATGCCCCATGGATAGGAAGAGCGCGTATGAAACGGGAGAAAATCAGGAAGAATGGATTCAGGAGAATATGGAAAATGAAGCTGAAGAGGATAAAGACGAGTACGAAGATGTTGAGAAGGAGGATACAGGGACATGTATGGAACTTCTAAGGGAAGACATGGAAGTGGATTATAATTTAAATGCTGAAGAGGATATAGAAGCAAGGGAAGAATTAGAAGATGTTGAAGAGTTAGAAGCTGTTGAAGAGTTAGAAGCTGTTGAAGAGTTAGAAGCTGTTGAAGAGTTAGAAGCAGTTGAAGAGATAGAAGCAGTGGAAGAGATAGAAATGGACGAAGAGTTAGAAGCAGTGGATGAGGTAGAAACAAAGGGGGAAATGGAATCAGAGCAGAAAGAAACACACTCAGAAGGAGAAAAATATCCCAAAAAAGGAATTTTGTCGAAAAGGAACAAAGTCATAAACGATAATATGATAGGTGATACTGACAACCTAACTACAAAAGGTGGAATAAAAACAGATAATTTAAACCCAATCGATTTAGTTGACAAAAATAGCAGACAACTTAAGTATCTTAAAACAATAAATTTAATGCTAAAAAAATCCATGACTTTGTATTTACATTATTTTAATAATAAAAAAAAGTATGCTTATGAATATCAAGGGAACACAAATCGATTAGTAATTACACCGTTAACTGAAAAGTGCTTTTATTCTTGTTTATTTTCTTTAGACAATTTTTATGTGAATGCGATAAAAGGAGAAACTGGTGTTGGAAAAAGTGAAACGATAAAAGATTTTTCAAGAATATTTGGTACAAATATTATTTCAATAAATTGTAACAATAATAATACTTCGAAATATATAGGAAATATATTATCAGGTATACTCCAATCAGGATTCTGGTGTTGTTTTGATGAATTTAACAGAATAGATGAGAATGTAATTGTTATTGTGGTAGAACAATTCAGATGCATTAAACATATTATGCACAAATTTCAATTTAGCAGTAAATGTTCTGATCGACAGCTTGAATATATGAATTATGAAAACATATCTTCCCCTTATCAAATGACGAAATGGAGATCTAGTACTAATGCATATGATGTTAGGACCCATTTATTGGACGCACAGTGGAATGAGTTTCCAGAACCTTCCTTCCTAGAAAAAAAGAGCGTTACTCATTTTGATGTGAAGCAAAATTTCAAGGAATCAAATTCTGACACACAGATGAACAAAATGGGGGACGAGAAGTTAAACGAATGGAACAAATCAGGGGAAATTTCTGAATCTCAAAACGAGGGTAACAGAACCGATAGCAGAAGATGTGAAAACAACAAAGGCATGAGCTTAAATAGCTACAGATGTAGTAACACGAATGGTGATAGTAATGGCAGCCCATCAGGAAATGATCCTGTTGATTTCAATAATCCAACAAGTAACGGATATGCATTTTTTGAAGGTCAATATATTAAGACAAAAAATAACTGCTCCATATACTTGACATTATGCAAAAATAATGACAACTGTTTGTACTCAATGGAAAATTATAACAATGTTATTCAAGAATTTTCCTTTAAACCACCTAATTTTTATCTAATTTGCCAATTTTCTTTAACATCTATTGGATTTAAAAATGCAAAAAAGTTGTCGAAAAAAATCAGCATTTGCTACAGTTTGTTGTATGAGTTTTTATCCAAACAAGAACAATATATAATAGACTTGAGAGAAATAAAGAAATTTTTAAATATAGTGTCTCAGGATTTTATAGTAAATAATAAAGTAAAAAGTGAAGGAGAAATTATATATGATGCATTAGTAGAAGTAAACGAATCCAAATTGTTAAAAGATGATTTAGATATTTTTTACAATTTTCTCAAGGAACTATTTCCATCAGAAAAAAAAAAAAAAGACAAAAATAAAATAAATGATCTATCTGTAAAAATAATAACAGACATAATGAGTAATATGGGATATACAATAAATGATTACTATATAAATAGCATATTAAAATTACATAAAATTAAAAAAACGAATAAAGGAATTGTCTTAGTGGGAAAATCTTGCACAGGAAAAACGAGTATTCTAAATATTTTTAAACATTATTGTGAAATTGAGAAAAACGCAAATATTGTAAGAGGAGCTGTAAATTACTTGGATAACGAAAACGACAGTGGAGTGTTCTTGCAAAATAAGGAGAAGAAAAAGGAAACCCCATTTTATGAGAATGGATTTGTTACAATTAATAAGAATGAAGAAAATGACATTATTGAAAATTGCGGAAGTATTAATGAACTAAATAATAGCACCCAAAATATTCATCTCATCAGTAAAGGAACATACGAAAGTTATAATTTACTATATCCATTTAACTTATTTTTTAATAAATATAAAAATCAGGGGAATACAAATATGAGTGGGAAAAATAGTAATAATGGAAATCATAGTAGCATCAGTGGAAGTGTTAAAAAAATGAGTAAACTTAGCAGTACATATTCTATCCAAAGTAAAAATTCGACATGTGCATTGCTAGATTTTTCCAACAAGTATAAAAAAAATATGCAGACGAATGATTTTTCAATCGATGTAACTGTCTTTAATCCTATGTCCACAGATGTGAAAAAATTGTATGGATACTATAACTTTGAAAAGGAGGTTTATGAAGATGGTGTTTTATCTTTAATAATGAAAAAGTTATTTGAAAACAATAATAATCTAAATGAGAAGTGGTTGATAATGGACGGTCCGCTAGACATACTGACAACAGAACCTTTACACTCTTTGTTAGATGAAAATAAAGTGTTAACATTAATAAACGGAAATCGAATAAAATTTGCGGATAATGTCTTTATATTTTTTGAAATAGAAAATTTGAAGAATTGTGCCCCTTCTTTTATAAGTAGATCCAAAATTGTTTACATGAACGAGGAAGAATTCAATTACGAATGGTTAATTGAGAGTTATTTACATTGTAATTTTACTAACTTAGAAGAAAAGAATTTAGTTCAGAGTTTTTTTAATAAATACATAAAAAAAATTATGAATGCTAAGAAAAATAAATACAACTTAATTATTGATGTTAGTGATGCGAATATTATAATATCCATTTGTCAGTTGTATGATATGCTATGCAATTTGTACGATAAAAATTATCCCAAGAATTTAAACTCATCCTTATGTTTAGAAAAAATTTTTCTTCAATCTATTATTTATACCTTCTCCAATATCTTATGCCCCAAGAGTAAAGAATTGTTAGATCAACTGATTAAAAGCATAGACAATACTTTTCCCCACCTACATACTATTTTTGATTACATAATTAACAAAAACAATTTTAATTGGGTTTTATGGGACGAATTAATTACCACAAATCATAATTTTTTACCAAACGTGAGGGAAAACTTTTTTCCGTATGATAATTACAATCTTAGCAAAAATGATAGCAACATGAAGTATATGAATATGAACATGAACACGCTGAATGAAACACTAAATCCTGACACTGATCTTAATAAGTTTTTTCTAAGCAGCAATTTACATTTTAGCAAGAATTTCAACAAATATACCATTAATTATAATAACTTATTTAGCGACAATGACAACAAGGATGCATTAAATGCATATCAGACATATCACACGAATTTTATATCTTCCAATGAAAATGATATGAATGATGTAAACAAGTTAGACAAATACCACATCTTCAGCAATTATTCTAAGGATAACACTTATTCTAATAATATTTTCCTCGAATCTGACCTATTCAATACTTATAGTAAAAATATATCAAACAATTATTTTTCAGATAACACGTTTTCAAATAATAATTTTTCGGATAATTTATTATCCTATAGAAATGATAAGAGAGGAAAAGATAATTTTCCAAACATACATAACGATGCAGATTACAATGTATTAAATGACAATTTTATAGAAAGTTATAAAAAATCTTCATTGAAAGATATCATCTACAACCAAAAGGATAGTCTGAATCAAAATAGGAAACAGAAAACAAGCCAAAAATATTTTCATCAAAAATTTAATGACAATATATTTATAGAAAATGTCGAATCCTTGAGAAAAAAAAATATCATTAACATTTTAATGTATAACAAAAAGAACATACTATTGATTGGTAATAAATTTAGTGGAAAAACGTTTTTCATGAAGTATAATATATTGCCATATATAAAGGATGATATGTCAAGTTATTACACCTTTATTTCTAAACTGTTCAACTCAAGCAATTTAGAAAAAAAAATAGAAATAAATGTGGAAAAGAAATGTAGAAATATATATAAACCAATAGGAAATAAAAAGTGCTTATATTTCATTTTGGATGACTTAAATAATCTTCAAAAATATGACAGTCCTGATTTGGAATATTATTACTCCAGTAGCACAAATAATAGTAGTAGTGTAGGTGATAAAAATACCTTATTCGATTTCAATATCAACACAAAATGCATTTCGAAAAATAATAACCCTAATGGAACCAATGCACAAAGTGGAAATATGAATAACACCAGTTACACACAGAATACTAGCGTTTTTGAATTCCTAAACCAATTTATAGATTACAATATGTATTATAATAAGGACAATGGTTGTGTAAAGAATGTTGAAAACTTATTTTTCTTTTTAATATACGGAAATAATAGAAAATATGCTTCCACATTTAATAGAAAGTTAATAAATAGACTCCATGTGGTGCATTTGAACGAAATGGATGAAACATGTTTGAAAAATATTTTCCACGTTTTTTTAAGAAATAAATTCTCTAATTTTCATGAAGTTATTAAGAATCTATCAGAACCACTTTCCTCATCAACTATAAAACTATTTTTCGATAGCGTCAAATACTTCAAATCTAATTTAAATTGCTACCACTATTTTTTTCATATAAATCATATATTTAAAATAATAAAAGGTATATTTTTGTCAGAAGCTCCGATATATGAAGAAAAAGAAAGCGTGTTAAGACTATGGGTTAATGAATGTTTCCGTTCCTTAGGTGATCAACTGATTTTAAAAACTGAAAGAAAAAAATTTAAAAATATTTTAAAAAATATATTATATAAAAAGTTCTATGTCGTTTACAATTATCTTTTTCCAAAACAAAAAACCTTTTATTTTTGCTCCTACAATTTGCATGATAACAAAAGTGAAAATCCTTATTTCTTCTACCAACCGGTTTCCAATGAAGATGCACTAATCGAATTTTTCAGGGGGGTTGTATCTTCTTATAATACATTTGTTCTAAGTAATTATGACAAAAAAAAAAATGAATACTTTAAAAATCACGAAGCAGATTTGGCTGATGCGCAATCGGAAGAAGCAGGAAAAGAAGTTTCCTTGTCTCGATCAGACAGAACTCCTCTGCCCAACAAAAATAGTCTACATGGAATATTCAAGCACAAGGACATAACCAGGTCTGCTAGCCATAGTGATAATGAGAATACACGAGAAAATGCACTGAAGAATGACAACACACATGAAGATTCTATGAATACCTCATTATACAAGTCTCAAAAAATGTCCAAGGATATAGAAATATTAGTGAAAAAAAATGACAACGACTTCAATAATATTAACACCCCTATAAACTTCATACTTTTTAAAGATGCAATGATAAATATATGCAAATTTTCCAGAATTTTTCTCTTTGAAAATGAACACTTTATATCTATTGGAGATAGTGGTCCAGGAAAATTTACTTGTTGCCTAATTGCATGTTTTATATACCAGATCAAAATACACGTAATTAAAAATTTCTATTATGAGAATACAAATTTGAACAGCACAAATGATCAAAGTGCAATAATCGATGGGATTATCCATATTCATAATGATAGTATAAAGGGACATTATCTCACTAATAATATGGACGCAACAAAGGAACATAATAAAAATTGTGAATCGGACAAAATAGTACAACTCAGCAGAGACGATAGCATAATGGAAAATATTCACAAAATAGAGAACCATGCAAAGGAGACAAATTTGAGAAATGAAATAAATGATGAATCAACTGGTGAAGATGGACAGAACAGATTAAAACAAGAATTGAAAAACGAAAGGTCAGAGGGAGAAAGCTTAAACAATGGATATGATGCAGAAAGAGAAGAAAATAAGAATATAACACTGGAGAACGGAATAGATATTATTAACACAGGATGGAGCAAAATAAGTGGAGAGAAAGAAGAACAAGGCCATTTGAATACAAATTCAATAAACGGAAATAAAAACATATCAACAATAGAAAAATTAAAAGGCAATTATTTTATAAAAAAATTTAAAGAAGCTATTTTTAATTGTTACAAAAATGAAAAAAGATGTGTTTTGTACTACTTACATGACAATATGAATGATGAAATTTTAGAATTTTTACATGAATTGTATAATAATGTGAATTTAATTAACATATTTAATAGTGAAGAAGTAGCATATTTAAAAAATATATTCCTACAGAATGAAATAGGTTTTAAAAATTTTGATACTTTAAGTGAAATAGTAGAAGAACTTATTAAGAAAAATTATCATTATGTTTTATTTACTACACTGAAAAGTAAAATGTTTAGAAAAATATCAAATGAATACAATGTTATACTAAAACAGTCGACAGTAAATTATTTCAGTTCATGGAAAAATATATCTTACAATATAATAGCACAAGAAACACTAAAAATAAATAACTTAAATGTAGATATATTTACGAAGCTGCACAACACAGCATTAAAAATGTTCGAAAGTGTCTTTTATCATTTAGGAGAAAAATTAGACAGGGAGAAAAGAGAAAAAAAAAATTTAGTGAACGAATTTTGTAGTCACATAAATTGTGATGAATACCAAAGGAATAATTATACAAATGAAAGAAATTTCAATATGTCAAAGATGGATGAACAGAACAAAAAATATGAGAAAAATTCTACTTTAAACAAGTCGAAAAATACACTTTTGGATGATAACAAACAATCTATGGAAATTAAGAATAGCTTAAAAATGAACACCAAAGAAAGTTGCCATATGAACCCTAACCAAACCAAGAGCATCATGCAAAGCAAAAAAACGGTTAATGATGGAACAGAAGGAAATATAATAGGTGATGAAAACCAAAATAATGAGGATATAGAAAATAATATAAAATATATAAGAAATTCTAAAATTGTAGAAGATAAAATAAACATACAGAAATATATTAATTTTAAGCATTTCATTAATTTTTTACAATTTTTTGAAAAGTTATACAAGAAGAAGTTAGAGGAAACGAATAATCAAGAAAAAAAAATAAACATTGCATTGAGCAAATTGGCTGATGCTAGAAATGAAATTCAAGAAATGCAAATTCAGTTAAGTCTTCAAAAAGAAAATATATCGAAAAAGCAAACAGAATGCACACAATTGCTCAAAGAAATAGAGGAAAAGAAACAAGAATCTAATGAGAAAAAAAAAAAAATACAAGAAGACAGTATTCGAATATCAAGTGTCGAAATAGAGACACAAAAGCTAGCTGAAGATGCTAGAAAAGATTTACAGAATGCAATTCCGGAGCTTGAAGTTGCTACACAATCTCTAGAACAATTGGACAAAAAAAGTATTTCAGAAGTTAAAGCATACACAAAGCCACCTGACGTAGTCATGCAAACATTATCTATTGTTATGATAATTTTAAATAAAACTCCTAGTTGGGAACAAGCAAAAATTGAATTAGGAGATGCCAACTTTTTAAATAAATTAAAATCATTTGATAAGGATTCTATATCTGATAAAACGTTAAAAAAAATTGAGAAATTCACGAAAAATCCTATATATTCACCAAAGGCAGTTAAAAAAGTTTCTTCAGCTACAGGTGCTTTGTGTATGTGGGTTCATGCATTAAAAATGTATGCACAGGTATACAGAGAAGTTGCACCTAAGAGGTTACGATTAAATCTAGCTGAAGAGTTATTAAGTAAGAATAGAAAAGAACTAGAATTAACAATGGAACAGCTTAACCAAATTGAAAAAAATTTGTTACATTTGCAAGAACAGCATAATGAAAGCATGAAAATGAGTGATGAGCTTAGCAAGTCGTATGAAGAATCTTGTTTAAGAATAGAAAATGTGGAGAAGTTTTTTCTGAATTTAATGGACGAAAAAAATAGATGGGAAAAATATGTTAAGGATAATGAACGGATAAAGAAATGTATATATGGAGAATCCATATTGTGTTCATTTTTTTTAGTCTACACTGGTTTGTTGAATTATGAAGACAGAAAATGTTTAATATATGACATTTGTCTTAATTTATTAATAAAGAAACATATTTTTGTTAATACAAATTTTAATGTAGTTGATTATTTTATTGGTCCCATTCAATCACTTGAATTCCGTACGAATTTCTTATCTAATGATATATACATGAAGGAAAATTCTATACTAATTAATAACAACTTTATTTCCACATTGATAGTGGATCCCCATTACCAAGCAGCAAACTGGATAAAACGAAGTTACCTGAACAATAATAAAATGATAATAATTTCAGATTTCCATTCTTTGGACATATTTTTTAAAATAATCCATTGCATGAATAATGGAACTGCACTATTGATAAATTACATCAATGAAGACTTGGAGGACATATTGCTTTTAACAATTAAGAAATACAATAAGTTCATTTTAGATAAGGAAGATAATTCAATCTTGGATATATGCCACAACCAATCTTCCAATGATTCTCTAATAATGGAATATGTAAAAAGGAAGAGACAACTGCAGGAGAAATTCGCAACAGGCAAGGGAAGTGCTAACAACAATTGTAGTGGTAATGGAGGAATTAGCAGGATGGCATATAAAGATAAACTATACCGTATGAAACTACAATTGCTTAACGAGATAAAGATCCACAAAGATTTCAAGTTGTTTTTAGTTTCTAATAAGAACTGTTTCAATTTAGACCCCCTATTTTACACACTAACAACAGTTATTGTATTTTGCCTGAACAAAGAATCGCTAGATAATATTTTGTTGAATGTAATTATAATAAATGAGGAGAAAAACTTAGAAGAAGAAAATAAAGAATGTATGCTACGTCTAATTCATGTTAAAAAAGAAATAATAAAATTAGAAAATAATATCCTAGAGCATATAACAAAAAGTCAAAAGAAAATTACAGAAGATGATGAATTGATTAATATACTTCTACAATCTAAATCAGAAATTGATGAAAAGAATGGACATTTAGAAGAAATTAATGATACAATTAGTAGAATGAATATGAATGAAAATATGTTTAAACCATTAGCAAAAAAGGTTTCTACATTATTTACTATATTAAATGATTTGAAATATGTAAATAATTATTATCAATTTTCCTTAGATCATTTTATATCATTTTTTATATATAATATGAAAATATTTAAAAAAAATAATAAAATATTACCTAGTTCAGCCACTGAAAGACAAGAGATACTATTCAATAGTTATTTTTTAGAATTTCTGAAATATACTAAAGTTTCCCTAGCTAGTAAACACCATCTATTTTTTGTATTCTATTCTTTATGCAAAATTATGGTTTTCGAAAATAAAATATCACAAGAAGATTATAACTTTTTTGCATTTGGTACACAAGCCAATGAGGAAAAGGTGCGCACAAAATATATGAAAAATTACATGAGGAATTCTAACCAAAATGACGACGAGGAGGAGGAACATGCGTATAAACATAGAAGCAGAAAAAAAGGAAAGAATAAAATGAAAGCAGGACATCAGAGTATGTCCAAGTCCACGACAGACAAAGATATTTCTAATTCGAATAAGTATGCTGATGCAGAGGGGGACAATAAGGACGAAAGTGAGGAGGAGGAAGAAGAAGAAGAAGAAGAAGCAGAAGATGAAGAAGCAGAAGATGAAGAAGCAGAAGATGAAGAAGCAAACGAAGAAGACGCAGACGAAGAAGACGAAGAAGACGATGACGAAGCAGACATGAGAGACGAAAATGGCAGCGGGTCCAAGGAACCAATTGAGAAAGTTAAAGAGGGAGAACCGAATCAGCACTGCAAAACGGATGATCGAAATAAGGACGCTGGAATTAGGAATGATGTAAAAAACGACGAGTATGAATTGGAAGAAAATATGAACCCAGAAGATAAGAAAAAATATAATGACGAGGGAGAAATAGACAAAGTGAAAGGAAATGCTAACACTATGAATAGAAAAAGAAGAAAACAACAGAGAAAGAAAAAATACAATTCATATAATAAACTATCAAAGAACTATGGAGATGATAATTTTAAGGACTCTTTAGAATATAGTGATATGAACAATAATGGTGGAACAACAAATGAGGAGAAAACTTCTGATGTGATTAATCCAGGGAATGATTGGATAAGTGAAGAAAAATGGAAATACTTATTAGATATTGAAAAACTGAAAAATTTCGAAGGGTTTATCAGTTCGTTTATTAAATCCATTAGAGAATGGAGAAAATGGTTCAATTTTTTAGAAGTAGAAAATTATGTACTACCAGATGAATGGGAATTCAATTTGAATTCGTTTCAAAAATTAATTATAATAAAAATTTTACGCCCTGATAGATTAAACAAAGCTGTCGAAATTTTTATATATGCAAATATTCCATATAATGATATAGAAGTGGATCACATGAATTTTGAGTACATATTAAGGCCTTCTAAAAATATAGATCCCATTACTATTATTTATAAGGAGAATTTCGACCCCTTTCAGTATGTATACAAATATGCTTGTGATAATAATCAAAAATTAAAATTTTTAATTTTAACAAATCAAAACATCAATTTTGCTTACGACTATTTAAAGAATGGAATGGAAAATGGTCATGTTATTTTTATTTCCAATTTACACAATTCACTCCCTAATTTGAATAAATTAAACAAAGTTATTGAAAATCTAATGAACTGTCATACTGAATTGTATCCATTACATAATACCAGTTCAAATGAAATAGGTTTTGAAGCAAATTCTTTTCGTGCCAATGACTATATCGAAGATATTTCTTCTCTGAATACAACGAATATGTCTGCAAATGAGAAGACAATTCCCAGAGGTAGAGAAAAAAACATAAAAGTAGAACAAACTGGAAGAGTTGTTGAAAATAATGAGGAACAATGCATAAAAAGAGATCAAAAGGATGTAGGAAATATGTCAAAATTGTTATCCGATTTTAGAGAAAAAGACGTGTTGTCATACAATGTGCAGTATTACAATGCTCTTATAGACGAGGAATATGACAATAGTAATAACATCAACCTCTGTAATGATAACAGTCCTAGAAATGGCAACAATGTCTTACTTGAACGAAATGATAATAAAAAAATAAGGGTTCACCCGAATTTTCGTCTTTTCCTTGCTTCCTTGCCTAACGAGAAATTCCCAACATCATTGTTGCAAAAAAGCGTTATTGTGATTCTGGAAGATCCAAATAACATAAAGAAGAGTATATCCATTTTGTTTAAAGAACAGTGGGAATTAGAAGAAAATAAAAATATTCAGTTAAACAAATATAAAAAATTAATGCTAAGTTTATTCTGGTTTCATTCAATACTTAATAACAGAAAAAAATTTTACAACTTGGGATGGAATAGTGAAAATTATTTCTTCAACAACAAAGATATAATTTTAAGCAAATACATTTCCCAAATATTTCTGAATAAAAATATTAAAGAAATTTATTGGCCTTATTTCCGTTACTACATTTGTGATATTATATATGGTTCAAAAATTAATGACTCTTTTGATAAGGAACTTTTGAATATATATGCAAATGAATTTTTTAATATTAATATATTTAAAGGGAAGTATATATTTTCTAACTCTGTAAATTGTTACTTACCTAGTGATGTCACGAATGAAAAGACGTTAAACAATTATATGAAGGAAATTCCACATAATGATTATGTAGAAATATTTGGACAGAAAGCTTGTGCAGAAATTCCCTACAACACAATTGCATCTGAAGCAATTATATCCCTTTTCTCTCATGTAAATTCTCTGCATCTAAATCAGTATCATTTCCACAATACTAATTCTAATCATATTAATGAAAAGGAAGTCTATTCTCTTACCAAAATGCTACTACAAGGTATGCCTCACGAAATTTATGTAGATGAATTGATGAAGAAGCAATCCATGGAAGAAAAATACATTTACGTCAATCTAATGTGTCAGGAAATATACAAGCACAATTTGGTTCTGAAGAAGATCCGGAAATCTATTTCCAAGGTGCAGTGTGGTATGTCTTGGAGGGTGCATTTAGATGAGCCAGTAGTTGTCAGCAAATGTAGTTATAACTTCTCATACGTCTCACTCGTAGTAAGAAGTCATGGCAAATAATGACATGGGATGAGATAACCAATAAGGTGCAATTTGGGTGACACGTTGAACATCATCAATCACACGTGTATCAAGTGTGTTTCGCACATTTTCTATCTATTTCTTTTCCCTTGCCACTTACACATACCATGTGCAATATTAACATTTTTCCATTTTTTTTTTTTTTTTTTTTTTTTTTTTTTTTTTTTTTTTTTCATCCCACCCACACCCACACCTCTTCCTTCTTCCTACCTCTACAGCGTTAAAAGGAGAAACCATGATAAATAAACAAATTTACGAAATCATAAAATCTCTTAACAACGGATTAGTACCGAATTCTTGGAAGAAATTTTATATATCAAAGAAAAGTTTAGTTCCATTTTTTGAAAACTTGAATGAAAGAGTAAATCAATTAAATGAGTGGTGCATTAATGGGTCTTTAACAATTCATTGGCTTGGGGGATTTTGTAATCCAAAAAGTTTTTTAAAGTATATTTTATATGAATATTCTAAAAAGAATGATATTAGCCATGAATTAATTACGTTCGAATTTACATCTATAAACAAATCAGATGAAATTGAAATAAAAAGTAGAAACAATGAGAAAGGAATTTATGTAAAGAAGTTAATTCTGCAAGGTGCTAAATGGGATTTTATAAGCCAAACACTAATGGAAACGGATAATAACAATTTGTACTTTATCATTCCCACAGTTTATCTTAAAGTTGTTTTAAAAAAAAAAAGTGAAAATGATAATGATATTTATTATTGCCCATTGTACATGTGTCAAGAAAAGAATGTCATAGATATTAAGGAAAATTATTTGATGAAGGTATATATTCAGCCGTTATATATACATAGCCTTTTCGGCATCTGTATATGTTATGCATGTGTATGTGGTCTGTCCATTCAAATGATAATGTATACTTGTAATTCACACATGTGGATGTAACTTGGCAAAGCTAATTTACATGTAGCAAGAAGTACAATTGTTATACATCCATCTATAACGGGTGTATCTTAAAATCGTGTTTTGGTAATGGGTTTGTATCTTTACTGTGCTGCACTTTTGTTAATTAGCAACGTAAGGCCACAACGCGGTCAAGTATATGGTGTGACATACACAAAAAGTTATTCTTAACAATCTTTAATACATCCCGACATATACATAATATCATTCTGTTGTTGCGATATATATAAATTATGAACACTACAATCATGTTGCATATGTCATTAACACTGCGTGTTCTACAATTGTTTAGACTAATCAAAAAATATATACAACACATATATATATATTTTTTTTTTTTTTTTCTTCTTTTTAACTTTATGGCTCATTTACAGGTTGGACTCGGCACAGGACCCAAAAATCCATCCCAATGGGAAAAATTGGGGGTCCGTTTATTTTTAACGAACGAATGTTAAACTTGATTAGAACAATAAATAAAAAACTCATGGAGACCTAAACAGAGTTTGTTATATGTGTAGTTTTATATTTCTACAAAGATATTTCTACAAATATATTTGTATATATATATATGTAGTAGAACAAAATTCGAACTAAACGATACAACATGTGTTTTGTTTGAACATGGATTCATTTCACATGCAGTAAGAACAGTTGTTTGACTGTTTACAAAATTTGCATGTATATATAAAATATCAACGTATATGTATATGTATATAAATATATATATATATATATATATATATATATATATATATATATATGTGTAAAATGTGAAAAATATATACATATATGACAACATTCTTTTTGTCCATTAGCTAAAATTGTGTTTTATCGTCTATGAAAAAATAATATATAAATAAAATAATAAAATTTTATTTCAAACTTCTTTTCCATATGAGGATTTTAAAAAAGTTGATTGCTGTTTTTATCATAAAAAAGGGTGAAATGAATACTTGTTGACGTACTTATTTAAAGCATCACATTTTTCGTGTGTTTTTAAAGTGACTTATTTTTGTATGTAGCGTTTTTAATATATACGTAAGTATATATAAATTTGACATCTCTTTTTTTTTTTTCTTTATCGCCCTATTCCTCGTCCCCTCCACCCTTGGAGTGACAAGGGGATTCCCAACAGGCTAATTCTTTGACATAACTTATTATACATAATTTTTAAGTATGTAAAATGTGAATAATTTAAAAAAAAATTTATTCGCGCGTTTATTTAAGAAAGGAGAAAAGATGAAAAAGTGAAAAAATGAAAAAATGAAAAAGTGAAAAAATGAAAAAGTGAAAAAACGAAAGAAAAAAAAAATATTGCATAAACAACGGTATAACGCTTTTTATAATCAAATGCTTCAAATATTTCTACCCCTCATTCTTCTGTATATTTTGTAACCTGCCTGGTACATAGGTCAGTATATAATAATTTGGCAAAACGGGTATTCCCCCTGGGGTAAGGTGGAAACTACTCTACATATATTTTTTATATTAAAATAATGGACCCCTTAATTGGTGCATTATGAAAGGCGACATTTATTCAAAGGTATAAGATATGTATATATGTATGTAACATATATGTATAATAATCTCATGAGTCAGAAGCATATAACACTTATTGAATATGTATTTATATATATAATTATATATACATGTGTTTGTTTATATATGCACATGCCCCTGTTTGCCCTTTATTTCCAAAATTGAACATAAGAAAAAAAAAATTTTTTTTATGAGAAAAAAAAAAAAAAAAAAGCAAATTAATTATACCTATTTAAGTACTAGAAAGATATCCCAATTAAGAAATGAAGTAAAAATAGAATAATGTTTTGAGGATAAGATATAATATAACATAATTCTAAAATTAAAGTTAAAGGAATTTAAGATAACCAGAAAATTCACAAAACTGAACACGTTTTTAAAAGCAACAATTCTGAGAAAATACCACATTTCATTAAACAAACCAACTTGAAGCATAAAATAAAAACAAAAACGCATAAAAGATGTCAGCCCCTGTAAGCCTTGAAAGAAAAGAAAAAAAATATATATATATATATACTAATATACGTATATTTATATGTATATAACAAATTCCTGATTTGTACACAAATTATCGTTTTCATGTTAAATGAAATAAAAGTGAGAGTTTTATGAAAGCAGGATATATGTACACTACATTATGCAATGATTTGTGTGATGAGATATAATATATATATATAGTAAAAAGGGCGAATAAAAAAAAAAAAAATAATAAATTGTCCCTCTTCTATGTGAATCTCGTTTCGTTTAACATCTGCCATTTGGGTATATATCAGTACATACTTATACATGTACAACTGTGGAAAATAATTACAACTTGAGACAAACAGTCACAAAATTTATCTAGGCAATCAATATGGCCCACGTACTGTACATCACACATATTGAATGCAAACGCAAATCAAAATTTTAATATGTGCATATTAGTGAGACAAGAAGGCAGTTGTATATATATATATATATATATATATACATACGCATGTACATATAGTACAAGTGTTGTAAACCTTCTTTGCATTCATAGGGATACTAATTTCTTTATAATTTTTTATTTTTTATTTTCCCTCAGATATCGAAAAAGAGAAAGTTTATTAACGATGGTGTGTTTCAAGCAGAGTTAAATGAATTTTTGGCTCGAATTTTAGCCGAGGATGGATACTCAGGTGTAGAAGTTAGGGTTACTCCTATAAGGTAAGAAATATATCAGCAAATAAAGTGCATGCATATATCCACCTATACTAATTTTTATTATGATGTGAAATACTGTTTCAAAGCAAAACTGTTTATCAAAGAATGTGTTAATATATGACACATTTTTATTTTATGTAATTGTTCCTGCACATGTTGATAATTTTCTTTCTTATTTTATTTCATTAAAATTGCCTTTTATTTTTATGTAATATATATATATATATATATATATATATATATATATATATATATATATATATATATATATTTGCACATTATATGTTTTTTTTTTTTTTTTTTACTCCAGGACCGAAGTCATAATTAGGGCCACTCGTACGAGAGAAGTGTTAGGAGATAAGGGAAGGAGAATACGTGAACTGACATCCCTAGTTCAGAAAAGATTCTTTAATAAATCAACAAATAGTGTTGAATTGTTTGCTGAGAGAGTAGAACATAGAGGACTTTGTGCAATGGCACAAGCAGAATCACTTAGATATAAGTTACTAAAAGGTTTAGCAGTAAGACGAGCATGTTATGGTGTCCTGAGACATATTATGGAATCAGGTGCAAAAGGATGTGAAGTTATAGTTTCGGGAAAATTAAGAGCCCAAAGAGCTAAAAGTATGAAATTTAGAGATGGTTATTTAATCTCTACTGGAGAACCATCCAAGCGATTTGTTAACACGGCTACCAGATCAGCACAACTAAAACAAGGTGTTTTAGGTATAAAAGTTAAGATTATGTTACCCACAGCCATTGATTCTAAAACTGGATTGCCATCCATTTTGCCTGACAACATTTCCGTTTTAGAACCCAAAACAGATACTACAGATGCATTATAAGGATTAAATGTGGAAGTATATCCTATTTTTACGTACACATATGCACGTATATGTTAACATAAATTACATGCGCAAAAAAAAAATGTTAAGTAAGAATTAAGAAAAAATGTACACTTCAATTTTTTTTTAAACTTTAAAAAGAATAAAAATAGCAATAAAAACAGCAATAAAAACAGCAATAATAATAACCTTAATAATAATAGCAATAATAATACCATTAATAACACCATTAATAATAGCAATAATTATACCATTAATAATAATAAACTTGTAAATTCCGTTAAGCAGTATTATTTTTAATGATACTAGAAGGTTAGCTAATCACAAAAAAAGTTCTCAAAACTAGAACGTCGTGTGTACTATATTGGATTAAATATATATCCTTCAGTGAAAAAAAAAAAATCAGCGTTTAAAATGGAAGCAGACACAATTGGGATATTACATGCTGCATTCATAATATTCATTTTATGTTTTTACATTCAATTAAGTGAGGAATTCTGTGTATATTTAAGACACATATACTAATGTTAATAATCCTAGTAAACGAAAAAGCATGCTCTAATTCTTTAAAAATGTAGAAAAAAATTATATTCACGATATCTTCATTTTTACTTTTCATGATTCTTCAATTCTGGTTTTTACAATAGGTATTAATTTTTGAGACGAAAAGGTATACGTACAAAAATATCTCAAACGTCTACTGGTAAAAATATCGACTAGTACAAATGTCTACGTGGTGCAAATAATTCCACTTGCAAAAATTGATGTTAAAAAAAGTGTTATGTTCAGTGTCAAATGCATTTACTCCCTTTCAGCAGATAAAGGAATAAGAGGTGTGGGGGTGCGGGAAAATACACTATGGCAATAGTTCTTCTGGTTTTATAGGACATCCCATACCTATTCCAAATTCTGAATAATATCACATGTGAATATGTTCTCATACTTTAGAATGTATATTGTTTATTTAAAAAAAAAATCCATAGATAGAGGAGCAGTTGTGTTTTACACATATATCCAAACATAGACATAATTGACACAAAAAAAAAAAAAAAAAAAAAAAAAAAACTAGATAATCGATGAGCAATTCACAGTTCTGTATGTTCACCACTCAAATTTGAAGAACGCGCTATATGTATGTATTCACGCATATGCATGTATAATGCATTTTAAAAAAAAAGAATATATGTCAACATGAGAATATTCCTTTTAAGTAAATTTGCTCAATTTGACACTCGTGACGAATCCATCCATTGGTATAATCGTAGGAAAACTATAAAAAGCAATGTTGTGTGATGTTTAATTGTAGGGATACTACATTACTTCAGAGAGTCTATATGTGCTTAAGAAACGTTACCTTATAGTTTTATAAACACATACGAACTTTTGTTGTTGTATATTTGGCATTTTTGTAAGCTTACCCCTTGCAGAACCTACGAAAATCACAGTGTATGTTTCCGGTGAAGTTAGTGATGTGTACACGTATATCTCTTTTCAGTATATGTATGTAACACATATATATATATATATATATTTTTGTGGTGCCCCTTACCATGTTTTGCCATTCCCGTGATTGTTTAAGGACCTTATGGATCCAGCATAGCCTGATGAAATTTCAAGGAAAAGTTGAAAATAAATCCACCATCCTACTTTTATCATAAGCATCTGTTTCATGATCACTCTTTTTTGGGGTTTTACTTTTAATAAAATAGTCACAATCTAAATGGGCACAAACATCAATTGACTTTTGAATGCTTAAGTTGTAAGGTGCACTTTTCAAAATTTGATCACAAATAGACATATAATTCAAAAATGTTGTGTATCCGTTGGTATAAAAATAGGTAGGGTTCATATATGTTATGTTATTCTTCTTTTCTATAAAATTCTGGAAAAAAAAAAAAAAAAAAAAAAAAAGGTATGCGATTTATTTTTATTTATTTTATCTTATCTTTGTTTTTTGTGCACTCCAAAGTGTGTGTTAATTGTGTAGTAGTTTTGTGTTGCAAATTTTGCCCTTGGTTTGCATTGATTTTAATTTTCTAGATTGTTTCTCTTTTTTTTTTTTTATATTTTTTCGAATTTCGTGTTGTTTGATTTTATTCTATATTGTCTCGTTGCTCATAATTACATCCGAAGAATCGGCTGTGCAGATGATCGCCCTTTTGTTTTCATCATTCCATGTAACATATTTACAATTATTTAAGGTACATGCTTCTAAAGCTTTTGAAATGGATATAAATTTTATAACTTCTTTGCTTTTCTGAACACATGCTGTGAGGGGGAAAAGGTCATACAGATGTCATAGTGTGCTGGTACGCTCGGAATGGTTCTTGTGATCTTGGTTGTCATAAGGTTATTTATAACATTTTGCATTACCCAGAGACTGATCCCGTAGTCTGTTATATATATGTATACACATTTATACATATGTTTGTGTATTCGGGTGTGCAGCATATATATGTGGTAAACCACATGTATGCATACATGAGATTACTTTTTTGTAAAAAAGAGAAAAAAAAAAAAAAAAAATTACACGAGATATTTGTGTGTAACTCCTTGGTGGAAGATATTTCCGTCATAAAGATTTTTTTGAGAGCTGATACGAGGAAGAAAAAGGTTGAAAGAAATTTCATGTTAGTTTATGTAGATGCATACAAATGGCATTATACTCATGATCATGCACTTCTTTGGATGCTCTAAAAATAATAAAAATGAAATGTCACTCACTGACCTCATGCAAATGTATTCTATTGATAATTCAGAGGAAAAATCCAGATGGGGATTGTTGGTTTTTCTTTTAAATTTCGGCACGTCGATCTTGAAATGAAAATAAATGTTCCTTTTCATAAGTTACGCATCAAATGATGATGTGTAGTTCTATTTTTAATTGTTCTTAATTTTATTTTTTGTTTTGTTTTATAGATTTATTTGTAATTTTCATTCATCCCTTACACACCTGACACTGTTCCTTCTTGGAACATATTTCTTTCGCCATGTTTGTATAGTCATTTTCTGATGAAGTGGGAAAAGGTAACAGGATCTCATAATCAATGAGAATTGCAAAATGAAAATGTTAATTACATATGTTTTCTTTCTCTCTTTACATGTTAAGTAACTCTATTATTTTTAATAATGTCTTATCAACTTTATGCAGATATATTACGCATAAAAAAAGGAAATTCTCAAAAGAGGAATTTTCTATAATTTTTGCACATAAACAGATGTCACAACATCTGTAAAAATGGGAATATTAAAAGAAGAAAAGATTTATCAAGTTTACCTTCTTCGTTTAAGTCTATTATTGATGCCTTCCTAACTACCACCGTGTAACCTTTATTGCAGGATATTCTTACTATATCTCTCTTTAAAATAACGAATTATTATCATTAATGGTTTGTTTACAAAAATGAGGAGGTGCAAAAGGGTACATCATCATTCGTGAGAAATGGGGAGAAAAAGAAAGGAAAAAACATATAATTAAAACGTGTTAAAAATGATTAGAAATGATTAGAAATGATTAGAAGTGATTAGAAGTGATTAGAAGTGATTAGAAACGATTAGAAGTGATTAGAAGTGATTAGAAACGATTAGAAGTGATTAGAAGTGATTAGGTATAGTTAGAAACAATTATTAATTAACTTAATTTTAAGCTTTCTACTGTCTTTACATCGCCCAGTATGTTAGAATCCTTAGATGGCAAATAATGTTGATACCCCTCATTATTTATGAATCTTCAGAAAAAAAAAAAAAAAAAAAGTGGAAAAAGCGCTAATGAATGGATAAAACCACATATGATATGTTTAAAAGAATCAGAGTTCATAGCTATGCGATAAGAACATAATGTGTACATATGTATGTATTAAAACCCATAGTAAAATATAGGGCTGTCTGTTTCCTTGGTGACTAAATTTTCCTCTGAAGTAGTAATTTTTACTAAGGTGAACAAGGAAATGAACAAACGAAAAAGGAATGTCATTTTATCGGGAAGAAGGAAAGAAAAAGGAAAAAAACGATATTAGGAAGGACACAAGTTGTATAAGGACAAAAACAAATGACAACAAAAATAACTCGTGAAGGCACTGTTTTATTATTATTATTATTATTATTTTTTTTTACATACATTTCGTTTTAGATTTATATCTACACATTTTACTACTTTTCGTCTTGTGCGTTATAGAACGAAAATTGAGTGTACATACGTGTCATGCATCAAGATATGTTTATAGCGTTGTGAAAAAAAAAAAAAATTAAACATTACGTAGTACTTTGCATTTCAACACAGCACATTTCAACAATGCATATTTCAACACAGCACATTTCAACAATGCATATTTTAACAAAGCACATTTTAACAAAGCACATTTTAACAAAGCACATTTCAAGACAACACTGTGCAGGTGGACAAAGTGCACTGACGCCTAAAATTTACAAAAATCTTCTGCAAAGCAAAGAAAATTTTACTACATTAGTTCATTCCACAAGTACTTTTTCCTATTACATTCTTAACCATAGGAGATGAACATTATAGCCAATTATACCCCAAAGGAGTTATCTAGATTTTTCCAAAAAAAAAAAAAAAAAAAAGTACATACATTTCCGCACATGTGTAATGTGCATCATAGTCAAACATGATAGATACACTCTCTTCATAAGAATTTTTTTTAAAATGTGACCTACAAACCAAACAAGTGGCTATAACATATGGCAGGAACAGGAGTAACATCAATATAATGATATTACACTTTTTTTTTTTTTTTTTTTTTTTTTTTGTTTTGTTGCTATGAGCTAGCGTTTGCATGTTTACATGTTTTTACATATATATACGTATACATGCACAGACAGAGTTCCCTGTGTGTAATTTAAATTCTTTTGAATTGTCTTCCTTCCTGTTAACACCTAAACCACGATTATGCCATGAAATGGTGAACGTGCTAAAAGGCAAGGAACGTGGCATTCTCATTTAAGTGTTGGAAATAGTAATGTTTTTTTTTATAAACAATTTCTGTTTTAAATGGGTGAAACGGTAAAAGGTGCAGAGTCAACACGCAGCAAAAAAAAAAAAAAGAAAAAAAAAAAATTAAACCAGTCAAAGCCTAATATATCGAAGAAAAACAAACTATACTAATCAAACCGATTTAGACCAACTGAACTAATCAAACCGAACTAGTCCAGCTGAACTAATCAAGCCGAACTCATCAAACTGAAAATTGCAATACTTGTATCTCTTATCACAAATGTGTAATAAGGATCTTACTATCACTGATCATACATAGAAATGTTGAAAAATACAAGTGTTCGAAGAAAAAACAGCAATGTAATGGTTAAAACGATAGTTCAAAAAAATTATCAACTAAGTCCTATATTATTTTTCGTAATTTTAAATTTATTAAGCCTTTTAGATTGTGTTGTATCCCTAAGTCTTAGCACACTTTTTCAAGTGTGCATTATTCTTTATTTATTTTTTCCTTAAAATGGATTTAATACTATGCAAAAGGGAGGAATAATAAAAAAGAGTAAAATAAAATTAAAATGGACTTTTATTTAATGCTTTTCCTTTCTTTTCCTTTTTTTTTTTTTTTTTTTTCTTTTATCAATTTATGCATATCTAATTTTTAATGAATAAAAAACATATAAAAATTGTTTGTGTATCTTTTTTTTTTTTTTTTTTTTTTTATTTAAAATTGCAAAGGCAGTAAAAACACCCACTAAAATTTTAAAAAATTGAACAAAAAAAAAGTTAAAAAAAAAAAAAAAAAAAAAATACAATTGTTTAAACACATTGCACGTGTTACACAGTTTATAATTTTTTTTGTTTGTTAAATGTCTATACATTTGAACGAGTAAATATTTGATATTTATTATGACAATGTAAAATAATTACAAATATCACTGTGTTTATACACACATATATTATTCTTAATGCTTGCTTATGTTTGACACTTTTTTTTTTTTTTTTTTTTTTTTTTGCTGAATATTTTGCTTCGATCTTTTTGTTTTTTCCAATACGTGTTCAAGAATCACATATGCCTCTTCATTTTTGTGCTAATTATCTTTTCTGAAAACCCCTAAATTATTACATTTAACAGGGAAATATGAAAATAAGGAAAAGAGAACTTTAACAACATTTTCCTTTTTTTTTTTTTTTTTTTTTTTTTATCAATTTATGCATATCTAATTTTTAATGAATAAAAAACATATAAAAATTGTTTGTATATCTTTTTTTTTTTTTTTTTTTTTTTTTTATTTTTTTTTTTTTTTTTTTTTTTTTTTGCTGAATATTTTGCTTCGATCTTTTTGCTTGTTCCAATACGTGTTCAAGAATCACATATGCCTCTTCATTTTTGTGCTAATTATCTTTTCTGAGAACCCCTAAATTATTACATTTACACAGGGTAATATGAAAACGTAGGGATAAGAGCAGTTTCACACCAAACAGATTTATGCTTGCCTGCACCCATACAATGATGTAAGAGATCACGTATTAGTTGACCTCATGTGAGTTGTCCCCACGTTAATCATTGCTTTTATATGTTCATATACATATGATAGCTTACTTAAGCGTGCTTAAAGGGTGAAAAAAAAAAAAAAAAATAATAAGTGATAAATAATAAGTTAGAACTAATAAGTAATAAATGATACATAATAAATGATACGTAATAAATGATACGTAATAAATGATACGTAATAAATGATACGTAATAAATGATACGTAATAAATGACAAGTAATAAATAATAAGTAAGAAAAGATAAGTAATAAATAATGAATAAAAAATAACAAGTAACAAATAAAATAAAAACATCAACTGTTGAAAAGGGTCAGGGAAAAACACCAGCTAATTTAATTTTTAAAAACTTTGAGTTTTACATCTGTATATTTGAACAGACAAAAAAAAGAATCATGTTTCATTATTTCATTCGCTTAGAAAAAAAAAAAAAATGTGCACTGTTGACAAGTGAAATATTGTTCCAGTTATGTACCTGTACTCATCTTTTAGAGTTTCTTGCCTTTTCTCACTATTTGTGTTATCTTTGTGCCTCTCTCAATTTCTTCACCTTCCCTTTGCTGCTTTGTCCTGTTTTAAGCAAAATTGTTCACACCTTTGTATGACAAATGAATAATGGTTCATTTAAAGAAACAAATGTCTGCAGAAAAGAAAAACAAAAGGGAGATATCCCAGCTCCGCGTTTTGGTCATACAGCTACATATTTAGGAAACAATAAAGTTGCAATATTTGGTGGTGCCATAGGAGATGCAGGAAAATATAACATAACAGATGATATATATATATACGATTTATCCCAAAATAAATGGAAAAAATTGTCAACAGAAAATACACCATCAGCTAGAGCTGCACACGCAGCTGCTTGTGTAGATGAACAACAACTAGTTATATATGGTGGTGCAACAGGAGGTGGATCTCTTTCCTTAGATGATTTATATATATTAGATTTAAGAAAAGAACAACGATATTCTTGGATGACTGTTCCTACGAAAGGTGTAACACCAGGTAGAAGGTATGGACATGTAATGGTTTATAATAAACCTAACTTAATTGTAATTGGTGGAAATAATGGTCAACATACATTAAATGATGTATGGTTTATGCATGTAGAAATGCCACCATTCGAATGGGTTCATGTTATAATTCCAAATAGTTGTAAAGCACCACCTCCAAGAGTTTATCATTCAGCTGACATGTGCAAAGAAGGACCAGCTACAGGTATGATTGTAATATTTGGTGGAAGAAGTGCAGAAAATAAATCATTAGATGACACTTGGGGACTAAGACAGCATAGAGATGGAAGATGGGATTGGGTTGAAGCACCTATAAAAAAAGGTGCACCTCCAGAAGCCCGTTATCAACATACTTCTGTTTTTATAGGTTCTAAAATGTTTATTTTGGGTGGTAGAAATGATAATGGATGTGCTATCCCATTGTCAACAGCTTTATACAATACAGAAACAATTGAATGGGTCACTTTACCATCCATATCAAAATTTAGACATACATCTTGGATGCACAAGTATACAATTTACACATTTGGTGGATTTACACATCAAACGCAACAATTTCCTACAAATGAATTAGAATGTCTGGAGTGCTGTGTGCTCGTAAATTCTTTAAGCACTTTGGATTCTGATAAGAAGAAGACTGCGAAGCAATCATCCCTCAAACAGAAACAGATTTCTAGTGAAAACATAAAACATCAAGGAAATGATTCAAGAACCATGAGTTCGTTCAACCTGAACAGCCAAGACATTATCAACACACAACATCCTCATCAGCTACCAATCGGATCATTAAATAATCAATTTGCAGGGAGTAAACAGATATATGACATGAAAAATACTTCAAGTGCAGGGAATAATGGTATGGGTAACATACAAAATGCACATTATAGAAATATGTTTGATTCTCCAAGTTCATCTTTATTCCGTTTATCTAGTAGACCTTTGTCAAATAAAATAAGATTAGCAGCACATGCACATGCTGTTCAAGAGACAGGGAGCGATTTTGCATTATTAGTTCGAAAAATATCAATTGATAAATTGGAAGAAGAAGGAAGAAAAATAAATAATGGTGTTTTATGTACACCAGTAAATTACATTAGTGAATTTAAAAATACAGTATATGACAAAATTATTACAACATTGTTGAATCCAAATATAACTCAATATGAAATTCAGTATAATCATAATGCTGAAGCGATATTCATAATTCCATGGGCAAATATTTCCATTTTGTGTTCAATGGTAATAGATATTTTTAAACAAGAAGATATGATATTAAAATTAAGAGCACCTATAAAAATATATGGAGATATACATGGACAATATTATGACTTAATGAGATTATTTCAATTATATAAATGTCCAGTTGAAGAAGATTTAGGAGAAAAATTGAATGCCATTGGTGATATAGATTCGAATGATTATTTATTTTTAGGAGATTATGTAGACAGGGGATCAAATAGTTTAGAAGTCATTTGCTTACTTTTTGCATTAAAATGTAAATACCCGAAGCAGATTCATTTAATAAGAGGAAATCATGAAGATATGGCAATTAATAGTTTATATGGATTTCAAGAAGAATGTAAAAGAAGATTGAAGGAAGATATTAATGATAAATCATCCTGTTGGTTGCAAATAAATCAAGTTTTTGAATGGTTACCCATAGGTGCTATAGTAGAGGAAAAAATATTATGTGTTCATGGTGGAATAGGAAAAACTATTCATACAATTTCAGACATATCTCAGTTAAGAAGACCCCTAGTTGTTTCTCAAGTTCCTCAAAATATAAATGAACAAAAAGTTACAGATTTACTTTGGTCTGATCCAACTGACAATGATTCCATATTGGGAACCATACCTAATGATATAAGAGATCCTGATGGCACAGGACATATTGTTAAGTATGGTCCTGATAGGGTTCATAAATTTTTAGAAGATAATGATCTGCAACTAATTATACGTGCACATGAGTGTGTTATGGATGGGTTTGAGAGATTTGCTGGGGGAAAACTAATAACCCTTTTTTCTGCTACTAATTATTGTAATTCTCATAAAAATGCTGGGGCCCTCTTGTTTATTCGGAGAGATCTCACAGTTATTCCTAAGCTTATATATCCAGCTAAGGATGAAATTCGCTTTTTCAACACATGGTAAGTGTCTACACAGAGAGTAGCTAACTGTGCATACCTGTTGAGTTCGTGTGGTATATCCATTTGGAATGAATAAAAATATTCATTCATCATTGTTGCATATTCAGATGCTTGCATGCATGTAAATATTAGTTTATATCTCATTGGGAGAAAAAATAATTACGCCAGTGAAAGTATATGAATTTTTTCAAATTCGGATGTGACTAATTGGTATGCCCACGCGCAGGGGTTGTAGATCTTGTGTTTGCGTTTGTGAAAACATGTGCAAATAGCGCACATTTCCCAAAAGTGTGTAGCGTGCCCTATATCCATCATATATATATGTATACATTTATATATTTATATTTACATATTTATATATTTATATTTATATATTTATATATACGTGTGTTTGCACACATGTGCGTCACTCTGTTTTTCCTTTTTGAAGGGACACGAAAATGACCGAGTTGAGGCCACCGACTCCACCAAGAAATCAACCCAAAATGAGAGAGCTTAACTTTGGAGCCCCGTAGAATATTTTTCCCCACCCCGGATTTAAGAAGTTATAAGTTTTGGATTATACACACATGCTTAATTAAAATATTTATATGCAATCCTGGTGTTATTTTTTTTTTTTTTTTTTTTTTTTTTTTTTTGCAGTATTAGTTTTTTCGTCTGCACCCTTATTTTTGCACTCGTTTTTCATCTGTTTTCTCCCACTCATTTTCGCATTTATTTTTTCTCCTATCATCTCTCTCATTTTCTCTTTCCTTTTTGCACATTTGCCATTTCCATGTCTTAAAATAAAAAGACACCCCGTAGAAAATGTTTCATTTGAAATGCATATAATCTAAACGGGTGTTATTAGGAATGCTCGAAAAAGTTGCATTTACATAACACACATTTATTTGTGATTTTACAATTCCCTTTTCGTTCATCACTAGGGAAATAAAACATTAACCCCAAGAGGGGTACATTTTATTATTATTTTTTTTTTTTAAATATATATATATATATATATATATATATATATATATATAAATTGTCATACAAGATTGGGCATACATCAGGGGAGTTACATATATTTCTTCTATATGAATATGTAGATAGATAGGGGAAGTTTAAAAAAAAAAGAAAATCTGATTAATCATGAATATGTATCACGTTTACTATATTTCTGCACATTCTGCTGCATATTGCATTATTTGTAGAACTATTTATGGATTTATTTATTTATTTCATTTTTTTTTTCTTCCTTTTTTAATTCATTCAACTGAACTGATTTTAGTATAGATTGCATTTATTTGATAACCACACACACACTCTCTCCCCCTTCAAATACACAAAGATCTAGACATCGTCATACATACAAAGTTATATGTAGGTGCATTAAATAATGCGAAATAAGTGTGAAGAAGAAATAGAGGGGGAGAGGAAAAAAAAAAAAAAAAAAAAAAAATGAACTATATTATCTTCTGACTTAAATATGTTTTTATAATTTTTATCATTTTGGTTATATTTGAAATGTTTAATATGTTGTATTTTTATATATTTTTTTTTTTAATAGTATGTTTATAAACCTATGTTTTGTGCAGACTAAGAATTGTTACCCTTCAAAGGTGGATCGATCACCTATTCTCACATATGACATATGTTGTAATATGAATATGTTTTAGAAACCTGTATTTAATAAATATATAATTCTTACAAATAATTACCCTTGTTTACTATTTACACTTTGAATTTCTGCTGAAGAGTTAGCACATATTTCTTCAGAATTAAAATTTTGAGACTTAAAAAATTGCTCGATTTTTCTTCATAATTTTATGTGTGATTCTTTCCCCAATATGGGATCAATTGAAAAAGGAGTAAGAAAATTGTATTAACAATAATCATAAAAATGGATCAAAATGGATATAAAAAATGGAACAAAATGGGTATGAAAAATAGATCAAAATGGGTATGAAAAATAGATCAAAATGGGTATGAAAAATGGATCAAAATGGGTATGAAAAATGGATCAAAAGGGGTATGAAAAACGGGATACGAAGATGCAACAGGTGTATGGAAAATTTCATCACACGTCTATGCACTTATTCAGGTGTGAAATCTAGGAAATGAGATTTTATGTTTAATTTTCCACTTTAATCTTACGTTTTTAGTGCGATGATGAGAACATGAGCATATACTCAAATATGTCTTCAGATCTGTAGTCACATAATTTTCTATCTCCTAGTAAATTTCCGTCTATTCTAATTTTCTAACATGAAAGCAACGTTGGAAATGTTTGTTCATCACTAGTAGACATACTCCAGTAATTGGATACGTCTCACAATTTTGCACACGAAAAAAAAAAAAAAATCTTAGTATGTTTTTCCTTTTTTTTTTTTTTTTTTCTGTGTGATTTGCTTGTTTCCTTGCTAATAACTTTACGTGTTGAGTGTCTCCACCACTAGATATATACGTTGTTGACCTTTGGAGATGTTTTTTTCTTTCCCTGATAGTTGCTTGATTTTTGAATAATTTTTCTGTTGTGACACCACCTTGCCACAGTAGTTCTATGAACACCATATATTGCTGCTATTTGTGGGACGGATAAATTTTGTTCATATAACAATTCACTTAATTTTTCAGCAGTGGGAGGCCCATTATTTCCTATTCTTTTTTTCTTATTGGTATTTAAATTAAATGATTGATGACACTTGTTAATATTTGTATTTTTTTTCTCCTTTTGAATTTTCTCTTTTTTTTTTAAATTACTCGATAATAGAAAAGAAGCATTAGTGCAATAATCACCCCCCACCTCGTAAGAATCACTAAGCAGATTATTATAATTTACAGGGTCGACATTGCTATAATTTAGAGTGTTCATATTATTATAATTTGCAATGTTCACATTACTATAATTTGCAGAGTCGACATTACCATAATTAGCAGTGTTCACATTACTATAATTTGCAGAGTCGACATTACTATAATTAGCAGTGTTCACATTATTATAATTAGCAGTGTTCACATTATTATAATTAGCAGTGTTCACATTATTATTAACATTTCCATCGCTTCTTCCATTTTCTAAATTCATAAAATTTAGGTCATTTACATAATAATTATTAGTGTTATAATTATATGAATATCCGAATGGGTCTGTTAAATCATTCGGAGAATGTACCATGTTAATAAATTCATTTGATAATTCTATATTGCCATTTTTATTCATATTATAATTATATATATTATTTGTTATTTCTGGATTTATGTAACTTTTCATATCACTATTTGTGCTATTATTGTATGCACCTGGTATTATTCTATTTATATTGAAGGAGTTATATACCTGTGTCACATTTCTATCGTTATCGTTCAATTGATATTGCTCCCACGGGTGCAGGTATATATTTGTCTGACTCAAGGGATTGTTCATCGCTTCGCTATTTTTGCATTTATTTCCATTTTTAGTATTGTCTGTTGTAAACTCATCATTATTTATTTTGTCCGATTTGTCTGCATTAGCATGTGGTAGTGAAACACTCCCTTCGACTCCGGGGCCCTTGATTCCGTTATGCCTTTTCTGGGGATCCACGTTATCAATGCTGTTATTATTGTCAACACTTCCAACATTTCCATCATTTCCACAATTTGCACCTTTTCCAATGTTGCCTTGGCCGCTTTCCCCTGGGATGCCCCGCTCGTCCATGTAAAACCCTGAATTGGTGTCATTAAAATTCATTGATTTCCCAATGTAATTCACATCAGATGCAGTATTAGCGCTCCTATATGAACAAGGTGTGTTAAAATTTTGGAGGGGATGTCGTATGTCCAAGGTGGAAAAAATTCTACTACAGGTATTATTTCCAGAGTGAATCTTAATATTAAAATCATTACTAGCGGGGTGATTATTTAAGATATTCATGTTTAGAACATGATTCATATTGATTGAATGGTTATTGAGGTAATGTACATTTACGTTATTTACATATTCATCATTGCTACAGAGCACATTCCCCACAACCGTTGTTCCTTTATCTATTTTGTTATTTCTTTGTGTGAGTTTGTTTTGCTGCACAGGGGTAACTTGGCTACTTGGGTGATCTATCGAAATTTTATTTGGATTGTGAAGAGAGCCGTTGCTCTTTTTCGTTCTATTGTCATTATTGCTTTCATCATTGCATGTTTCAATATTTATATTTTTTCCTTTGTGAACATTTGCACTACTGTTATAGCTGAGCGTACTACAGTCTTTGTAGGTCTCTCTAAAAGAACTGTCTGTATATGTAATCTTATGCAAATTTAGATTTTCTGTTGGATCGCAATTATTTCCCGTTTCATCTTTGTTATGACCATTCTGAGCATCGTCAGATAATTGGTCTTTTTCTAGAACACTGTTTAGTAAACGGCTATTATTTTCTGTCATGGAGGAGTTCTTTTCGACATTATTTCTACCATTTTGACATTCATTTTTATCTGTAGTAATAATTTTTATATTTTTTTGCTTCAAATTGCACTTATTTTGTGTCAGGGTTTCCTCCTTCATACTTCCTTTTTGTCCATAGTTTAAATTGTCTGCATTTAATTTTGGACTGTTTTTACATGAGTTCACGTTATACGCATTTTTATTTTCTTCATCCATTTGTTCATTTATTCCTCTCCTATGATTACCATAACTAAATTCATCATCATCATCATAAGAACCGTTCGCAATGGTGTCAATGGGATCATTGCCATTTTTACAATTTCCATTGTTACTATTAAGCCAATTCAATTCATTGGCATCCTGACAGATGTCGATATTTTTATTTTCACATTTGAAACTCTTTATATTGTCACCAGGAACAGTGTTGTCTTTATTTCTCACATATGGGTTAGTCACTTGCATAGTGTGATTATTATTATGATCACTATTAGGATCACTATTATGATCCCTATTATGATCCCTATTATGATCCCTATTATGATCACTATTATGATCACTATTATGATTATTATACTTCTTCATCAACCAACTTCTTACATTTGGGTCCTTATTTGTTAAATTAGCAGAACCAGAAATTTCACCTTCATAAGGATGCTCAAAATTGTTGTTACGCCCCCTAGTTCCATTTGGTGATTTCACACATGTGTGATCTATTTTTTTATTTGCATTTGTGTAAATCATCCCCTTGGGCATATTACTAATGACATTTTGTTCGTTTTGTTGTGAATTATTCAAGTTGTGCAAATGAGGATAGTAGTTTTTATTGCTATTTCTTGCACTTTGTGAAAAATTATCAATAAAATTTTTGGGGTAATTATGGGTCATTGAAAAATGGGTATACAAATTTGGACTATTTAACGTACTATTTTCTTTTTGCATTTGTTCGGATAACACGGAATTATTAGTATTTTCCATCTGATTGTAGACATTGTTGAAACAATAATTAGAATTGTTTACAAAATTGTCTGATTGAATTTGATAATTACTAAATTGTTGATGTCTCATTGGAAGGGATGGAAAAATCATGTTATTACTGTTGTTATCTGCACTCCAAAAATGGGTTGCATTTTTTAAATTAATTTTAGCATAATTCTGCATATTATAATTCATGCTATTAAAATAATTCAGTGCTCCTAATTTATCATATTGGTTCATATATTCTTTACCAATTAAATAATCAGGGCTTATCATTATATTTCCCAATTTCTTGCATTTTGTAAATCCTCCATTGGAATTGTTCACCATCATATTATTGCTTTCTACATAATCCATACTCTTTAATATGTTTGTAAACTTGTTCATATTTTCCTTCTTATCAATCGAGGAAACATTGTCATTACGACCATTGTTGTGATTTCCTTTTGTTCCTTCTGGCCAATCTTTTTCAGAATTAAAATTCTCACTTTCTTCGCATCGTGGAATAAAAAACCCATCTTGCATAAATTGCATACTCCCATAATGCACACTGTTAGAGCCGCACATATAGTAGGTCATGCCACCTGGATTATAATTGGAGGTATGTATCCTGGTCTCGGATCTATCGTACGGATTACTTGGTATGAAGTTCACATTTCCTATTTGATAATTATTTGCACTTGATCGATTGCTAATGTGAGGAAAATCTTGTTCCATGTAATTGGAAGTGACCCCATGTGAAGTGATCCCATTCTGTACATTGTCATAAAAATCAAATAATGATCTCTTAGAGAGACGGATAAATTTTCTGCACTTGGCCAAATTATTCAACAAATTGTCATTATCCCGAGAAATTATAATATGTTCTCCGTTATTGTATGCATTATATAAAATTTGCAAGTCAGGTGACAATTGAAATTTATTGTTTTTAGATTTATTTCCCTTTGAAGAGAGAAGTTTATCGTTGGATTCATAAGAATTTTCCTTTTCCCTGAGATGATCTACATTTATATCATTGCGAATATGTGCATTGGTCTTTTTAGTACCTTCATAAGGCTTATGGAGTTGTAGTTTCTCATCGATTCCATCCAATTTTGTAAATGTCAAGTTGTTAGATTCACTCATTTTAGTTGTTTGGTATTGAATATGTGTTTTTGTATTTGTTTCAATACATTCGCTCTGTTCCTTTTGCAATTCCTCATTTTTGTTCTTCCATTGGGTGGGACAACTTGTTAATGTCTTAACGTCATTAGACAATGTCGTGGATGCAATTGGAGAATCTTCCTTTTTTTTATGATGAAGTGGTGCTACACTATTATATTCTCTGTCTTGCATAAAATTGTTTGAAACTAAAAGATTGCTTATAAGAATGTCTACATCTTTTTCTAACATTTCCCTATTTGATTTATGTATAATTTTATTTTCCTGTAAATTTCCTTTTTTGGAAATATTTTTATTAAATTTGTTTGCAATTTTGATTAAGATGTTAAGATGGGTATTTTCACTTGTGTGACTTTTATCCCTTTCATTAGTGGCGTTTTTTGTCTGTTCGTAGTTGGGGACAAAAAGGGGCCCACACTCATTACTGTTTATGTTTGTTTTTATATCTGTTTTGTCATCAGGGCTCGTGTCGCTACCTACACTCCATGGTATGTGCGGTTGGGCAAGGTTCCCTGATTCTCTCATAAGTGAATAGATCAGAAGATAAGCATACAATTTGTTGATTTTATTTTTATAAAAAGAGATATTGTTTATTATTATCCGATCTCCCAATTTGATGTCCTGTCGCTTTCTCTTCATGTGAATTTTTTCCTTATATTTTGCATTAGTCAAATGGAGTATGTTAAATTGTTTGTTTCTTACCAATGGATATAAATACTTCTGTATGAAATGTCTGTTTTGTGCATTACAATAGTAGCTTAAATTATCAGATTTTTTCACTTCATTTAATTGTATAAATTTCCTTCTGCCTTTATCAAACGAATGCAACGCCATTGTCATAATAAAGTCACGATTAGAAATATTCTTTTCATCAAAAAAAGGAGTTAACATTTGTTCACACAAAATATTATTATTCCATTTTTTATCAATTTGGTAGTAATTTTGTCCTTTCCCATTTGGGGAAAAATAATTTCCTTCTTTTGTGTACTCCTTTAGATATATATTTTTACGTGATATTTTTCCGTCGTCCACCTCGTCATTCTCGTCGTTCTCCTCCTTGTCCTCCTTTTCTTCTGCTCCCTGTTCTTTTTCCCCTACGAGTGGGTATATATCATTTAATCTAATTTGGAGAAAATTGTTTTCAACCCATTTTTCTTTTAATTTAAAAATTTGATTAACAAATTTGTCATATATGTGCAACTTGTAATAAATTTGTTTTTTTTTTTTTTTTTTTTTTTCTGAATATTTTTTTAATAATTTAAGAAATTGAAATTTGAGTTTGTCTGTACATATTTCGGACAATTTCAAAAATGGAAATTTATCAATATATTTTATTTTCTCCTTTAATGGGGAATTTATAAAATTATTTTGAAAATCTCGAATTTTTCTACTAATTTTTTTATTTGTGTTAAAATATTCCATAAAATGAGCTAACATTTTTAAAAAATTCATTTCCTTCTTTTCGTACACACCCTTGTCATAATAATGCAAATATGGCAAATATGATGACATGAGAATGAAATCGTTTAGGAAAGAGTTTATGTAACTTTGTAGATATTTTTCTGCATTATCTCGGAAGCTTATTAGGCAATTTAATTTTTCCATTTCTTCTTCCTTCCCTTCTGACGTGTCCATGTTGCAACTTAGAATGTTCCTCAAGTCGAACTTTTGTTCCTCAATTGTAACGGAACACTTTTCTTCTTCCCCTTGGGGACCACAGCATTCACGTGCCTTCCTTTGATTGCCCTCGCTTTGGTAATTTTTATCTTTCCCATTCACGTCTGCATCATTTCCATCTTTACCAATTTCGTCATCACCGCTTCTATCTCCATCTTTACCAATTTCGTCATCACTACTTCTATCTCCATCTTTACCAATTTCGTCATCACCACTTTTATCTCCATTTTTACGTATTTCGATTAGGATGTTTTTCCCATGTCCCCTTCCTCCTCGACATGTGTCCTGATTCACATTGTTAGTACCAATATTAGCAACAGCGTTTAAATCATCTATATCTTGTTCGTCAGCCACAGTGCCACATGGTGAGTAGTTAGCTTCTCTCACTTCATCATGACCAGTTTTGAATATTTTCTCGCTTACAATGACCTGAGTTACTTCATTGGAATCCTCTGTGTTATAATCAACGTGTGTTTTTACTTTCTCTTTCATTTGTCCATTTATATGAATATTCCTTGAGATGTTCATACCTCTGTTCAAATCAATTTCGTCTCCAATAGTTACTAACAATTTGCTTTCTTCATCAGTGTTTAACATTTCTCTATTTTTGTACCTCTCTCCAGTAGCACTATTATTTATATAATTTAGAAAATTCTTATCAGACAAATCCATTTTGCAATCCTCCTTTTCATCCTTTGTGAGACTAAAATACTTCGTAGATATATCGGGATGACATGTGTCCTTTACTATAAAATTATCCCTATTAACATATGCAAATGGCACACTATGTTTTATTTCAGAATTTGCAATTTCATTATTTATATTTATAGGAAGTTTTTCCCTGCATGCGTTGTTAGACTCATCTCCTTTTTGCACATTGTGTTGTGAAAAATATTCAATTGACATATCGTCATGTTTTTGTGCAAATGATTTTTCATTCTCGTTCATAGAATGGGAAGACACTTTATTTTTAGCATCACCAACAGGGCTATCAGCACCGTTACTATATATGTCGTCATATTCCTCACTGATTTGTCTAAAATCATTAAGGCTGTGATTACTAAGATTACTTGGGCATGTATTATCACTGCAATTGTGATATGACCAGGAATCGTTAATAAAATTTTCTTCATTTTTTTGAAAATTAGCATTTCCTTTTTCTTCATTAATGATTGCTAAGTTTATTCTGTTTAGACCATCTTCTTGCCACTTTGGGCATATGTGTTTCTTAATATTGATATTCTTTAAACTAATTAAATTTTCCTTTTCGTCAGAAGCGTTATTGTGACGATTGTGATGTAAGTGCAAATGGTTGTATACATTTTCATCGTTGTTTTTGTTTGAGACGAGAACATGTTCGTCATTGTTTTTGTTTGATACGAGAACATGTTCGTCATTGTTTTTGTTTGAGATGAGAACATGCTCGTCATTGTTTTTGTTTGAGATGAGAACATGTTCGTCATTGTTTTTGTTTGAGACGAGAACATGTTCGTCATTGTTTTTGTTTGAGATGAGAACATGCTCGTCATTGTTTTTGTTTGAGATGAGAACATGTTCGTCATTGTTTTTATTTGAGACTAAAACATGTTGATGTTTTTTCTTTAATTTTTTTATTTTCTTTTTAAAAGATTTATGACGGAAATTGAATATCTTATTTCTTAGCATCTCTTTCGAGGTGCTGTTCAAATGTATTCCTTTAGATATTTTCTTTTGGCTATTTTCTATGGCATAATTTTCTTTAAGGCTCGCTTTTGTGCCTTTTTTCACGTTCAAAATCATCCTAACTTCTGCCTTCTCGTTACATGTTTTGGACGATCCATTCACACCATCAATTGCGTTGCAAATATTCATATTTTACTGCTTCAGGAATTTATAGGGTTCCATAAATTACCATAATTTGGAAGTGATCAATCAGTATAGGTGCAGTAGCACTAGCACAACAACAATGATGCAGAAAAAAAGAGAAAAAGGAAAAAAAGGAAGGGATGACACATTACCTCCCTTCGAATAACCCACAAGCATAACAACACAATCTTTGTGAAAGGAGCAATGTAAAAATTCAGAGGCTTAAAGTACGTATAATTAAATGTGCAATGTTCATAGTTATAGAGACATGCATATTTAGCACATTTTTTTGACATCTCTTGCTTATCTTTTTTTTTTTTTTTTTTTTTCTTCACCAGACCATTTCACTCCTTATTTAAGGTGTAGAGTTAAAAATGAAATGGTTGGTGGGTGTAGACATGCACAAAAAAAAAAAAGTTCAATAAAAAACTGCAGTGAACAAGATCAATGAAAAAGATCAATGAAAAAGATCAATGAAAAGGATCAATGAAAAGGATCAATGAAAAAAATTCAATGAAAAAATGTAATGAAATGATACGATGAAAAAAAAAAAAAAAAAAAATGTAAATACAAAACACAAACTGTAAAGTGTTTACATGTCTATGAATCCTAAAACATGCAACAAACTGAATTCATTAAAAAGAAAAATACGTTGGAAAATGCATAAAAGGTTGAACATTAAAATATTTGAGAGAAAATTCTCGTTTAACAGCGGTTCTAACAGCACACTCTAGGTCTTTTACGCATTTAAAGTGCACATATGTACATGTGTAAATGCACATATGTATAGACACACAAATATATATATATATATATATATATATATATATATATATATATATATGCATGTGCTAAGCGGGGGAACACGTAGTTTAAATGTTCTTCGTTGTATAAAGCATACACCTTATGAACAAACTTTATGGATAATTTAATTTATTATTTTTTTTGTTTTTTAATGGATAGACACACAACACTGTTATTAAGAAGTATATTTAAAAACATGATTTTTTATAACTTTTATTTTATCTATTATAATTATTTTAAATATTTACACATGCATAAATTAATCATGTGTAACTGTACATGTAAACAAAAGTTGTGTATACTTTTTCTGTGAAATATTTCCACTGACGAAAAGCAAATTCATAAACAATTTGGTGTGTTAAACACACGCTTAAAATGCTAATTCATGAATTGCAAAAAAATTGGTGGAATAAATTAGGGTAGGAAATTGGATGAAAAATTGGAAAATTGGATGGAAAATTGGGTGGAAAATAGGGTACAAAATTAGACGGCAAATCAGGCGGCAAATGAGCTAGTAATTATTCTATTACAATAGCTATTTAATAGAGTACTAAAAAAAAAAATAATAAATAAAATACTAAACCATCATGCCAATCAGTAATTGCAGAAATGAGTGCATGTGTGTTCAGATAGATATACGTATTTACGTGAAATACATACCCGAAACACGCTTTGCCTACCTGCAATGTGTAAAAGAAGTTATTTTTTTTAAGAACGGAAATTAGATTATATTATATTATATGAAGTGGAGGCTTACACAAAATTTAGTGTTTTTATGTATACATTATATTGTACTATTATTTTCACTATTCCTATTATTAATATCATTGCTATTATGGCTATTGCTATTATTATTATTTATATTGCAATCATTACTATTTCTATTATTATTATTATTACATTTTTACTTTTTATTAAATATGGGATCAAGATGATAAAGATTTATATCATATCTCACGGGTTACACATTTATACGTTTACAGTTTTGAAGCGTCATAGTATTTTGTTCATATAAAAAAAAATGGGTAGAAAAAATTGACATGCAAATAATTAATGAATAAATACATGGGTATGTGACGATGCATGTAAACACACCCATATATACACTCATTTGGTATATGTGTACGTATGATTATATATGCAAGTATACATGCATGTATATATATGCATGTATATATAAGTATGGATATGTGTTTGGATATATGCATGAATTTATGTATGGATAAATGCATGTATATATATGTGCACATAATATTTGTTTTTTTTACCGTTTACATGTAATAATGAGGTAAGCGCACAATACACCTAATATAATATGTAGTAACACTTGCAATGCAAATGAATAAAAAAACTTTTTAAAAAAACTAGGTGATGAATACACGTCTATGATGTGCATATTTTATGTTTAAAAAATTGTTAGTATGTACATGTAGTGAATGAGGTGATTTTCTAAAAAATTGACTTGAGCAGTTGATAAAACAGGGTAAAAAAAAAAAAAAAAAAAATTCAGTGTGAAAATAGGCTAAAAATAAAGCTATAAAAATACCTAAAAATACACTAAAAATAAAGCTTTAAAAATACCTAAAAATAAAGCTTTAAAAATACGCTAAAAAAATACACCAAAGTACGGTAAGGAGGGAAATGTGTATCCGTTAGAATATGCTTAGTCTTGCAAAATTAAAACTTTTTTTTTTTCACTTATTTTTTCATTTTTTTTTTCCACCTATTTTTTCATTTTTTTTTTCCACCTATTTTTTCATTTCTTTTCTCACACTTTTTTTCTTCCCTTTTCTCACACTTTTTTTCTTCTTTTTTTTTTAAATAACGTTTTTTACGTAAACAATAGGTACTCACACAATGAGAAGAACTAAATAGTAAAGGCGTACCTAAAACTCAACTTCAGTGTATGGGGAATATAATTATTTTATTATATATTTTATTTTTCTGCATGTTCATTTCATTCCTTAATATTTGTTTAACACATTGTCACAATATTTGTTATAGACGAAAGGTCAGCCTGAGAACGACGTTTGGTTCAGTTTTGCTTTCTTTTTTACTTTGTCCCTATTATTTTATTCTCTTTTTACATCTTTTTTTTTATATCTTCTTCTTTTTTTTTTTTTTTTGCTTCCACACTTATTGACAATAAAAGTATACAGCAAAATCCAAACAAAATTGCAGTTAAAAAAAGTTAGGAGGGTTAGTTAATTATTATGCATAAAAAAATGGGGAAAAGAAGAGGTAGTACTAATAGTGGGGGATGTAAGGACCACCAAGGTGGGATAACAATAGGTAAAAACACAGTAAAAATGACAAAAAGTTTTTAAAAAATGCCACACACCAATAGTATATGAAATGTGTTACGATGTCGTGAAAAAAAAAAAAAAAAAAAAAAAAAAATACATTAGCCTTTAGTATATGGGAGTGACTCTATCATTTGAGGAAAACTGATTTTTATTATAATTGAAGGTTATTCATAAATAATGTGCATACATTTCCTAACATATGGAAAACAATAATGAAAACAAATAATTAGTAATCTTTATGAATATATTACTAACTTTTTTCCTGTCCCTTTTATTTTACGCTTTACGAGTGCATTCTATGTAAACACACCTCATGGAGCAAGCTACGTGTATGTTTGTGTGTGTGCATGTATGTATGCATCACACCTATGTATATAAAAGTAAATGTACATGATTACAGGGACATGTATAAATCCATGTATGTATGTATATATATATATATATATATATATCTTTTCTTAAAGCATTTGTTGGTTAATAAATGAGATGAGAGGAAAATTCTTCCATACGTTTTTTTTTTTCTTTTTTCCTGACATATTGGAGTTTTCCTTTTTGAATATTCACACATATTCAATGAATTGAAAAAAAAAAAAAAAAAAAGCTTATGCAGTACAAAATTTTTAAAAATTGTTATTAGCTTTATTAATTCATTTTACATAATGCTCTACGAACTTAATATAACTTTTTTTTTTTTTTTTTTTTTTTTTTTGGATAAGAACCGCAAGACTTATTATTTATTTATTTTTTTTTTTGGATGTTTATACCTCTTTCAGGACTAAGAAGTATTACTCGTTCTTTAATGTATACACACGTACTACATATAATATGCTGCATATTCACTAACCTTCTTTTTCCTTTTTGACTTAATTGTATGAAATACATGTTATAACGCATAAACGGATGGAAAGAATATTAAAAACTACGCAATTTCATTTTATAAAAGGGCATAATTAGATGTTTTACTTTTTTTTGTGAATTCATTAAATGGACTATGAAAAAAAGATTAATAGAAATACAAAATAAAAAATAATAAAAAAATGAAATAGAATAAATACATATAACAACATTGTGTGACAGGGTGAATAGACGCATATGTATATTTAATACACACAATAGTGAAAACAGTGTAATCGTTTAAATCGTTTTACATGATATATTTTTCTATTCCATTTAATCATAGCATTTAAAAAAATAAAAAGAAATCGAAATGATTATTACAATGGATGAATTTGTTTTAAGGTGCAATATTTATCATATTTGTGTAGGGAAAAAAAAAAAAAAAAAAAAAAAAAAAAACGAAAGTATGGAATGAGAACCATATATGTGAGTGTATTTATTTTATTTTCTTACAAAGCATTTGTGCTAATTTTTTTGGTTTCAATATTGAATATGTAATAATGTAGAATTAGTTACACATTACACATACTTTAAAAGACACGTTATATAAATTATTTGCAATATTGTTTAGTATCATTTATTGATTTTTTTTCCTCACTCTTTTTATTATGCAAAACATCAAATTGGGAAAAGTGAGAATTGTTTTTGCTTTTTTACGAATTCTTAATCCATCTTCTAAGGAGTGAAGCAGTTCATGATGATAAATATTTGCACACTAAAAGGAGTGTGTTACAAAATTCACTTGTCCCCTTTTTCTTTTTTTTTTTCTTTTTTTTTTTTTTCATTTTTGCGCTTTGCATATGAAAAGGAAGTGAGTTCATTAAATATTTAACAAATTAGCCAAGATGTTAAAAATAAATATTGGATACCTATTCGTATACAATAATTTATGCTACAATTTTTCGTATATTTGGTAAAAAATGCAAAATAATGTTTACACTAAATGTACAAATTGATGGGAATCTCTTTTCATGATATATAATTTCATTTTGTTGCATAAACATTTGAGTATTTATGTGTTAATATTGTTTAGGTGTAGTAAAATTCTGGTAATTTGTTCGTTTTATATATTTAGGTATATATTTTTACATGCACATTACATATCTCTGAAGTCATTTTTTTTTTTTGTGAATCATGTGTTAAGCATATGCACATATATATGAGATGTTGGATGGTAATTTGATGGTTGTATGAACGCTAAGTTATGTATTGTTAAATGCTTATGCCAAGGAGGTGTGTATTTTTTTTTTTCCCATAACTGGTCACTCGTAAAATATTATGAAGCTGAACAATTCAACAAATTTTAAAATTTTATTTAACCGGTATATTGTGATTTCATTTGTTCGGCATGTGTTTATTTGTGTATGAGGAAAAAGAGTTTCAGAAAAAAAATACTTCTGTATGTATGCATGTATGCATGCATGTACGTGTGTGAGTGTATATATTTTTTTCCTGCTATTTTTAAAGCACTCAGAAAAAGTGGTATATATAAAAAACATGATCCAAAAAAATTCTGGAGCGTGGGAAACTAATATATTTTCAGTGTATAGTCTTTAGCTTAATACTAAGTATTTTTAAACACCTTCCTTTTTCCCCTTTTGTTTGACACTCTTTTTTTCTTTTTTTCTTTTTTTCTTTTTTTCTTTTTTTCTTTTTTTCTTTTTTTCTTTTTTTCTTTTTTTTTTTTTTGTTTGATTTGGTTTTGTGAGAATTACTATGCATAGCCATTTTTAGTAGGAATTTTAAATTATTAGCAAATTTATTAAAACAGAAAAAAAAAAAAAAAAAAAAAAAAATTAATACACCTTTATAAGAGAAGGGGAGGCATGATATACATAGAAGCATGAATTTTCTTATATGCAGCATTTACATATATATCAAAAAATAAAAACAAAATGAACGAACATTTCATATGCAAACGTGGAATACGCATGTGAAACTATTGGTGTACACAAATATATACATTTTATTCTCAATTCCTCAAAAATGAAATAAAATAAAATTTGTGTTCTTCACAAATAACACAAGAAGTGATATCAGAGAATAATAAAAAAAAAAAAAAAAAAGAAAAAAAAAGAAGAAAAAAAGAAGGAAAAAAAAAAAAAGGAGATATGCTACTAGTATCCAAAAAAATAATAAGAAAAAATTTGAAAAGTTGTCAAGAGGAATTAAGAAAGTATGAATGAAATACGTAAAAACTTATGAGATTACAAGAATACAAAAGATAAGAGCACACCATACACATAGGATTGTACATACTTATTAGCTGAAAAACATAGGAAAAATAAATTTAATCAGCAGATCGAGCGCCGTGACAATTTTTCTCCTCTTTAATTATAACAGTAAATGCGTAATTTAACTGAATTGTTTTATCCCAAGGGGAGAAAAACCTAGCAAGAAGGTGATACAAAATAATGACGTAGTAAGAATAAAAGAGGGATTAAAGTTAAAATTTTACAAGAATTAATCAAATCTGAAAAGAACAAAAACGAAAGTGCAAACAGTAGAGCCATATTAAAAGTCCATAAGAAAGGGAAGGTACGACATTAATGTAACAGTATCCAGGCACGAGACACACACAGTAAAGTTTACATCTCTCCAGAAATTGAAAATATTAAAAAAAGAAGAAAAAAAAAGAAAAAAAATTGTACATGCACATGCATGCATGGTACTAACATAGGAAGACGTAAAAGAGGTAACATTCATAACATCTGTTTTTTTTCGAATAGGAAATATTCACACTTTTACATATATGCAACAGCGTGTGTATCGCTTCTGTAGTTACCCCCAAGTGAGTTAACACATATACTTATTCAGCCAAGAAAAAAAAAAAAAAGAAAAAAAATGGATTTTGAGAAAAATTTGCACCAAAGTGACATTGTCACATCAGCTTCAAGTGTTATAGCATTACTGAATGAAGAAGAAGCGAGTTTAAAAATATTTGGTTTGGAAAAATTGAATGCCATTGTTGATATTTATTGGCCTGAATTAGCTGATTATATTTTTAAAATAGAAGAATTATGTGAAGACCAAGATTTTATTGGTAGAGAACTAGCCAATTTAGTGGCTAGTAAGGTTTATTTTCATTTAGAAAAATACCCTGAAGCCTTAAAGTATGCATTGTGTGCAGGTAAATTGTTTAATATAAATGAAAAGTCTCAGTATGTCGAAACGATGTTGGCCAAGTGCATAGAAAAATATGTAGAAATAAGGGAAAAAGATTATGAAGGGGAAGGAATTATTACTTCGAATAACACTCATAGCATTATCAACCATGGTGATATAAGTAATAATAACGACGTAAGCAGTGTGAGTGATGCGCAGAATTTTAACATTAATAGTTATGTTGAAAAAAGTGGATATAATAATGACATAGAACCAGAGAATACCTACAGCAGAAGCAACTTCAGTTTATACAACAAAGAGGATAGTAGTAATGACAAATTGAAAAATGAAACTGATATTTTTAAAGGAGATTTAAAGAATGAAATTAATAAAAAGATGGAATTGTTTGTTGATGAGATGCTGGAGATTTGTATAAAAAATAATAGTGTTAAAGAAGCATTAGGTGTTGCATTAGATGCAAGAAGATTAGATAAAGTAGAATATATAATTTTAAATTCTCCAAATAAAGTTGAAATATTACAACATTCAATTACAAATGAAAGATATATAAATACAACAAAAAAATTTAGAAATGATTTTTTTAAATTATTAGTAAAAATATATCTTTCTATGGATCCAGAAGAATTGAAAACTGAATATATATATTTATGTGAATGCTTATTTTATATAAATGATTACAAAAAGGTGGCAGAAATTCTACTGAATTTGATAAATGATTACCATTTAATGGCATATCAGATATCATTTGAACTTGTAGATTTAGAAAATCGAAATTTCTTAAAAAATATTTTAAAGCAAATTAAGGAAATTCTCATACAAAATAAGGCCTTCTACTATGGAGAACAGAACTACTCTTGTGAATCCAAAAAGAGATCTTATTTGCATTTGGGTGTAGATGCCACTGCTGATGCTGTTGCGAAAGAAGAGGAATCATCTAGTATTGTTCCCCAGGAAGAGGCTCTAGCCAATGAACCCTCTTCCCAAGCAGATGTGCAAGTAGATTCTAGCGAATTTGGAAGAGACACTGTACCAGAGGGAAGTAATGTTAATGATAGCGGTGAAAACGGAGACGGAAGAGGAAATAGTGGAGATAACGACCAGAACAATTATGATACAAATGGTATGAATGCAGTTGAAGGCACGAGCAACAGTGGAGGTTTGAACAGTAGCGGTGTGAACAACAGCTTCGCTAAGAGAGAGGAGGAGAAAAGCAAATTGTCTGATGATATACTAATGTACATAAGCGAGAATCACAAGCTGTATGACAAAATAAAAAAGCTGGTGTTCATATTAACAGGGAAAGTAACAATAAGCCTATACATAGAATTTTTGCATCGAAATAATCACGCAGATTTAATTTTACTGGATAGCTATAAAAATGTAGTCGATTCTAGAAGTAGCATAACTCATCATGGAATTGTGATAGCTCATGGATTGATGCAAACTGGAACTACATGTGATGTATTTTTACGTTCCAATATTGAGTGGTTATCTAAGGCAGTTAATTGGGCAAAATTTTCTTCAACAGCTTCGTTAGGTGTTGTGTATAAAGGACACGTGAATGATTCGTTTATTGTTTTATCATCACATTTACCGTACAATGATGTTTCTAGGCAAATTGCAAACAATTTGAATGTAGTTATATCCCCAAGTGGTGTGTATTCAGAAAGTGGTTCTCTCTATGCTCTCGGATTGATACATGCGAATTATAATACAAATGATAAGAAAGTGAAAAACTTTTTATTAGCTCAATTGAAGTTAACTGTAAATGATGAAGTACTACAACATGGTTGTTGTTTAGGGTTAGGGTTAGTATGCATGGGAGAAAATGATGATGATCAAGTATATGATGAACTTAAAGGAGTTATGTATTCTGATTCAGCAGTAGCAGGAGAAAGTGCAGCATATGCAATTGGATTATTAAAATTAGGGAGTGGGGATTCAAAATGTGTAGATGAATTGTTAGCATATGCACATGACACACAGCATGAAAAAATTACAAGAGCATGTAGTATAAGTCTTGGTTTTGTAATGTTTCAAAAAGAAAAAGAAGCTGATGTGTTGATTGATGAATTAATTAATGATAAGGATGCAATAATAAGATATGGAGGTATGTTTACCATAGCTATGGCATATTGTGGTTTATCTAGTTACAATAAACATATAATAAAAATGTTATTACACTTTTCTGTGTCAGATGTAAGTGATGATGTTAGAAGGGCAGCTGTAATTGCATTAGGTTTTGTCCTTTGTAATAGTCCTTCACAGGTGCCCATGTTTTTAAATCTTCTAATCGAAAGTTACAATCCGCATGTAAGATATGGTGCTGCATTAGCCTTAGGAATTGCATGTGCAGCATCAGGGAATGAAGAAGCTATTAATATGCTTATGCCATTGTTAACAGATACAACAGATTTTGTACGACAAAGTGCATTCATATCATTAGGATTAATTTTTCAAGAATCAAATGAACATGTGAATCCTAATTTTAAAAAGTATAAAGATGAAATTATGAGAATATTATCAGATAAGCATGAAGATATTATAGCAAAATTTGGTGCTACAATTGGTGCAGGATTGTTAGATATATGTGGAAGAAATGCTATTTCTACGTTTTTTACAAGAAGGGCTAATATTATTAGGCCACAAGCAGCTGTTGGTTTTTGTTTATTTTGTCAATTATGGTATTGGTTTCCTTTAATTCATATGATCAGTTTAACATTTTTGCCAACCTGTTTAATTGGATTAACTGAAGATTTAAAAGTACCAAAAAATTTTTCAGTTTTTTCTACATGCAAAAATCAGATCTTTGATTATCCCTCCTTTTTAAGTAAAGAGAAAACTAAGGAAAAAAAAGAAACGATTACTGCCGTTTTGTCTACCACTGCTAAACGTAAATCATTAAAATTGAAGAAACAAAAAAGTGATAACAAATTAGCAAAAGAACAGAAAACTCAAGATGATAATAGTTCTGTTTTATCTGATGGAAAATCCATGAAAAATTTAGAAGTTCTTAGTACTGCGGCCACAGTAGGTCAATCAAGTCACGTTTCTCATGCAGAAAGTGTAGAGGGAAGTGCTAATGATGAGAATACGAATGAGCAAGCAAATGACTCCAGCAATTTTTCTAATCTACACAAAATTAAAAAGGCAGATAGCAAGATTAAAACTTCTGCAAATATTCCATCTTCAATCAATAACACGGTAAGGACTTGTGTGGACTTATGTGTGTGTGAGTGACGTTTTCTTATGTTTCCTTTTCCTTGATGCGCGGGGCGAAACATTGTCATACGTACATTTCACTATTTCTGCCCCACGTATTTCTGTTTGCACGAATGTGTGGTGAATTTGAAAAAGAACGTTTCTCTTCGACGATCTGTCTGTAAGCCTCTTCTCTTATCTGCTCCTTCACCTCTTTGCCTATCTTCCAGTGTGTCATTTCTTATTTTTCCCCACTCGTACAGGTGGATATGAAGAACCCATGTCGAGTGATAAAAACGCAGGAAAAGTTCATCGAATATCAAGCTAATAGCAGATTCAAGCCTATCTTGCCCTCGAGGAAATCTGGTTTCATCATGCTAGTGGACACAACGTAAGATTAAAGTGTAAATGAATGATAAATATAGAAGTGAAAAAAAAAAAATATAATTTTGTTCTTATTTTTTTTTGTCACATATGAACGTTGTACTTTAAATGTACTATATACTGTTTTATTTTGCAGGCATATGAATTTTTTTTTTTTTTTTTTTTTTTCTCTCATGTTTCCTATAAATACACATAACACACCCCCTTCCGTAATCCCCATTTTTTTAGACCATCAGAACCATCTGATTTCATCGAAATAAATCTTGAGAGCAGTGCGAAAAAGGAGGCCCCACCATTTGAGCCTTTCGCATGGAAGGAGGAAAATTGATTTCCTTTTGGCTCATAATTTTTGTAAAATATTATTTGGACATATAAATATTTAAAACGAACTCAGTTTTGGGTACCTCTCTGTTGCTTGGCCTGATTTTGTTAAATAAATAATTTAAGTATATTTATCTTATCCTTGTTTTAAGTACCCGCAACTACCACTTCCATTTCACATATTTTCTCCTCAGTTACCCTATAATTTAAATCGAGAAGAATCGATAATAAGCAACATAATATATACAATCCATGATAATTTCCAAGTTCTCATAAATTGCGCATTTGTACTACATTTTTGATTTTTTTACATATTATTTTAACCCCCTGTTCCTTCCCGTCTAGTGAGAAAAATATATGACAATGATTTTTTTTTTTTTTTTTTTTTTTATTTCACCCTTCCAAATTACAATAAGAAATAATAATACATGAGAAAGACATAACAATCAGAGAATGAAAGGAAAAAAATAAAAATATGTACAAACTTTATGAGTTAAGTAACACAATTCTACATAAAAATTTTCGTGTATCTATTTTTGCTCAGTTACGCGACAAAGCATGTATACATATGCATGTGCGCAAGTGCTTAGATATATACACATGTATAGAGATATATGTACACATTTATAGTTATTTATAGACACTTATATAGTTATATACATGTATATACGAACGTGTGTGCTTGTGGAAATTGGAGTAAGAAATATGCGCTGGTGAAAATTTGCGTGCAGGAAGACAGGGGTGTGCAGTGTATATATTTTTGTGTTGTTAAAAAATGAATTAAATAAAAATAGACAAGCACATGGTGACACCTTAGTCATTTATTAACTGTTGGATTTATTAGTTTTTTTTTTTTTTTTTTTACTACTATTTTAATGGATTAAAAAACACACTTAAAACTTTACAAAATTTACACCATCTTTATCCCTTAAAATTTAAAAAAAAAAAAAAAACTAAATATTTTCCTGTTTTTAAAAAATTTCAATATATACAACATGTAGATATATTTATATGTGTATGCCTAAATGAACGGAACCATACTTTCTCTGGCACACCGATAACACACCTTTTTTTATGCCCATCACGCGACATAACATGGGGGTCATATACCATATTTGACAGTGAACTTTTATAACAAAGGATTAAAGAACACAAGGGAAAAAACACACTCCTTCTTCATTTTCATAGCTCCATATAGGTTAATAAATTTTACCACCTCGTCAGATAAGTGCATTCATTTTACTAAAAGTGAGCATATGAAAAAAAAGAGAAGCTTTTTATATTTTCACAACAATTTTTATCAATATGTTTAACATTAATGTTTATAAAAAAAATATCGGACTAATATCAACTTTAATTATAGCAAATACAAACATACAATGCCGTTCATGGAAAAATAAATGTTTAATGGATATGCTCAAAAACAATTTCCCTATGTGAATAGGAATGGGTTTTCTGTTACGATACATATAAGTAAAATGTTTGCATATCCATACAACTTAAGTGTTACACATATATCCATTTAGCCCCACTCTTCAATATCCTCCTCATATTAGTGGATACATATAATATATATATATATATATCTCGCATCCACAATTTTTTGTACACTCCTTAATATCATATCATAATAAATTTTATTAATATTTACATTTTATGTTGAACCTTTATAATTACACGTCACGTCTAACAACATTGTTATTATTAACATATAAAAACGTTTCTCATGTATATATGTTACTCTGTTCCAAAAAAAAAAAAAAAAAAAAAAAGTCAGAGTCGTAAAATTTCGTAAATATTTTTTGGTGTGGTTAAATTAAAAATGCACAAAACAATTTAACAAAAATTATATATTTACTAACATAAACATTGAAAACACAAAACAAGAAGGGGTATGAGAGTTGATTCTTAAAAAAAAAAAAAAAAAAAAAAGAAAAAAGGAGAAATGGAAAAATGGAAAAATGGAGGAATATATGTAGAGTCCAAAAAAGTTCAGACCAGGAAGTGGAGAGTGTTGGTGTTGGTGGGGGACTAAATTATATAAATTGAATATAATTTGGGGTCAACAAAATTTACCAAAAAAAAAAAAAAATAAAATAAAAAAAAATCGTCATGTCATAATCATGTGTCATCATTTTCATATGGACTTTGATTATTTCCATTCTGATGTAAGTTCATGTCAGAATCGAGCCATTCAAAATTTATTATGCTATTCAACTTTGAGCACAGATTATTATTTTCAATAAAATTCGAATTTGCCGAATTTTTTTTTGAATTTTGCGTTTTTTGCGTGTTCATGGAATGTGAAGATCCAGCTGCTGATGGGATTGCATTTTTCATGTTTCCATCCTGTGTTCCCCTTTTTTTATGCGATGTTGTTGTTAAGTTTTCATTGCTACTGGTACTACTACTTCCTCCAATTTCACTACCTCTTCCTCCTCCTACTCCTCCTCCTGCTGCACTCATGTTGCTATTTTGGGTAATAGTACTGTTATTAATGTTGGTTACAGTTTTTTGCGAAAAATTATTTCTCTGCTTTACCATGTGTAATGTATTATTATGGATATCTTGCGGTAGAGTACCATTATTTTGTTGATTTTGAAAATGCATCTGCTTTTGAATATCCTGTATATTAGTTGTACCAGAAAAGGGAGCAGACGAAGAAGAATAGGCAGCAGCACTTTGCTCATTCGGATTAATATCAAGATTGATAGATAAATTATTTGCATTTTGTGAAAGAGCATTGTTTTGATTATTACTTGATGGCACACAAAGGACAAGTTTGTTCGATTCTGTTAAATTTCGATTACTATTATTCGTACTAGTACCACCATTAGCAGGGAGATGAAGATTATCCATTAAATTTTCATTATTTTGATCTATGTCCATACCATTAATTATGTTGTTACTAGAATTCGAATTGTTCCGATTCCATGGTGCCATAAAGTTATAACTACTATCATTACTAGGTGCATTCGGATTTGTTCCTCCGTAATACATGCAATAATGTTTTTTCTGGTTTCTCAAATTAGGTGCGCAATTACATGGTATGTTATTGTTGTTCATTTCAAAATTTGTATTCACATTGCTTTTATCCACAATGTAATTACTTCCTCCTCCTACTCCTCCTCCACTGTTGCTGCTGTTGGCTGTGCCACCATAGTTTCCACTTCCATTGCTATTGCTTTTGCTAACCTGGGTTGTAGAACCCGGAGCCGGTACTGCACTATGAGTGCCAGGTGTGGCAATGGAATCTACAAATTCAGTCTTCAGATTTGAATGTGTAAGCACGTTATTGGTTCCTTTTTTTCGTTTATTCATTTCTAACTGCTTTATTACATTATTATTATTACTATGCTCAGGTGAAGAATTACTAGTATTGCATAAATCACAATGATCATTACTTAAATTGTTGCACAAATTATTATTCGAGTGCTTTAACTGATTAATCCATGATACGTTATCATGCATGCATAATTTTACTTCATCAACATTTTCATTTAGGTTCTCTCCGGCCTTGTTTCTGCTATCCTCCAAATCATTATTCAGTTGATGTACGATTTCAATTAGGTGTGGAGATATACTGCTTCCTCTGTATATGTCAAAATTGTAATCATAATAGTTGACCGGCACACTACTTGGCATGCTTCCCGTTACATTATTCGTTCGCATACTTGGCATACTTGGTATACTTGACATATTTGTCATATTTGACATGTTCGAAATATTGTTTGATTCGTTATTACTCTCAAACACATCATTAACACCATGATTTGGAAGATATAAATGTGCATTCGCTGACATGCTATTGTTCATTGGGTTGCTCGAGTTGTTGCTTACATGATTGTTCACAGAATTGCCAACACCGACAACACTGCCAACACCAGCACTTGTTGCATTATTCATACTGCTAGTACCGTTCACACCTGCACCGTTAGTTGTATTATTTACTGAAGGCTTCATGGTTCCCTGAGAAGTGCTATTATTCTTTGCACTGGTATTGTGTAGGTAATGATGATGTTTTTCCATATTAATATTCATGTTATAATTTTGTCTAAAAAATGCATTCATTATATTTTCAGCTTCTTTATTATGTAATCCTAAATTTTCTTCCAATTTTAAAAGTTCACTTGGCGTATGATTGCTGTTCATACTTAATTCATTATAATTTGCACTTCCTATGGTTGGAGAATTATTTCCATTTCCTCCTCTTCCTCCTCCTGCTGCACTTATTGTTCCATCTGGAGTAACACCACTACCTGCTCCTGATGGTTGCAAAACATTCGAATGAAACATTAAATCATTTAAGTAGTGTATATTATTATTACTCATATTATTTCCATTGTTTCCATTACTATTATTGTTATTACTAGAATTGCAACCATTGCCATTGACATTACTGTTGGGGTTACTCAACATATGCATGCTATTACTTCCACCAAACATGGGTGCAGAAGTATTATTGTTGTGCATATACATATGATTTTGATTTTGCATACTTTTCGACATGTTACCTAAATTCGAATTATCACTTAACGAATTGTATACATTATTGATAGTAATTCTTTCATTTGGTGCGCTCATATTTGTGAGATTAAAATTTCTATTCATATTTTGCATATAGAATCTGTGATTCATGGACATTAGATGCATTGGGATATGATTACTAGTACTTGGATTTCTACTACTTAAACTATTTGCGATATCATTTTTATTGTGTATTGCATTAGTTTCTTCTTCGTTGTTCATCTGTTTATTTTTATTTCTTCCCGCTTTATTTTTTGTTGATTTTTTCCTTCCATTATTCTCTAATGATTTCATAAATTCAACTGCTGCTAGTCTAGCTTTTTCTTTATCCATCTCAAAATGTTTTGGATGGAATGTTCGACTTCTTCTAGATGCACCATCATAGAAAAAAGCTAGCCATGCACACATACGTTTATTCCAACTAACCCCTGGATAACCCGATGATGATGTCGAAACCTTTTCTTCTTTTTTTACAACTTTGTTTGCCGTAGTAGTTCCTCTGGGTCTTCCTACCTTTCTCTTTATTACTACTTCACCACCGGTTTTTCCAGGTTCATTTGTCCCTTTTATTAATGCATCAACATCATTCCCACCTCTTGTATTATTTGTAACAGTTCCATTAGATAAGGTATTAACAACACTATTAACTACATTGTTTACTAAATTATTGGTCAGCATACGTGATTCATTCTTTAAGGATCCTTTCAATACCCCTTTGTGTGTGCTATTATTATTTCCTAAGCTGTGATTGTTGCTCACTTTATTATCATTTCCTTTGCTATGTGTATTGCTCATTCCATTCATGCTGTTGGTTCGTATAATATTGTGATTGTTTATACTACTGCTTATCCCAGAATTCAATGGATTTATAAAACCATTACTTAATCCATTGTTCATGCTTCCATTGAACCCGCTGCTCAACCCGTTATTCATACTGCTATTTATCGACGTGATAACTGCTGGGTTTGTACTACTCAAATTGTCATTCACATTGCTTCTACTATTATGCGTTGTTACTTTTCCATCCATAGACATACGTGTATGTTTGAATGTTTTATCTGTGTTCAAATTTTCGTCCATTTTATTTTTTTTTTTTATTTTTATTATTATTTTATTTATTTATTTTTTTTTTTTTTTTTTTTTTTATAAATCAGGTTAATATTTAAAAATTATGTTATCATTACAAGGAGGAAATCCGTCTCTATATATCTTTTTTTTTTTTTTATTTTTTATTTTTTCTTCCTTATGCAAACATAAAAAAAAAAAAAGCAAAAGTATTAGCTATTGAGATTAAAAAAAAAAAAAGAAAAAGTAAAATTACGTACACTGGATATAAATTAATAATTCTAGTACGTGAATGTTTATAATGAGTGCATATAGCAAATATATGCAAGTTCATAAACGGAATATAGAGATAGCAAGATGTTTTTTTTTTTTTTTTTTTTTCGTTTTTGTGTATATATTTCTGTTTGGATGTTATATGTGATTAAAATAAGTTGCTCATTAAAACCAATATAACATCCCACAATAAAAATTTTGATAATTAATGCAACATATGCAAAAATCTGTGTGTTGCCATACTTAGCATGCCACCCTATATGATAGGCATCTACATAAATAATCACGCATATGTGATGTTACGTAAATCAAAATAGAAAAGTGATAAAAAAAAAAAAAAAAATAAGAAAAATAAAAAATATGAATAATAATAAAAAAAAAAAAAAAAAAAAAAAAAACAATGTGTTTTTAACTAACAAGAAAAATCAGTACACAAAAGAATATTTCCACATATATTAATAACATAAAAATTAGTATATTTTTTTTATAACGCCGCAATATGAACAAGCGCTAAAATGAGTACACATAAATATATATACAAATACAACGGTATATTCTTACAATCCACGTTTGTATATTGGTGTATACACTAATTCTTTTGTAAATGTGTATATTATGCATACATATTATGCATACACATGTACAAATATAAACATATGCATATGGTGGAACTTAAACAATTCTCTTCTAAATACATAAAGCAAAAATGCTAGCATAATATATATAATTCCTCAAATAGGATATTATAATTCAAATGTATGTAACGTTTAAAAAAAGCTAATTTGTGTTGCATGCATATGTTAGTATCTATACACACTTGTGTATGTATTTTTATATAAGTTTCTAATTGGGACACATACAAAGGGAACATATGCAAAATATATATATATATATACATATAAATATGTATAAACCTTGGACTCGTAAATTTTAATTAAATTGATATATGTAAAAAAAAAATAATAATAAATAATAAGCTACAGATAAAATAACGTAAAATATACTAAAATAATGTGAAATAAAAATCGTTACACATAGATATGTATTTTTATAAAAGTAATAAAAATGGAAAACGAATGAATCCTGGAGTTAAATATTTGCAATCAAAGTTGTTAAAAAAAAAAAAATCAAATCAAATCAAAGGAAAGGAAAGGAAACGACGTAAAGTAAAAAAAAAAAAAATAAAAGGAAATATCTTATTTGATTAAATTAAACAAGATAATATTGAATAGGATAAATATAAATAGGGTAAAAATGAATAGAATAAATCTTAATAATATAAGTCTGAAAAGAATAAATCTTAATAATGTAAGTCTGAATAGAATAAATCTTAATAATGTAAGTATGAATAGAATAAATCTAAATAGGATAAAATTAAATCTAATCGAATTAAAAAGAATGACTCTTCAATTTATAAATTCAATTTTACATGTGCATTATATTACACAATACAAATTAAGCAAAGATGAAGAGATCATGTTGTACATAATGTATACCGTACAAATATGCACTCTTATATATATACAAATGCTCGTAAAGAAAAAGAAAAAATAAATAAATAGGGATGGAATCGACGTATATATATAAAAACTTGCGTATGTAAAAGATATATACATTTCACAACAAAATAGAACAAAGCACGCTTTGATTGCGTGAAAATTTTAAAAATGGTTGCAAATGTATGCTTCGAAAAGGACAAATGTGAAACATGTATATACATATAAATGTATATGTATATAAATATATGTGCGCATAATAATACCTAAATGCGCAGGTACGTATGTATAATAAGATAACTGCGTGAATTTATACAGTGCCAATTATTTGTCTCATATATGTGTATATGTAGACATATACATATACACACTTCGCTTATGTATGCATGTACATATATACTATTGTGCATAATTTTACACACAAATGCTATCGCACATATGTACACTTCGAAAAAATCAAATTCACTTTTTTTAGCAATATTATTATTATTTTATCAGTACACATATATGTATAAACTTTATTGTTTTTGCATTTAAAATATACTCTGTTTTTTTTTTTAAATATGTGTAGTTAGTCTCGATACACATATATGCAAATACATACACATAAACATTTGCATATATTACAAACATGTAAACAAAAAAATTAACGCGCAACTGTGGCATTAATCCGTGCCTATTTCTTTAAAAGGTTCATAAAAATATACATTCAAAAGAAAAAAAAAAAAAAAAAAAAAAAAATAAAAGAAACCTCTTAAAAAAAAAAAAAAAAAAAAAAAATTAAGGAATAAAAAATTTTTAAAAAAAAAAAAAAGAGGAGAAAAAAAATTAAAAATTAAATAAAAAAAAAATTAAAAATTGATAAAAAAAAAATTGAAAAAAATGCGAAAAAAAAAGGGTTAAAAAAAAAAAAAAAAAAAAAAAAAGGCTAAAAAATACGTGAAAAAAAAGGAGTTAACAAATAAGTGAAAAAAAGAGTAACAAATAAGTAAAAAAAGAGTTAACAAATACGTGAAAAAAGAATTAATAAATACGTAAAAAAAGAATTTAAAAATACGTAAAAAAAAAAAAAAAAAAAAAAAAAAGCATAAAAAAAGGGTTAAAAAAAAAAAAAGAGGAAAAAAAAAAAAAAAAAAAAAAAAAAAAATATAAACGTATCCTCTGTGACGAAGAATAAAAAAAAAAAATGTTAAAGCATTAAAAATTTTTCAAAAAAAGAAAAAGAGGAGAAAAAATATTAAAAATTAAAAAAAAAAAAAGTTAAAAATTAATAAAAAAAAATTGAAAAAAATGCGAAAAAAAAAAGGGTTAAAAAAAAAAAAAAAAAAAAAAAAGGCTAAAAAATACGTGAAAAAAAAGGAGTTAACAAATAAGTGAAAAAAAGAGTAACAAATAAGTAAAAAAAGAGTTAACAAATACGTGAAAAAAGAATTAATAAATACGTAAAAAAAGAATTTAAAAATACGTAAAAAAAAAAAAAAAAAAAAAAAAAAAAAAAAAAAAAAATAAAAAAAAAAAAAAAAAAAAAAAAAAAAAAAAAAATAAAAAAAACAAAAAAATAATCAAT